ATAAACGATTTCAGCATAACAGTTTTTTTTTCCTCTGCCTGAATTCCGAGACGCATTTCATGTACAAATCTCGAATCCCGCGGCTTTTTAGATAACTTTTGATTCCTTGTTTAGAGGGAGAGTCTACTCTTGAGTAAGATTGTCCTTTTTTTGAATACTAACAAGATATAAAATTTTGCTATTGTAAAAATGATTTAATGAAAAAGTTAATTTATCATGTTTTGAAATAAATAAATGAAATAAATGCGCATCTAAGAAACTACAGAAAAATATCCAAAGATATGTCCAAAAGTTAATTTATTTAATTTAATTGGATATCACCAAATTTTGCGTGTGTCTGAATTGCACGGTTTTGTAGCTAAATATCAATTTTTCTCCTCCCTTCTGTAAAATAATCAATTATAACCAGATCTGCTGTGCGGAAAGTGTCATTTTACGACGTCACTCTCATTTCCCACGGATCCGAGCCAGATATTAACTCACGAGTTTGGGAGCAATCGGGCGGATTTGGAGATATTTCCACACGGCTTGAATTTTGACGTTTATCAATTCTGACGGTCATGTCAGTAAATGTATTCGTGTTATTTTGCAAAAATGTACCCAAATACTAACAGTCGTAGAAAACGTACAGTATACAACACTCACAAATAAACCCATGACTCAAATGCTGTTTAACAAATTTGTTGCACAATATACTATTACAAAACTATTAATTTTTGGAATGTCAAATTAGATTTTTTTGCAATTTCATTGCAAAAGATGCAACAAGCACTGTCTAAAATTATCTCTAAGTGTCATAGAATCATATTAGATTAATGACGTTTTAAAGAATTTAAATGGAACAGTTCCTTTTTAAATTAAAATAAATATCTGGACATCTTGTTTCAGATGGATAGCTTACTATAACTCAGATATCGTGTATATGAAAATTCTTATTAATTAATTATAATTATTAATCATAACTTTAAATAAAGCACATACTTATTTAGAAGGAGAAATTTGTTACTTTGAACAATTTGAATACAACCTGCGTAACAATGTAATTTTATAAAGGATAAAACACGACGGAAATTAAATATTGACCCTAATTAAAATGGCCAGATTAAGAGTATTTCAAAAACAAAATAAACCAAACTTGCGAGGCCTCTTTAAGTACTCACACAGTTAGGTCACTAAGAAAATTTGTAGGAATGTCAAAATTTTAAAACGTATTAAGAGACATCAACGCTAGATCGGACCCGAAACCTCTTTACATGAATAGCATATAAGTTTTTTTTAATCAATTCAAAAGAAAATTTATAGTTTAACCTAAATAAATAATTTCTTCAGGCTGGCAAACCAATTTCCTCGTTTTTATTCGATACAGATTTTTACTGTTTTTTGATTGATTTTGATCCTTACTCTAAAATTTCTAATTATGCATTGGTCAAGAGTGTGTAAAGTTTCACTTTAAGAAGTCAGCGTTGTTAGTGACTTAGCATGTCCGTGGCTGTTTTGTTAACGAGAACTAACCAAATCAAACTCATAACTAATGTGACGTTTATCAAACTTCTGACATAATACACTATTTAACTCAAAAATCACTAAAAATTATTAGCAAAATTAATTGTGGATTGATCTTATTACTTCCTACATAATATTTCACATATTTTATAAAATATTTTGGAGGGATATACATTTTAGGGATAATATATTTTTTATGTAATATATTTATTAATTCTATTGTGGAAGGGCCAGAAATTAAAAATTGAGAGACATCAGCAGAACATGAGAACCGAAATCTCATGAGTAATATTTAAATTTATTATAGCTGGTTGCATTTTTGTGTATTAAGTACGAGTCAGCGTTAATTTATTACCGTTGTAATAAAAATAATATCACTGCCAGCAACCCATTACCCCAATGAACTTTTTTAAAGCAAGAGCTCAAATCCTGGAAAGTACGAGCCATTTGAGGGTTATAAGTGTGTAACTCATACTAGCGAATGCGACACTCAATAATTTATGATCAATAGGATACAAATGGAATATAGAGAAATTTATACAGAGATTTTCTAAGATTTATTGCATGTTTTTTATGTGGTATTAACATGTACTGTTTTGGAGTTTTTCTTTTGTTTTTTGCTAGTTTATGATTTCTCAAGATACTGTCAATCGACTAGAATGGTTTTAGTGGCTGATTCTGTATAAGTATTCTAGATTCTATATGAGCAGCATCTTAACAGATTTAATTTAATAAATTTGTAGCAATTTTTCTTTTTCTACTGTACAATGAAAAGTACCTACTGTAGTTTTCTCATCGCTAGTGTAATTGAGAACTCTCACTTACAATGAAAACACGAGCGAAGCAAATATGCAGGTCATAATTAATTTACAATATGGCCACCTGATCCACATATAAGCCAAAAATATATTTTGCACAAATAACAAAACCAATTTTAATTTCAAGATTCCACACAACAAAATTCAGCTTAGTATTAAATTTATTCTGTTCATACTTTGCCACGTCCCAGTTAATTTTTCTACAGGCAATCATAATTCTAAGCTGATAAGGAGACGATTTTATATGAACTCGAAATAAATGGAAGAAACTTATTTTTTATTTTGAAAACTGGCAAAGCACAAGTTGTCTATGCGATCCCGATCAAGAAACCATCAAACCAAATTTGAGCATAGATGGCTAGTTAAAGCTATGAACAGGCTGCTCCAATATTATCAGACGACTCGAGGGTGGCTAAGTTTGTGCTCCTTTTAAAAGTCGGAAAATCGTCAAATTACTGGAGAAAGCATTGGATTTATCAAGTTAAATAACAACGCTGCCTCAGTAACATTAAAAGTCATAAAAATATTAACTTCCTAATCGGTGTTGCCATGTCGCTTTCTGTTAAATTGTTACGCTGGACGAAACTAAGAAGGGACTTCAACTTGCAGTTACTTTATTATCAATTATTTTAAATAGACAGAGTCAAACAAATTAGAATGCAACCTTTCATATTGGTAATTTCGTTCTATTTGTCGCAGATGCATTGCATTTATTCTAAGCACGTAGGACTTCACAACGAAATCAGAATGTGCAAAGCCCGTTTAATAATTACATGGAGCCGCAGTTAATGATTCATTTTCATTTGCATGGTACCGAATAAACAATTTCTGGAGACACATATTATCGCTTACGTAATATAGTTGATAAGTTCATTATTCGCGGCGCCGTGTTAATAAATTCTAAATCGCATAAGGATGAAAAAACACGTAACTGATCTTCTAGTAAAGGCGCTACGACAAATCCAGTTTCACAGTTACGCCACACGTCTATCGACCACCTTCACTTTGTATGCGCTAATATCGCGAGCCAGTCGGTTGGCAATGCCGTTTCTTCAAGGTCACGTCGAACCGCAAACGATGAAATTGAAATATATCTACTTGAACTGGTTTTTTTTTAATTAATGGCTTTCGATGGGGACGTTACCCGTATAAGCGGACGTAAAAATGTTTCCCGTGCGAAACTTAACTCCAAATTCCAGTTAATGTGCCGGGTTTCGCAAAAGGAGGTCACATAGTTGAGCCACAGTATGCGTGAAATTGCAGCACCAACAGGCGGGTTTGATATTTTCGACGTAATTTTTCATGGTCTTGCCGCTGCATTTCCGACGATTTAAATGATGTATGGCGTTATCGAAATGATGCAAAAAAAAATGTTGAGGAGTTACCCCGACAACAATAATAATAATAATAAACAATAATAATAATAATAATAAACAATAATAACAAAGGACGTGTAACGCGAAAAATATCAGGACACTCGAACTACTCTTTTCACAACCGCCATTCCCCAGGTCTACCTTCCTAGTAACATATTTTCTGTAATGAACGCCTAAAGCTTTCCATAATCCACTCCAAACTAAATAGTTGGGGAAGAAGTGAGTTAAGTTGTTTGTTTTTGTTCCGTAACCAGCTCAAAAAGCAATTTGTAATTCAACCTCATATTCCATATTTGAATATTACTTACTATACGTGCCACAAGTAACCACGGCTGTTTGGTTTTGGATTTCTAGTCTTTCTTCGACACACTGTAATAAGGATTTCATCCAAAATTTTTACAACTTAGGTTAATATTCCACGCATTTTATAAAATATTTCCATTTTCAGTCCAATTGAGTATTTTTATTCAATAAAACTAATATCTGCTGTTTTTCGGGATACCCTGTATAAAAATACTGAGATCAATTCTTTTTTCTATGTCACAGCAATATCGAAGGAATATAATTTTACAAAAATATTTGGCTAATTATATAATTTGAAACATAGTACTTAGTAATAAACAAGCCGTAAAATGTAAAATTTAAGACTTTATGGCCTGCTGCATTTGTATCCAACAACGACCGGAGGACAAATGCTCCTGTAAATATCTACGTGCCATCATAACGCTATAAAAGGGTTTCTCTTTCACAAACGATTGCTAAATTAATTCATACTACGAAAGACATCAACAGTTGATTAGACCAGAAACCTTTCCCCAAAAATAATTGTGCTGGAGCGCTAATTAGATATTTCCAAAAGGAAATATATGATGCCAAAATGAAAACATTATTATATATATTAGTAAACTTTAATAAATAAATAAATACATAAAATGCGTCATCTATCCGTACGAATGTGGTAATATTCTTAAAAAATCCCCAGCATTTATCAATAAATGTTCGAAAAAGAAAGAGACAGCATTGGAGTACTTTAATTAGTATAAAAAACTAAAATATTTCACTGTGATAAAACTAAAAGAAAGAAATAAGTAGAAATAGCAAACAATTAAAACGCTCTGTGAGTTTTGTATCTTTATTACAGAAACATTTGACAATATCTCCAATTTGAATAAAATATGAAATATCAATAATCTGTGAACGAAATTTCAGCAACAGCATCAACAACGAAACTGTGCACTGCAATTATTTACCAGTATCAGACGCCCATAGTATCTGCATATAGTCAAAGCCAAAGTTATTTTATTGTATGGTTATTTAATTATATATCATACTATTTTACGCAAAAAAATGTTCATCTCAGATATTAATGCTGACATAAACTTAGCTGTTATTATTAATGAACGCTTTGTCGAGACTCTGCATATCCGATTAATAAGTATTCGTGTATAAAGTTGGGCAATACAGGTAAAGAACGTGAATGTTTATAGATTTTGCCATTGCAGAATTTATTGCGTCATACATTAATGATATTATTTTCATAACAATCTAACGAGGATGAATATTAAATTTCATTTTTTGTCATTTACATAGGAGTCATCGTTCCTTACATTGGACATTTTGTTTATATCTGATGCTACAGATGCAATTATTCTCCGCGATCGTCCAATATCAGCCCATTGAATTAAATAACGCCAACGATGGAGAGTGTGCCCTACTGCTAAGCGGCCCAGGGCGAAGTAGCCAGTTCGATTACACATTCAACTTACTCAGGGGCACCAGCCTGTAAGTATTAGTAAACCTTTTATTTTTTTATGGCTGAAATGGCTTAAAAGTTTTATAAAGTGGTTAGTATTTAACATCAAGGTGTACCACTTTCCGTTGTCCGCATGCGATCCTTAATATGCATGTATTTAACTTACTATTTACAAATCTTCTGGATTGCTCCTTCGTTGGTTGTTTACAAATCAAACTTGCTGATGTTTCACAAATTATCCTGTATGCTTCTTCAGAGCCTAACTGAAACAGTTTCAGTTAAACTCGAAGAAGTTAACAGGATGATTGTCAAAATGTCAGCAAGTTCAATTCAACAATAACCGACGAGGAATCCAGAAGATTTGTAAATAGTACCCTGTGGAAGTTTCTTTGAAAAATTAAGTATTTAACTTTTATATTATAAAATTCTGTAACCGTGATGATAACGCTCTCTCAATAATATTGAAATACATATCTTATCGTCTATATGAACAAAATTAGAAAAAAAATAATATACAATTTACAAATCTTCTGGATTCGGTTGTTTATAAATCAAACTTCTTCAGAGCTTAATTGAACAGTTTCACCCTTTTTCGGTAAAACTCTGAAGAAGCCAACAGGATGATTGGCGAAACGTCAGCAAAATTGATTTATAAACACAGAGGGGGAATCCAGAAGATTTGTAAGTGCAAGTGAAACTGTGGAAGTTTCTTTGAAAAATTAACATTAATATGGTACTGCCCGAAGTTATTAACCCGGTGATATAGCACCACATTTGTTTCTTTGTAACAGTTGCGCTACTAGCAGCGAATAACGTGATTTCTCTGGTTCATTTTATATATAATTTTTTCATAACTTTACCTGGACACTAAACTAAAAATCATTCATTTGTAGAAAAAGAGAAAAGTACAAAATACAAAATTTTTGTATTTTTACAGATAGAGAAGTTCAACCACCTTGATATTCTAGAGCATGGAATAGTTAAAGAAAGAGTTGAAACATGACAAAACTTAAAATATTTTTAATTTTCAGAGATTATAATGGTCAGCAAACCTGCATAACATACGATGCCGTAAATGCAGCATATCTAGAGGCTAGAAAAAGAATTCGTAAGTTAACAATGCGCTTTCTCTAAGTTGTTGAAGTTTGTAACAGTAATAATAGGTTCTTGGTGAGTATTACTAAAAAAGTATCTGAAGAATGGACAAAAAGGGTTCGGATTCATTCTAGGTACATTTACTTAAAATTTGAAACTGAGTTAAATTTAATAAGTTCCTTTAAATGATAAAAGTAATTTTAAAAAATGAAATTACTAAAACTAATATTAATACTGAACGCCAAATAGGTAAGTTCATTTATCTAATAAATTAAATGTCTCTATAACATTAAGATTTCTCAAGATTCCAAATGTTGGTAATTTTTTTCAAGTTTTAATATTTTATAGTAATAAGGAACTCTCAACAAAAAAACTTTATTTTTCGAGTAGAAAATAAAATTACAGGGGATTCCATTTTAGCTAAACAAACAACATTTATATGAAAGCAGTGAAATACACTGTTTAGATACTTCTAGACAATGCAACCCACTCTTCCGGTATAGTTCAATGTGTCTATCATGATTAATCGTATTTAATTCCAAATTAATAGCAATCGCTCAACCACACGGTGACTGGAAAGGAGAAGACGTAGCTACGGTGGGCGAACTACTCTTGGACGTGTCCTTAAATTTGGCTAGAACGTAAGATGGGGTTTTTGAAACTTCCATTTCCATTAAAAATTCTACGTTTAAGGTACGGTTTATCTTACGAAGACATAGAAAAAGGTCTGCCTCTTATCGACACTAGCAAGACTTTAATAAGGGAGGTATGTCCCCCCTATCTCTCAAACGTAGAATGTCGAGCAGGAAAGTATCGGAGGTATGACGGATTGTGTACAAATTTGGAACATCCCACATGGGGAGCTACCCATACACCTTTTACCAGGTACAATGTTGGTATTATCTTACCCAAAACACAAATGTTCCTCTGACCATTTGACTTCAGACTGATGGGTCCATTGTTCGCCGATGGAATGTCCGAACCCCGCATCAGTGTTACCGGAAGGAATTTGCCCTTATCGCGTGTGGTTTCCCGGACTATGCACCCAGACGAGGGCTTTCACGACCACGCAGGCACCGTGATGATCATCGCTTGGGGCCAGTTTATAGATCACGATTACACACTTACCGGTTCACCGTTGGGTAAGTTTGCATGACCATGCCTCGTTTACGCAAAAAATTTTACTTAAAATTAATTGAACTGTGTTGAAATTTACCCAGTGCATTTAATTGATAATCTACTTTTTCTTCCCTTTCGGAGGTATACCAAATAATTAATTCCTACAAATACCTGTGACCGACAGGATTCCGAATAATAAAATCAATCGCGAGTGAAAGGTAATAGACAATAACTAGACAATAATAATAAAAAATTCAATCTGGGAAAGTTAAAATTAGGTAGTAGAGGACCCACGAGATAGTTGCACCTGCGTCCCTTTAATTTTTCTGATTCTAAAAATTTTCCCTAGTCAAGTTAATTTTAATATTAAATTATTTTTAATGTTAAACATTTTTTTTATTTATAGTTTAAAAAATGAGAAAGCGAACAAATATGTTAATATTTGGCCATACATTTATAGGGTACAACTGTCAAAACGAATGCCAATTTGTATAAACGTTTCATTAGTTACGTACATAGAAGCTTCTTGACATGAAGCTTGAGAAAAGGATGTTTAGAAAAGAAATAAGTAGTCAAATGCAAAACTGAGTAAGGTAAGCAATCATGAATTCAATTGAAGACTGCTTGATAAAAATTGTAACGTTATTGCAGGCTGATGTGAACTAAAAATTATCTAAACTAAAACTACGGAAGACAAATATAGGCAAATCTAATGTATACTAGTTTATACCTCGTTTATAGAAACATACAAAATGATAAAATATGTACAGGGTGACTGCCCACCCGGAAGCGACAAACAATATTTTAGAATGAAATAGTAGTTCTATTATTTGCTGCAAGATATTAGCTAACATCCTTGTGAACTTTTTAGTGAGTGGTTGCCGTCCACTTTATTTTGAGAAGTTCCATGCTATGTATATTTATTATGTTGGACAACTTTCGCTAATCTTGTTATCGAAATTACAACACAGAACGACCTTTAACGATAAATCAATAAGTAGATAGCTGGACATGGGGTTGAGTAATTCTACGAGTCAATGAGGTTCCGGTTCATTGCCGTCCTACTGAATATAGTAATTTTAGATTAAGATAAAAATTGCTCCACCCACTATTAATTGGCCGCCGACCGACCAGCTGACATTAACCATTGTTTTGTAATAGCTATTGCTGTAAGACAATATGGAGAAAACATATCCTGCTTTGTTATTCCGTGCGAAAAATTCAAATTTCATTTTTTATCGTAGCGGCAATATTATAAAATAAAAAATATATATTTTAGTAAAAATATATTGAGAATTTCGCGGTATTATGAAACTTTATTCAGGATATTGGATTATTTGATTAGTTAAGTATAATGATTTCAAAATTTGTTGCTACCATATATGAATTCATTAAATAAATACCCAAACCTGGAATAGAAGCAACATTATTTCAAATTTCAAATGATTTTCTCCGAATTGTATTTTTTATTTTAGGTTATGCCTAACAGTTAAAATTGTTTTGTGATTTCCGGACATTTCCGCAAACATTTAAATTTACACAGAATTTGAGTTTCTTTTTAATTTCCAACGACACTTTTACAGGTTGCAGAGTAATTGGACAACAAACAAAACACTGCGCTGTAGACCATTTAACTTATGTCTTGGCATGTCGGCTCTTCTAAATTTTAAAGTCAATAAAAAAGTTAAAAGTTTTAAAAATTAAGCTTTGGTAAGAAACTTAAGAACTTTTGGATAAAAACAGTCCTCGCTTAAAACAATTGGTAACTGCCAAAATTTTATTCAATTCTTCAAAATATTTTCTTTATTATAGATCCATTTAACAGAAACGATCCTGAGGAGTGCTGCGGTAGGCCGCCACACTTAAAGCATCCCTATTGCAATGAAATCCCCATCCCAGACGACGATTATTTTTATAGCCTGTTCAACGTCAAATGCATCAACTTCATAAGATCTTTTCCTGCTGCCAGGCCTGGTTGCAGGCTAGGTTCCAGGGTGCCATTTAATACCCTTACCGGAGTTCTGGACGCCAACACCGTATACGGAGTGACGGAACACTTTGCAAGGTATTATGCCCAGTTTCCAGAGTTCCGTCATTCAGACGAGAGACATAATATAAATCACGTGGTTTTGAACACTCTGTAAAAAAATAACATACAGGGCTGGTAATACATGCAATTATTGAAGTGAATATATACAGCTTGTTTCAAAATATTTCGTCTTGCCTTTTGACGGCAATTATGCTTACTTAAGCATAATAAAATCACATTAGTACTAATAAAAATTACAGTGACGCTAAATATATTTTAATTATCAATAATTACCTAAATAAATATATTTTTGCTTTGACTCTCAGAGTGGTCAGTAAGATCAATTACAATACGCTGTGTTATTTTTTATTCAAATTGTAAGAATTTTCAATTTTTGAAATGTGCTGTGCTGCATTTTTCCAGCTTGCAACTCGTATATTACTAATCACATTTTAAATTAAATTCATTACGCTCGGAACTTAAAGCACTTCTCTCATATTTGATTTTACTAAGTATCACATATGTATTGTTCTTTAATAGTATATAAAGTTAAATTTCTTGTTAGATTAAAAACAATTTTTTGTAGCAAGCGGCAGTGATAGCTCGCATTGTAAATTAAACTGATACTAATTTTAAAGAATTAAGAATCTTTTTCCAAATGCCTGCATGCGTGTAAAAGGGGTTATTCAACATATATCAGCCGACGACAAGTGGTAGGCATCTGCCTAACTTGCTCCCGTCGTGTCCCTATGCAATGAATAAATTATTGCGTTTACTCAGTAATCGAAGCATTTATTCTTTCAAATGCTTTAAAACTCTCATTCTAAACGTCAACTCTAAATGATATTATTTATTGGGTGTATATAAAACAATATTATGTATATAAAATAATATTAACAATTTATAACGTAGGTTAATTATTTAGTTTGATTAGGATTTTTTTATTAAAAAGGTGCATTATAATCTGTTCAAATTTAAAGCCCGCAACCTTAATATTTGACAAACAACTAAAACTTTGTCAACATGGCTATCGAATATCATACATAAAAAAGCGTTCTTTTGTGTATATAAAGTGTGCGATTCAAGCAATATGCTGTATTTTCAAATATAGGAGATAGGAAATCAGATAGTGCATCAACTAAAGTTAAAAAAATATAGCAGATAGATATAAAATTAAATCTGCTACAACTTTTTCTATAACCTGGATAATTTGGCTGGTGGGTATGTTATTATTATTATTTAACCTATTAAATTGTTTTTGTTCAGAAAACTTCGCGAAGGACATGGAGGTCTCCTAAGAATGAATCCAGCGTTTGCAGAATACGGATTGAAAGACCTACTTCCTCTAAAACTTGATATACCAGATGAAGGTTGTACTAGACCAAATAGTACCATGTTTTGCTTTGAAGCTGGTAAATATATTTCCGAGTATATTAAGGGGAGAAACAAAAGAATAAAATCTGGAATCTCAATACAAAAAGTCCAGAGTATTTATCTTGAATAATAAATCCAGAAAATAATTTTAATATCGAAATATAAAAATATACAAATAGTTAATTAATTTTCAATAGAATTTCAGTGTACAGTTTTGTAGTTATATAATACATATAAATCAGCTTATCGACCCAAGAAGGTCCACAGTTTATCGAAGAATAAAATCAAAGAGTTACATAATACGTAGTTAAAAAAATGCGTTTATTTTATTTTATTGGCGAATCAATTCACTATCTACACTGTTAAGTACATACACATACACGCACTTTGTTTAGGAGAAATTAGAGTAAACGAGCAACTAGTACTCACGTGTATGCATACCTTGATGGCCCGTGAGCACAACCGTGTCGCGAGAGAACTGGCTCAAGTGAATCCCCACTGGGACGACGAAACTCTATTCCAGGAAGCCAGGCGAATTAATATTGCTATAATTCAGCACATCACCTACAACGAATTCTTACCTATATTGCTAGGAAAAGAGGTTATGGAAAAGTTCGGATTGTTGCTGGAAAAACACGTAAGTTTCTGAACATCACGTCCGATCTGTACTGTATTTTATTTCTCTTTTCATTCGACCGAAGGGTTACTGGGGTGGTTACGACCCTAATGTCAATCCCAACGTGATTGATGCTTTTGCAGCGGCAGCTTACCGATTTGGTCACTCGTTGCTACCTACAGCAGTGGAAAGGTGGAGCAAGGCACACAAGTTTATCGGTAAAACATTACATGATTCTATTCCATAGTATAGGTTGTTGTATATAGCTACTAGACGAGTATATGACAAACTCTGGACTTTTTACTACTTTAACTCCCTAAAGATACAAGGTAAAGTTCCGTAAATTCGTACAAGTTTCCGTCAAAATGCAAATAACCCTCTATAATTGTTAGGAACCAAATGATAACCAAATATTGTTTTGTTCATTCAAAAATTGGTGAATTAGAGCATTCACAAGACCCTCGTTATAAAATATATATGTATAAGCAATTTGCACCAGGTCTGTTGGTGAACGAGTAAGATATATGATATAAAAGCAGAATTTTACTAACGAAAACTATTTTATAAATTTCCACAATTTACTGGGGAAAAAATTAAACTAGATATCCTAGTTAAGTTCGGTCTTATGTCGGAACAGAAAACGCCGTTTTAGTATATTATTTAGGTTTCTCAGTGAAACGTTACTATTTAATGTACATTTGTGATCGTAAAAATTTGTTAGATTTTGTAAACGAAAATTTTTAAAGGCCCTAGTTAATCTGTCGTTGTTTTCGTATTTCTGAAATTTACATTATAAAAAAAAAATGATCGAGACAATAAATGTCCACACTTTATAAAATGTTCGAGTTTTAGTTTATAATTATACAAGACATAAAAAAACGAAAAAATAACAACACCGGTAGCTGCAATTACGTGGTAATAGTTTAATAAATAAATTAAACTACTTATTTTTGCGGCATGATTTTCAATAAGTGCAAAATATTTTGAGCTTACCGAATATAGTATATAAGTATAAATTTAAAATATGTCTCCTAAAAAAGGTCATAATTACCAATTTCGCATAATAAAATTATTTTTTTTAGTTATAAGCCAGTTTTTCCTTTATTTTTACACCATTAAATGAGCACCATCGATTAAGCAAAAATCTTTGAACGAATAAATGCAAGCTTACTCGAGTTTCTTTTCGTTTCGTCTGCCTTTATCATTTGCTAACTCGATAAAAAACGCATTCTGTGTATTTTTATCATGTTAAAATTTAAAATAAAAGAATCAGAGATAAAAACTCACTAAATATTCTTAAGAGATATTTTAAAGCAGCACTTTTATTTTGTACGTAAAATCCAAAAAACGGTGTCTTTTAAACTAAGCAGCATGATATATCCAAAAAAATTACAAGAAGTGAATATTTAAGGAATGTAGAATCACGTTCTTTACACCCTAATTATTTTATTAACGTGCAGACGTAACAGTCTGTTGATATAATTGTTATTAGATAATTTATTGTCCGATATTGTAATTACACGTGTGGCTCCTAATTTTTGTTATACCATTAATAGCTTCTAAACGACTTTCCGACTTGATCCGCCGCCCCTATGACCTGTACCGAGCTGGTGTACTGGACGAATACATCATGGGACTGATGAACCAAGTAGCACAAGCCATGGACGATTCCATTACCCAAGAGGTCACCAATCATCTTTTCAAAAAGGTCGGCGCCAGATTTGGCATGGATCTGGTCAGTTTTAACATGCAGCGCGGTAGAGAATTCGGAATTCCCGGTTATATGGAGTTTAGAAAGTTCTGTGGCTTGCCTACCAGCGACAACTGGGACGACATGTTCGGCACCATGCCCAACGATACCGTAGCGAAATACGCGTCAATATTCGAGTAAGTGCGAGTACGGAGTTGCCCAAAACGTAAGAGTCTAACTAAGCGATTTAGGCACCCGGCCGATATAGACTTGTGGTCAGGAGGTGTGTGCGAACGCTCCTTGCCGGGAAGCATGTTGGGGCCGACTTTTGCTTGCATAATAGCCACGCAGTTTAGTTATTCGAGAAGAGGTGACAGATTCTGGTACGAACTTCCAAACCAACCTTCGTCGTTCACTTTAGAACAACTCGAAGAAATTCGTAAGGCGCGATTGGCTAGAGTTATTTGCGACAATACGGACCTGATAGACACAGTACAAATGTATCCGATGGTACTTCCGGACCACGAAATGTTAGTACATTGCACTTGAACGAAAAAAACGATGATGACGTATACCTTTTCAGCAATCCACGAGTGCCTTGCCGCAGCGGCATCATACCATCAATGGACTTTTCCAAGTGGGCGGAATTCCCCAGCTCAGGGTTCTTCGGTAGTATAAGAAAATGATATCAAACGTCTTAGGTTGCCATAGACAATTATTTATTCTGTAAATAAAGACTGACTACACAGGTCGAACTCATATGATCAAGAAACGCGCGGTGTCCCGTTTTGATTTTTGAAAAATTGCGAAAATTCTTGCTCTCGATGTTGTTGAGACTTGACCACACGTTTGTAAATATAGTTATCATTTAAAAGTAAAATAGCATTATCGTACACAAACTGGACTGTTAGGTACCGGGCAACTAACAATCTTCTTCGATTCATGCGCTCTCCTCACTAAAATTGGCGAACCAAATGCCAATTGTAGCTTTGGAAACTGCAGCATGAATAATTTCTATAGACGATCTTTTTACCTGTGCTTTTCTCTCAATTATAAGCCGACGTAATTTGTATCTCTCACTTGTTATCATATCACAAAAATATTAAACTTATGATGGTGTTCAATAACTCTCGTTTATGCAATACCCCATCATTACTGATTCGTTGCAAAGTATTCGTCTGTAAAGCCTCCCACAGACTTCGGTTTGTTTTGTCTTTTCTACTCGCGGCGATTCAAAACGATTTGTCAAATCGCCGGACTCTTTTGCTCACACATTTCGGTAAATTTTAACAGTTTTAAGCTCAAGAAAAAAAAAACAAGAACCATTTGGTCAAAAGAATGGCTATTAAAGCGAGAAAGGTGTTCCCAAATCGATTTAATAAATGAATTTAAATTGACACCAGGTGACTGATATGATTACTTAAGAATGAAGCTGGTAACACCTTATATTATTAAACAGAATACCTATTTAAGAAAATCCATTTCTCCACATGAAAGACTAAATTTATATTATCTTGCCAGTGGTAGACGCTATGAAGGTTTAAAGTTTTCAGCGACAATTTCCCCACAGAAGAAAATAGACAATGCAAAATGTAAAACCTGCTTTGCTCCGTTTGTGTAAAAATAACCGACCGGTTTGAACGCAAATTTGAAACACATCAGTTTGCACCGCCAACTGACGAATCGCGACGATTAGATCCGACAAAACAAACCAAAGGCTGTGGGGGGCTTAAGGTACAATTCCAAAGTTTCTTGTTTTCTCTGTCAATGGTCTGGAATACAGCACTCGCACCCCTAGGGCAAGGCAGACAATCCAAGTTATCATTCGAATTTTAAGCTCTATGGAGAGATCCACCAAACATCAGATATTAAGTATACTATTAAAGTGTTGAGAAAAAAAAAGTCGAAAAGTCTAGAGTGCCAAAAAGATAAAAATTATAGATCCTACAGGAAACTATTATTAACATGATATGATCGCACGATTTTTAGGGGACGAATATTATTTTTCATTGAATATAACAACAGGACACCGACCGAAATATTTCGCTTTTAAACAATGTAAAAAGTATAGCAATGCGAACTGTACCAGTATGTAAATAGCAAATAATACAGTTTTTTTTTATAGTGTTTGGTATTTTTTATCTACATGTTATTTTACAATTATTGAAATTTTGAAAAATATGAGAACAGTCTCAATACTATAAAATATAAGTGTAGATGTGGGCAATTTTATTGAGGTATTCACGCTTTTTAACTATAAAATCTAATATTGTATATTTTGAAAAAAAGCTTCGTAAAAAAATGCCACATAAACAAAAAACTGTCGGGTTGACGATCAGCGGCCTCGATGGTTGATGAATGCCGTAAGGTCGTATTGATGGAAAGCGGGATTTGAAATGACTCACCTTATTAGTTAAAGACCAGTTTTGAAACTAGTCGCCCATACATACAGAACTTCCTATCTCGACATTTTTGATATTGTCTAGTAGCATATCTAGTAGCTATATAGTTTGAATCTTTAGATATGCGTTTAACCAACTACCATAGCATCCAAAATTCCAAATACCAGATGAACTAATAGAGATAAATAAATACTAAACCTGATAAATGTCAGAGAAATATCGCAATCAGGAGTTTATGAATTTGGAAACTGGCAGGAGGCTACTTTCGAAAAATTATGGTTTCGGCCAAATTATTGAAAGTTTAAGTATTAATAAGCAAAATCACATTTTAGATTTTATTTTTTTGCTTTTGTAGAAAGTTTATCGTGTGTATCCTGTTTGAATATGGAACTTTGCCCAAGTCTGTGCACAAGCCAAGAGCGAGCAATTCAAGTCATAAAAATTTTTGAACAAAATACTAGTTGAACACAAGTCGTAGAGAATACAGAGTATGAGAGATTGTTTTATATTATTTCTTAATTTTTCTATTTGTTCGAGTTTTTTGAGGGCAAATCGTTTGTTGACGAGTATTTTTTGAATTCAAATTTTGACGATGTCAATCTTGTGTATGTGGAACTGAACACCATTGAACTCGGTCTCTACTAATAATTTCATGTTTTTTTATTGCGAGTTGCAGATAGAAACTAAGTAGCTTAAACCGCGCCGTTCGCAACGTAACGGTTCTTTACAAAGCATCATCAATCCACATGTCGTCGAAGCAAGTCCCGGTATTTTTATTTCAAAACTAATTTTTATTTCTTACAGTTTTTAACTGTGTCACGTAGCGGCGGTAGCGTTCAATGGTTAAGTTGTTCCCGCAGAGTATAGAATTTTTTGTACAAATTGGCAATAAAAGCATACCATACCAAGAAAACGAAGGAATTTTATGGAACTTTAGCCAAAGAAGACATGTACACCGGTAAAGAAACTAAATGCTCTTTCGAATCCCAGCGCACACCCCAACAAAACCATTTACTCATATTGCATATTACATGATTTGATTTTGTTTTGCAAATAAATAAATATTGTTAGTATTGTATTGTATTGTATGTAATAAATATCGTTATACTATGTTTTTCTACTCCCGTCTGTAAAATATCTATTACCGCACTTGTTGCATAATAATACTGAATATCGACAGTATACAACTGATCCATATCGTCACAAAAATTTAAAACATAAATAGTATATTATGCAACAAGTGCGTTAAACGGCATTTCACTCACGAGTTTATTTGTCACGAGCGGAGCGAGTGTTTAATAAACGAGTGACTTAAAAAGTTTACTGAACGTACCGCACGCTAGATCGTGTGTGTGTAATTAGGTATTTTACAGACGGGGTAGAAAAATATATTTTATAAACGACACTTATAAGTTTGTTTTGGCACTAGCAGAGCGCAGTTGATCGAATATTAAGGTGTCTGAAAAAGTTTATAAACGTGTTGCATTCTTCACTTTTTCATCGAACATAATACATGTATGACGTACAATATGACCATCAGAAATGACCTGTGAGTAAAGTACTGGATGGGTCGGCGTGTGCAAAGTGATATTACGCACGCCTGAGCAATGGTATTTTAGAATATTAAAAGAAATTAAATATTTTCCCTTTTTTCCAGAAATAAAATACATCGCTCTCTTTCTATGGTAAAATTTGCCTCATGCTATCACTTAAGATCGAGTTCACTACCAATTGGTGTGCAAAATAATTATAAATATAAGCTTTTTTTTGCAAACATTTATAGAACATTGCAAAACAACTCTAATAAATTCACTGTATGACGTGCAATGTGACCATCAGAAACAATCCGAAGTACTGGACGGGGCTAAATTAAATATTTTCACTTTTTTCCAGAAAGAAAATAAATCGCTTTCTTTTTCTATTGCAAAATTTGAGACTGAAAATACTCTGTTTACATATTGTTATTTCTTTTCTTTCTGTCACCCACGTGTATTCTATAATCCATGTCCCTGATGACGTGTTTTGCATTATTTTAATAGGAATTTTAGGTTAGTTGTATAGAAATATTTAAATATCCATTTTTTTTATAAAAATGGTTTTTACGTTATGGAATTTAGTTGAAGCTTCCATTTTATGTCTAAATGCAGTATGTATTTTGAATGAGGAACGGTTTCTTAATAAAGGTAAGCTAAAAACAATGATTTATGAGAGGCCTTTTAAACATATTTTTGCAGTGGGATGGGGCACATCAAGTTCGAACGTGCATGGATTTGGAGAAAGTGCGACAACCAGATCGCAAATATTCAATTTACTGCATTCAATTCGAACAGTTGTTCGAGGTGAGTACTTTAACAAGGTACATTTTTCTGTTCTGTTTATTAACTAATGACATTTTCAGTTCCTCTAATTTTTCTCAATATGCTAGCGATCGTATTAAAACTGATACTTGGATGACTCAAACCAGAACCCTGCGTGCGCTTTTAAATGGTTTATAATAGAAAGTAAGTAGGTTATAAGTAAAATATTCATCTGTAAATAAAAACTGCTTCTCATAAGATTTTTTTTATATTTGTATTTTAAGTGGAACCTAAATAGAGATCATTAAACAAATAAATACATTAGATTTTTTTATACTGAAGGTAGTTTATTAACCTACTTACAAAGCAAAAATAATTTTAAAAAAATGTAGGTTATAAAAAAATTTATTAACAAAAATATCATTTGCAAAAATACAGTAGACTTAGATCAATAAAACAAAATCTATTCCTCTGTTAAAGTTTCCGGCACAGTATGGACAATAACTTTTCGCTTAGCATCAAAACTGAAGTGATTGCTTTCAAAAATTCTGCTCTGATAAAATGGCTTCAGGTCATGGATGTCAATTTGCTTTGCCTGAAAATTTAATTAATCAGGAAATCATTACACAAATATTAATCCACACTACTTACTTTGTCGATGAGATCCTTCTCATCAATTTCTATAGTTAAAACTTCAGTATCATTTGTAGCCCGTTGAAATGTGAGTTGGTCCTGCACCAACTGTCTCAAAATATAAAATAGCAATTCACTATGGTCTTTCTTGTACAACAAATACCTTTGGAACACCTAAAACAGATAAATCAAATGTTTGTAGAATTGTGTATAATTATTAACAATGACCTTAATCATTAATATTGACCTTACCTGTCTCATAGACTTCATGACACTGTACTTTTGAGTTTCAACAAAACTCTCTAACACCATCCTTACCGCCATATTCACATCTTCTTCCTGAACATATTCTCGAAGGTGCATCCTGGCATATGCCTCGCTCATGCGAATAATACTTTCAATATGACGAACAGTTATCGGGAGACTGCCAGTTGCCTAGCAATAAGATATTTAAAATTTTAAAAGCACAAAGTACAAGGTTGTTCACATACTAAAGATTCCTGTCTCAGCTGGCTATATATATTTGCTACCTTGTCTTGATTCATGTTTTGCAATTTCGGATGTATGTTTTGCCTAGCATAAACAATATATTTTTTTAACATCTCCTGAGGCACTTGCATTTCATTCATTTCAGTCTCTTCATCATCACCCTTCTTTGAAGGGTGATGTCGAATATGTGAATCCACTACAAACCTAAAAATGTAGTTTAGGTAATTAACTAGGACTTACGATCTACTACTATCTTTGCCACACAGTAAAAACGATAAATACCTGGCCAAATGTTCATCTTGTATTGGATCAACTTCATCTCTTACGACACAAAGTATATCAAAACGTGATAAAATTGGATCTGTCAAATTGACATTCTCTGCAAATGTCATACTCGCATCATAACGGCCCCCTATGGGATTAGCGGCTGCAATCACTGAACATCTTGCCTGCAAACTAGTCACAATGCCCGCTTTTGATATTGAAATTGATTGCTGCTCCATTGCCTCATGAATTGATGTTCGATCTTGGTCATTCATCTATGACAATAGAAGAACCTTTTTGTATAAGTATAACATTATATCAATTATCTTTACCTTATCAAACTCATCAATCAAACATACACCTTGATCTGCTAATACTAAGGCACCAGCTTCGAGAGTCCATTCTTTGGACACAGGATTTTTATGAATGTATGCTGTTAAACCAACAGCGCTAGCCCCTTGTCCAGTGGTAAATATCGCTCTAGGAGCAATTTTTTCCACAAATTTTAAGAATTGAGACTTGGCTGTACCTGGATCTCCACATATCAATACATTTATATCACCACGAATTTTATGTTTTTGACCTAGAAAATATATACAAGGTGTTTCAAAACAAATGTAAAAAACTTTAAAGAATTCCTTGTTTAAAATAAAGGCTTGTTTGTTATTAAGGTTACATTGTTTAAATAAAATGTTTTATAAAGAAAGTATTTTTTTATATTTTATCCCTGAATAAATCAAACACTTTCAGAAATATTCATTAATAAATTATTTTTAAAATGTAATTGTTTAGGATATAATAGATACATATTGGTACAAAGCACAACAGTTTTTCTAAAATATAGTTTCTTTTTTAACTTGCACTGCTTTACATTATATTTTTTATTTAGAAACTGGAAGTTTTATGAACAAATTGCAGGAAACGAAAAAGTTTCTAAATCAAAACATAAAATAAAAATAGATTTGTTGTCATTGCATGTTTTTTTTTTTAATTAAATTAAATTTAAGAATGATGGTCTAATTGAATCCCATCCACTTATTTTAAAAAAAGTATGTTTTTAGTATAGTAATCCTTCCCTAATATTTACTTGTTCTACCTAATTTTCTTTTTTAAGATATTTGTAGCGCAATATCTCCCTAATGCTAGGCTTTTGAGTCAACTTTTATATAAAAACTAACCTTCATTTTAAAAAATCACCCCCTTAAGTTTTTCTCATTTTTTTTTAAACACTCTGTATAAGAGCACTTCTCATAATTGCCAATATGTACATACCAGGATTTTTTGGTTCCCCGCCAAATAAAGACAAAGCCAACCCTCTTTTAATATAGTCATGTCCATATATGGAGGGCGCAATGGACGCAATTATTCGGTCCGCTATTCTGTGATCTTTACTCATTTTAATAATAGCACTAATGTCATCATCGGTCAGAGACTGTACAATCTGCTTGCAGTCCTTAACAACCAAATGATTAGCAAAAATAACAGTAGAAAACACAGGAAACCCATTATCAACATTAAGGGAGCCATCATAAGTATTGGTGTAAATTCCAGTTATGTCAACTTCATCCCCAGGTTTGCAACGGTCACAAAGATCTGCTAGAAGAATGCAGTCTTTTGAACGTGGCACTCTACCAGCTGGTATACGACCCGGGGATTCTTGAAGTGTTATTTTCTGGTAGTTTCGATACAAGGTTTGTTCCATATTAATCTACAAATAAAACTACAAATGTGAAGAACAAGAACAGCATAATAGACAGATAATTACAGTAAAAGGTCCGCTGCTTTGGCACTCAGGACATGCACCAGGTTGAACCTCCTGGTCTTGTGTTTGAGGAAAAGGTCCTAATATGAACCCACACTTAGTACAGTCAAATTTCACAACAGAAAGCTGAGGCAATACACCAGTTGTCGCTGTGACTACTCCCAAAGTCCTCACTAATTGGTTAACATGCAATTTTCTAAAATTTTACCATCAAATCTTTTTTCAAGGGCAAATACAAAATAATTTTAAAGAATAAACCCAAATCTAATTGGTTCCTACCTAAAAGTTCGCAACTCTTCTATTAAAGGTAAACCTGAAATTCTAATGTGAATTTCATTTGTAACTCTGTTGTAACTTGGATACATGGAAAGAACAATATCCTTTGCTACTTCGTCAAAAATTTCCAGCATTTGGAAAGGTGCTTCAGGTAAAAAGTAAGCTAACACATGCTCCTTGTTTGCTAGATTTGGAAATTCAACAGTAAAGCTGGATTGGTTATTTTCACACATTCTCCTTATTTTTTCTTTATAGATGTATTGTCCTCGACTATTGACATAGGTTCTCAAGAAGTTTTTGAATCTATTGGCAATTTCCGTTCTAGGACCCATCATCACAACCCAATCTTTTATTGTATAACCCTTGGTGTCTTCCAAATTTTCGATTGACTCAATCATTTCTTCATCATCTATTACACCAGTGGCAGCCTTTTCTGCCTGTTTTCTTCTTTGCCTTGGATCATCCTCATCATCTCTATCATAAAACAATTCTCTATCATCTCTTCTCAAAATGCCCATCTCACGATCTCTTCTCCGCATTTCTTCTTCTGCTGCCACACGGGCATCAATTGACATAGCATCATAGTCCTCGTCATCCAATATCCGCTCATCGTAATGATCCAAATGTGGCATAGGACGATAATCACTAAAAAAATCCTATTCCAGCAACAAAAATATTGATAGAAGGATAATATACTTTTCCATGTTATCTCCAAACAATTCTTCTCCATCCTCCTCCTCCATATTCACATTGAGATCTTCATCTCCTAGTAATGCTTCATCTTCAAAGGGTTCTCTTGGAGAGGCCGGGGGTGATTCTTCTAAGGGCTAAATTTCATTTGTAACCACAAGGTTTTTTAATAATGATGTATAATACTTACAGTTCCGGGCATTTTATATAGTTGTAGCCAACAGTAATTGTTATTACTCAAAACAAACAAAAAATACAAAACAGTGCACAGCAAATGTTTCCCACCAAGGTCTCTAATCGTGTTTACCGATCTTAATTTTTGGCGCGAAATAAAATGTCATTACGCAAAAAAAGGGTTAGCGCCGCTTTTCTTCTTCTAAAAGTTTTTGACATATCCTTGCCACAATTGGCAAAATCAACTTTTCACAAATTTTATAAGAATATTTTTTTTTGACATAGGTAATAAATAATTGATAATATTTAATTGTAATATATAAAAATATAACGTGGTTACAACGATGGCCAATAGAAGATATAAAATGGCCAGTTATTAAATGTTTTGTTATTAAATTCTTATTACTTACAATTACAATAAGCCGCTTAAGTCTATCGAATATCTAAATTAGAGCTTATATTATTGTATTTTCCTTAAAACTTTGACGCTTTGTGCTCCTCGTGCTTTTTCTGACTACTGTAGTTTGGCTGTCGTCTAATATTTTTGGACAGATGTCACTATGTGTGGCCGAATGAATGAATTGACTAGTAAACAAAAAAATGCATACATGGAAGTTAAAGTTATCTATTATAGTTTATACTGTGGGATAAAAAAATTTGGTTAATATGATAGGCTGATATATTAATTATAATTTACAATAAGCTATTTTAGAAGGTATAACCTAATTAAATTGTTCTTCTAATCATGTCTGTATTAAGCCCATTTGTGTACTGGGCACAGAATGAAGAGCACATATTTCTTAAAGTTGATCTTAAAGACACTAAGGTAGCAAATTTAAAATTTCAACAATATTTACAGATTATTTTAAGCTGTTCTTGTAGAATCCCTATGTAAAATGTAATGATCGCAATATAGATTTTAAAGCAAATGGTACCGGCGCCCAAGGAGTGAACAACTATAATTTCAATTTATCTTTATTTGAAAATATTCAAACAGCAGTATGTGAGGTAAAAGTGAATGATTATTCAGTTAACTTAAAAGTAACCAAAATGAAAAAGGCATGGTGGCCCAGATTGATGTCGACACCTCAGAAACCTAGTTGGTTAAAGATTGATTTTGATAAGTGGCAAACTGAAGACGATTTGTTAGATGAATTAAATGATGTGCGTCATGATTATCCTGATCTTTACAATATGCTTCAAAAACAAGAAATGGGTTACATTAGAGGTACTATTTATTTTCATTGATGATTTATTATGAATTTTAATACCCATTTGAATTTTAGAAGACTTTAAGAGGGTGTATCTATCAATTTATAATTTGTTTATGTTTGTTGGCTATATGTACATACTGAGCGTACTGTGTATGAGGTATATTAAAGATGGCCCAAACTTTTTCCCTGAAACATATGATACAATTGGAAAAGCAATGTGTTTTATACAATTACTTCAAGTACTAGAAGTGATGCATCCTTTATTTGGATATGTCAAAGGAGGAATAATGATGCCATTTATGCAAGTGGTGGGCAGACTTTTTGTGCTTTTTGCCATGGTGGAATGTGAACCAAGAATCCAAAAGATGCCAGTTGTCTTCTACTTGCTTTTAGTGTGGTCATCGATAGAAGTTATAAGGTGAATACATAATAAATTTCGTTATAAAATTAACAAAATGGTCATCTATAAATAAAAAGTGGAAGTAAAAGTTAGATTTAAAGTAAAAAAATAATATTTGATTTCAGATATCCATATTACATGACCCAATTGATCAACAAAGAACAGTATCTTTTGACATGGTTGAGGTATAGTGCTTGGATTATATTATATCCTCTTGGATTTGTATGCGAGGCTATGATTATATTTAGAAACATGATATATGTTCATTCTAGTCACAAGTGGTCAGTAACTATGCCAAATTCATTGAATTTCACATTTGATTTTCTTCTTTTCTTAAGAATCTATTTGCTTTTGGTGCTGTTTCCTGGAATATACACTTTAATGAGGCATATGTACAATGCTAGAATTAAAAAATTAGGAGGCAAGGAACCTTTCTTAAAAAATATTTCCAAGAAATTTATCTGATGTAGACCAGCCTATCTGTTTTTAAAGTTTTGTTGAACAATTAAATATATGTACATCACAAAATTCAAGTACATTTTTTTCATGGGACTTGTTTGTCATAATTGTTTAAAATTTCTCTGGTTATCCAGCCTTGATCAATTTCATTGTCTCCCAAAAAAAAACAATCATGGGAATTTTAAAACTTTATTTCTTGTATTTTAAAGCTTTATAATAAAAAAATAATTTAGATTAATAAACTATGTACAGAAGTAATTAGCAGATTAGGTACCTTATTAGTATGATTAGTGGTGTCACTTTGCATCTAAAATATATTGAGGTAGAGATCACATTTTCAAAAACCTATGAAAAGAGTGTTTTTTATATAGTTTATAATAAAGGAAGACTTAACTGGAAAATCATTGCCATCACGCATTATATGATGAGCAGTAGGGAGAGTTCATAAATATTGAGATGCATTTGTGTCTAATAAAGTTCTTAACAATTTTTTGGTAAAATACACTGTTGCAATCTTGTTTGGCATCATAGGAAAGCTTTGTTAAATAAATAATTATAATATTCATTTTTCACTTTTTACTTTTTTTTGTGTAAGAGTGCCTGTGATTAATGGAGCAAAAGCTCATTCAGCATTGAAAGTCCTAGAGGACTTCAAGAATAAACAGTAATTTTGTCTAGAATAGTTCACTTTTAAAGCAAGTTTCTGTTTATTTATTTGTTGAGTTATTATTGACTTGATTTGAATAAATAGTATTTATGTTATTTTTTCTCCTTTTGATAATTTACAAATAAGTGAATTCACTTTCAAAGTAAGAAATTATTCCAGAAAGTACTGTTTTTTTTTGCATAGGTAGATGAAATTCTTGAAACAGTGGTAGTAGGGTAAGATGTGGAAATCTATGAGACATGGTGTTTATAATTATTTTTTCAGCAAACAACACAATCCTTTAAAGAGCAAAATGTTATATGTTCACAAATCAGCCTTACTTTCATGATACAGTAGTATGGACAGTATATCTGATTTAGGCTGAAAGGTGTTTATTTCTCAGTACTATTATTCTTATGATATATCCATAGGTGTCAAATATATTTCTTTTCAACTATTGATGGTGACAATTACAGACGAGTAAAGATCTCTTCCGTACCTAATCTCATTTTTTACATAACACTTTTGAGATTCCATAAAATTTGAAATCTAGGTTAATTTGTAACAAATGTGCAATGTATTTCTAGCAAGAAACACAACTGGTTTGGAATATCTGAACGGAACTGAAGACGGGAGTAATAAAAATACTTTTTTATGCTTTCAGTCTGATTATGCCTGTTCCTTTCAAAAAAATGAGTTTGGCACTCATGATTGACACTGGTAAGAACTACCAAAGGGGTTATTAATTTGCACCAACACACTAGTTTCAAAAAGTAATTGAATTCCTATATGACAGGTTCTTTTACTGGTGCAACATATATATGACAGGTTAAAAACCCTACAAAATAAATAAAACGTTTGTCATAAATAGGCAATCGTAGATATCTAACCTAAGAATAAAACGTTAAAACAGATGTCTGATTCCCGCGCACCAACAAAGTTGGAGGCATATCTCTTGTGAGAAGTTCTAGCCATGCTAAATATAAAGGTGCGGACACAATACTTTTTCTAGGAATAGGCAAGGTAATCACTACCATAGTCGCCTCGTGGGAGTGACTTAGCAGTAATTCTCTTAACCGCATGTGACGATTCGTCTTGTCCTTTACGGCCATTAGTTCCGCGTCGCTGATGTAAACTAAGAAAATAATCGATATATAACTTATACCACGGCTTAAATATAAACTTACGCGTATCTTCAGAGTTCTGTCGAAAATTGGCTATCAAATTGGTAAAAAATGATTGTGTTCCTTCTGAAGGGGGTGATATGATATCTGGTACTATTTGCAAATCAGAGTATTCTATCCTAAATTTAGCTAACATGCTGGCCATGTTCCTGTGCTCCATTTCCAACTCTTCCCGTTTATTGGCTAATGCAAATACTCTCAACTTGCAGTTTATGAAGTTTCTTCTTGTGGTGATTATATAAGGCAAAAGCAGTGTTAAACCTATAAGAATTATATCTCAGCTCAACCAGATTGCTCTAATGCTACCAGAATTTACCTCCATCATCATACAACCACCACACGTCTATAGTGCCTGTACGTTTAGGTCTTCTTTGAAAGAACAAATTTCCTAGAACATGGTCTGATTGACCTTCCGAAGCCAAATCTGCAGCAGATTCGGTGACGGAATGTTTGCCTCTGCTGCCAATTTTGCCATCTTCCATGTTGGGAGCTACACTTACTTTGTCTTCTATGTTTGCTAAAGACTGTTCACTACCACTGCTACCTGTGAAAATTTATTTATGTAGGAAAAATAAAGTAGCTTTAGTAAGGATTATTTACCTTGGGATAATTGGCTGTATGACTGTGTTCGCAGAGTGAACCCTGGCATTTTTGAAGACACGGTATCGGAATCGTTCAAGCTTTTGTCCACATCTAGACCATCTGGAAGCCTCAATATTCCGAGTCCTAAATGTATTCCAAATGCTTCACTGAAATGGTATACACTTCACATGATGACCTTCGATTTTATTTCAAACTTACTGCAGTACTTCAAAATAATTTATCAATTCAATCCCTGGACAAGTTTGCCAATCGGTTTTGTAACCTATCAACAAAATATTCGGTTTTAACTTCCCGATTCCCGAAACACCCATTAAAGATTTAGCGCCTTCTTGCAGAGACACTCCGTCGACCTCTTGATAAAAGGCTTTCAATTTATGCGCTTTTATCCATTCGCTCGCCTTATAATTTAAAATATTTCTCGTTCTCTGGGACAGATGCTCCTACGAATTTAATTATTTCCTTTAGGTTTGAGATAATTAAAATGTTCAAACTGTGTGTGAGATAAAAATTTGTATATCGTATCTCTAAAGTTGCATATTAATATATTTTTAAAAAAACGAGTGAATTTTTTGTAATAGTTTTTATGAACCTCAAGATTTTTTTTACTTTTCTACAAAATTTTCTCTCTAAACTGCCTTGGACACAACTGGATTTGGATTTTGTATTATAGAGGGCACTAAAAAACCAATAAATATAATATGTAAAAGATATGTCCGCCGCTAGTAAATTCTTAATATATTTCAAGAACACTTTTCAAATAAATTTCGATAAATTGCCTGAATGACATTAAAAGTTATCGATACCCAGCTGCGTCCTTTAAGGGTCAGTCTCCAGGGAAATCTATATACATGCGATAGGTTGTAATTTCCTAGGCACCCTAGGGAAATGCGGTTTTCACGAACGTTGATTATATACAGTTCTGCGAAAATAATTATAGCTTGCCTACTCAGAAGCGTGCATATGAGAGGTAAGTTTCAGAGAAAGGGGCTGATTGAGGTAGTAAATTCGCTGATTTGAGAATTAAAAATAAGAAAAAAAAAGATATATTTGTATTTGTAAAAACTATTTTTTATTGTTATTTTTTTTAATAATAAAACAGAAATTAATAATAAATAATTGTATAGGTAAATTCATTAATATCACCAGTTCAATGTTTGCTCAATATCTTCCTACGAATTATTCCACTGCAACAAACTTATTTATATTAATTAATTTATTATATATATAAATAACTAAGATTTTATTAAGTTTTATATTTTTAAATATGCAAGACCGTTTAATTTTGTACGTAGCACCTGTATTAAATAAATTTAAATTTAAACTAACCAAAAATAATATCTCTGACGGCGAACATTCTATTTTTTTTTTCATAGTTTTGTGAATATTAAATAAACTATCACTGTCTATTTGTTTATTGATTATTGCTATGTTTATAACGAGTGAAGGTTCTCTGAATAGTAACCTCTAAGTAATATGTTGTAAAAAGTGTCAGTTACTGCAACTAACAATTTTTCAGTTACAATCAACCTAACACTCAAAGATTTTTTTCTTACTACTACATATTGACATAAGTTGAGATGTCCTGTTGGGTCGAACACGGTTACAAAATCCGCCTTCATCAAATGATCGTAATTTTTTTAGAAATTTCTAAGTCACTGCCATATATGAGAGGTATCTAAAAATGCAAAAATATTCAGTTTTCGCCTGAAAATATTCTTTTCTATTCCCTACTCTAAAATACCCAATTATACAGTCATAAGCTTACAGAAAGTGTCACTTTTAGAGGTCAACTTCGTTATACAAACGGATCGCGAGTCAATTAGGACATTTCCTGTACTTTAGTCACGCGGTTGGGACCGATTGGATGTTTTCGGTATTTTTTTTTGTTGTGGCATTTTTACTTTTGCCAATTCTGACCGCCACGTCACATGTCACCCAGGGAATGTATTCGTGCTGTTTTACAAAAATGTACTCAAAAATTGATAGTCGTAGAAATAATTTAGTATTCAACATTAAACTTCTTCAGTCGGTGCGGGACAGAAATGGCGTTTATCAAACTTGTAGTCGATTCAAAACTATCAAGTGCTCATGAAAACCGCATATTACCTTCTTTCTATAATGACAACCAATCAAGTTAAGAAAAGAAAAATGGGAAACATTGCTTTATACATACGGTAATTACATGCCCACATATCATTAATGAGAGGTTTTTGGTGATAATGTGTGCAAAATTAACCAGAGCTGGCCTGGAACTAGGCAAACCAACCAGAACCAAAATTTGGGGACGATAATTTTTAACATGCTCTTCGACCGACTCGAGTTGATGCACAGCTTGAAGCGCATTTTTATAAATTTGGGCTTGAGTTGTCGATCCCCAATTAACATCTAAAAATTAATTGTCACAAATGTTTGTAAATTTCGATGGTTTGCATCAGTTGTTGCTTACTTGGCTTTCTATAAGAAACGATTAGATATAGAGCTAAAATTACAGCTAGTGTAATTAAGGCAGTCCACCATGAAATCAAAAACATGACCACAACACACAGAACAGCACCTAGTAGACTCAGCCACATGTTATAATACTGCAAAATAGGCAACACACTTTAGTCATATTTAAAAAATTGGCCTTAATTTTGCAGCTTACCTTAAAAGTGGGTCTCCAGCCCACTGGCTTTGCCAATGAAGCATGGAAGGTGGAAAAGTTAATCAAGGTATAAGCCGCCAAAAAGAAATTTGAGATAAGGGGTGCGATCATATTTAGTTCCCCTATCAAAATAAATCCGATCGCAATAACGAAAGTTAGAATGTAACCCCGGATTGGTTCATTGTTGGCACCAAAACCTTTCCCAAAGAACTCTATAAATGGATATAATTTGTCTTTGCATAGTGCTTGAAATACTTTCGGGGCTGATACTAGTGAGGCTAAAGCTGAGGACAAGGTGGCTGCGAAACATCCAGCGTAAATAAGAGAACCTTCCCCAGATACTAGTTCAATAACCTAGAAGGAATTAGATTCTAACCAACATCTGTGATTACTTTAAAACTTACCTGGAAGCTATTGTGTAAACCATAGATATAAGACAAATTATCGCTTTTAGGATTAGGAAGATTCCCATTAAGATAATCATCTACATTTCCTGTTGCATCTCGAAGTACAGTACATCCGACTAATATCGCTATCACGATATAAGACATAGTAGTGATAAAAATAGCGAGCAGAGTACCCTTCGGGATGGCTTTTTGGGGATCCTATAAATGTAACGCTATTTATTTAAGAATAGAAACCTTTTCAAATGTACCTTTAAGTCTCCTGATATATTAGCACCGGCTAGTATACCTGTAGCAGCCGGGAAAAATACCGCAAAAACTTTGAAGAAATCATAACTGATATTTTCGTGGTCTCTGTAGTCTGGAAACATGTTAGTCCAAATCACAGTTTCTGAAAGCCAACTATTAGCAAAATTGGATTACCTACAATGTAGCCAAGTTACCGTTAAACCCCACAAAGCCTTTGGCTCGTTTTTCGTCGTTCCGCGGTCCCATAAAACATCCTATTAGAAAATCAAAAATGGCGACCAATAGTATAACAAGTAAAACCAATTGAGCCTAGAAGCAATTTATATTGTGTTGTTAAATAAATAAGTTGTGTTATATACAGACTGTTTCAAAATTCAGTACCTAGATCTATAGACATGTTTGTAAAGTTAAAATAGAACTGTTTTCTATAAAAGTGAAGATCTTTTGAAGCGCTATGGGTTACGTTTTAGTGCTTAAAGTTTCCATGCCGATTGATTATTAAAATGTACAGGGAGATTATTTTTGAGGTGGGACGCCCTCTTTTCTTCCATTGATTTTTTTACAAAATGAGTAGCAGCCGTATCTGCTGCCACCCTTGTGGAGAAAAAAATTGAAATCTTTTGATCTACGTTAATTTTAATTTTTTTTACGGAACAATTGGAAAAAGGGCATTTTGGTTTCATTTCATTCATTAGTGATATATATATATATATATATATATATATATATATATATATATATATATATATATATATATATATATATATATATATATATATATATATATATATATATATATATATATATATATATATATATATATATATATATATATATATATATATATATATATATATATATATATATATATATATATATATATATATATATATATATATATATATATATATATATATATATATATATATATATATATATATATATATTTCAAATCATTAGTGATATTTCGTATTATTGGAAAGTCGATTTATGTGCAATCGTTAATTTGAATTGCTTACAAAAGGAAGTTGAGTAGGTACTTTTACACGTTTCTTTACACACGGGATTTCTGCAAAATGGGATGCCCTATCCTTTACGGGCAATGTAATTAGATACAGTGTGGATTAGGAGAACGGGTCCAATCGCTTGGTCCCTCTCGTATTGCAATCCGCTATTTTTATGGGCGAACAGAACATAGTTTATATTGCAGAATTAAATATTAAGGCGTTCCAAATCTTTAAGCCCAGTAAACACGATCCAATTTCCACATGTATTTTTCGATGTAAATAAATAGTGTAACGTGTCTCCTATCAAATTGCAATATTTGACAGATAAAATTACCAACTATTTTTTTCAAAATTTGTGAGTGAAAATTGACCCAACGTCTTTGATTTCATAAAGTTATAATAATGTAAAAATAAAAAAAGTAGAAAGAGTGTTCAAGAAGCAAATGTAGAACCTTGCGATGTAGTTTTTGATAGTAGCTCCTAGAGATATAAGAAGCCCTGTCTATGCTGATAATACAGGAACTTATGAAGCAATTAAAAAAAAAGAGGAGGTTCATTCACATGCACATGCGATTTAAACCAAAGACCTTGCTGCATATATATGGCCTATATAAACGCTTATTCCTTCATCGCAAGTCTAGTGATTGCAGGTAAATTTTTCCCCCTAATATTATATAAAAAATGCGAAGTTAAAGTTTGTTTTAAAAAACTGTATTTTAAATTAGGCTTTAAATGTACGAGAACTGAATATGAATTAGTTTTAAAGAATACCAAAAATTAATATAATTCATAATAATAATATAATTAATTCAATGCACTTCAAACAAACATCCTCATTGTTGCTTGTTGATTGTTGTTTGATTTTTGCATAAACTTTAACAATCCACTTAAAACGACCGAACATTAAAAACGATGTAATATTAAGTGTCCAAAGTTAAAAATTCCTGCCACACCAAAAAATCGCCAGTTAATCTGTTATCTGTACATTTACATGTAAACATTGCATTCTGTCTACTGGGTTTAAGAAACACTCTTGCAACGCGTACGACACCCTGAGAAGTGAATTGTATCGCAGAAACAGGAAGGCATTAACAACACCTTTGATAGAAAACATGCCAAAAACTTTTATTTTTTAGGTTTGCTTTAAGGGAACTTGTAATTTAGATAAACAACGAATTGGCAACGTTTTTAGCTCATAATTTTTTTCCACTACGATGGCAGAGATGAATAATATTAGTACACACTGTAAAGTTCCTAAACAAAACCGAAAACTCATTTTTTATTTTAGAATCTACCGGCGCACCGCATTAAATTTCATAAAAAGTAACGTATGCTTCAATTTTGATCTAAATACCTAAAAACTTGCAAGAGCTTAAAGCAAGTGTGGTACTAAACAAAAATTCTTATTTCAACTTAAAAAATACGTCCCTAAAATCTGAGCACTGAATTTTGAAACACCCTATGGATTGCTTATTGTAAAATCGGCCGTATTATAATACGTATAGACTTTTTAATATGAATAGAAAATACTATTACCTCAAAAGCCTCGGCGTAATAATAATACTGATTTTACAATACAATATACGTACTTTAGCTTCCCACTCCATGCCAAAAACAACAATACCGGTCAAAACAACCAAAGTAATGCATCCAATAATTCGGACATCATTAATACCACCATCAACTATGGGCCGCCTAATCAAGTCTTGTAGAGATTCGCAGAAACCAACGACGTACATTGCGCAGGCCACCGCATTGGCCAGTGAGAATATCAAACCTATGGATCCGCCAAACTCTGGACCCAAGCTTCTAGATATCATGTAATAAGTTCCGCCTAAACATTTGGAATACGTAAGTAATTTAGGCACTCATAAAAAGGCAATAATTACCCCCTTTTATTACTCCGTTTGTGCTTATCGCAGACATTGACAAAGCTGTTATAGATGTAACTATTGTGGTTGTTAATATTAATAATATTGCCAAGCCTAAAATTGATTATGGTGAAATGGTTAAATATCGCGACATCCTTAGGGACCGCTGTATATATTAGTTTCTGAGTTGAGCTTCATACCAATTCCAGTCTGAGCTACCACCCAAGATAATCTGAGGAAGAGCATAACGCCCCAAATGTTCAAAAGACATCGCACCAGCACGCCCTGGATCCATCCAAATTTAATTTGACGTTCAGTTGTAATTATGCTGCCAGTTTGTTCATTTTTTGACGCCACTTCCTAAATTTATAGATAAAGTAGAGCTCACAAATTTCTTTTTCTATTTTTAAATTGCAAATCATAAAAAAAACTGGACCGTTTATTAACGAATTTATTGGAAAACAATTTTCTGGACTATGCAAAAATGGGTTTAAAGTCAAGACAATAATAAAAAAATATGTTTTTATACATTTTTCTCTAAAAATATCTTTCTTAATAATTAGCGTCGATACGATACACCAATGTCTTCTTGATAATTTAGTACTGTTTTGAAATATACAAATCAATACAAGAAAAAACCGTCGCAACTTTTGAAGTGGTGGACATTTTTGGAGATAATTAGCTAATTCTCAGTCGATGTACTCGGCAAATTTTAATTTCATTTGCATTTCCAAAGCCCTATAAATTTCTTGAGTGTAAAGGGAAAATTGTGATGACTCTTTCACATGGTATTTAAAAATTAAATAATTCAATGAACTTATAAGAATTATAATAATTATTTTCGTTTTGTTTAAATTCAAAATAAACAACATTTTAAAAACGTTCATCGGAACACAACAACATTATGGGATGGATATTTTTTAGTTTAGTTTAGTAACTTTGATAGTATTTTTTTCTCAACCGGTACTGGGAACATTTCTAGAAAGTGCCTTCTTCCTGCCACCAGACATTGATAAAGCAGAATCCTTTGAAACACCACCACAAACAAGAGCGGAAGACCCATTTTATATGTTCTTGTTAAATTAGATATCGTAGCTTAGACTTAGTAAATACCATATGAATATTGAAACTCACCTTGCCTAAAGTTGCGCTGTGAAGTTCCTCCAATGTTGGTCTGTTCGTGGCTTGAATCGACGTAACATTTCTATAATTGTCAATGCGGGGAAGAGCTTCTCTCGTAAGCCGTCTAAGAAAGTCACACTTTAATTTAACTCATCTTGAAGTGTAAAAACATCAGGTTTCTTTTTGGCGTCACCCTTTCACCATCTAGATCGTACATACCTTAAACTTTTGCTGTGATAATCCACATTCAACCTGGTTGTGTCACTGGTTGCGATATCGTCGTCTTCGCTATCATTTTCTTGATCCGGGTCAGTAGATCTTCCGTAATGGTCGTTAGTGCTTTCGGTTCTAACTCTGTTGACTTGAAAGCGCGTTCTTTTTTCCACAGACGGTTCCAACTCCTCAAGTTCCAGTGGTTCATCGGTGGCCATCATGGCTGGAAAATATCAGCAAAGAGTTGATCCAATTTCAATAACGACGTTAAAAGTGAGGCAAATATGGGAGCCAAATTTTCGGTAACAGATAATACTTTTTTGCAGGGAAAGGAATCTTGATATTTGTATTCTTGAGCCATCACATTAATGAATTAAAAAAAAATACGATGGACAAAATATTTCCTCGCGTATAACGCCTACGCTTCAGGGACGCTAAATTAATCGTGTAATTAATTGAACAATAGGAGCGTGATGCATAGAAAAATGCAGGAATTAACAATTAACCTCTATCAATGGTGGCCCATACCTTTAATGAGTCATAGCGTGGCGCTCGACTAGTATCTACAGTGCAGGGAAAACGCCCTCCATTGTGACATTTCGAAAAACAATCTAAGAGACAAGATTTTTTTTTTTTCAGTTTCGATATCGTATTTGATTGTTGTAACAGGAATGACTTAAAGTGGCATCAAAGCGAACACAATTCAACGCGAGATTTTGATTCAGATTTTATTTCTCTGTCCTCAATCAGAATCAAGCATACATAGAAGAGATAATAATTACGAAGACAAAATCGGCAAGAAACCAGGCCACAACTAGAAAAGTTCGGCATGGAAATTGTCATTTAATTTTTTACCGAAATCATATAATAATTATCAAGAACGGTAAGGATTTTTTATGGTCAATCCATGACAATAGTTTTGGGGAGGAGCGAGACGTTTTATGTGCCTGTATGTTTTATTAAATCAAGAATAGCAAAATCTGTCCACGAGAAACACGAAATTAACGCCGATATGTACCTATCACCATGCCGTTTTAAAGGCAGTTTAAAGTTCAAGCAGATGTAAAATTTCCATACAAAATCTTACTTTTAAAACACCCTGTATGCTTTACCTAAAATATATTAATATAAGTTTGCACGCTCTGAAAACAATTCATTCTTTGTTAAACAATGAACTTATAAATATCAAAACCTGAACAGAATTCCACCACCAACCAACCAACCACCAGATACTTCTGCTCATCCTCTATATGATGTAGTTAAATATATGGAGGGTTGAGAAAGGAGATCGTTGATCCGCCCAATTTAGCCTATGGAACTGTATTTAAATTAGGGTAACTCTATCTAAGTTTGTCTATTGCTCTAAAATTTGCAATATAAAATAAAATCAGCACTCTTTTTTTTAATATGCGCGTAATTCTCGACTACAAATTTAACTAAAAAACACAATGATAGACATCAGAATAGCAAAGTATGTCACAGGGATGTTTTATATAGAAAGCTTTACAGAGAGAAACTTCTTTAGTTTCTTTAAGTCCCTAGGAAAAAGTTCACTTTATGGTAACATTTTTGTTATTGCAAATAATCTATAGTTTTCATACATTTTCATACGGTCTACAAAAATAATGTGACGGAAAATTTTTAAAAATTTCCAATTTAGAAATAGTGATTGTTTATTATTATAAAAAAATAAATTACTATCAATGTAAGACATGATTTTGATATAAAATAAATGTTTAAACTTTAATATAAACGCACTATATTGATCAAATATTTTTTATAGGCACAATATTTTACCTCTATAGTTCAAATACACCTCAGAATCTTTATTGTTCATTATTTAAAAAATGCTTGTATTTTAACATAAAGATGTATTTCAACTTCTTATTTATTAATTTGATAGGAGTATCCCTAGAAACTGAACGTCAAATAACACATTTTTAAAAGAAATACAGCGTGCCATTCATTTAACAGATTGCAAACTATAGACTATCAATATATCAAAACTTTTAGCCCTTAACAATTATTGTACTCTTATTATTACGCATTGAATAACAAAACAAAACAAAAAATACAAAAGCTACAGGGTGAACCGTTTAATATTCAGAATAAATTTGCCTTGGTTCCCGCTCAACCGCGAAACATGTAGCCCTTAAAAGTTATCGAGTGTTGCACTCTTGTATGAACCGTTATTTTTAACTTGGAAATATATTATAAAGAAGTTATAATTCACAAAGTCTATTTGACTTACCTGACGAAAGCGTATCAATAAAAATTACGTTGCCTTTAGGCGTGTATGTGAAAATGCTTATACCGACGTTCGAACGAGATAACTAAAAATATATAAATATTTCCACGTGTTCGAAGAATTTTACGGTAGCTTTTTAGAACACCCGGCAAGTCTGTCCTCAATCGCCGATTTTAATCCTAACCGTCAACCCATCAGAGAGGCTATACAAGCGTTACAAAACAATTTTTCTTTCCGATAGGGCGGGTAGAAGGAACTCCGAACGTGTCTTTCATCGTGAATGTGTGGGGCGAACGGAGGTTTATATTCCGGTCGTACTGGGTGCAAAACTACTAAAGTTCAGACCACATATTGTCCGGGACAGCTGTTGAATTTCGTTTGAATATTTATGGATAGCGCGCGCAGTTTGCTTTCGTAGACTACCGTATATGTAGGTGCGTACAAGGCGAAAAATACCTAGTACTAACGTGATTGAAATTAATCAAATTTGGTAGTGACATTATTCCTAAGATTGTATTAAGCGCTATAATGACACAGTCAAGCGAAGGTTTACCTAAAATGACCTGATTATCTTGAAGTGGGGTATTAAAATGCCAGCCCAGCCATTAATTCGCACACCTTATCGTCATTTTCATTACAAAGGCAACACGTACTGGTTACCTGTGAATTTTACTACAAAAATATTTAGTGTTGCCGTACCCACGGCAGGTATTATGCTCCACTACTTTCTTTTATTCATTTATACAGCTATCCGTATTAAAAAGGATAAAGACCGCTCGGCACCAGAGGCGGCGATTAAAACCAATATGATGTAAAAGTTTACACATTCCGGACTTCCGTTTCTCGAGTTGGGTGTTGTCGTAGTAACTATATGGCGCCTTTTGAAAAGTTTGAATTCTACTTAAATAAACAAAGTAATTTTTTTTAATTAATTAATAAATTTAAAAATTTTAGACATAACACAGATAAAATTGATGGAATTCAGAAATTTTCTCAAAAATCATCGATTAATCACGAACTAAGGAATAATGTGCAATGTTTTTTAAATAAAAATAGAGAGTATCTAGACGCAACAAAATCCATGTAAATTTTATTCCTTTTTGGTCGGTGCGGTTTCACTCAGTGATATGATATTTGGGTGGCTTAATATAAGCCAAACTTGCAACTTTTCGACACCATATGTTCCATGGATGTACTTTGAGTGGAAACAACGGTAACTTTTAAATTTTAGATGGCACACCCTAATTTTTTTTATTTGCATTGCATGTCAACTTTTTTACCATAATAAAGTTTCTACTCGCATATGAGCTGGTCGAGAGCTTTTTCAACATTTTCCGTATATCACAAGCATATGAACTTTTTCTCCATTTTTAAGTTGATTTGTTTTTCACAATAATCGAAATCAATGCAAATTATCACAACCAAAATTTTCTTTTCATAAAATTGTATTTACTGATCTGGTTTTTTGTTTCCTTTGGGGTTATTTTTGAATGGTTTTTAGAAACGTTGGTTTGTACTTAATTAAAAAGAACTAGGTTATCCCAAGAAAAAATATTGGGTCATTACAATAAATGCTATTTGCCATTAGTAAAGAAAACTTTCATTTAAAACTTTACCTATTACAGAAAAGATTATAGCGTGTGTGCAGTATTTAAAATTCAAAATTGAATGTCGTTTCCACTCCTTGGACTTGTCTCAAAAAATTGCACGTTTGACATATCGTAAGCCACCCAAATTTATAAATCCCTGGGTTGAACTGTTTGGGAGTAGTTATAGAGAGTTCTTGTATCACCCGGTATATTAGGCCTAATATATGCTCGCATCACAATCAAATTTGCCCGGAAAAATTAATTATTTTAAACTTGTGGCTATATGGCTCACACGTGGATATTTTCCGGAATAGTCAATAATAAATCGAAAATATTCCCCAAATGTGTAATTAGGTGAAATAATGGCGAATCACAGATTTTACGCCATGGGTTTTGTGAATTGAGTTTGAATTAACTTTATTTTCAATGTTTTTCAATAAACATTTTTTATTGCTGAAAATTTTACCGTTAGTATATTAGAACAAAGATCTATTAAATTACGTTATCAGTATTTACAAAAGCAACTTTTTAATAGAGTAAAAGGATCTAAAATAATAAACTTAGGTCATAAAAATGTACGCCATTTAGTACGAACGAATTAGGTGATAAAGGGTGTTAATTATATAATGTAACTTATTTACTTTAATTAAGGAATGAATCCTTAATTAATTTAAAGTCAGAAATGTATTTTAGTTATACTGTTTACAAGACTTCTGCAAGTTCGACTCAGCAAAAACAGACGCAAAGCTTTTTACAACGCATATAATAACTTGTGGAAAAAAAATACATAATCCCAATACTAGAAACGAGAGAATAAAAGGTATACAGGTGTTCTCTAAAACTAATTTCTTCGCAATTCTCTTACATTTAGGGCTAATTTAGGATACACATTGAAATACAGGTTCTTTAAACAAAAAATTTTTATTGATTTATAAGAGTTCTTGACTTTTCGTACTTATATTTTGCAATACCTGGAGGTTGTTGTCCATTGCCATTTTTTACAATTTTAAGCTTAGAAGGCAAAATTTTCAAGTGCAATTACTAGACTTGCGATGAACGAATGAGCGTTCTCTCGATTGGCGGTTCTGCAGTTGCTTCTTGAACACTTTTTTTACTTATACTTACTTTTAAGAATCACCTTTCGTGATTTCAACTTTATTTATATTAAAATAAATAAGAACTAAAAGTTCAGATTTTCACGGAATTATATATTATGATATGACAATTGTTTCGACAACACCGTGTCTTTATTAAATGTAATATTTACAAACTACCTGCCACTATATATACCGAGAAATGACCACAAAACCTTAATTAATGTTGTTGCGAGAATTTAAGTTCAATAAAGGAGAGGTATTTAAATCTAATTTATCGTTAAGCAATACATTTGAATGTCTCATTTTGTTAACCTCCATGGCTTCCAATAAATTTAATTTTCTACTTTTTGTGGCTGTGTGTAATATATCAAAATTGTCGTCAAAAATGTGTTTTTCCGTGTTTAAGTGTGTAGCATAATTAGAATCTAATGCGTTTCTTGAAGGATCTACCTGTTTGTCCAATATAAATTTTAGGACAAGAAACACATTTCAACCTGTATACACCTGATTTTTGGGATTTTGGACATTTCGATTTATTGTTTTTTAAATATTTTCCTATTGTGTTGTTAGTTCTGAAAGCTATTTTTAAACCACATTTTGACAAATGTTTTGAAACTTTTTCGCTAGGTTCTCCTATGTATGTAATTGTTTTAAATTGTTCGTGTTCTGTATTTGTTTTCGGATAAATAGAGTTTACTGTATGTCTGTATTTGTTTTTTATTTATAATTTTATCTATAATGGACGGATTGTAGCCGTTGTTCAGTGCTATTTGTTTAATGATATTAAGTTATTTGTTCTAATTTTCTGTTGAGAGTGGAGTATTAAGAAGTCTGTGTATAAAAGAGTTAAATGCAGCCATTTTGTGTGTATAAGGGTGATTTGACCTGTTATGTATGACTGTGTCCGTGTGTGAAGGTTTATGATAAATTGAAAAATCTAATTTGTTTTGCGCTTTCGTAATAGTTAAGTCTAAAAAATTAATAGAGTTATCCTGTTCAATCTCGATAGTAAATTTTGTACGATTATGTATTGAGTTAATGTAATTTAAAAAAGAATTCAATTTGTCTGTCCGTTTCAACAAAGCAAGCAAAGACATCGTCCACATATCTATACCACCATAAAAAACTTTTACTTAAAGGATGTTCTAGTATGATATTTTCCAAATTATCCATAAAAATCTCGGCTAACAAAGGACTAAGTGGGTTTCCCATAATCAAACCTTCTTTAGAGATATAAATCTGTCCATTAAATTCAAAATAATTTTGGTCTAAAGATACTGTTAAGCAATCTAATAAGTCTTGTCTCACCAATGGGTTAACCTGTTTCCGAGTTAGGGTAAAATCTACTAAATTTATCATATCCATTGGTGGAATACTGGGAGATAAGTTTTGTACATCAAAAGACAATAGTGTTGCGTTAGAAGGGATTTTGATATCTTTAATTTTGTTGATTAATTCAAAAGAATATTTTATTCCAAATTTTGGTTTAAAATCTGTGTGGAGCTTTAAAATATTTACTAATTTTGTAGAGAGTTTAACTGCTGGAGATGTTACATAAGACACCACTGGTCTTCTAATGGGCATATCTTGTTTATGTAATTTAACTAAAGAATATAATTTAGGCGGTTGTGGATTCATAATTGTTAAAAAATATTTGTCTTTGTCACTAAATAGTGTGGAGTTAGTAATTACTTCTGTGACTTGTCTTTGATATAACTCTGTAGGATCGTGTTTGATACTGGTTTAATATTTTTTAACAATTATGAATCCACAACCGCCGAAATTATATTCTTTAGTTAAATCACATAAACAAGATATGCCCATTAGACCAGTCGTTTCTTATGTAACTGCTCCAGCAGTTAAACTCTCTACAAAATTAGTAAATATTTTAAAGCTCCACACAGATTTTAAACCAAAATTTGCAATAAAAAATTCTTTTGAATTAATCAACAAAATTAAAGATATCAAAATCCCTTCTAACGCAACACTATTGTCTTTTGATGTACAAAACTTATCTCCCAGTATTCCACCAATGGATGTGATAAATTTAGTAGATTTTACCATAACTCGGAAACAGGTTAACCCATTGGTGAAACAAGATTTATTAGATTGCTTAATAGTATCTTTAGACCAAAATTATTTTGAATTTAATGGACAGATTTATATCTCTAAAGAAGGTTTGATTATGGGAAACCCACTTAGTCCTTTGTTAGCCGAGATTTTTATGGATAATTTGGAAAATATCATACTAGAACATCCTTTAAGTAAAAGGTTTTTATGGTGGTATAGATATGTGGACGATGTCTTTGCTTGCTTTGTTGGAACGGACAGACAATTGAATTCTTTTTTAAATTACATTAACTCAATACATAATCGTATAAAATTCACTATCGAGATTGAACAGGATAACTCTATTAATTTTTTAGACTTAACTATTACGAAAGTGCAAAACAAATTAGATTTTTCAATATATCATACACCTTCACACACGGAAACAGTCATACATAACAGGTCAAATCACCCTTATACACACAAAATGGCTGCATTTAACTCTTTTATACACAGACTTCTTAATATGCCACTCTCAACAGGAGATTACAACAAAGAACTTAATATCATTAAACAAATAGCACTGAACAACGGCTACAATCCGTCCATTATAGATAAGATTATAAATAAAAAACAAATACAGACAACAGTAAACTCTATTTATCCGAAACCAAATACAGAACACGAACAATTTAAAACAATTACATACATAGGAGACCCTAGTGAAAAAGTTTCAAAACATTTATCAAAATGTGGTTTAAAAATAACTTTCAGAACTAACAACACAATAGGAAAATATTTAAAAAACAATAAATCGAAATGTCCAAAATCCCAAATATCAGGTGTCTACAGGTTGAAATGTGGATCTTGTCCTAAAATTTATATTGGACAAACAGGTAGATCCTTCAAGAAACGCATTAACGAACATATAAGAGCGTTTAAAAACAATAGTCTAGATTCTAATTATGCTACACACTTAAACACAGAAAAACACATTTTTGACGACAATTTAGATATATTACACACAGCCACAAAAAGTAGAAAATTAAATTTATTGGAAGCCATGGAGATTAACAAAATGAGACATTCAAATGTATAGCTGGTAATTTTATATGCCAAATTTCTTGCAAAACGTGTACTCCTTATAATATCACCACTTATCAAAGGAAACCAACCACACAGAACTATATTTACTAGCTGTTTCAAATAAAAGGAGAAACAAAATAACCAAATAAAAGTTGGGATGTTAATAATATTCTTTTTAGTTTAACTAATTGTTTCGGTAAGCATTTTTCCAAGTATGTATAGGTATAATAAAACTCTGAATACAAGGAAATGTTTATTTTATTTTTGGTAAAACAAATGTGTTTATCTTCTTTAAAACTTCGACAATATCAACATTAAGATCAAAAAATTCTGGCATTAACACTTGAACAACATCGCCTGGATATGACAAACTTCCTTCAGTAGCACAATATAAGGTTTTGATTGATTTAAACATGCTTTTCACAAAAGACAAATCACTATTAGGAATATAAAACACAGTCACCCCGGCTGCAAAATGAACTTCTTCAAATCCAGTTGCTAATATACACCACAAACTTGCCATAAACTGTGTATGGAAAGGAACATTGAGAAAAATAATGTTTTTTTTGGAGGATAATGCACTATTGACAGCTGAAAAAATTTTTCTTTGTGTTTGATAACAGATGTTTACATCATATTTTTTTATATTTATAACCACATTATGTTGTTGTAAATAACTTTGACATAAGTTGTGCAGACACTGATCTTCAGTGCTATGCCCCCTGGAGTATTTGTAAAGGTTTTCCAAAAATTCGAAAGATGCAAATTTCGAAAACTGAACTTTTTGAATTTGCCTGCCATGTTTAAGTTCCACAAAATTATTGAGCAATTCCTTATTAAATGTAACTACTCCTTTATTTAAATAAGACATACTCTCACACTCATCAATTTTTCTTTTCTTTTCATATACATTCAGATAAGATACTAAATTTTTATGGCCTGGTATTGTTTTTAATTTAAATCTTTTGATGTAATACTTGGCAACACCATGTCTTAGTTTCTGTAACACTGTTCTTTCAAATACATCAGGATTATGAAAGTAATAAATGTTATCTTTAATTGTCATTGCTTGTCTATCAATAAAGAAATATGAACAGCACCTAAGCAATTGCAAACGAAAGCAATGTGGAATTTCTCCTATGGAAAACATTGATGTGGTCTTATTAAATTCACCTTTCTGTAATTGTTGCAGTAAACAGTTCCATAGAGGAGTAACCAATTCAAAGCCAAGGTATTCATAGCATATAACATATAACTCAGAATTTCCACTTTTTGAAGTGCAAGGTTTGAATACAAATACTTTTGCAAATATGCAATTCAACAAATATAAGAGACAAATAGTAGAATCTTCAAATATGGTGAATATCTTCAGTACAAATGAACCACCTAAAAATTACCACTGGTATATCAATATAGCTAAATGAAATTATACCTTTTTTCAAAATTGCCAATGCAGTTATAGTTTCACTAAACTGCAGAAATTCTACTAATCTCTCTTGTTCCCCAGGATTTGACATACAGTCTATACTCCCATCTGCAGTAACAAGTGATACCTGCAACATATGTTGCATAAATTGTGTCTTTAAAATATGAACTTAGAAACATACTTTTTCCTCTTCATTGATACGAGATGTGAAATCTTCATAGTTGCAAAACTGTTGAATATCCCCTGATAAATCCAATCCAAAATACCAGTTCTTGCGAGTGAATCGAATGAGTCTATCATCAGGTATCATTTCAGATATTAAATTACCTTCATAATATGGATTTAAAGAATTCGCTATCCATTCCCACTAAAATAATTACTTAGATCATAAAAAGAGGGACCAACTTAATTCCCACCTGGATGTCTGGATAATGTAAGACCAAATAATGATTCAAAGCAGAAATAAATGCCCCAGGAGCTTCACATAAATGAACTGTTCGGAATATTTCATTATCATTTTCCTTGACAATGCCAAAAGTATTCAGAATTTCATAAAATTTGCACCAAGCCTGTAAAAAATTACCAGTAGCGAATAAACGTGGCTGAAGGTATATCACCTGCGTCAAAAGCTCTGGATTAATTTTCTTCCTGATATAGTTCAGAACATATCCAGATATATCTCGAGTACGGGTATAGTATGACCACTGCACTAAATCAACTGAACCTAACTTGCCCTTTATTTCATTTAACTCGTTTTTCATTACTTCAAATTCGGGCATTTTAAACCTTGCGTTAGAGAAACACTGTCTGGGTAAAACCCACATTGCCGTTTTTTGGAATTCATATAATTTATTAAAATATTGAGGGTATTTATCACGGAATTCGAAATTAATATTCATTCCCAGATATTAATAACATTAAATACAAAAGGGTTTTTTGACTTACTAACCGTAATACATTCAAAATGTTTATTTTAGAAGTTAGGGTTAGGTTGAAATCTCTTTAATCACTTTTTCATGAAACAATTCGCCCAACTTACAACCAAGTTATAACTTATAAACAAATTTTTAACAATTACAACACCTAAGGCACCCGTTGGGAATCGTACCTACAACCTCCGACACGTTCGAGTGGGCAGGTTAACGCCTTACCAATTACCAATTACCAATTCAACCCATCTCCGGTCTCTAGCATAGATATTCATTTCTATCGTCAATGTTCCACAGTAGTCGGTAATGAGCAAATGCCCTTAGTTGAAATGCCTACATTAAGAAAAAGCGAAGAAGAAGAAGTGAAAATTTTTAGATAAAAAGGAAGAGAAGAAGGTTATGTTTGAACTTGGTCTTTTGATATATAACGTTATATGCAGTACTTCTATATAAAAATTTATTAGTGTGTTCTTAATTATGGGTGGCAAGCATAAAATTGCCAATCGAACAAAAAATAACGCACGGGTTGGTATCTTGCTGAATTAAAAAATTTTAAATTTGGGTATCTTAAGTTTACCTATTCTATTTGTTTAGCCTTCCAGTAGTGGACGTAGTGCAGAACTTCTAAATTCGAATTTGCCTCAATTTGGGGTATTTTCTGGTATCAAAGATGCAGCTAATTTTTCTAGTTTTACCCATATTGTAAATTCGGAAGACCTGGATTTGTCTTTGGACAGCAGTTTTCAACTAGTGTTTAAGAAGATCTCTAAGAAGGATTCTACTACAAAATCCAAGGTTTGATGGACAAACTTTTAAGCCTATGAAATACATCAATCTGTCTTTTTAGGGACTGCAAGAATTTTCAGAATTAATTCAAAAAGCAGAACCAGATGCTGTGAAAACAATTTTACCCACTTGGGCTAGATTTTATAATATCCTTTCCACGGATTCCGATAATCGAGTTAGGGAAGAAGCACACAATGTCCTCCATCAAATAGTACTTAAAGTAAAACGTAACATTGCACCATTCTTGAAGCAGCTGATGGCCCCTTGGTTTACATCGCAGTATGATACTTACCCACCAGCAGCAAGTGCAGCTTCTTTGGCATTTCAGGATGCTTTCCCTCCTAATAAAGTCCAAGATGCTGTTGTGTTTTGCCAACAAGAGATTTTAACATATATGCATGATAATTTATTAGTTCAAAATGCTGAAACACTTTCAGGTAGAAATGCTTCTGCAGAAGAAGCTAATGCTAAACACCTCAGGGTAGTAATATCCTGCTTGCAAGGATATTGTTTATATATTGAAAAAGTTTCTCCTGAACATATAAAAAATGTTCTAGATATTAATTTGAAAATTTTATCAAACAACAAATTTTGGAAATTATCCAAATTTGATGCTTCAGCTGTCAGATCAGCTTGGTTTAAACTTATAGCCACAATTTGTCAAAAGGCCTTGTTTCTGCTGCAAGGAAAAGAAGGTCAACTACTAACAATTGTACTTAACAACTTGGAAGAAGGTGAACCTACAGTTCTACCAAATGTTTGGGAATGTTTTCTTTTGACAATATCAGTAATACCAGTAAGCATTCATAAATAAATTTTGTTATACATTAAGCGGGTTACGTTTATAAACTTTCAGGAATGGTGGTTGTATGTTAAAGTTGAGAAACTATTCTTACCAAAATTAATGAAACTGCTAAAAAGTGCAGGTCATGGCAATGCCGCTGTCATCTACCCGAATTTGCTGCCAGTTCTGTCTTACTTGCCATCTTCAGTTCTGAAAGACCCTTTCCACTTTTACGATACTTTCTTTGGGAATTTTGCAGTGGGGTGAGTATATCAAATCACATTTATTACACGTACATATTTTGATTTGATTCCATTTATTTAAGCCTTAAATTAAAAAATGTATTGAGCAGTAAATCCGAGGCATCTGCTGTAGCAACTGCTTTTACCGAATGCCTTTGGTATGTTGTAGTCAAAAACTCGTCATCCATTGATTTATGCAAGCTTTTGATAAAAAAACACCTGTTGGCCCTAGTTGAATGGTGTCTCACTGATGATAGTTCTTGCCATAAACCAGTTTTTAAGCAGGTTGCATCTTTCATTCAGTACCTTAGTACAAATGCTGCATTGCAAGATTTGGTGACATATTTTTTCAATAATTTTCAGGAAATAATGACACAAAGTTTGCACAAAAATATAGAAGACACAGCTTCTATTGCGAAAGTAGCTGAGAAACAGCTTGAATTCATACACTTTTTGAAGTTCAATCGCAAAATTGCAAGACCTAACAAGGTGAAATTTGCACTCACAGATAGCCAAAACTTCTCTTTCGAGCAACACAAGGAGATGGTTGTTGATGATAGCAAAATATATTTAGATGGCCTTAATAGAGTTGCAATCAATTTGTGTAAAGAATATGTCAAGCTTATCCAAGAAAACACGGTTCAAGAAATCATAGAGCAGCTACATTCTCTTCTGGCTGAATTTAACATAAAAGATTTCTTGGAAAAATTGTCTCAAAATACGATAGATGGTAATGAAGTGGTTCCATTGATTAACTTATATAATAATGTTTTCAAAAATTGGCTATATAATGATAGGCTGTGTTGCAAGAGCGTTATACGATTAATATTCTTATTGATTACTTATCTCCAAGATGAAGACAAAGAAGTCATATTAAATGATTTGGTCCATGTGAGATTGAGTGTTCTATGTAATATAGCAAATTTTTAACTATCAATTTTAGATTAAAATCCCATCTTGTCTGCAGTGGTCTGTCACTGAGGCATTTGGACATCCATATGTGGAAGATGCATTGATTATAAAGTGGTTACACACAAAAGACATTGGCAATTTCTTTTTGTCCATTGCAGAAAAAATAATTGACAGCGAGTGTTCACCGGAACTCAATGCTCTTTTTAAATTGGCTTTAACTGAAAATAAAAATGGGGGTATGTTTTTGTTCTATAGATTGTGGAAATTCAAAAGTTTTTGTTACTACCCAAAAGAGTTTTTTTTTAAATAATAGATTAATGTGTTGTTTTTAGAGATCCTTATCAATGAAGTTGCTATTTCTGATATAATTAAGAAATTATCAAGGGCATTAAAAAATAAGGTCCAGAACTTAACTTCCTTAGATACTTGTTTGAGTTTGGCATGTTATCTGACAGCTGTCATCTACACCAATAAATTGCCCTTAAAATATGGAGATGAACTGCTTTTATGCTTGTTTGAACATTCTTGCAAACATCCAAATGAAAATGATTATGTGTCATCAGATACATTATGGGAAGTTAATTCAGCATGGAAAGATACAGTGACATCTCTGTTCAATGTTTTAAATAGTGATGAAGTGAATGAATTAACTTTAAAATTTTCTAGCATTGTAGAATGTGAATTCTCGGTGCAAATTCATAATGAGTCTCAAATTGAGCATTTAGCTAGTATGGTTACTGGATTTTTGAGAGCAGCATATAAAAGTGTTCCACTAAGACTATCAAATTTGATGAATTTGTTCTTTAACAAGAACTTCGCTTCTCTAGAATTGGTTACGGAATTATGTAAAATTGGGGAGTATGTTTCTGGGACCTACAGTACCAGCAAATCACTTTTGACACCTGATTATACTGAGCTTAAAACACTGCAGTATTTTGTTTGGAGGTACATAAAGTTAAGTACTCTTAGTAGCAGTATTGAAGATAATGATGAAAATGACTATTCTGATAATGAGGATGAGACTCCCCAAAAATTCATTAGTCAAGTTATAGTTCTCAATGCCACAGATAATATCGCAGAAGAATTTATTAAAGGATTATATGACTGTAAATTGGTGGAGTCATTCCTTAGAAATTATAAAAATGTAAATTTTATGTAGGTATCACTAATTTAGGTAAATCTTTAAAAAAATATTTTACAGGCAAAATATTACTTTGAACTTCAAGAATGGCATCTACTTTTTGAAGTCAAACTCCAGGACATATGGAAATTGTTGTGTACTCAATCTATCAAGAACATTACAAAAGTTTCTGAAGAACATTGCCAAAAGTTGGGTTGGTTTTGGTGTCAAGTATTATACTCAATATACACAACATATACTAATGATACTAATCTAATAGAAATATATAACCAACTGGTTACAAATAGAAAAGAAGAAAATGATTCTGTTGCAATACATATTGCCCAGACTTTTGCAAGTGATTTGAATTGCAATAATTTGCCTGATAGCCTCAAGCAAAATATTGTAGTAATACGAAATTTCATTAATTCTGAGGAGATCAACAGTATGATACCCTATCTGTTTATTGAAATGAAACAATTTCAAAATGAAAAATTTGCCCAGCTAATGCAAGAGTAAGTATGGCAGTTATTAATTTAAAATAGTATTTAGTGATTATGTTTCCTGATGGATATCTGCATATTAATTTTGGTGTTGCTTTTGTTATTTTGAAAATACAAGAACACTGATTGTTGTCTTAAAAAATCAAAAATTTCTGTACAGAGGACTCAAATCGTCATTTAGATAGAATGCAAAAAAATGTGTTTCTATATTTTTATCTTCAGAATTGTTAATACCTAAAGGTATCATTAATATGTAAGTATTTATTTTAGCCAAACTATTTAAGGTCGGTTTCTGTTATAACCTTAAAAATAATTCGTATTCGTTTTTTTTTGTTTGATACCTGTGTGGTTCACCAGGATTGTTTTGTGTTATTTCCTGTTATATTAAAGTAATTAAGTAATTGTTAAAATGTTGGCTGTTTCCAGTGGGTGTATAAGTCATATGAAACTGGTGTTTAGATAGTTGTAAATTTGATTTAATTATTCAACACCTCTTAAAAACAAAACAACCAATGCGGCACTACCGCAAACGCTCCTATCTACAGAGTGTTAACGTTTCAAGATTTATTTTGTTTTTTTAGCAAATCAAGTTTTTGAATTGATACTGAATTTTGAAACATCTTTATCATATTTCTATTGTAATTGAATTTATATTATGAAAGGAGAGTCATTTTTTTTTTTAATTTTATCAGATATTTTTTCAATGTTTCAGAATATTAGTTTCCAACGGAAATTTGGAGTACCTTATCAGTGTAATTAAAATAAGTTCTAATTTAATGAAATATAAAAGTGAATTGCTTAGTAGAACATATTGGGACTTTATTGTGGTATCTTTAGTTTCATGGACTTCTTACTGCCTGAGAATGAGGTCAGAATTCAAGAATTATGGGGTTTGTATAAGTGCCAATTAGAAAAAAATGTTTTAACTGACTTGAGACAGAAATAATATTTTTTTTTTAGTATCAAACTTTGTTGGTGGCGGTTGCAGATTTGTATGTCAACACTAGGAACCAAGTTTTACAATTCCAAGATAAAGGGCAGAATGATTATGTAGATGAGTGGAAAGACATTTTAGAGGAGAATATTCACAACGATATAGCGCAAATATGGCTTTACATTGCAGGTGCTACAAGATTCACTTTTTTTTTATACCTCTAGTCAATTTGTGCTTTTAGATTGCAGTGCAAACCAGGAAAATAAAATGATCTGCTTACCACTTTTGCAAAACTTTGGTGTTATAACTGAATGTATAAATTATCAATATATATTCAAAGTTAATGACAATTTTCCAAAATGGACAAAATTTTTGAAAAAGGCATGTGGTTTACTGACTGACTCATCGCCTGTTCTGCAATTCTGGGGTTACAAAATGCTGGTAGCTCTAGTGCCGGGACTAATTAAGGTTGATTCCGAATCAGTTAATTCCAACAAACCACACAAAAAGGGCCTTATATTCAATCAATTCAAGGAAATGTTAACAGAACTTCAAGAAGTTGTTAATAATATGTTCACTGATTTCCGGTGAGATTTTTTGTTTGAACGAATTCTATTCATTCCAAAATATATAATTCCTTTATAGATTGGGTGAAGATGTTTGTACCGTAAAATTATCAACAGATGCGTTTACATATACACTCGCTTACTTACTTGTATGGGATATTTTGTTAATACTTTACAAGGGCGCGTCATCTGAACTAAGATATCAATATGCTGACTGGCTAAAGCAAGTATATGTTAATATATTTAGCTATTTAAAGACATTATCATTGAAGGAATGAAGATTTGCTAAAGAACTTCCTTTCGAATTTGTTGAGACTGATGCCTGCTGGAGTTTTGCATTGCACAGAGACCAAATTAAAAGCTTCCCTGGATTATTTTCGTAATAACCCTCTAGACCGCTGTTGCTATAGAAATGCATTTCACAGTGAACTAATAGAACAATTCGTTTGCTATCTGTACAAAGGGTCATTAACACATTTACCCGCCTTAGTAAGACAATGGTGGACTGATTTGGAACCCCGATTAACCCAGGTAGTGGATAAAATTACGTCAGTTTATGTATCACCATCTTTGTGTACTGATGAGCTGAATGATGTCTTACACCATCAAAATCTCTATAAAAATATGGCGGTAAGCAAAATAACTTTTATTAATTTAGTATTAATACATTTTCATTTTAGATCAAGGTGATGCCTAGTATAAGGGAAATATTAGCAGTGTATACAGTTGATGAGGCTAAAATGGAGCTTACAATAACACTGCCTGCGAATTATCCGTTAGGAAGCCCAAATGTTGAGTGCAATAAACAAATCCTGGGCACCACTCACAAACAGTGGCTGCTTCAATTTAAGAAGTGCGTTTTGCATCAGAATGGGCGAGTTGCAGATGGACTGTCGCTGTGGAATAATAATCTAGACAAAAAATTTGATGGGGTAGAAGAATGTTATATTTGCTTTGGTGTGTTGCATGCAGGCACTTATCAGTTACCTCGTTTGTCATGCCAGACTTGCAAAAAGAAGTTTCATTCAGCCTGTCTAGTAAGTTTAGTACAAGTTTTTCCATTTGAAAAACACTCACACCAATATTATCCAATTCGCACTTACCTTTTCATATTTCATTTTTTAAGTTGAGGTTGGAGGACTAAGTCAATATTTTTATTGCCAATACTGTATACCAATAAGTTTTGTTTAACAAATCATTGTAAGAACGCCGTGATTGAAGTAGTACTTGATTTTTTCCAACATATCACAAGCTACAACTTAGAAAGGGCTTTTAATTATGGTTAATATGAATACAACGAAAATAAAGTAAATATTTGAGCTTTTTAAATACCATGTTAAACTTTTTGTATGTTAAACAGTTTTAAAAAAAATGTAATTCCAAGAAAATAGGAAAAAAAGTTTTGCAACTGTGAAACACTTGCAGGAGGGTAATGCATTTTTTCATTTTCAGTACAAATGGTTCAGCACAAGTAACAAGAGCAGTTGTCCAGTGTGCAGAAATTTATTTTAAATATATACAAAATCTTATGTAAATTAAATGGTTTGTATAAATTGGTAACAAATTTTAAAAGATTCAAGTGTAATATTAATAGATATTTCGAGTACATGAAAATGAAATTTATGATGTTTCAGTCAAAGAATTTGGCAAATGAACATGTATATATACACATCTGATATTGTAATATATTTTTATTGCTTACATTTATGAACTACATTTTTTTAAATAGGACAAGCAGTATTTCTTTTAACCAAAGTTATTTAACTAATAATTTCAATTTAGTATGAAGTAAAATGCAAAATTTTTGTACTTATTTTTGCTGAAAATAATAAAACATATAGAGACAGTCATAGTCTCTTAAACAGATATGTTTGATTAACATGTTAGATGTCAATTAATAACAGTGTATAAATAATATAAAATTCTTTCAAGAAATAGAAACAAAAGTATCAAAAGTCAAAAAATCTTAACTTCTACAATTATCACCTATGGTGAGTTCATAAACACAACATTAAGAGTTAGCAATTTACTAATGGGCTTAAACTGTTTCCTAACTGTCAAACGTTTTTATGAATTAATTATAGGAACTGTTAACCCTTAATTGCTATTTTTTACAAACCCATCATTAATTGCAAACATTTTTAGCGAAACTTAAGATAATTCACCAATAGGAGCATTTTCTAACCACAACATGTGCAAAAATTGGTAAAGGTCGTCACTAACTGCAACTTTATAAGGAGTTGGATTTAAGTTCCTTTTAATATCCGGACGCAAAATCTGTAATGATGCCGCTACCTGTTCTCGAAGCACTTGAAGATTTTCTCCCAAATTGCATATTACTCCATTATTAAAACATAACTCTAACAACTTCTCAACTTTGGATGGTATGACAAATGCACGCTTTGATTCTTGAAATGGATGGCGGCATAAAACTTTTTCTCCAACTACTGGGGCTGGTTCAGTTGATCTTTGCAGCAAGTCAATTAATGCATATCCTGCTTCTCCATATAATCTATAGGCATCTTTTCTTCCTGGAATTGTTACTTTCTGTACATCATGACTTAATTTAATACGTGGCTCTTCATTTAACTCAACCATTTTATATACACAGCCTAGAGCTGGTTGTTTTTGACATGTTACCAGATGAGTTCCTATACCAAAAGAGTTAATAGAGTGACCTTGATCATTTAAACTAAGAATAGTTTCTTCGTTTATATCATTTGAGGCCATTATATTAAGATCTTTAAAATAAGAAATGTTAAAGTGTTCACCCACATTTCGAAAATAATCTCTTGCCACATTGGATAGATAGGCCAGATCTCCACTGTCTAGCCTAATTCCTACTGCCTGATATCCCAACCTATCCAGGGCTAAAGCAGTAGCACAAAAATTAATTAGTCCACTTTTTATTACATCATATGTATCTACTAAAGCAAGAAAGTTGTCTGGAAAAGCATTAGCAAAAGATACAAATGCAGAAAGTTCTCCATCACTCACTTCTGACAAAAGGACATTAAATAATGGGATCAATTGTTTCCTCATGTAAACAGCAAGTTTCAATAAACTTTGAGGTGTACCTCCATTTTTGGGTGCCAAATCTGAGAATTTTAGTTCACCTAAAGTGCTAAAAGAGGTAACATAAGCATGTGCATGAGTGCCTTTAACTGGGATATTAAACAGTTTTCCTGCCAAGACATTGCTTGTACCATCAAAACCTCCAATATAACAATATTTTGAAGCTGACAGGCCACCATCTGGACCCTGTGCTCTCCTAAGGCCAAACTCAAAAAGATTAAGTTTTCCAGCGGCCATTCTATATCTCGCAGCATTTGTTGCCATTAAGCTAGCATAGTTCACCAAAGTTAATAAAGTAGTCTCAACTAGCTGAGTAACAATTAGTGGCCCCTCAATTCTTAAAAGTGGAATTCTTGGAAAGACAACAGTACCTTCTGCAACAGCAAAAACTTTCACCTCCTTAGCAGATAAAGATCGGAGATAATCAAAAAAGTCTTCTTCAATATAATGTGGCAAAATTTGTTTTATATATTCAATATCACTTTCCGAATAACAAAACTTTTCCAAAAATTTCAGACATTCCGCTAACCCGGCAAATATTGTGAACTCCCCGTTAAATGGATTTTTTCTAAAGAATAAGTCAAACACTGCCTTTGAATCTATTTTGCCCGATTTCCAGTACGCGTAAGCCATTGTTATTTGATACAAATCTGTTAAAAGGGGCTGAACTATTCCGTTTTGATTTAGCTTTTTTAGGCAATTCTGTCCTAACATTTCAAAAATATATATAAATTTTGTTTATTTTCAAAGTTTGCTTCGCAGAAATCACACAGGTTTTACAATCGCACACCACAGAATCAAAATATTAATTACTTCTTTGCTTTTAATCTGGTGCGTAAATAATGTTAGTCTATTCGCCCGTTACCGTAATTTATCGATATTTTTGTTGTTTAATAATCAACAACAAACTTTGATTTACAATTAACAAACCCACAGAAGCATTGCACGTTACAGGTGGTACCGTTCCCTATAGAATCCGCTAAGCAGAGCCAATTGACCTTTTTTGGAATAGGTCAAGGTTCAAGGTGGAACCAGAAATTAAATATTTGTTATATTAAGTCGTCGTGTGTCGGTCCAAAATTGAAAAAATCTTGGACTGAAGTCTGCAATACACGAGTAACCAGAGTAGATTTCCCAACTTTAAAATCAAATTTCATTGGTATACCCATATATCTATTAGCTCTGCCTATGCTGATATTACAGGAACTTATGAAGCAACTATGAAAAAAAAATTACCATGGGCAAGATTTACAATTTTGTTTTTAACAAAGGACGTTGCAGCATTTAACAACCAACATGGCCGCTGAGAGATCGCCAACAAGTTTGAATACGATATTTCTATTGCAATATTTTGTCAAAATATACCTAGATCTCGTTAAATGTTGTGGGCAAACAAGTCAAGTATAAGAAAATTGGTCTTTAGAAAGGCAATGGCCCATAATTCAGTTATAGGCATAAGCGAAAAATCATTACCTTCTCTACTTTTGATCGAAGTAGGGCGACTATACTATCTAATAACTATAGGGGTATACCGATACCGCCCTTCACTCTCACGAATAGTCCGATTTAATTAAAACCGTGGGTGAAGAAAACAGCGTAGGCGTGTACTTTGGTAGTGAATCACCAATAGATTAAAAAAAAATCGGTAACCGATTAGCGTTAATCCGAAACAACCAATCATTGTTCTTACCAGAAAATTTTCACTTTTAACTACAACTGATAATTCTTGTATCTATGATCCTATGGGCTAAAAATATAAACTGCAGGATTAAGGACGGTGACAGTCCAAATGGGATAGAAAAAACTTTACTGTCATACCCGCGTAGACTAGCCGAATGATATCAGCATCTGTAACCATTGAAAATAATAATTAAAGAAGAAGTGACATAACCTTAATACCAAATATTCGTATTTTTTTGGTATTGTTCGCCGCTGGCCGCACGTCAGCAGACGGATAGTGTGTGGTGATGAAATTATTGTAAAATGGCACACCACAAAAAAGCAAACAAGCACACCGAAGATGTTTTCAATGATAACGCTGAATTTAACCAAAAATTGGAAAATTTAAGGGAACAGGTGGAATCATCACAAATTGGTGATGAAAAAGAAAAAAAAATTACTCATAGAGAAAAGAAAAAGTTAAAAAAGCAGCAAGAATATGAAAAACAGATGGAAACTCTTTTGAAAAAGGGAGGGCAAGGTCATTCTGAGTTGGACAGTAATTTCACCGTTTCTCAAGCACAGAAATCGGCAGGACAGCTAGTCGCCTTAGAAAATGCTGTTGATATCAAAATAGAAAATTTCAGTATTTCAGCAAAGGGAAATGAGCTGTTTGTAAATGCTAATTTACTCATTGCAAATGGAAGGCATTATGGTTTGGTTGGGCCAAATGGGTAAGTGATGAAGATTGATAAATTGTAGTAAGATAACTTAAATAATTCTAGTCATGGAAAGACAACTCTGCTACGCCATATTGCTCAGAGAGCCTTTAATATACCTCCAAACATAGATATATTATACTGTGAGCAAGAGGTTGTTGCAGATGATATGAGTGCTGTTCAAACTGTATTAAAAGCTGATATTAAAAGATCAGTTTTGTTGAAAGAGCAAGCAAAACTAGAGGAAAGTTTCAATTCTGGAGATTTAGACGTTCAAGAGCGTTTGAATGAAGTTTATGCAGAACTGAAAGCTATTGGTGCAGATTCAGCTGAACCTAGAGCCAGAAGAATATTAGCTGGTCTTGGATTCACCAGAGAAATGCAGGTAACATTTGGATTTGGATGGATTATTGAAAAATAAGTGAAAGAATCATGGAATATTTTAGGACAGGGCCACGAAGAATTTTTCTGGTGGTTGGAGAATGAGGGTGTCTCTTGCTAGAGCACTTTATATGGAACCAACCCTTTTACTGCTTGATGAACCAACAAATCACTTAGATCTAAATGCTGTTATATGGCTTGACAAGTAAAGAGACAATAAGAGGTATCTCATGTGGGAATTTAATACTTCTTTTTATTCTTTCTAGTTATCTGCAAGGCTGGAAGAAAACATTGCTTATAGTATCCCATGATCAGTCATTTTTGGATAATGTTTGCAATGAAATAATACATTTAGATAACCAAAAGTTGTATTACTACAAAGGCAACTATTCAATGTTTAAAAAAATGCATGTCCAAAAGAAAAAGGAGATACTAAAAGAATATGAAAAACAGGAGAAGCGACTGAAGGAAATGAAGTCTTCAGGTTCGTCTAAAAAGCAAGCTGTATGTAAGTATGTTTAAGTTAAAGAATTATATTTTGCAAGGGTTTACTTTAGGAAAAGAAACAAAAGGAAGCTTTAACTAGGAAACAAGAAAAAAACAGAAGTAAACTTCAAAAGCAAGATGATTCTCAACCTGTGGAACTTCTCCAGAGACCAAAAGATTACCTAGTGAAATTTCGATTTCCAGAGCCACCACCATTACAACCTCCAGTTCTTGGGCTTCACAGTATGTGTCCTGTTTTTTATCTTGTCTTTTTTTATAATATAATGTCCTTCATCTTGATTTTTAGATGTTGTTTTTGGATATCCCGATCAAAGACCCCTATTTGTCAATGTCGATTTTGGCATAGACATGACTAGTAGAGTCGCCATTGTAGGTCCCAATGGTGTAGGCAAATCAACATTCTTAAAATTGCTTGTGGGTGAGTTAACCCCTCAACAGGGTGAAACTAGGATGAATCATAGATTGGTATTTTGATTATATAACAATACTAGGCATTTATTTTTATATGAATATCATTGTAGAGGATTGGTAGATTTGACCAACATTCTGGTGAACATTTGACTGCAGAGGAGACACCGGCGGAATATTTGATGAGATTATTTGATTTGCCATATGAGAAAGCTAGGAAACAATTGGGTACTTTTGGTTTAGCCGGTCATGCACACACTATTAGGATGAAAGACTTGTCTGGAGGTCAGAAGGCTCGGGTAGCACTGGCTGAGTTATGTTTAAATGCTCCAGATGTATTGATTTTGGTAAAAGTTGTTTTAGGGACGAAGTATTATTTATGTTGATAATATTAATTATTTTAGGATGAACCTACAAATAATTTAGATATCGAATCAATTGATGCTCTGGCAGAAGCTATAAACGAGTATACTGGAGGAGTTATCATAGTGTCTCATGATGAACGCCTCATAAGGTATATTGTGTTTGGTTTGTGTTGGTCAATTACCAGGATCTTTTTTACAGAGAAACTGGCTGTGCCTTATATGTAATTGAAGATCAGACTATAAATGAACTAGATGGCGATTTTGATGATTATAGAAAGGAACTTTTGGAGAGCTTGGGGGAAGTAATTAACAGCCCTAGCATAGCAGCTAATGCTGCTGTGAGTCAATGAACTTATTTTGGTATATTTTATGCATACTCTTGCAAAATAAAAAAAAAGGTATAATTATGAAAGTTTTTTTTATGTATGAAAATACATGTATGTTAATCTAAGTAAATTTTTATTGCATAGTGTAGAGTACTACCAAATGATAGTCAAGTCCTACCCACCTAGGTACTACATATGATATTTTCCTAGAGAAGGAAATTATTTTCTGCGCATGACTGTATGTTTTATCCACAAATTGTCTTTCTAAACAGTGACTTCCACGAACTTAATTCGTTTTCTCTGAACATTTACGTGTTCTAGTCACTCAAATTTATTCACGATTTGTCATATAGGTTGTTGAATGCCGCAATGTCATTGGTTAAAAGCGAGATTTTGAATTGCGCATAGGCAGGGCCTGTGTGTCTCTTAGCTATATGGTCAGATCACATAGATGTAAGATAATATAGAGAAGGCAATTTCTTTCCGTATATACCCATAAATTTCACACACTAACCTACACTTTTTTCTCTGTTTTTCTGTCGAAACAGCGATCTTCACACACACCCACACGCACACACACACACACACACACACGAATATTTAACGAGACCTGACATATTTTGAGCAAATGCTTTCGAAAAAATGCAAAATCTAAACAGAAACCCGTCGAATTGACGAACTGTCAGCGGCCATGGTGGCTGAACGTTGTTAAATCTTATTGGTTGTCAATTAAAAAATTAATTAATTTTGCATTGACATCCAAATTATTCTCCGAAGCGCCGTAGCATTGGAAGTCTTCAAATAGCCTTAGTATGCCGATTACATTGAGATAACGCTTATTCGGTTTTATTTTTTGTGATATTATTGGATGGCAAATTGCAAGCGATCTTAGTTCAATTTTTCAATGGAGGTTCTATTAGAAAAAATATTATATTAAGTTTTGGCCGAATGATCTTAATAAGGGTGGCCGAAATTATAAAAAAAGAAGATAGTTTTCTATCGCGCAGTCTTGCGGTCATTAATGGTGTTGACAAATATGATATTTTAATTTAAATGAAGAAGTTAAAGAAAATATGGTGTGTAAAATGTTACACTTCTATTTGTATACACTATTGCACATAATCTGAAACGGAAATGGAAGAGTACTTTATATAATACCCAAAAGAAGGTAGGAAAATGAGTAACAAGTAAGCTTCATAATAAGTGTGTATTTTTAAAAATGTATTGGTTTTAATTTGATCTTTACTGAATGTTCTGCCAGTTTGAGGCAAGGTTGTTTATAAAATTATTTTTGCAGTGTAATAATTAACAATGATTAAGAGACAGAGTTCGTTTTACATTTTATTCTAGATCTATTAATTTTTTGCAGGCATAACATTCTTACGTGTCATCCACAAACGATCACCAAAATTAAAAACATTTAAAATTTAAAGCTTAATAAAGCAGTAATAGACGTTAGTTTTGTGTTAAACAAATTAATTAGGTATATTTGTTGATAACATTGCACAATTGTTAGCTAATTGCAATTTCATTGTTCAGTTGTATTTTTTAAACGGAAGGTGTCTGTGCATGGCATTTGTTGGAATTGGCGTTAATTAGTAAATTGCTTCCAAATATGGGTGTTATTATGATGATAAGTGGATTTTGATATGTATATTGGGTTACTAATTATTTATTGTGGAGGCAATCCCCTGTTTTTTAAATATTGTGACAAAAAACTTTAACAATTTACTTTTAAAATTGTTGTTTGTATGAAGGTTTGTGTTTTTAGAGTCTAGAAAGTTCACTCAGTCGTTTAAGTATATACAATCCAGGCCTGTCGTCGCAGACCAATTCCAAAACTGAAGGCGCATGTTTCAGGGATAGGACGGACAGAAGAGCAAAGAAGATGGCCTGGCTTAACTCATTTTATCCCACTTATAAATCGCGTTCAGATGAATTTAAAAAACTTTTTACTGATCTGCCAGTTGATGAAAGACTAGTTGTAGGTTAGAGAAAAATTTTTTTGTGTTGTTGAAATGTGCCTTTTTTATTTTTTAAAAAATGTTGGCTAAAAATATCTACGAAAACTGCTTGTGCTGAATATATAAGTGAATGTTCCTAAATAAGTTAATATTATAGATTTTGGTATTTAAACTTTTTTTTATCCTTTTATGATAAATGGACCGATTGCTAGAATAATGTTTTAATGGTACCTAAACAGAAATAATTAATAATGACCAATGCATCTGTATTTTTGAAATGAAAGGTAAATTTTTATTTTTAATGTTTTTGTAGATTACTCTTGTGCTTTGCAAAAGGAAATCTTGCAACAAGGCAGACTATATGTAACACAGAAATACTTATGCTTTTACGCTAACATTTTGGGTTGGGAAACTAATCTCACATTAAAATGGAAAGATGTTACCACCATTACAAAAGAAAAAACTGCTTTGGTCATACCCAATGCTGTACTAATATCCACTAAAACAGACAAATACTTTTTTGCCAGTTTTGTGCAAAGAGACAAGACCTACTTAATCCTGTTTCGGTTTTGGCAAAATGCTCTTATAGACAAGCAGTTGTCGCCGAAGGAGATATGGCAGTGGGTAAGTAGGTTTGCCCTTAGCCATTCTCTAATAATTAATTAGATATTTGTGTCCATTTCAGGCTAATTATTTTAAATTATTAGATGTCAAAGCAATTTAGATTTATCGCATACTGAAGCTACTGAAATTTTATTTATAAAGAAAATGGGTTATTTGAGCAAGTATGTTTAAATTTGAAAAATAAATATACAAAATTTAAATTCATTAACAGGATATAAAATTGCAGATTGCTTGGATTCTTATCTACTTTTTCACAAAATTTAGTTTAACCAAAAAAATATTAACTTGCCATTTTTTCAACTATATTTATCAATGCTCATTTGTTTAATTTGACAGAAAAATTAAACTGTTTATTAGAATCAACCTTTTGCTTAGAAAATACAAGTACAATTTTTTTGTACCTGCAATCCTTTGAGTTAACTTATAGTATACTATTTAAATAGGTGTCAAATTATAACCTGACACTGTATGTGACGGCATTCTAAGAAGACTAAACAGAACACGCAAATGTCTAGTAGCGTTAGACTCTTTAGAGAGTTAGAATGCTGTTGACTATATACTTACATTGTATTTAATGGAGACCAAACAAGTCGTTTAAAAAAATGCCTAAACACTGAAAATTGTGACTTGAGAATCACTGACATCCCCAATGTTATCGCGCCGAGATATGTTTCAGAATAGTAATGTAAGTGGTTTTCTATATCTAGATAGAAATGGGGATAGAAACTAAGAAAATATTCCCAAACTCGTATGGTATATCAGCACCACCTGGTACATTAATTTTTCGCTAACAAACGTATTTTATGAAATTTTTCATCAATGATATGCTGGGAAAACTAGTGCATTTCGCATTCCGCATCGCTTTTTGATTATGTATAGTATTTCACTGTAGTTCTCTTTAGAAATTAATTATTTTTCAGCTCTAATATTATATTTATTGCTGTCATGTTTGAAGTCATAGAATATTGAAATATTGTTTGTCGTTTTGTTTATAAAAGTAAGAACGGTACAGGGGAGTTTTCAATCTTAAAAGATCTTCCATCTTCATTCTGCTATTAAAGGTGATTTTTTACCAGCCATGGCACTGGAATGACTTCTTTTTAAGTCATAAAATTATCATTATTTAACACTAAAAAGAGTGATAATAGATTTGCCAACAAAAATTGTAAAAATTTGAATTTTAAAATATCGACCATCCAAACATTAATATTCGCAAACTATTGATACCTCTTTGGACCTTCTTATCTTACTAGTAAAGTCTTTTGCAGAAAATTTTCAGAATTATTTCTAAATTTGATGAAGACCAAATACAAAAATGCAATATATTATATGAGTGAGTTTTTAATTGTCAGGATATTTTATAAAATACACAATGTTCTATTTAAAAAGGATTTTTGGCCATTTGATGGCCATTTGGCCAATGCGATATACAGGCATATCGTTTAAAGTGTTACGAAGATAGATCAACGCTTTTCAAATCGTCTAACCTGCCATCCATCGTGAACCACCCTATAAGAATTTTTGTCAACATAGTCAGTTTGATTAGTTAGTTGTTAATCAGAATTACCTAAATCTACCATTCGGTGATTCGTATTAAATAAATTGGTAGGCCATGGTAACCGCTTGCCTTTAAAAAGTAATCACATTTGACCTATAAATATTACAGCTTGTTTGGCTTCCTTTGAATAAAACTTCAACCCTTTTATTCGTGTTTTATTACTCAAATTGGAGGCAGTGTATTACCAAATAAAGAAAAATATGCGTAGGTTTAACGAATTAAGTTGGTTAATTTTTTGTGTTACCTGGTCATATTTTTTTAAACCATAAACGTATCGGCAACGGTTATTCCGCATTTCTTGAAGAGGGAGTTTTAAAACCACGGTAATTTTTTTAAAATTAATTTTCAATATAACTTTGAAGTGCAATGTTTATTAATGACAATTTTTAATTCGCTTTTTGACTCTATTTAAGGGGATACATTTTTGCGGCACTGTTGAAAATGTTGTATACCTTGTACTTCGCAGATTAAACCAACTCTTTTGAAAATTCCTCTAAATTTTATTGTAATATTTATGTTTGTTATAGGTACATCATTGTTATGGAAGTGAATTGGGTTTAACAAGCGAAGACGTTGACTACATTGCACCTGTTCAAGAAGACAAATTACTAGTTTCGGGTCTATGTGTAGAATCATTTTTTGAAGTAGGATTACTTTTGACCATAATTCTAATGTTGACTAACTAATATTCATTCAACAGGCTATAGTGGGCCCAGAAAAATCCACAATGGATCAGATTACCGATGAAGAAAAAACAGAAGATGTGACTAACGTTATTCAGCAGTCTAGCCCGGTGGGCAGTGTCTTACAAACTACCACAGATCACATCGATTCGTCTGATACAGATGGAGATCAGCCCATAATGATGAAGTAAGTTACCATTTTAAACCGTTTGAAGTTCAAATATTCATGTTAATTTTAAATTTTGCTTTATTCACTGCATTTAAGTTACATTTTTTCAGACAGTATTCACATTCCGCGTCGCATATTTTCCAAAGCATATCAAACACTGTTCTCAACTTTGATGAGAGTGGGTTAGTTGTAGATGATTTCAAGTAAGTTTTTATAATGAAGCAGCATTTTTTTTACTAACCCACTAACGAAATACAAACGAAAATATTTTTTCGCCTAGAACACATGTTCAAAGTGTTTTAAATTATCTATATGAGATGTTTGTTTTTCCCGATATTACTCCCAATAGTATTACGTGTTACGATTACGTATTACTTGCCGATTGAAAAATCTGTTGAAATTTCGAATAGTATTTTTACTATAAGTATAAAAGTGACATTATGTGAACAAATTTTACACCATTTCCAATAAATTGTTGTTTTTACTTTTATAATGAATTTGGAGCTTTCTTTGTATATCTTATTTAATGTAAAGTCAACAGAGAACGGCACGGCCACTACGTAAATTTGTTCAGACTTATTTAACTATTGATGACATCTCTTTAAACTATGGTAGAGTATTTTTTCTATATGTTAATACCAGATAATTTTTACTAAATTGTAATGTAATGCAATTTTGATTATTCTGAAATGAAATAGCGACATTTATTTTATTATGAATTTTAAAACGGAATCAGTGTACGCAATTACCGTTTTCACTATTTTTTAGTTTTGGAATTAGTGTGATGACTATTTTCAAGCGTATATAGATTAAATATAAGTAATGAATTTATTAAGTATAATAGGAACAAGCATGTCAAAAAGCAAAGAAAGGCAAGAAAAATTAATTTTCGTATCTATATCCTTTCCTCCTCGCCCCCCCCCCCCCCCCTCCTCTAATTTTGTTCCTTATTTTCATATCTGATTTTATTGATCTCGAAACCCCCCGATACGAAATTAGACTAGAAGACTCGATCAAAGAGTTTAAATTTGAGCTATTAAAAATGTGAATATTTTTTCCTTCGAAAATGCTGATTTCTACAACTGGCGGAATAGGCAGTACCAAATTTCGTTAAAAAATCTAGAATGATATAATATACCCAGCACTCAAGTTTCAAGAATCTAGCTGCCAATGTAAAAACAATGGAAATTACTTTTTGAGAGAAAAGGGGGGCAAATTTTGCAATAGAAAAAGATCGCTAGTAATGAGGATTCTTCTCTTGCTTATTTATCGATGTGGTTAATTGCTTTATTACGAACATTATTGAAACCATTTACCTATTATTTTTTCTACAAACAATATTTTCATTAAATATTTGTAAACATTAAATTGTATACTTTATAACTTCTTAAAAAACTTAAGAAACAGCTTATACATATACCCATAATTAGTATGTCAAGCAAATAAGCAGTTTTCGTTATTATAGGAAAATACTTTACTTATGTAATTATATTTATACAAGGCGTTGTTGAAACCATATTATTTAATTTAATGAATGAATGTCACGGACGAGAGACAAATTGCAAAGATACTCATTATAAAGGTTGCTGACAGATATTCCCAAAAAATTGCGGGGGGGTATAAGGTTTGTCATGATGCCTAGTTACTAAATCGTTCAACCTCACGTTTTGTATACTCAAGTATGCAAAAACTGTTTCAGTGGATTTATTATTTTGTCCACTATCATTACAAAGGGTTTCCGATTAATTTTTGACTCTTAAATTCAACAAAAATATTATTTTTCAGTTTTAGTTAATTAACCTATACATCCAAATATGAAAAAAAGTATTGTTTTGTCTGCTAAGACTACATAGAATTCTAGATTGTAAGTACATTATTAATCATATAAATTCAAAACCCAAAAAATGATTGCTTTCATAATTAAAATTTACTTAATACTTCCAAATATGATTCCAAACCGCAAAAAATTGTCTAATCTATTACTAAGCAACAAACTCAAACTCCATTAATTCGTCAATAGCTAAATCAATCCTAATTACAAAAGAAAGTGACTCACCATTGCTACTATTTTTTCTTTCTGCACCTCAAAGTTCTTTTATCAAAAGCACTAACCACTCGAAAATTTACTATTTAAATAAAATTTACCTTCAAAAAGTTGTTTCATTGTTTTATTCATTTCGTAGTCGTAAGGAATAATAACTTCAGTTGAATGTATGGTCACCGTCGAGTTTCTTTATCTCATCAACTACAAAAACTTCCAAATCTACATTGAATTGCATTCTTTACATTATATTCCATAAATTTTTGATCAAAATCGCATGATGCAATATCCTTAATAATCCCAAATAACCTGTGGGTATATGATGTCAGCAAAATAACACCCTGTATATTTTTTTCTAATAACTCGCTGAATTATTATTTTATGTTTAAAACAAAATCATCATATAATATAGAATAGGTGCAATATGCAAACTTACCCCAAAAAATAATTTGTCTCTTGCTCGATATGACTGTCACCATGTACAATTCAAAAATTTACCTTCTTTGATATTTATTAACTCTAGCATGAAATTATTAGTAGGTATTCTATATTCCAAGTTTTTCACCGGCGAAAATCGTAAAAATATATCGCAACCACTTAGGGTAGCCTCTACCAAACAATTACCCTTAAAAACCCGATACAGAGAAAAATTGAGAAATAATTTGAAACAATCTCTTACTACACTGATTTGTGTACTGGCGTCATTGTGCGTACCGCAAGTCAATACTAAAAGTTATTATTAAGCTTTTTCCATCTTTAAAGTAAAATCACCCCGTACATACTAAACATAGATTTAATGACCACTGATTTGCCTGTAGCGTCTTTACAAATGATTAAATCCGATGACGCATGGCAATTAAACATGATTCTTTGTTTCTAGAGATAGTGATCTCAACCTAAAATGCACAAATTCGCACGAAGGGAAGGTGCTTCTGGACGAGACATTGCCAATTCATGTTGATCAGTTATTTACACTATTGTTTACTTCCTCAAAGTTTTATCTCGACTTTCACGCATCAAAAAAAACCACGGACCTGACACAAACTCCGTGGACTCACAATCCGTTAGATAATAGCAAGAGTCGAGTGGTCAATATGACTTACACTTTGGGGCAAACTATGGGTCCTAAAACTAGCCAAGTCACTGAACGACAGGTAGTTAGACAAAATAGGACAGTAGTTTTAATCTACCTAATTCATTTATGTTGTAGTCCATGCTGCCATGCAGTAAGGCGGGATATCTTTATTCTATTGATATAGAATCGATCAATGCGGGAATTCCCTATGCCGACAGTTTTTACATGCAGTTGCACTGGTGCTTGAGAAAAGTTTCCGACACTCAAACTTCTATTGCCGTTTACGCACAATTAATATTTAAAAAGAATGTGTGGGGTATAGTCAAGGGTAAGTACATTTTTAAAACTTTATTAAACACTAGATAATTCATTTTTTCAAAACGTCTTTATAGAACATTGCGTTGAAAGGTGTCATCCAACAAACATATATTCAACATTGCTTATCTTAACAAATATCTACTTAATAAGTATTTATCTTAAAATAGTTTCTTTGGATAATTAACTTTCAGGAATGATAGAGCGCAATGTTTGGTCTGGAGTGGACGATTTTTTCTGTAGTCTGAAAGAGGCATTGCAAACGGAGGGCGAAGAAAACATTCCTGAAAAGCGACGTAAGTCGAGAAGGAAAAGGCGAATGCACACTTTGCCTAAATTTAGTTTAGAAGATGTCAGGATGAGTATGTAGTTTATGAACTTTTGCGAATGAAGTGTACGAGTTGCTTAAAATTTGCAGATATTCCTAGAAAGAAGTTGTTTCATTCCAATGGAGTATTTAGTACCGATATTTGTACAATAATAGTGTTTGTGGTACTTTTAGTATTATTAGTCATAAATGTTTTACTCTACACCAAATTGTGGAATTTAGAAGAAGCGCCTTCATATAGATTTTCAGATTTCCATGCCTTGAAGTAAGTGATTGAGTATTTAAATTTAGGTTATATTTATAAGATTTTAACTTCAGAAATCTTCCAAAATCTCACGACGACTTAATTAAACTTCTTCAACGACAAGAAAGCCTTCACAGTGTCGAAGCGGAAAAGTGGCAAAGGATTTTGAAAACTGCCGTTCATCTTCTCAGACAGGTTAGTAGTTTTAAGTGGAAATAAATGTTAGATTTCTATTTTTTCTTATATTTAGGCCGAGGAATCTTTAAATGAACTTCAAAGGTCCATTCAGCCAAGTTATATCAATAAAGATTTAAATAGTGCACCAGAAGAAAACTATCGCGAAACTAGAACAGAACTTTGAAATGGTTCTTAATTTTTGAAAAATAGTCAATTTCCTAACAGGTTGAAGTAATCTAAGCAATTCATTTTTAATGTATTTATACATTCCTTGTAAGGACGGACAGTTATTGATTAATTTATTTATAGCTTATATTTGGCATCTTGAAGAGTTATGAAGTGGATATGTTAGGTTTCAACTTTCTTGTTTCTAGAATATTAGAAAATTGTGTGATTAAAACCAGAGTTTAGATAAGCTGTTAATATTTAAGTGTTGTCTTGGAAATCTTATTAAATAGAAATAAAATCTCAGAAGTTTGGTGTTTAATATTATCGAAGTCAAAACACAATATCAACATTAAGTTGCAGGTTTTAAGTCAGTACTTGAGTATTCACCAATTAGATATACAAGAGTATCTTGGTTATTCCTATGTATTTAGAGAATTTAGCTTAAGACCATATGTCCTAGAAAGCTGTCCCTGCACCAGCACACATAGCACCCTGAATATCGTTGAGCATCAGCAAACTGGTGAAAGGTACAATTTTTTCTAAAGTCGCAGAAGTCAGCAGTATATTAGAAAATCAGGGCACCAATGGAGTTCTCTGTCAAAAACGGCGTATTTGGAAAACGCACCATTTTGATCGACTTTTGGTCTCCGATAATACCCTCATAGAACCCAAAGTATTTATGCTTCAGATAAAATATAGAATAGATGATAATATCATCAATATCAATTACTATAATTGAGTAAGAAACAGTCTGAAAACTTTCCTCAGGAGCAGAGAATGTACACATCAATTACCTTAAGAAAAGCTGTTGTGGTACTATGAGAAAACTACTGATTAGGTTCCTATAACAAAAAGCGAAAAATAGAGACATTTGCGACGGAGTAAGGTTTTGCAAGTACGCACTTTATACTATGTTGTTCATATAACGTCCCTAAGAAGAAGTGGGCGTTAACACAAAACGGCAACTGTTAGACAGAAATTTTATTCGAATTTAATTCGATTTCTTCTTGTTCTTCGATATCTTCTCCGATGCGGATATTATGACGTCTTCCTGTATTTACCTATTTATCGGAATTTCTGTCAAGGTTGCTGACACTTTGTGCATCATTTTTTCACCAAACATTAACGATTATATGTCGCACATTTCCTTCCCTATTCCTCTACACTATTCGATGATACCAGCACTTAGTGATAACGGTATTTACAGGCTGTAGGTCGTGTCGCGATCACTACCGACCATTTATTTAATTGTGCTTGTTGAGGAGATAAAATTGACGGAGCCTAAAATTCGTGTAGGCAGTTCTTAGACATAGTAGTGAGAACGTGCTCCCCCACAAGAGCACGAGTTTGGGAGTATTATAATATCTATTATAACCACTGACTAAATGGTCAAATAAATATCAGAGCCCTAATACGAGATGGCTGATAGCAACATTTTCGTGTAACTTCTGTGCGGCGCACATGTGCAAGATGGAATTGATATGTTTTTCACAAGGACATGGAAAATGTTGACGTTAGTCGAGCTGGCCGATTAGATTTATTCAGCTAAACTGGACGGAATTTTATTAGGGGGTATTGCAAATGAAATAATAAGTATAATGTCATTTGTATCATTGTTTCGAAATAACGTTACATTTTTAAAGAATGTGATAAAAATGAAACGCATCGAATTTTGGGATTATTTATTCGTTGGAGTACTTGATATTAGATAATTGTAGATATCAAATTTATTTTTGTTATTCGTATACACTTAAATCGCGATAACATTTGTAAAATTCGCCCAATTTAAAACACTATTTTCTTTTCAAATAGAAATATAATTGTTGAATCTGACGTTTTGTTGATGGCACTTTGGTGACGTTCCAATCAAATGGATAACAAAACAGCTGACTCAATAGATGACGCAGGAAAGTGAGTGTTATGTTTTTATTGTCATTTACTCTAACTGGATACTAAAAAATTACCAATAATTAGTGTTGGACTCCAATGGCAATTTTAAAATATTATTTCCATGTATCATCCAACATCCAACTAGTCGCATTCTAATGCGAATTTTTTTGCAACTTTTATGCCTTTATTTTATTTTCTTATTTTCATCAGTGTTGGTTTAGTTTTGTGGCCTTACGGTTCTATGGAGCCTCCCGCTTGTCAGTACCCCAAACTCTAGAATTTGGTGAGTAGGAGTAGGTATTCTTGATAGCCTGTATTCTTTTCTATGGCTCACTGCGAATAGTGTAAAACATAACCAACAGGTTGTCGACAGTAATGACATCCCTAGTTTCTGCCTTCTGGCTTCTTTGGCTTATAGTCATATATGTTTGGGAAAAATATTAATACAATTGGCCTAGAGAAATTGATAGAAATATGCATTTTTTGGAAAATTACCATTATAAATAAAGAAAATACTCCCACGTTCATACTGCTAATATGGAACATCTTTTTGATATAACATCTTTTATTGAAACTTAAATGAGTAAATTGGGTCTCATATAGAAAAGAAATATTTGGTTATTAAAATAAGAAATAGTCATGTCAAATTAGTTATTCTTGCAGTGGCCTGAGGTTGTTATTGGGCAAGCTAATAAGAAATTTTAAATGAAAAAAATTACAATATCACTATTCAAAAACTAAATTAAATTTGGAAGAAAAAATATTAACTCTATGTAGATATCTATTGGTTTCCGAATCATTGCGCCAACAATATACTTATAAATATATTTATTGAAGAAACCATTTAAATTCATGGTTCATTCATCACAAACTTCGAAAATGTCGCACTACCATTGTTTATGGTGTTCACTGATTTTTTTCTATATATAGCTGATTTTCATATAAGACGTGATGCTATAAAATTTGCTTAATGTATGTGGTGGTAAAAGTTTGTTGTTAAAGTGATACACGGTATTGAAAATGAAATCCAACTTTAGAACAATTTTGTTAGTATTAAAGATATTAACAGACAACTATATAAGAGTAAATGGGCAGACATCTGAAGAAGTGCCTCTTATGAGATGAGTTTGACAAGGTTGTGTGCTCCCCCTCCGTTTGTCTAATTTATATGTAGAAAAATGATTCAGAGAAACAGTTGAAGGCATAGCAAAATAAAGCATAATTGCTAATGCAATAGTAATCATCAATTTAAGATACGATGATGCCACGGTTTTACTAGTAGCAGATAAAGATGATAGACTATAGCTAATAAATAAGTCTTAAATATAAAGAAAGCCAAAGGGATAATCGTCGGGAAAAACAAACATATAGCCAATAGATTAACAGATATCATAGTAAATAAAAAACTTACAAACATATAAAATTCTGGACTGCTAGGTGAATGAAAAATGGCACTTAATTCAAGAAATCAACAGAGGAATAGAGCACGTAGAGCAGCATAAAAGAATAAAGTTGGAGTATTTCGTCCACGTAATGAGAAATACAAAATATAAATAGCTCTATATATTCAGGGAAAATAGAGACCACTCGTGGTCCTGTTCGCTGAAGAACATCTTGGCTCAAAAATTTTCGCCAGAGGTATGGAGTAAACACCACGACATGTTTAGGCGGATAAAGTAAAGTGAAGATCTGATTGACAATGTTCTGGAAGGACACGATAATTAAAGAAGAGGAAGAAAGACTCCGGAAGCAACTTTTTCTTAATTAAGATCCACCAAAGGTTTATTCGTTTATTTGTAGATCACATGTACTTCAAGTTAAAAAGACATAAGGTGAATTATAATGTTATATGTTAAGAGTACGTTCTTAAAATAGAAAGTAATCATCAGTCTCAGCTTTACATACTAAAAAGTTATTAAAAAAAAAACAATTCACCATTAAGTTTGAGGTTGTTTCAATCTTCAAAGATTTCCCACCTTCTAAAACGTTGGAATTTATTTTAGTTAATCAGTTTTGGGACATTCTGCATCTATAGATTTATCCTTTCAAAAACTATAAAATGTTATTTGAACATTCGAATTGCATAAGGTTTGGTAGATAAGGATTGGGTAAAATACTTTGTAAAATTGTCTTGGTACGTGAATGCTACTCGGGGATTATTTCAAAAAGAGATGCATATATTCTAGTGATGTTGACCGCATTAAATGTTCAAATCCGCACGAAGGAAAATTATTGGTGAATGAAGTATTGTCTATTAATGTCGACGAGCTGTTCACTCTATTATTTACTTCGTCGAAGTTTTACCTGGACTTTCACGCATTTCGAAAGACGACAAATCTCATACAAACTCCATGGAATCACAATAATGAAAATAACAGTGAAAATCGAGTAATCAATATGACTTACGCTGTAACCCAACCCATTGGACCGAAAACATCCGAAGTGACAGAAACCCAGGTGCGCATTAAAAGTGATTCGAATGTACTCTGTACTGAAGCGGTTCACTTTATTTTGTAGAGAATACTTCCGTGCAGTAAAGCTGGAATTTTTTACGCCATAGACGTAGATTTAGAAAACGCTGGCATACCATACGCAGACAGCTTTTATTCGCAGATTCACTACTGTTTGAAAAAAGTTTCCAACACAGAAGCGTCAATTTCTATTTATTCGCAGCTAATATTCAGAAAGAAAATTTGGGGTTTGGTTAAAGGTAGCTTACACAGAGTCACACGAATTCTATTCAAGTAATTCATAGTAAGATTTTAGGAATGCTGGAAAAAAATGTCTGGGCCGGAACGGAAGAATTTTTCGATAGTTTAAAAAACGCTTTGCTCCAACATATAAGCGGAAATATTTCGAAAAGTAGACCAAACTTAAGAAAAAAACATCATCGCCGTGGAAATAAACGTTCGAGAAGTTCAGTCAGTAAGTTACACATAAAACGAAAATTATACGGAGTTTTTTCGTATATTTTTGCGCTAACCAACCCATAGGGTCATTGATAAATATGTAATAGACAAAAATGGTAAAACTAAAATAAATTTTGTATTTTTCATGGCCTTTCATCAATAATTTCTGGTGGGATATACAAAAAATATTGATTTTATTACACAACGTTTCAGACAGATCACCGTTAACACGTGTAAACACAAGTTTTATGCCCAGGATGATGGTTTACTAATAATTAATACGAAATGGTTTGAAACTCATATCATATTATCAACAGCGATCGTTAAACCCAAAATCTGACTTCATTAGAAGGACATTTTCATAATCTAAAATGTTACCTATAGACAGTTTAATTCACTTAATGACCATCTCAAATTTACCATTACTAATAGTTGTTCCTGGTGCTTGTGAGTAAAAGTAGTGGAGCAACGAAATTGGGGATAGTTTTGTTTAATAAAGCCTATCAATGCTGGAGCCTTCCGTAGGTAACTTTACGGTTGAGTGTGCCCAACTCGGTCAGTTGTCTTAGGAACCAGCTTAGTTTCCGAAAGGTTGTAAGTAAGTAAAAGAATAAAGACAATGACAGTGCGAACTTCTTTTAGTTTCAATACTGGAATATTATTTCTCGCCTTTAATTTTTGAGAACTTTTTCCAAAAAGATGGCATCACACCTTTTTTTATCACTCATGACTGATGCTGTAGTACTCAAAAATACACTGCAAAAATCATCAAAATTCGCTACTGCTTACTGCTAACTATGTTTACAGGAATAGTAATTATTATTTTATATTTTTTACTATTCGTTTGACAAATAACTAGAAAGTGGTAACCTAAAGAAACATGAAGACAAAATTATGAAATTATAGAAAAAATAGCACATTTGTATGTCCATTAAGAACGACCACTAACACTCACCTACATCGATCACTGACATCCTATATTTGGATATAAAATGTGTTCTGGATACAAAACTTGACAAATATACCTATAAGATCAAGTTCAACTAAAAGAAAAATTAAGGTCTGCCAGCCATGGATATCAGCTGATACTTTTACCCTATGGTATTACCCTATCTATTAATTAACTCATTTGACCCGAAAATACCTCTAAGTGTATTATGTTTTAATTTTTTGGTTATAATTCTCGATCTGGTATGTATTAAAAAGGTTATTCAATTTCAATTTTTTAAGCTTTCTGAATTTTTCTCGAAAACGATTTTAATAAAATTAATAAAATATCGCCATTCTAAAAGTTAAAGAAATTGCGTTCCAGGTTATATGCTCTCGTTTCCATTGCATACTGAAATGCAAAGCCATGGGGAGATATCACTTAAACTAACTACTAAAATTAAATACTTCACATAAATAGTTTATGAAAATTGTTTCAAAATGTAGAATTTATTTAACAGAAATATTATTTATTAAAAAATGACTATTTGCTATTTGCTAGTCGTTTTGTTTGCACAGATTGAGTAGAACACTAAAGAGCAAAATAAAAGCAATAGATCAAAATTAGGTGAATAGAGATAAATTGGGATCCACAACTTTCACATATAAATTACTTTCACTGCTACTTAAACCAAATCACTTAGATAAAATGTGCTTTTTTAGAATTTCGAATTATTATTAAATGGATCTTTTATTTAGATTGTAACAAAATGGTTGTTTTGAGAACCAGCATTTGTTTTTAAATGTTTAACGTTTCTGCAAATTAATGAATTAATTATTAATTAGTTGTCGACGATTCCACTGAATATATTAATACTAAAAATAATCGTTATTAATCTTGAAGAAGGCAATAAATTTGATTTGAATTTGCAGCTCAAAATATTGAAAGACAGACTGTTAAATTTTTGCTTCTTTTATTACAATAAATAACATTATGCTCTTTTTGTCAATACAGGTTAAAAGTTCATTTACGTAACATATGCAATCTTATACACACAAATGAATTAATTAATAAGAACTTAATATCAAAATAATTGTGCAGCTTGATGTTTGACTTTAAATATCTCAACAAATAATGATTTTATGTTTACGTAGGATATTTCCATATAATTTAGCGAGAGTCAACTACTTATTAGTCCCTGTCGGCAGTAGCCAGAAACGATATATGTGATGCAACGTTTCGAACGTATTCGGGTTATGTTTAAATCATCATTGTTTGGTTGCTTAATAACTTTTTAAACTTATTTCCATCTATTATTTTTAAGTAAATAATGCCCTTCTTCAGGCAATGATCAAATTTAAAATATTTTCTTAAAATACGCGGGGTTGCCACGTTTCGCAAAATGATACTTTTCTCAATTTTCTTAAATGAGACATCCTGTATATTATTGGACTTTCGAATAGCCACTTTAATAGCAATTTCAATTATATAACATAGTACGAGTCTCTGACTTACCATATTGACTTAATTGGCAATTACTTTCCAATAATACATAAATTCCTTTACATTCATAATTTAAGAATCTTATAAATATGGGTCTTAAATGGAAAAAAAACTATTCATATTCTTAATAATATAGAAATATATAGAAATAGAATATAGAAATATATAGAAACCTGCCTGTTGAAAGATACAAACACAAAATTGATATTATTAATTTTGACTTTTTTGACATATTCTTAGCTTTGAAAATAATTGTAGTTCTCTGTTGTGGTAATATTTCTGATTTTTTGACAGTATGTTACAATATTTTAAGCGTATTTTTTTGGACTTCCACATTTTCTATTTATTTTATTAAGTTCCATTTTTGTTGAGTCTATTTTGTATAATGTATAAGAAGGAGGAATAAGTTGACCTATTAGAATATTATACCGCCAATAACAAAAGTCCGGCTCTTGCTCTAAGACAATATAGAATAATAATAATTTCCCCATGGGCGATTGCCAGGAAAAGAAATTTTCGTCAAAATATGCCAGCAGTTTCGAAGAAATGGCAATGTTTTAATCTGAAGATCAAGAATTCTAGGACCCATATTTTACCAACAAAATTTAACATCCGTACGATATTTAAACTTATGAAGGAACGAAATTCGACCACTTATTCATAATAATATTCCACAAAGAGAGCATCCAAATTTAATTTGGCAGCAAGATGAAGCAGCACCATCGAAGTGCTGCAATCATCGAAAATTTCAGAGAGTGGATTGGCCAGCGAGAAGTCCAGATCTGACCCCCATCGACTTTTTTTTGTGAAAGATATGGTTTACAAAAATAAACCTTCAACAGTTTTGGAAGTGCAGCAACGAGTTCGCGCGGCAATACGCTATCTGAATAAAACGTCTTAAATATCATACACCATTTAGAAATAGCATATACTACTTGTATTCTTCATACCGGATGACATCTTGAAAAACTGATTTAATTAATTTTGCTGTTAAGTGATATGCATTGGTAGTTAGTGTTAATTTATTATAATCATTTCACGTAGATATTTAAACGTAGAAATAAGTAATTTGCAAAATTTGGAAACATTGTGCAAAGCTTAATATTCTGTTTTTAATCTGACTTGCTCTAAAATGGTTGTGAAGAAGTTGATAAGGAGCCAATTCTCAGTTTCATATCTTAATTATCTGCCAATTAACCCAAAACGGTAAGTCAGAGACTCGTACTATGTTATATAATTAAAATTCCTATTAAAGTGGCTATTCGATAATATACAGAGTGTCCCAATAAAATTGAGAAAAGTGTCATTTTGCTAAACATGGCAACATCGCGTATTTTAAGTATTTTAAATTTGATCATTCCCTAAAGAAAATGATTATTTTCGTAAAAATAATAGATGGAAAAGAGTTTAAAAAGTTAATTAGCTACCCGACAATGATGGTTTAAATATAACCCGAATTCTGAAGATGATCACTAATAAGTTCGAAAGCATGCATTACAGACCTATACTCATATATATCGTTGAATTTGTCTTTGAAAGAACTATCCAAAAATGCATTAAAATGTAGGGTGTTTTATTTAAAAAATGTAATTTTGTTTCACCACCCTGTATATAAAAAAGTGACTATTTGAAAAATAAAAAAAATGAAGGTCATTTTAATAGAAACAAGTTTTGTGTTTAAAGTTTTTTTGTAACCCCGTAGGTTTCGAGATAACGTATAGGCCCCTCTAGTATGAATAGGATACGTCAAAGAGGTTTAAAATATTAGGAAAGAACAACTTTTAAAACTGCAACATTTTATCTAATCCAATATTTACAATTATTAAATTGTTAAGTTTTTAAACTTAAATTTTTAATTTTTACTATTTACAAAACTTTCTCTGTTCCTCTGCGGGTACCATATTTAAGAACGGATTAAATTAATGTTTCCTCTCTTTCATAATTTAATTTCTCATTTTTTTCTTCCACTAATTTTGTTTTTTTAAATTGTTACCGTGGCTGTTTCTTTTTTTTAGTTCTTTTCTAAAATGTAAAGTAATTTATTCTCGAGAAAAAGAAAAAAATGAAAAACTGAAAAATGTGCGTCTGGTTGTCAAAAAAAAATTGTTTCTAGATGGCCCTCCAAAGCAATCGCTTCAACTTGCAGGATTCAAGACAAGCACCCTTATTATTGTTGTTGTTATTTTATGCCTCTTATTGTTATTTCTTAATATTTATTTGTATTCTAAACTACGATATTTAGAGGAAAACTATTCAAGCCACGTTGTAAACTGGCCAAAATTAAAGTAAGTATTTCCTGGAATTAAAATTCTTTATTCGTAATTTATTTTATTCTCATAGAAACCTCTCAAATTCACATGATGAACTGCATGAACTTCACCAGGAGAACGCGGAAACATATTCACCACTAAAAACCACCTTACGATTTTTAAAACAGGTTTGACATAAATCATTGTTTTAACAATAAACTGTAGAATTATTTTACAGGTAGAACAATCTTTTGTTGAATTAAAGAAAGTTATTAAGCCAATTCGGCCAAAGGAATATTTGGGTTCTGAGCGACAAGATGCTTTGGCAAAATTAGAAAAAGAAAGGGAATTATGATGTTGATTTTCCACTATTTTTCAAGAATTAAATATTCATTAATAACCGTTTTGAATAAAAACAATTGCCATAGTTTGGTTTCTTATTTATACATAGTGATTTAAATCGCGCTACATCGTGTAGTCATATTGTTTCTTGCAAATTCATGAGGCTTGATGGTTGGCTGTAGCTCACAGGGAGAGTTATATTTTGATCTGAGGGATTACTGTATTACTAATCATGTGGAATGTCAATATTACCACAATACCTAACATAATAAATTATAATTATAAAAATAATAAAATATAATATAATTGTAAAAAAATAATATTATAAATTTATAGTTCTAAAAATGATAAACGAAATATCAACATTGTTACAGTTTAATATTATAGAAGTTGATGATGATGATGATTTTTCAAAGAAACTTCCATACGCTACTCAAATACTACTTTTTACAAAACTTCTGGATTCCTCCTGCGTCGGTTTTTGCTGAGTCGAACTTGCTGACGTTTCGCCAATCATCCTGTTGGCTTCTTCAGAGCTTGACTGAAACTGGCGAAATATGCGATACTCTGTACCTGCCTATATATTGTGTGACAGGGGCGCAGCTAATTGAGGGGCATAAACACCGCATCGAATGACTGATTGCCATATTGGTGACAGGTAGAGACTTGAGTCGCGGTTAAGATTGTTAGGTTGTTTATAGATTTTTATAGACTTTCGGATTTTTCGTTGGTAGAAGAATTGATTACATTCAAGAATTTTAGTTTTATCGAATCAAATTTTATCTCCGGTTTCGTGATTTCGTTCGGCAACAGCTGATGAGTTTATTTGTTGATTTAGTTGATATTTGTCGTCCAGTTTCTCCAATGAATTCTTTGCCGCATATGCATGGAATGCTGTAAACGCCTGGCATCTCAAATGGAATTTTATCTTTGACGGACTGAAGATGTTGAGAGGTTTTTGGACAAGTGGCAAATCTGGTTTTGACGTTATACTTCTTTAGAACTTTTGATATGTGGTCAGTGATATTTTGCATGTAAGGAAGGACCACAGTGGCACGTGTAGGATTGCTTTCGGCCTCATTGCTATTGAAAGGTTGTGGTGAAGTGTATTTTTGATCGAATAATATCTTTAATGTGGAAATTATTAGAGAGAAGAGCAGAGGTAAGGTGTTTTAATTAATAAGAGAGCTGATAACCGATGATTTTTGGGCCGGAGTGTCATGTGACCATGCATTAAGGTATAGGTAGGTACACAGCTTTTCTGCAAACACAATGACCCAATGTTAGGTCTGATTTTCTATTGATAAGAACATCTAAGAATGGAAGGTTATTAGTTTCCAACTCAATGGTAAAACGTATATTAGAGTGTATAGAGTTTAAATGTCTAAGAAAATCTACAAGGGTTTCTTGACCATGAGGCCAAATAACAAAAGTATCATCGATGTAGCGTTTCCATAATTTTGGTTTTAGATGAAAGGTATCGAGAGCTTTCTTCTCAAAGGCTTCCATAAATATATTCGCGATGACTGGTTATAGTGGAGAACCCATGCTGTTTCCGACGTTTGTTCAAAAATTTGACAGTTATAAGAAAAATATGTGCCGGACAAGCAACTACAGAGTAAAATGCGAGCCAGTTTCAATCAAGCTCTGAAGAAGCCAACATGATGATTGGCGAAACGTTAGCAAGTTCGGCTAAACAACAACCCATGCAGGAGAAATCCAGAAGTTTCGGAAAGAGCTGATGATGATGATGACTAGAGAAAAACGAAACATTGTAACCGACAGGTGAAGTTATGTAGTAAGTATATTATACAACAAGTTTGATAAAGACCAGTTTAGTCATGGGTTAATTGAGCACTAGCGCAACGTGTGCTTACTAAACAAGTACAATCACTGGCTTAAATGCGCCAAAATCCGCCTAACATCCGATCGCTCCCAAGCCCGTGATTAAAGTATAGTTGCAATCTCTTCATTTTTGGTTTTTATTAGTTGGTATAGGACGACCACCGATCTCGGGTCAGGTTCCGGGACAGACTGAAGGCAGGGACGGACTCGTTGCTGTTTTCAAAATGAAATTAATGGATGAAATGTTGTGCGATTGGGAATTTACGAAGTGAATTTTTACGTCAGCCATTTTGAAAGCATCGGGGAACGCAAGATCTTTTGAGGCAGCAAGTGTTAACATGGTTTTTGTTACGACTAGTATGGAATATTTTAACCATTATTGTTATCCGTGTTCGATCAGTACCTTGAGCAATAGCCCGAGTGGAGCGTAAGGCATTTTTAATGAGTTCGAGAGCTGGTGGTCATACTATACCGGGAATGTCCGAAGTAGCTCGCCGCCGTGGATTGTAAAACTGACGTCTTAAAGTGACACTTTCCGCATGCATGCATTATCGGGCATTTTAGAATGATTGTAAAAAAAATAAAATAAAATGTATGTAATATAATATAAAATACCAAAAATTTGAAGCAGAATTACGAGATCATAAGATCTACCTTCACGTTGTGCCGCCATCGCCTAATGCTATGCGCTATTCTGATAGCCAAACAAAAGAAACAATCGTGCACAATTATTGTATAGTTTATTCTCAGGAAATAAGATCGTAACAAGTTTTTGATAGAATAAAATACAAAAAATAACAATTTATCCATGTGTTCCCTAAATGAGTCAGTTTGTCTTATTACTAAATACGCATTGGTTTGGTAGGTGTTCTTTGTTTTAAATCGTACATTAGGTATTTCAAATTCGACTCCCACCATTTACAACTGAGACACAGTAAAATTTTCTAGTCAGTTGTGGTAAGTATTTGAGAAATTAAGGTTGATTTTGGTTGGAGCGAGTAAATTATGTGATTTGAAAATATTAACTTTTTCATCTGTTGCGGCTGTTTTGTTTTTCGCAAACCATCATATCAACTTTAATTTTCATTTGCAGCCTTATGTTGTTGCCTTTTTAACGACGAAATAAAAATCATCCTATTGTTGTTTCAATGAAAAAAAAAAAAAGAAATAATTAACAAAAATTCTTTATACCATTATATTTTTGAAAATTGTCTAATTAACCAAACTTAAGGGAAAAACTGAAACATTACATTCGAAGTGCATCAAAACACATATCCAGGACATCAGGACATCGTATGCCCACCAGAGCAACAAAAAGAATAAAATTAATGATTTTCAAAATATTGGCGACTCACATCACAAAACAAAATTCTACACTCATCTGTATGTTACGATCTACGCTATCATATGTGTCTCTCTTTTAATCAATAAGATTCTAATTTTTATATTGTAATTTTCATTTTTTCTGAGGTTTCAAGAGTCGAATTTCGAAAACCCGATTTTATAGAGCCAAACTCTATAAATATAGATTTAAGTAAGCTTTTAGAATATCGTTTGCCGATTTTATATTTTTGGAGCATAGTTGAGCATATCAGTCTTGCAATATTTAAATGATAAATGGTTTGCACGTGAAATAATTGTATATGTGCATGTCAAGTTGTCATCAGATTCTACCAAATAGAAACAATATTAAAATTAACAGTTACAATGCTGAATGGCTGGTTAATTAAAACCAGTGAACTAGAGAATGGAGAAACATTTGCAACAAATATTCGGCATATCCATATATATATATATATATATATATATATATATATATATATATATATATATATATATATATATATATATATATATATATATATATATATATATATATATATATATATATATATGACAATTTTCGCTAAGGGATAGGTACATCTTGTGCATTAGTTATTGAGTGCGATTTTTTTATGGAATGCCAAGGGGCTTCGAAGTGTTATCGTCTGGACTGTCATCGTCATCTTCCCTTCTCGACCTTACTCTGACAACTTGCCGGTGTTGATTTTCAAGACTGTCAGAGCTTGTTCCGTAAATGGTGGCTTGAGTTGAGCTTGCCAAACGAACTTTCTCGGATGAGACATCGTCTGTATCGCTCGGAGCGAACAGAATACCCAAATTGAGTTGAGGGATGTCGTAGAAAACGGCAAGCGTTAACATCATAAAAGTAATTCCCAAAAAGAGGTACGCTGAAATATAAATAAAGTCCATGAACCATCAGCAAGTTATGGGAATATTTCAATATAACGGTGTTGAACCAAAAAATTCTGAGATATAAAATACAACAGAAAGTTGTGGTGTTGTGGCTGTAAACTGAGTATTGTATGGGAAAAGTAGGATTGCGGTAGTACTAGTACCACTAGTTTGTAGTCATGAAATCTAGAAGTCAAATTAAGAAATCAGGCAGGGGTTTAAATTATCCAAGGCATATTTTTTCTTCATTTTTTTGCCTTATTTTTTCTGACATGGTTTTTGTTTTTTTTTTAGTTAGTTTTCGACCCGTTACTCTGTTGAAGAGTGGTGCATTCAGCCCCTGGCATTTATTATTGTTTTTCCTCACAAGTAATACTTCATTTGAGATGGAATATTCACCTAATTTCAATATTTTCTGAATGTTTAGAGAGGTTAAATCGGTCATAAATAGCAATTATTGTTTTTTTACAGGGGTGTGCATATTTAGCTAGGTTTCGCTTTTCATTTGTAGAAAAATAAAATGTTTTCTTTTCAACTTATATAATTTTTGAATTTTTTCAGTACTTTTTACATATGGTTAAGTTTTTCCATTTGTGGTCAAATTATTTCTGGAAGAGATTTCAAAGCTTATATTTAATTTTTCATTTATGTACTAAAAATACAGTCTATTCAAAAAGATTTTTTTTTAATTGAAATAATTTAAAAACTGGTAAAGATACTAATTTTTAAATTAGTGGATTCGTGTTTTCACACTTAATAATACATTTTTCTGTTTATAATTTGTTATTCTGTAACGCCTAGGCTTCATATTAAAAAAGGGTAATGCCGTCTGTCCACATCTTATTAATGTACGAAAATCCTGCTTTTCACAAAGTATGCCATGGGTGGTTGATTACAACTGTTTAGCAAAAGCCACCTCCGAGTTTCTAGAGAGATAGATTAAACTTGAACTGGTTCTCTGAAAGTAAAGTTTGATTCTTTCGATTTACCTGTTGTTAAAATCTTATAGAGCGGTCTATAGGGTTGATTAAAGGAGTCGCCTGGGATATAGTCGCCCAAACCAATAGTTGTCAGTGATATGAAGCAGTAGTACAATGAATCTAGATAATCCCACTCAGGTTCTATTGACGCAAAAACAGCTGCTGGCATCGCAAGGAATACTAACACCAAAATTGCGGCTAGAAATAAAACGGATTGAATTAAAACTATTTACTACAAATGTTTTGTTTACTGCATTAACAACGTATTATTATTATTATACATTATAATTTGATGTGCGTGGAGTACTCAGAAACCCTTCCGACAAATTTTAAGATATTATACCTATTTGTAATGACGTCAGGCAGGTTGACAAAAACTTATATTCTCTGATTATTACAAATATCAGGTTGCTATACAATGTAGGATAAAAATATCATGTTATCTTGAGATTATTAAAGCAATGTTCTGTGCGCTGAATTATATATATATATATATATATATATATATATATATATATATATATATATATATATATATATATATATATATATATATAAATACGGTAATGGTTTCTATACGTTAGGGTTAATCCAAATACACCTTTTCCGAAAGTGTCATGTGAAAGTCAAAAATTGTGTTTGTTTTCTGTATTTTGAGGAAAAAACTAAAAACCAAGGTCAATATATGTTGGTAAAAATAACATGTAGCGGAAGATGCGATTATAAAACTGTAACTTCTATGGTTAATAATAAATGATTTTCAATAAAACAAGGAAGATAACTAAAGGCTGTGCCATGTCGGCTTAGTCAGTTGAAATAAGCAGCCGGAACGCGCAAATTTATATAAAATACTGATATGAATAGAAACCTTTATTATTCGTCTTGTGTATGGTGAATACACCATAGTATTTACACAACTATGTAAATAGTATTGTGTAAATCGTTAGTGGTTTTATTGTCTCTATGGTCGATTAATAAATTTTAATTTTCAAGTTTTATGCGAAGAGACTTGTTTAACTTCACCGTCGTGTTTGTCGAATCAATTTAATCAATTTAAAAAAGTAACAAAATCATTTGGAAGTTCTTATTCCACACGTTCCTAAATTTTGGCGCGATTCTATCAAGCCATTTTTAAATAAAGAATTTAAAAATCGATAAAAGTTTTGGATGTGTTATTATGTATTCAACAACTTTCAGCAGTTACCCTAATATCTTGAAGTTAAAATGATCAACAAGCCATATGCTCCCAAAAAAATATCGATGGCTACACATATTTGACAGAGGTCAATAGGAAATTAAATAGATTATTTCAAAATTTCGTCAAAAGAAAAATTTAATCAATATATCTGGTGAGCCTTATTGAATGTATGGGTTAAGTTATGTCCTCAAGGTAAAAATCATATAATCTATGAACAAAGACTATTTTTGATCAAAAATTTTAAATCTAGATATATTTCCAATTGGAGATTTGAGATGTACTATTGACATAATTCACTAAAATAATTATATTTGGGGCCCAGTGTACATGTACAACAATCTGACTATGATAATAATAGGAGAACTGCACTTTTTTATGCGATTGCTATCGTAAATAAAGAGTCGATATGATATTCTCTAAAGATTACTTTTTTTCAATATAAGAATCTTTCTAAAGTCATCATCGTGTCTGTAAAAAACCAAGATTTTCGTTGATCGCTTTTTTTTTATCAGCTTATTTTAAAATTAAAAAAAAAACTACAAATCTATTGTCTTTGGAAATTTCTTCCATTCGTAAACTTCTAGAAGTCAAATTCCAAAGACTGTAACTTTACTCAATTTATCAAGAAATACCCGTTGAAGTTCAGTTCACATCGATAGTTTGAAATTGAAATGAAATGAATAAAAACTAAATGAAATGAAAATGAAAATAATTCAACTAATTATGAATTATATATAACTATCGATCAAAAAGAAGGCAATTTCATAAGTGACCCATCACTAAGTAAAAAGAAAGACCAAGAACCCTTCGCCCATGGCCTGTGACACTTACCGCACGAGTTTGTAGTGGTGTTTGTATCCTGATTTTTAAAAGTGCGTGTGTATATGTCTGCCTTAAAACTGGTGATAGTTACATAATTTTTGAAGTCCATTGTTAACGATGCTTACCTATGATACATAGATGCAGAAGACGTATATTAAACGGCTGGTACAAGTGTCCCAACTTAGAGTTAAGCCACTGCAGGAGCCCGATTGTGGGTATCAACATACGTTCTACCATCGCGGAAAGGAGGACCAATGTGAGTGGGATCCCTATCATAGCGTATAGAATACAAAACACCTTTCCGCTTCGACTCAGAGGTGTGACGTGGCCATAACCTAACGACACCCTTATGAGGAATATGTAATGAAAAATCAACGTTCTCCTTACCTATGGTCGTCACTACCGTGCTGGTAAAGAATAAAGATTGAGCAAAGCTCCAGTTAGATTCACCTGTAGCGTTTTTTATAGCTGAGACACCTCGGTTGCTAGCGCTTATGATTTCTACTATAAGTTCTTCAAGTGCTTCATCTGTAATAATTGGAGTTTATTATAGTCCTTCACGTGGTTTTTTAAATTAAATGTAGATTTTATGATTGTAATTCATGTAAACATATTCCAATCTAAGAAGTTAAAAAAAATCTTAAAAGTAAAATAAAATTTGGTACTATAAAGAGAATTCAACTTTACATCTGTTTGTGACTAAAATATGAAAATTTGGTATTGTATTAATTAATAGTTTGTAATGTGTTAAATGTTGTTGTTTTTAATTACTCTAACAATTCTAGACACATCTCGTGAATGATGTTCTATAGATAAATATCGCCGTTGCTGAGATGTTCAATATTTCGCGCCATGTAAATTTCTTGGCTCGAGAGTATTAATTGGTTGTATTAATACGTTGTTCGATGGTCTTATAACAAGAATACATTTTATTATACAGAATCCGTTATAATTTCAGTCGAAGAACTATGGCTTGTTTAACCAAAAAAAAAAAAACAAAAACAAAAAACAAAAAAAAAACAAAAACAAGCAATGTCAACTAAACTACTAAAATGTGGTCTAAAAATAACATATTTCAAATTGCTTGCTTCCTTCAGGAATAACAAATTTTTCTTTTGCAAACTCCATACTAAGAAACCAAGCAATCAAGAATTAAATTTTAACTTTCGTGTGTGTCAACAACTAAGTTGATGTGAAATTTGTCCTGTTTGTCAGCGATATGTTTTTTCTTGTATATTTATAAAAATATCCAGCCTTTCGACCCGATATCGGATTTGAAATGAATTATTGCCAAACCCTGCAATCTGACCGTATATTTGGTTGGAAAAAAAATCATAAACACGCTGACCCATTGGACTCCCAATGCGGTTATCGCATAGTGGCTAATATTCAGATTTTATGTGTGCGGTGCGTTATCAACACACAATTGCAAAATCCTAGATTATCAGACAGCACGTCTATATCAGCGAGTAACAATATTTATTCCGAATGCAAAATACAATACAAGAGACTATACTATTGTTACGTGATCCTCTATGAAAATAAGATTTGTTCAATAAATCTTAAATAAATCTTTTTATAAAACTTCTTTGTTGACTCGAACTTGCTAACGTTTCGCCGATCATCTTGTTGGCTTCTTCAGAGCTTGACTGAAACTGGCTCGCATTTTAATCTGTACTGCATCTCAAGTTTACGGCATTGCATTCATATGCGGCAAAGAATACGTTGGAGAGACCGGACGTAAAATATCAACTAGCCTCAAAGAACGTGAAAGAGCCTTAAGACTAAGACAAATAATCTCATCAGCAGTTGCGGAACACAATCACGAAACCAGGAATTAAATTTTATTCCATAAAATTAAAATTCTTGCTTGTAATCAAATCTATAAACAACCTAACAATCTTAACCGCTACTCAGGTCTTTACCTGTCACCAATATGGGAGTCAGTCATCCGTGGTAAATTCGAGTCAACAAAAACCGACGCAGGAGGAATCCAAAAGCATTACAGTAGCCTGTGTTTTCTTGTGTTTCTTTAAAAAAGTTTAAATGAATCATTTTGTTTATAATTTTTACCCTGTATACCTGAGGCTTTTGGCTTCACATTGAAAGAAGAGCATACTGGATCAGAATTAATATTGTTCGCTTTTGTCAACCCGGTTCAAAATTGTTAAAATTTTTTGTCAGTTAGTTTTGACATTTAAGACTCTATATATTTAACTACTAAAATTGACCCCGATATATATTAATAAAGCGTGCGGAAAGTGTCAGTTTACAATGCCAGCTTCGGTAGTCATAGGCGCGAACACCTCTTCTGACATTTCCGGTTCTTTAGTTACGGGATTGGAAGCAATCAGATGTTATCGGTAGATTGTTGTCACGAAGGGATTTTGACATTTTTTAATTTTGACGGTCATGTACGTTAGTCAGTCAAAAATGATCTTAAAAAAAGATATAATATGCTCCGCTCGTGCCAAATCAAACTTGTAACTAAAGTGGCGTTTATCAAACGTACATATAAAATGCCTTTGCTTCTCATTATTTTATTTCCAAAAATTGTTATAGATTAACTTTTGTCAATGTAAAAGTAAAATCAAAACAAAAGGTGGTTTTAAATATTTAATTTCATTGCCAGTTTTCATCGACATTAGACTATTTTATATAAATATTTTTTTGTCGACTTTTAACAGTTATTCAAAAATGGAATATATTAAAATCAAAACACTGTACCTACTGATATATGGACTAACCTGGAACATTGGGATAAGCCTTGATGAAATTTTCAATTTTATCTTCAAGTCTTATTTTAAGCTTAAGCTCTTCCGATACTTCGAATGCAGAAAACGTTACAGCTCCGGTGCACAAAAACATTGCGTACAAAAATATGTAAAATAAGAAGTAACATGAATTCTTTCGAATGCCAAGTATTTTCACGATCGTTGCTCGACGAACAGAGAGAAGTAATGGTTGATTTTCTCCGATATAATAATAACTCGTCTCCATTTTTGCACAAGATTTATCACCAGATACAAAACCGGCACAAAAACTATTCAGAGGTTAGTCCTTAATTCCATATTCCTAAATAAAGTACAAAAAAAGTGATTCTTTAATTGGTTATATCGGCATTTGGGTTAAATTCATATTATGAATATATTGCCACGCATCGATCAGGCAAGGATGAGTTTACAAAGCGAACTAATTTGATAAATAACGAGCGATTATATTATGGTACATTATGAATAATATCAGTAAAGATTTATCGCATTTTCGGGTTAAAACACAGAGTTTATGCTAACATAAAATAAAAAGTATGCTTATATCAAATATCTTATCGGCTTTCCTTTAATGTTATTTAGCGTGTTTACCTAAATACTACAGAAGGGACAAATGGTAACAATTAAGAGTTAAGAGAAAAACAGAAACTACGATTCCTTTTAATTTAGTCTGAAATTATTTTTGCGATCGCTTTACACAGTCAATGAGACAATCTTCTGACAAGTCGACACAAACTGTTTGAATCAAGAAAAGAAATGTGACATCCCACCTAGGATCTATGGGTTTCTGTTATTAGTAGTTTTTAAAACGACAAATCAATCATGTATTTTGTAGTCATGTAGTTTCTGGGCAACAATTTCTGAAATATAGCCAAATAATTAATTTTAATTTTCAGCAGGTATTTACCATTCTTAAAGGTACTCCGAGATTATATTAAAAAATGAAATACTTACCTTTTACGCACGGATTTTCCTTTAGAAAGTTGTACCGCAAAGTTCGAATTTCTTGAACCTTTTCTAGTTCTTCGGGTTCTTCTATTGCTGCGAATATAGAGGCACCGACAATAAGAAATAGTATGTATCCCGTCAGGAACAGCGAAAATCGAAACATTCCCCTGCTTGTAAAAGGCATGTCTCTTGCAGAGAAGCACTATTGCTACTAAAACTGGAATAAGTAATATGATACTGTATAGCAAGTATACATAGACAGGGACAGAACGTTTATACAAAATTAACAATTTGGCGTTGCCAAAATAAACGAAGAATTATCACTTTTGTGACACCTTATTCGTTATTACATATTGCCCCAGTAGGCTACAGAAATTAATATTAAGTAAACATTCTTTCTTTATAATTTTAACTATCTGGTATTTAAATAGGTCATGTGAAAAAATATGGGTTTTTATTTATTGCGTAGAACATTATTTATAAAAACACTAAAAATGTATTAAGTTTTCTTTGTGGTTGAATCATGTATTTAAAAATCTTATTTATTGGAAAACAGTACACAAGAACAATGTGTCCTATTTTGGTTATCTGGGTCCTTAGTGAAAAAAAATGCCGCAAACGATATAGCACTCTTAATTTCTGAGTTTCTTTTTAGGTAGAATCTAGAAATATGTGTCAACTTTCGGTATTTTTGATGCAAAAATCTATATATCTTTCAAAACTGCCAAAGCTAGAACGATAAAATTCATAGCCTGGAGGTTTTTGAACATGCAGAATTCACGTCACGGCACACGTCATACTTTTGTTATTTTAAATAGAATGTCCAGTTGCAAATGTAAATTTAGTAAAGCCTCATAAATTCTTTTTTTTTATTAATTACTGAGCTACGGCAACTCCGTAACAAGTACCAGAACACTAAATAATCTCAAAAACTGCGAAAGTTGGAACTATAAAATTCAATATCTGGGATTTTCGAAACATGCAGTTAAAAAGTTCTTAACATCTTAGTAAAAAAGTAAAAAAGTAAAAGTGGCCAATCTGACATGTTCAAAAACCCCGAGGTATTGAATTTTATCGTTCTAGCGCTGGTAGTTTTGGTTCCGATGCCTTTTAATAACCGAGTATGGTGGTAGCTACGTGTTACCAAAGAATGAAAAAAATATTATTTTTCTTAATTATCATTAAAAAATTTGCAGTTTTAATAACTCTTTTAATAACTCTTTTAATAACTAAATTGTAGTAGAATTAGAATGTTCTCAAATTTTCAAAAATTCGGATTAAATATTAATTTAAGTATATCTAAGATTTTTCGTAAATTTTTAGGTAGACTTAAATGACATTTTAATTATAATGACAATAAAGGGGTTGATTCTAATTTAGGGTCCTATAGTGATATTTGAGAAAGGTGCAGAATCATAAAAATTCGATTTTGGCGTCGATTTCATTGCAAACAGGTTTGGGAAGTATCCACACATTTTCTCCTCTTCACTCAGTAGCTTAAGTTCTTTCTTTGAATGTATTGTCTGCTGCAATAAATCCTTTCAATTGCGCCAATATAAGTTCTATAGAATTTAGGTCACAATGAACGGTGGTGTGTACTGCACAGTTACAATATATTTTTCTTCTCTAGCTTCCACGGCGTATTTCATAAACCGATGTAATGTAATATGTATATGTAATAGTTTCTTCTTTATCAAATTGCCTTTGAATTCAATATTATTTTTGGTGGTTAATCAAAGATAAAGTTGGTATCTTCTCTATTCATAGCAAATGATAGCTTGGTTATACGTAACTACTAGTGAATCAGCCGGAAGATTTTTTTGTTGAGAAAAATGTTTATTCTAATTTCAAAGAAATATACAAAAAATTAATTGGGACATAATTTCGCACATTAAGTATGCATTTATTTCTGTATATTTGATCTACTACAACGTGATCTATTAGGCTGTGACTACTTGTTGTCAACCGCGTAGCGTTCGATATATCTATTTTAATCTTAATGACAAAATTGTTTAACGCTATTGCACTTTTATAATTTTTTACCACACCATCATGATTCAATAGGTTAATATTGAAGTCACCGAAAATTATATGATTCTTAGGATATTTCGTCATTATATTTTCAAGATATTCTATAGATTCCGTACTGTTATATGAGGGTGAACGATATAGAACACTTAATTTTAGTTCATTATTACCTATTGCAGCACATAACCCAGTTGACCGTATCATTGGTAGTAAATTTACCAATTTCCCGGAACTAAATTCCATTTTTTATAAATATTGCCTCACTACCTCGTCTACTTTCTCAACTTGAATGTATAGATGTTTCAACTAATAACAAAATATCACGGATATTATTCTTTAAATAACATTGCACCTCGTCTAATTTATTTTTAATATTTTGGATGTTCATACGCACTTATCTTGATTTACTTTTCTTTAGTTTTTTAAGTCTTCCTTATCCTGAATCAATAAAATGTTACTATTATCCGTTTGTCTGAAAAAAATGTTGCCTTTGGTTATTTCACCAAATTAGTCAAAATTATCTGAATTTCTATGCTCCTGGTACTCTCCCGTTTAGCAAAACTTTTAAAAATCAATCTTCCCTTCTAATATGGACAATTATATTGGTCTCTGTCTTTTTCATGAAAACACCTTGATGAAAGCTTGGGGAGTATTGATTATATTTTTGTCCTATTACATTTTTGGTACCATTATTCCACATTCCTTCAAAATAAAAGATTTTCTTCTGCTCTCTTTGGTACCGCTTTATAGTTACTTCTCAAGCATTTTCTTTACCACCAACTGTCGGATTTACAAGAGGGATAGGGAAAGCCTATGGTCGAAATCGAAATTCAACGGAACTAAACGGAATTGGATTTAAACCTTCGAAGCCGCAAGATCAAAAGACTACAAAAGTTGTTCGGTTTCTTAAGAAGGGAAAGAAGATTTGTGCACTTAATGGATTGAAAGGTTTGAATATGATTGTATCACCTTGAGTACAAAAGACAGGGACGCGCCACCAAATATAACAAATTCAAACAAATCAGGGGAAACAGAAAATCGAAATGAGCAAAACCTAACGAACAGATTAGGTAAATTTTAGCTTACGAATAGAACCGGCTTAAATCGATTTTTGTTACCGAAATCGTCCCCATGCAAAGTGTTTCGTATATACCATAGGGATTTTAAAATACATTTGCAGACGCAAAGCTTTGCTCGAATTTGTACAGAACACGTTCCTTTCTACCTTCGACATTTCGAGCTGCTATTTATATTTATATTTCTAGGGAAATAAAGTTATCTACGTCCGATTCGAAAAATTTCGAACTTTCCAATATTAAATCGAGAAACGCACTTAAAGTTTGAAAATTACGCCGCTGGACAAATGAAATATTCTGCGAAAAATTTTTCCGATTATTATTCAGTCTCTAGGGCTTGATTTATGATATACATGACGTCCCTAGCAGAATTGATCGAAAGCATAAATTAAACATTTCAAAAACTTTAGGCAAACGTACTTTTCACATTAAATTATTACATCTTAGATGAGTTGGGTAATTACAAATGTCAAAAATTCAATTTAATTGAGGGTTTTGAAAATCACGAATATGCTGTGGTTGTCAGATTTACCATTTTTATGTTGCACACCATATTTTTTTAAAGGAATACGCTATTTATTTTTATTACAATGAAATGCCCATGTTCAATTCAATAAAGTACCGAAACACTTAAATATTTCCAAAACTGCAAAAACTGGAACGATAAAACTTAGTACCTGGGGGTTTTTGAACAGCAGTGTTGTCAAATTTACTACTTTTAATTAAAAAAATTCTTAATATCTCAGAATTTTGGATGTTTTGGAACACTTTTAAAGTGTATCAGTGAAAGGTTAATAGAATTATAAATATCATCGCGAAATCTGACAAAATTCCTGTTAGCATATTTGAATTTTGCATATTCAAAAACCCCCAGGTATTGAATTTTACTGTTCCAGCTTTGGCAGTTATAGAGATATAAATAAGTGTATATCAAAATGTAAGACCATTATATTGCTGTAAGAAAGATTTATATACGTTTCCAGCCCAGTCGATTGCAGTCATTTGAATGAAAAAGTTATTTTCTGAAGAAATACATTTAAGCCAATAATAATTCTTATCCAAAAATAGATAAGTGCTGGTTTTTGGAATTGCCCAAATTCAGAAAATTTGTTCAGGACTTGTACTCTACTTTGTTAACTATATATTTCTTTTAACACTTTTATTTGCCAGTTATTTTATTATTTTCAAAATGCAATATTTTCACATTGTAATAATTTAAAAGTAACTTAGATACTTAAGATTTTTTATATACTATGTAATATATTATGTAACATGTTTGATAAAGGCCGTTTTAGTCAGTTTTTAACAAACGAACGACTGAAGAAGTTTATTAACTTGTTGCATTTATATTTTTCTACAAGACAATGCATCAAATATCATTAGCGGCTCACTGGCAAACCCATGATTCAACTACCGTAAACGGACTTTTAAAGTAGCTCGCGATCGTAATTCACGAAGCAGATGTCAAAGTAACATTTGCCAACGCTTGCATAATTAGGTATTTTAGATTACGAAGTAGGAACAATATTTTTCAACCATGAACGTATCCAGCTGTTTTTGTAAAATGCCTTAAGACAACATCTTATCTTTTCGTTGTTACAATTTTGTTTCATTTTGTTTGGAACGGATTGTGTTTGAGTAAATTAAAACATACCTGCTTCAGCAAGCAAAAACTTAAGTTTAAGTTGTGAATGCTTGAACACAAGTAGTTTTATTTAAATTATATTTATCTTTTACTTATCCTATTTCAAATTCATATATGAGAAAGAAAACAGCGAAATTCTGGAAAATATATGTGAATTATAGTATACTAAATATGCATTAGTGGTACAAACGGACACTGACAGTGCTATTGGGAATGATACTGAGAAAAGAAATAGAGAATACAGAATAAAGAGAAAACCGTTTAACATATCCACCGTACAAAATTTTTAAGATTTTTATCTTCAAATATATATAGACATATAGCTTTTGTCCCACATCTTTTAAAAATTATCCTTTTCGTTTTATTTAATTGGTAATGTCTTTAAGTCTACCTAACGGCAGTTGAGATATTGAAATTAAAAAAAGAAATTTTAAGCTTGACCAAGAACTGCTTAAAATATTTCATACATGTTGTTTGAAACCTTTAAAAACTCTAGGAACGCCTATATTTTGTAACTTTGTATGTTTATAAATGTGTTCAATTGTTGTTCCTCTAAACAAACAACAATTATTTTGCGTTTTTCTTTTGGCACTAAAAACATAAACAACTGCAAGTACGCAGAAAATAAATTAAAATTTGATACCTGATTCGAATGCTGGCTCCTAAAACATCTTGGCTTAGTTCATAGTGGATTATAAAGAAGACCGTAGAATTTTGTACATCTTTCTGTTTTACGAATTGCCCTTAATGGTCCCTTTTGTGTTTTGTTATTTTTATATATACTCTAACACCTACAACTAAAGAGACAAACTTTGCATACGTATAGACATATAATGTTTACACTTACCTTAGCACTTATAAAGTGTTCTAAAGTTAATATACCTTAAATAGTCGGGACAGAATTGTAAGTAGAAAATATATATAATTTATGTTTGTAGAGGAATTGACGTTTCGTTGGCTGGAAACAATGTTTTTGACTGGACATTTGGGGGAATATGGGCGACGAACCTAGCCTAGTGACGTGTATCGCAGCTGACTTCGATTCCAAAGCTTCGGCGCCCTCGCGGAACGCCAATACGGGTGAGTTTCAAAACGGCGTTATAAGCTCCAATAATTTCATTTTTATTGCCCTCCACTTTGTTTTGTGCGTCATCGAAAACAATGTCTTAAGAAATGTGTCTGTCAATATTTTGAAACATTTTATTGTCATGCCCAGGTACGACATATTACCTTAACAAATAATGGCGTTATTGATCGGCTCCCGTTTACGTCATTTCGTTTTTATACAATATTTCTCCAAAGGAAATAAAAGTGCTACAAGTGAACTGGTGTTTTTATTCACAATCAGCGAACTTTAAAATTTGCTTACATTAAAATTAAGTTTAAATTCGCTCTGAATAATCCTCCAAGCGCAAATGAAACAACAATAGTTATAATACAGAGTTTTTGCGATTAAAGTGGTGCCATGTGAATAAAATTTATCCACTTCAGGCAAAGGGTTCCTCTCAGATCAGCAACACATTACACAAAAAAGTTCGAATATTTTCTTCTGAAAAACTGCATCCCTGCGCATACCTTTCCTTACACATAACATCGTACCAATAACATAACTAGAAAAGTTAGAAAGATTCTCTTCTCTCACGGCACTGATTAGCCTTTTTACAAAATCTGACGTTAATGAAACTGTTATATCGCTCGAAAACTGCTTAAATCTCTACCAACTTATAATATAAATTTATCGCAAATACCCTACGGGCAAAGTAATTTGTCTTCCATAGAGAACCCAAAGTCATTTCGTCACATATAGGTAAATAAATAAATACGAAATATTGGTATCGCAAAGAGATTAACCATGAGATAAAACCATTTCTATAATTTGTTTAACTTGAAACTAATTCAAAGATTTACAACACCCATATCGGGTTATCATAGCCCAGAATCCGAAATTGCTTGTTTAATTTAATGTGTGTTATAAATGTCTTTCTGCTTATCGGATTCTCCTGTTGCTAGAAGATGCAAAATAAATTTTACTTTGTTTTATATATTCCATTATCTATCCATACTATCATCAATAGCTTTCCCAAAAGATGCAAAAAACAATTTGAAATAGTAAATCAAAAATAAAAATTCGCAGGTATTAAATGTTGGTAGATCAATGGGCATCAATTCCATTGGTTGAATTTTATTTCACCTTCGGCAAACCTACATTTATAAAAAAGCAAAATATAGGGCAAATCTCCAACATTTTAAATAATTATTGACTACTAGCCACATATTTTTTATAAATGTTTTCCCCAAAAAAGCGTTTTACCTTTATTCTTATGACATAATTTTAGTGAATTCAGAAAGAAAAAAATACTTCTCTTCCCATGCCCATAAGTAAAATATATGGTAAACAGTAACTGAACCTGTTCTTGAAACTGTGTGCACGAATATTTGGATATGTAGTTAGTAAAACTGACTAATTGTTCAAAATACAGACATAATAAATAATAGATGCATGTGTATATAAAAAATGAAACAACAAATTCTATAACAAAGATTAAAAAATTGTAATGAATTATAAAGATTGAGATTTTTTTTTAGGACAGAGAATTATTCTATAGCGTTGTTTTATTTACATTCATGCATTTACGACACAAAATATACCTACTTCTAAAGATTAGAAATATTTTATGCCAACTTTGTCATAATTAGCTTCTGAAACAAGTGTATTTTTAGCTATAAAGAATCTCTTTTGTGCTTTTATTATCTTATCATAACATTTTGTCAATGACTTTCAACTAGACATTTCAGAAACCAGAAAATAGTTTTAAAAAAGTGCAAACGATATATATAAAATCTAACTTTTTTATTTAGGCCTTAAAATTAGGAAAGTTTTTACAGAGAAGAGAAATGCATAAGTAATAGATAAATACGGATGAAAATTTCTAAGATAAAAATCTGAACGAATCTTACATCTTTTCTGTCTATTGGATCACCGAATATTAACTTTAATTATTCTTCGGTGATTGATGCGTATAAGCACATACAATAGACTAATAACTTTTTGCAATGAACATGAACGTATTTTAAATGAATCAAAAACAGAAATGATGCTTTTTATCTTTACTTAAGGAACTGTCAGTCTATAGGTATGTAGTAGTTTGGCAGCTACCAGGTTGATATTCAGCTACTGCTATTATGGCTGCGTACAGTCCTACCTGTCATATGCCATCATGAGTCAGGGGTGGTGAGATTTTCAGGGCACAAAAAAGAATAATGAGAATTATTTCATTTATTCAAACTAAATTTATTAATATTCACATCTCTATTTATTTTGACTTCCAATATGCATATAAAAAATAATATATCAGATTACGAGTCCAGAAAATGTGACTTTAAGGTAAATTTCAATTTCATTTTGTTTGAATTCAAGCTAGCTAAAGTAGCAATTAATGCTAGCAGTTAAACTTAATAATAAACTTCCCACTGAGGTTAAAAAAATACAAAAAAGTAGTGCTTTCAAAAGTATGCCTAAAAATAATTTAGTAAAAAAAACATTTGATAAAGACACGGTGTTGTCGAAACAATTGTCATGTCATAATATATAATTTCGTGAAAATCTGAACTTTTAGTTCTTATTTATTTTGATAAATGGATTTTCATCAAGTAAAAGTCACCTCAGTTCAAATTAGTAAAAAATGCCTAAGTTGCAATGCCTCCGAGCTTTTGCCTTAATACATTTATTAAATTTAACATATTTATTTTTTTGTACACTTGTCAATATTAAATTGTTTGTATTTTTTATATTTTATTTATTTTTTATCCTATATTTAAATATATACTACTAAAATAAATAAAGTGAAATCACATTTTTTTCACCAAAAAATTTGTTCTGCAATTATATTTTGCTAAAACGCTGCTTACATAATCATGTAACAATTTAATTATTATTATATCTTTTTAACACACTCATTGGTAGTCTCGTTTATACAATTTAGGGATAGAGATCAATAACTCTTTGGGGTGGTCATTGAAGTTATTCACGCATCGAGCGCATGCGTTTCGTAATAAGATCAATATCGCATCCCTTCGCGTGTATGGCTCCTCTCCCGTGTATGTTTCAAATAGCTAAACCGTGGTCAAAATTTGGGTGTTTTCACTACAAGAGTAAATGTAAGTATTACTTCTATTTGATTCATTCAAAAAAAAATTCGTGACTTGAAAATTAAATCTAAATAAATTCTCTTTTTAGAAAATATAATACATTGTTGCAATGTCTTGTCTTGGAGATTGTTTCGATATGGGCCCACCTCCAGATACTATTTTGTTTATGCCTCCACCTCCTGCTCCGACATTTTTGCTACCTGCTCTGGCTCCCATCAATATCAGTCATTGCTCTATTACACAAAGGTGTGATACGTCCTCGAGCTGGACAGGTGTCGGAAAAATTCCAATAGACAGAGAGTATATAGAGATGCCGCGGAAAGGTAAAGAGGACTTTTATTTATATCCCGCGCACGCATATTTTAGTAGTCCGTCGCTAATATAATGCATATCCCTATTGATTTAATGCTAAATATAAACGTCAGTTTATATTTAGTCTAGTTTAATGGTTTACTAATTATTGAATCCCATTAATGATTTTTTTATTTGAAAATGATTTGTTTCCATCTCCCATACCTTTATTACCTTTTGTAATTTAGGAATGTAGAGTTAATTCATGTACATGCAATCAGAACGATTGGAGGCAAGGCACTTAATTAGAAAATACAAACAGTTTGTATTAAAATATTTTGGAATTTAAAAACTTTTCTTCTCCAGCCATTATCACACTTTTTCCTGGAACTCGGACCTCTTCCAAATCGTTGTCGCCATGTTGCATTCTCCCTCTTCTGCTGCCATGGGGGATTTCGGATCTATTGTATACCGAAACAAAAAGGTCTTCGAACTTTCATTTTCTTTATTTTTGCTCCATTACAAAACATTTGTGGCAGATGGATTACTGTACGTTATCAAGCGTAAACTAAACTAACTGAGTTACTAAAGACGCCAGAACTAGAACTTTCTACCTTCGACATTTCGAGTTGCTATTTATATTTATATTTCTAGGGAAATAAAGTTATCTACGTCCGATTCGAAAAATGTCGAACTTTCCAATATTAAATCGAGAAACGAACTTAAAGTTTGAAAATTACGCCGCTGGACAAATGAAATATTCTGCGAAAAATTTTTCCGATCATTATTCAGTCTCTAGAGCTTGATTTCTGATATACATGACGTCCCTAGCAGAATTGATCGAAAGCATCAATTAAACATTTGAAAAACTTTAGGCAAACGTACTTTTCATATTAAATTATTACATCTTAGATGAGTTGGGTAATTACAAATGTCAAAAATTCAATTTAATTGAGGGTTTTGAAAATCACGAATATGCTGTTGTTGTCAGATTTACCATTTTTACGGTGCACATCATAATTTTTTAAAGGAATACGCTATTTATTTTTATTACAATGAAATGTCCATGTTCAATTCAATAAAGTACCGAAACGCTTAAATATTTCCAAAACTGCAAAAACTGGAACGATAAAACTCAGTACCTGGGAGTTTTTGAACAGCAGTGTTGTCAAATTTACCACTTTTAATTAAAAAAATTCTTAATATCTCAGAATTTTTGATGTTTTGGAACACTTTTAAAGTGTATCAGTGAAAGGTTAATAGAATTATAAATATCATCGAGAAATCTGACAAAATTGCTGTTAGCATATTTGAATTTTGCATATTCAAAAACTCCCAGGTATTGAATTTTACTGTTCTAGCTTTGGCAGTTATGGAGATATAAATAAGTGCATATCAAAATGTAAGACCATTATATTGCTGTAAGAAAGATTTATATACGTTCCCAGCCCAGTCGATTACAGTAATTTGAATGAAAAAGTTATTTTTTGAAGAAATACTTTTAAACCAATAATAATTCTTATCCAAAAATAGAAAAGTGCTGGTTTTTGGAATTGCCCAAAGTGAGAAAATTTATTCAGGACTTGTTACCCTACTTTGTTAAATATATATTTCTTTTAACACTTTTATTTGCCAGTTATTTTATTATTTTCAAAATGCAATATTTTTACATTGTAATAATTTAAAAGTAACTTAGATACTTAAGACTTTTTATATATTATGTAATATATTATGTAACATGTTTAATAAAGGCCGTTTTAGTCAGTTTTTAACAAACGAACACCATGTTGCATTCTCCCCTCTTCTACTGCCATGGGGGATTTCGGATCTATTGTATACCGAAACGAAAAGGTATTCGAACTTTCATTTTCTTTATTTTTGCTCCATTCTAAAACATTTGTGGCAGATGAATTACTGTACGTTATCAAGCGTAAACTAAACTAACTGAGTTACTAAAGACGCCAGAACTAGTACGCCTTATTAATGGTTGCTATATAGTGGATATTTCCACACTTGGGCTGCTGAAAACGTCGTTAGGGCCTCTCCATAGTTTACGTTATGCTGCATTGACTAAACATGTATAATTGAACGAGAATTCTAGTAAAACTACCACTCGCGAAATTATATTTATGCATTTTTTTGGTTTCAAACTGTTCAACCGCTAGTACGAAAAACAACTTCATTTGTTAAGAATTGAAAATATTTTGTAGATATCTTTAAATACATAATGTCCCTGTGATATAATCATTAGACTTGCCAGAAAGGATTTAGATGCGATTTAAGGGATTGATAGAACTATTGAGAAGCTGTTCACTTTCGCCAGTGATAGCGAATGTGAATGGAATTTGTTTATTTATTTATACAAGCAAGGTTACTCAACACGAGCAACACGAATTAGAAAAAGAAAAATATTTACAAAATTCTGTTGAGGTAAGCAAAAAAATGTCTACCATAAAAAATAATGCTAAGGGCAATCTCATTGAAACGTAGAAACTCTGATTAGTTTTTTTAAAGACACGAGAGAATGAAACATTGAGATCTGGAATTGCAGAATATCCTTGGTCGAAGCAACATAACATAAAATGATCAAATTCCCGTATTTTCTATAGTGAACATCACTGGAAGAGGAGCAAATTTAAAGAAGTTCTCTTCATAGCAAATATTCCTACTAAAGCGCAGTAGTGGCGTATTTGGTGGACTACTTACGGTTAGGGGTAATAGGTTAAAGCCATTGCCTTCAGAATTAGTTTAGTTTGATAAGGGCTAATGACCTAGATGGCCGAAAAATATATCACATATTTAGCGAAATATATTGTATACTAATATGTGTGATGCATGTTTCTCGCAATTAGTTGTCTATTAGCTTATTTAATATTTCTCAATTTCCCTATATTAGATCATTGTATTCTAGCCCTAATGGGATTAATCTCAATACCTTTAATGATTAGAAAAGGAATACAAGGTTTACAAAATTCTCATCATCAATTGAAAAATAAACATGCTTGACGGTGGTAGACAATGATTCACTAGAAATACTAAGATATTGTCGAACATCCTTTGTCTTAATTTTATTTTTAATTACGCAATGTTTGGGGCAGTTATCAACTGTAGACTCCCTTGATATAAATATTAAGTACTAGCAATTTAAAAGAAAATAACGACAATGTAAGTTTGAAAATCTCTTAATATGTGTACATTCCATGGAATTTTCCATCTAAGTATGACTAGTTCACTTTATTTCTTTTAGATGTTGAAACTAACTGGAGCGTAACCGGTATAGACGATACATGGTTGTTAGTTTTAGTTGCGTCTTCGATAGGCGTTTTACTGTTGGGAGCTCTGCTGGCAATGTTCCTTTTGAAATGTCGAGAGTAAGTACGCCTGTTATATTTGATCGTTAAAAACCGCGGGAAAACGGAACTTAATTTTTTAACAATCTACCCAAATGCAGTTACTAAAACAGTGAAATTGATCGACGCGAAATTTCTCATAATCTTCGGGATTAATATGCATTTACGTCAATACTTTTACTTTATTTACGAAATCTCCATTCCTTCGCGCAGTGAGTATTGTGAGTATTGGAAAGTTTGTTACTTATCAAATATGTATGTAGGTAGTCATTCAAGAATAAACACTGAGATATCAGTCTGATTAAAATTCACCATATTCTGCCAATGAACTCGATACAACATATATGACAACGGAGTAATGGAAGTGTGAAGTAAATTTACAATAGGAAAACACGGCCAAGTAATGAATAGCCTCATCTTATTCTTGGTCATGTATGGGAGAGTGGGATTAATAAATAATATATTTGATGAACGTTCGTTTTTTAATTAATTTTGAGTATATTCTAATATTTTTCACTCAAAGACTCTGTCTGTTTGACTCATCTTTTTGACTCACACTGTATATCACAACCACTTAATTCAAAGAAGGATAAACGATTAAAATGATTTCACACTACCTTATAGCAAACCTTTACCTTTAAAAAACTGAAACCATTAGAAAAAAAAAGAAAAATAATATGAAACAATGTCTTATTACACTTATCTTAAAAGAATCCCCATTACTACCCCTCTCCCTCTAAGTAAAATTCGTCATAGAAAATCAATATTGCCTGCATTAGCGGAATCATTAAAGTTTAAATCGAGATCACTGACTAAAAATGATTGCTAGAATGAACTTGTTTGGCGGGTCGGATCGTTGTACACTTCATTCAAGAGAACATCGAGAAATAATGAAACACACGGACACTCGAGACTGTTCGGTGTTATCCAATGGAAACAAATTGGCCATACCATCGGACGCGGTACTATACCATGGGACACCTAATCTTCAAGATAACCGTCTGATGTGGGCCGCGCTGACCCCAAGAGGAACGCAGCATTTTATTTCGGAGAATTATCCCAGGTAAACAAATTCTTGTTTCATAATATTCCACGAAGCCCTAAACTATCTCTCTTTGTCACAGAAATCTGATCAAATACGATGAGTCCGACGACCATTACGAGACAATCGAACCATTGCGTGCGGAACCGGGACATTCCGTCGCGACTACTCGAGGATACGATCAATACGAAACATACCAAAAAGGTTTGGAAGTAAAAGTAGTAGATTGACAAACGGCAGCTTTTGATAACTCTGCGTTCGTAGATTACGATTACGAGGATCCCACGCCGCTGATTGAAAGTTACCAGATGGGCAGCATGGATAATCCGGAAAACCACCATTATCAGATTATCGGTACCTAATGCTTTCACACTAAGACTATTTATCAAGTGCGCGCGATAATATTAAGTTATTTTCTTAGGAACGTATATTTTGTTACTTTCCGGCGAATCGGGATTGACGTCACAGACGCCTAAACTACCTAAAGAGATAATGGCAACGTTGGAACTGAATGTTTCCTATGACGAACCTAGTTAATAACTTTTTTACAATATCTCAATTTTTTGTTTCTTCTTTCTTTTTGCTCGATAGCGGTTATTTCGTTCTAACAATACTGTGCTACATTACTAAGGTGTTTAGTTGTATATTGGATCAATCTAATTGTAATTATTTTTTTCTACTCCCTCCTGCAAAATAGCAAATTATACACGATCTACAGTGCCGGAAGCGTCACTTTATCACGTGAGTTTCTTTCAGTTTCTTGTCCTATGGATCCAAGTCACTTTGAACATTTCTGGGATATTACCTCACGGGTTTGGGATCAATCGGATGTTTTCATAGATTTTTTCTACTCCCGTCTGTAAAATGCCTAATGACACACCGATCTAGCGTGCGGGAAGCGTCACTTTACTACGTCAGTTTCATTTCCCACGGATGTTAGCCACTTCGGACAAAAACTAACGATCGTAGATAAAGTATAGTATGCAACACGTTCTGTCAACTTTTTAAATTACTCGTTTATTAAACACTCGCTCCGCTGCGCTCCGCTCGTGTCAAATAAACTCCTGAGCCAAAAGCCGTTTACCGCACTTGTTGCATGATATACTATTACCGCAAGGCTTGACTTCACATTTCTTAATTCAGACGGCCACGTCAGTGAATGTATTCGTCTTGTTTTGCAAAAACTAACAGTTGTAGGAAAAGTAGGAAACTTTTTAAGTCCGCTCGTGCCAAATAAACTCGTGACTCAAATGCCGTTTACCACACTTGTTGCATAATATACTATTTTAGTTGTTACTTCACTTAATATTTTTCGACTTCAATATTCGGCTCAACTGCAATTATTTCACACAACCTGTTCACTTTTGCAACATCCTTATACCCAGATGAATTATTTATTTTTTAGGTCTACATTCTATTCGCTGACGAAATGCGAATGTTCATCAATTTTTTTTATGCCGACTATTTGGGTTATTAAACTTAGTTCCATAATGTAAGCCAAACGATTTATTTTTTGTAAGTAGTTAATTTCTAACCAATAAAAATTACGTTATCTATCTGTCGGACTACTAAATACAGTGGACTGTTAGCACAGATGTATACCGGGTGATTGAAAGACTGTGGTAGGTTACAAGTTTACGCAGAACCGATACGATATTACTTTTGAAAATTTGGGATTTCCTAGTATGATTAATCGAACTAAAATATTTTGGATGATGCAACGTGCTGCCTGTTCGAATTACTTCTTTTATATGATTATTTTTCTATGTCATATTAATTTACACCAGTTTATTCCACAGCACACAAGGTCATTTAAAATTAATGGTTCTGACCTAATACACAAAAATGATACAGAATCCTAAATTATCTACACTTTATTTTTTCAACTGGGACACCTTGTATGTTATCTAAAACTCTTAAAGGTAATTAAATTCCTTAAAAATGCCTAAATCTTTAATAATAAGCTAAATGAAACGCCATTTTGTTTTAAAATATTGATTTAAGTGTTAACGGTTTTATGCCTAAATTATGAGCGGTTACAATTCTGATGTACTCTTAAGAATATGCTGGCAAGTACGGCAAAACATTCATATATACGTTGGATTTTTGAAGTGGACGTCGAAGTTTTGTATTAGCAGAAATTTTCTTGCATTTCATTTTTCAAATGGGGAATTTTCTAAACATATTACAATTTCGGATCGTTTGTTAAACTCCGCTGAATATAATCACTACGTGAAAATATTTTTTTCTGTTCCCCACTCTAAAAATTCAAGAACGATCTTAGGTATCATTTTCCGTAAATAACTAACCTTCCATCTACCATGAATCACTTTATATAATTTTGATTTGAATGACTGTCAAGTTGTGATATTTGTCATATTTGGGATCTAAAACCCGATAGCCCACGAAAGCTTTTAAAGCCCTACTCCTAAATAAGATTTTTAGAAAATGTAAAGAATTAATTTGTGTAGCAACACATAAATTATCCATACAAGAAGCGAAAAATCATTTGCATATCCAACTAAGTGTTGTCAGCTTTATAGGTTTGAGTCAATTTTTTTTTCAGTGCTAGTTTGTGTGGTTATTTTTCGAAATGGTTTGAATCATATTTAATATCTTTGCATAGATTATACAAGTGTCATTTTATCTAAAACACTCTCCGCATTATTTTTTGAAGGCAATCCGGACATGCGCTGTATCGGAATGAGTATTGGCCCAAGCTTGAAAAGACCCGCATCCATAAGCCGACCCAGGGTTTCGTCTCCGACGAGAATTGAGCACCCCAATCTGCCACCATTAAATTTATATCCCCACAAAATGAGCACTCTAAGGAGAAACACGATGAGTTACAGAAGCGCTGACGGCACCATTCCTAAATACAGCATATAAGTGTCTGAACCTGTTGCTATACATGTTTAGTTATCATTTGTACGATTATTTATTAGATTTTATTTCTTTGTTATAAATTTTCGAAAATGTGTTCGTTTTGTTTGTTATATAGCTACTAGAGTAGAATTTTCGACGTTTTTATTGTAACGTGCATTGCATGGTCTCAAAATAATTATTAAAAAATGTAATAGAATCCAAGCTACGTTTCAGTTTGCTTTTAAGGTTCCAAAGTCCTCAATATTTACGGATTGAAGTAAAGATTATACTCTAAACGTAATCTTTACAATGAAGGGCAAACATTTTGTGCAGTCAGATTTAAGATTTGAACCAGATATTTCGCAGTTCAACTGGGCGCTTTGACGAGGTCATCCCAGCCCAGCCTTATCCCAGTAACTACGGGTGAAAAATTCGAGAATAATGGAGGCAGTGACATATCCAAAAATTTAACGTCATTAGCTAGTCATTTTTATTCTATTACCAGAAGAGTGGGATTTAATTCATAATTTAAAAACATGTTGCTAGGTAATGGAACGAGTGAGGCGAATGGGCCGAGCTCTTAAAGGTAGTCCAAAACGCGAAACCGTATATCGGCGGAAATAGAAATAATCAACGTAAGTAAGACGTTATATAAAATATTAGCAGTTTGTATAATGAATAGTAGTGTGTAAATAGTTAGTACGTTTGTCATATAGGTCTCAGATAATTAGTCTAAGAACTGTAAAAATTGATACACCTCAGATGGTAACGATATTTCCGTCGAGAAGGGACTGATATTCCACCTCCAAGTTTCACACACAAACCTGCGCTATTTTCTTGAGAATATAACGGCTAAGAATGCCACATCTAGACTGAAAAGAAATAAATTGTATGTGGCCATATTGGTTGTTGGGCGACGCTAGCTCCTATAAAATGACAGGTGCTATTGGTGGCAAAACAAATACCAAACGACCGCACACGCGCGTACTGAATGGTCATTCCCAACATTATTTTTGACCGTCGCTTCCTCTATTATCAGGTAATAGCTATATTATTTTTTAGACCAAATGCAATACACATGTAGCTGGGACATATTTAAATTTATGTTATTGATGATATCTCATTTTTCGATATATACTTATAAACATATTACATAAAATGTGGAAATATATTACTCAATTATTATTCTTTTTCTACCAGCTAAGTGCAAAAACTCATTTACTAAATACATTTTCAAGGTCGTAAAATTATTACTGTCAGTTTTCACCAATTACTAAGGATAATTAACAGAACGAAAAAATACCAATAAATAATTCTTTTAATCAACATGGATCTTAAACTATCGCAACAGTCTTAATCTCAATGCTGAAAGCTGGAAGATTAAGTAAAAGCGAACTAATAAATTAAAAAATACTAGTGTACAAAAACAAATACTGATTCAGAATTTCCGTTAAACGTTACAGTCTGTCGTCGCCTTGGATATTGTCCAAATCTGCAAAAACACAGGGGGTTAAATTTGAATTCAATATGTTTTGCTTCTAGAATTCTGCTAGCATTTTAGCACACATTCTTCGCAGAAAAATCCATTTGATATTAATTTTGGGACGAACATGTTAGGCTAGTTGAATTGTAAATTACTAAAACACTTTTTCAAAAAATCTTTATAGCATTTTTTTACAGTGTGCACTGGCATAGACTATTCAAAATAATTTTTATTGTAGGTTGGCGAACGTACCGGGTATACAGAAAAGAAAAACAAGATATTTCAAATTCCGAAATATACTTAACATAGTATAATATCAGTGACGGGAATGTTTTTGAAAAAAAGAGTCGACTTAGAAATCCAAATTAAAACAACAAATTCCATATTTCATATTGCAAAAAAACATTGTCTTCTGTGAACTACGTATAAAACGTATAAACTTCTCAAAAATATATTAAAAATAACAATTTTTGTGAATGAGTAAGTGGATAAGCAAAACAAGACAAATGGATATCTTGGCGAAAAATTGTTGGAAAGCATAAAAGTAATTTGTAAAGCCTAAAATGATACGCGGAAGCCTAATAAGTACGCCAATGAAGAAATCATCAATACTTGTTATGCGTGTTAGTGGGCGATGATACTACACTAAAAACTTGGGCATTGCAAGCAAGCATATACTGATAAAGAGTAAGAACACTCTACGATTTTATTGTTTTATTAAACTTTAACACGCAATCAGCTGCATAAAAGCCGGTGGTGTATACATAAGGCAAACTCAGATAAGAGGCAACTAGACCAAATCAATTTTACAATGATTTTCTTTGTAATCTAATAAAAATGAAGCAAAGCATCAATTATTGCTGATACGTCACGATAGAAAAGTTGGCAATTTTTATAACTATGTACTTGATTAGGTTATTTCAAAAATATTTTTACTATACAGGTTCCCTTCAAAACACCAAATTTTTTAGTTGAAAGTCTTTAAAATCCAAAACCTGTTATTTGGGAGAGACGATTACTTATATGCTTGAAATATGCTTGTGATATTTTTTCTACATTTCAACTCAAGGCAAACGGAAGAGTCTTTGGATTATTATTAATCTCTTAATGATCGATATGTCGACTAGAAAATTTTGTTTTATTTTTTCTTGGCTTTTTTGGAAACCAATATAAACATATAAGATATTAAGAACAAACTAGTTTAGTTATTTTTTAAATGCAACTCAGAATAATTTTCAATTTTTCGATTGCTATTGCTTATTTCACATTAGTTTCCTACAGTAATGAACTTGATTACATACAAAATGTCGGCTTACAAAAATTTTGACACCACTAGATACTGTGGAAAAATAACGCAATTATTGGTTTATGGTATTTGTAACTGTATCCTGATCTACTGGGAACTTTTTACGTTTCTAGAGTGTATAAAATGTATAAGAGAAGGTCAAAAAACATATTTTTATTTTATATATATTACAAGGCCTAAAAATAGTATACAGGGTTCCTTCAAACTCGATGGCCTATTAGAAATATATGAAGAATGAAAAAAAAAGACATTTTAAAGTCTTACTTTTACTTACTTAATAAAAAAAAAACAAGCAAGTTGAAACGTTGGTTATAACTTACTTATATTATGAGATGAGTTAGTTGTCGCATACAGAATGTGCAGAAAGTTTATATTTAGTACAATATTAAAATAAAATATTTTATGTTGGCAGTGAAAATCTATTCTTGATTTACAAGTTTCATACTATACGATAAGTTAGCTGAAATGATTACCAACAGGACGAAACGGTTTAAAAGATAATTTGAGACCCAATTTAATTACCTAGTTATTGTTAGGTACCCTATTTGTATCTTTTTCACTATTTACTCAATTTGAATTGCAAAATTCTCAATACCAATAATACGACTTTTCTGCGTTGAATCTTATATATAAGTGACAACTTTGTGGAGCTTCATAAGGTGAACATGCAATTAAAACACTTGCTTAGAAAAGTTAGCTTTACTTGGACTCTAATATGTACACAAAAGGTTAAAATGTATATACAAGCGCGGTTAATACAAAACGTATCAGCCATTGTCATAACACAGAATAACTGTAACATCGCTTGGGTTCTGTATCAGAAGCGTACTCGAGAATTAAAGCTTTTGACATTTGACTTTGACCAATCAACCTACCTTTCGAGCCCTGTTCCTCCTTTTCTGAAATGTTTAAACGTTCTTCGATGGTACTTCGTTCGGATCTGGCCGATCTGATTCTTACGCATCGTATAGCGAGCATGCCAAAAGACGCCAATGCGGGGTTAATTCCGGCTAATACGAACGGCAACGTGTAACTTCTCTGGTTGTCGTATATAAGACCGGCAATATAAGGCCCAATCGTTAGAGGCACACTGCACACACCCAAAAGGAACCCTATTCCTTGAGCAGCACCTTCCTTTCCGCATATTTCAAATGCAACGGGACCCAGAAGACTAATGAAGCAACCGTCGGTTATTCCCATGCCTAAACAAATGACGAGAAGCATGGGAAATGTTTCTGTGAAGGGCAGCAGTACAGTGAGAATTCCCAACAAAAGAAAAGCCAGCTGCTGCAATAATATTTTGTCGACTTTAGTGCGGTCAACTATCATGCCGACCACTGGTCTGCTGACTCCGGACATGATCCCTATGCACAGAACGGGCAGTTTATTGTCCACCGTATCCCGAAAATTGTTTTTGACAAAATCGAACATATACACGTAAGGAACAAAGTAACCAAATAGGCATAAACCTATTACGCTTATCCATATAATATATTTGGGGTTGGTTAATATATCCATGTTGAAAATATCCTTCACCGAAACTTTCCGAATGGAAGAAGTTTTCTTAACGGGTTTAAACAAAATTGCTAACGCCATCAGAAACGCGGCTAGCAGGGCAAGGAACCGTAATGTCCAGTCGAGGCCAACAGTTTTCAGTAAACTGTCCAGAATATAAGGCATCGCTATGGTGAAGGTGGAACTACCGGCAGTAACTATTCCGTTAACAATTCCCAAATATTTATCAAAATAATGACCGAGCACGGCTAGACACGGAGTGTAAGTCAACGCACCCCCAAGACCATAAACGATGCCATAGGTAAAGCAGAATGCTGTTATGTTGTTAGTGCAGAAGGAAGAAAGAAACATTCCAAGAGATGCTATCGCTCCGCCCAAAAAAGTCGTTTTTCTTATACCGATGTAGTCCGTTAGGACACCCGAAATAGGAGATATGAAGAACGTCATCCCCATGGCTAGTGAGCCCGCCAAAGCTGAAACAAAAATATCTGCTTAGTTAATAACTCAAATTTTGTTAATAATTTTCTGATAAGACATATTAAGCCTTGCAAAAAACAAACAATTTCTGAAACAAAAACTTTCACATATCATATCATATTAAAGTGAACGTTTCCTTAAAACCCATTAGATTTTTGAATAAATGATTCATAAATTTGGTAACTACAAGAAATAAGGTAAAAACTAACAGCTGCAACGGAACGATTAAATTTTTGACACAAGTGAAAAATTAGTAAAGGAGCAACTTAACTTTTCTTACTATAAAATTTAAACATTTAAACAATAGGCATATTTCCGATTCTCGTTCACTTTTCCGATATCTTTGGGGATTGTTCCAATCGGACTTAAAATCCGTTACCTATTTTTTGCAGAAAACAAATGATGCTGGCCGTCTCGGATTTTCTTAAAATCTATCAAATCTCATCTTCCTTGGCTTTCTTTATAATCTCAAAAAATTGGTAATTACCTCTAATATTTTGGTATTAACATATTCCATAAATTGTATTTGCAATCCAGCTTGAGATCTTTCTGTTTGGATGATCGATTATTTGCCACCAAAATTGACATTATTTAGTAAGATATGACGTGGATACCATATGAGCAAGATAAATCCTCTAAAATCATAGGCGACTATGGAATAAAAACTTTTTTTAGTATATAACATTTGTAAAATATCTATCTAAAAAAAGGTAACCAAATTCCAAATTATCTGTTTTAAGTATTCAAAATTATAACTGGACAATTTTTCACGAATGAAGAGCCGAACAAGACTAAATCAAATTTAATTATGGCTGAGGAAGCTCGTCATTTTCTGGTGATTTTATTTCTAGAAAAGTTAGGTTTGTCAAAGATCAGACAATCCTGAAAATTTCGAATTTGTGGTAGCTAAAATATACCGAAATTAACCAATCGCTCCCAAATTCGCAGCCTAAAAACCGAAAACGGCCAAAGTGGCTCACGACCGTGGCAAACTAAGCTAACGATAGTAACACTTTCCGCACCCTTGATCCTTCCATAATGAGTTATTTGAGAGTAGGGGGTAGAAAAGAGACATTTTCGTACAATAAAATGTATTAATTATATATTCGATGTAATTTGTAGTAGAGTTTTTGTGGTGTGATGTGTGGTGGGTATAAAAATAATCAATGTACTACGATATATTATGAAGGAAATAAACTGAAATTTGCAACAAACATCGACACTTAAATTGGTTGAACATTAAACTTATACTCGTACAAGAAAAAACGTTACTGAAATACCCAGTTTAAAATTGGAACTTTTAGGTACAGTTTGAATACAGATCTTTGCATTACCATTGAACTATTGTTCAAAGTGTGAAACTCGGTCATAGCATCTCCAGCTACGAATCGGATAAATTGCGTATACATTGGTAAAATATTCCATACAACTCGTAACAAAAGCTTGTGTCATTTGCTCCCTTTAAAGAAGAAAGAAAATGACTCATGCGAAAAATCATTTTCATTTCATTCTATCAGCAATGCACTCTAAAATAGTCCCCAAAACTGTTGAAAAACCGAGTTAGTAAAAATAATTAAGCTATTTTGCTAAGTGTCCCTTGATAATTATATTGGTTTTACAACTTTATAAGTTGGCTCTTCGGGTGTATATTAAAAGGGTTTCTTAGGCAGATAGTGTTCAATAGTCGCATCGATAAACAAGGTGCAGCAACATTTTCTATTTGACACATACATGCTTCCGTGATCTTAAAATTAGGAATACAATGAAAATCTTTTCACTTCATATTATTATGCAACTTTTTTTACGGCTAAAACATAAGTACTTTTTTGATTAATGTAAATTCATGTATATGTTCAACCCATCTACAATGTAAAACATGGATAACAGAATTGATTAGTTGTTAGTTATAATAATAGTTTAGTGATAAAAATGTAATATCATTATGGGCAGTTTTGCAATAACTTTCCTGTAAAAAAAACAGCGAAATTCCCCACTTCTAATCTACTACCTAATTAAGTCATGACAAATATTTTTACCTCCACAGATAGAAATAAGCAACTAACTGCATGAGTATTTTGCATCCTTAATCAGATAACTTATCATGTTCCATATTTCTCTTAAGATTTCCTTCTCCCACTCGGTTGTCGTACCGGAAAACTAATAGTTCAATCACAATGGAGATTTTCTTCAGAAAGTTCAATCAAAAGGCCCGTCTCGACATCATGCAATAGGATCAAAAGACGTTATTAATCAAGTAACAAATAGGTTGTAATTAAGCCAAGTCGTTTGATGATCTCCGACTCCCGGTTTCACTTAACCTTGTAAGTATTATATTAAGAGTATTAATTGCCATATAAGTTGATTAAATCAAAACAGTCACTAAATAGCAACAGCAGTTTTATTACGTAATTAAGAAATATACTACCGCATTAAATCTATGGCATATAGGAAAAGAAAATTTCAACTTTGCTTTTATATTTCATGATTCATATAAAAGTATAAAATGCCTTATCAGAGACATTATCATCCAAATTTATTATCTTAATATTAAGGAAAATACTATTTTCTAATTTCGCTACCCCCGTCAGCGCAACTTTTGCCTACCATTATTAAGAATTGTATACTAAGTGTTTATCCGTTTGTTTCATTATGTTGCTTGCTTTTATATTTCATGATTCATATAAAAGTATAAAAAGCCTTATCAGAGACATTATCATCCAAATTTATTATCTTAATATTAAGGAAAATACTATTTTCTAATTTCGCTACCCCCGTTAGCGCAACTTTTGCCTACCATTATTAAGAATTGTATGCTAAGTGTTTATCCGTTTGTTTCATTATGTTGCTTGCATTTATATTTCATGATTCATATAAAAGTATAAAATGCCTTACCAGAGACATTATCATCCAAATTTATTATCTTAATATTAAGGAAAATACTATTTTCTAATTTAGCAAGGTGTACGCTAGAGGCGAGAAAACGGGGACAAAAATATGGTATTTTGACATTTGTCAGTTCTGATGTGCACATCACACGTTAATCAGTGAATGCTATTTTGTAAAAATGTTCCGTAAAAACTTGTCGTAGTATAGTATGCAACACGTTTATAAACTTCAGACACTCGTTTATTAAACACTCGCTCCTCACGCGTATAAACAAACCCCTGATTCAAGAAATTCATTACTTTTTTGGGAATGGGAAGGAATGAATTTTAATCAATTTTCGCATCTATATATCATTTAGAAGTTTATCTTTGTGTACGTATACGTAATAATTGAGATATAATCATAAAAAAACAAGTTCTTTGAAAAATATAAATATGCACATATCAAAATATTTTCTTAGTAAAGAATGGAATGCAACGATCGATTTTGTGTTTGTACAACCTTGTCTAGAATTCAAAAATCTCGGGTGTGCTTCCTTAAAATTTGCTTCTATATTATTCGTTCATTTTGTTAATATTGTCAACATTTTTTTGCCTTGCAGAAAATACCACTTTACTTAGATTGTGCGATAATTAATTAAATTGCATTTTTTCGTTAATCCCTACAAGTGAAATTTAGATCATTGAGATGTAGAAAAAGGGATTATAAAAACATTTATAAAGTGATTTTTCAAACTAAATGTTCGTATTTCGGTTTTCAACTGGAAAATCTGCTTGCTGGCATTCGATGCACACGCAGTTTCATATATGATTTAAAAGAGCCGTGGAATTTAAAAACACAAAATCCCCATTTCGAGGAAAAAATATATTATTTAATTTTTGAATGTAGATAATACTTAACAAACACGAATATGGGCAACTGTACACGCGTGAAATTTTATTATTGTAGCTATATAAAACTATTTTTATTTTATTACACAGTTATCTGCTCGGTTATATGGATGCAGTAAATTTTTTCTTTATACCAAATGAGGAAAAATTATTATAGGCAGATGTTTTGTACGTATTTCGTATAACAATCCTTTATTTTCACTCCAGAGTTTAAACATCAATCAATAAATCACTGTGCCCACTTTTTGAATGAATTTCGCAGAGGGAAATTTTGAAGGATCCTGATTAACTGTTAATTTTTTTAGACTTGAGTCACATGAAGCAGATTTTACACGGAAAAACGATACAAGCTTAACATGTCTGCAATTTTTTAACATGAAAATAGTTGAAAATAGACAAGAAGGAAATAATCATAGATAGCGCATATTACTATATTTTTAAAGATGTTAAAAATAAATAAATTGGCTGTTTTAAGATCCATAGATCTAGAATTTAAAAAAATGTATTACCCCTGGGATTAGTAGTAGTAACCTTCAGATTAAATAAACCTGCCTATAACAATTTAATGATTTTTAATAACAACAAATTAAAATATTTAAATAATAAGAGACAGTGGCGAATTTACCAGATTTTAAAAAGAAAACTATAACAACATTTATGTTAGTTTCGAGAAGATGGATGTGGCCCGAAGCTGTCGTTATTTTATTTTTTTTACTTAGTGAGGTTTTTTTTAATCAACTAGTATCTTAATATTTTCAAAATGTCAGTGTCATATCACTTACCCGCTTTTCCTGAGGGGTTGCTCACATTTTGACTTTCCAGTCTCGCATAGAATTCCGAATAAAAAACGCCGTACGAGTTAATGACCCCAAACAAAATACCATGACACAAGAATGATGCAACCATCACCAACCAAGCCCTAGCACCCTCGTCCATCGGATGTTCGTCATTTTCTTCAGAAATCTTCGTGGTTATTTGCCCATTTTGAGAAGTGTTTAAAAATTTCTTATTCTGTTCGTCTTCCGATTCGTAAAGCGAAGCTGCAATTTCGACCATAGTGCACGGCGATTTTTATTTTGGAGAATGCGTTGTCTCGCACATCCCTAAGCCAAAAACGAATTTCTCAAAATTCCACGTGGAAACCAGCTGTTTTCCACCAGCGTCGAACGCTGCGGCAATTGAGAGCTTCGTCTAACTTTACCAACACGTTATCTCGGAATATGAACGCTGCTCGGTGCCGCCAATTCGTTTTAACAGGCCGGGGTTTTAGGTTACCGACGGTTCCAAAGACGCCTGCGCCAAGAACTTGTCGATTTGCTTTGGAAATAGGTATCCATTTACTTTATTGCTCAGCTGATCGGTAAATTATATAGACGCTATTTGCTCTGGACATATAGGAACTTGCATGGCTTTCATCATAAAAATACCTATTATTTACTTTCTTTTAATAGTCGATATAAAATATAAATACGGACTATTAAAACAATGAAAGTGTTGCAATTAATTTTGCATTAGATTGTTCAGTCAGGCTGAATATTGTTTTCTTGTTTAAAAATTCTACGTTTATAGACCTCCTGACCAAAAATCCGATCCCAGTTTATGATTTCCATTTGTATGAATCAGTAGATATTATTAAATTATGGTACAAACATATATCATATTATGTTATTGTGTGGAAGTTTATTGATCGGCTTAAACATTATTGGCGACAATCGCTTTTAATGATTTATCTGGTTATACAGTATACAATGATGAGAAATTGTCGATACAATTTGCATCATCTCCGTTACAAAGTCATATATAAATATTAGTATAAATTTCCAACTTTTCTACGCATAGAAAAAAAAATTAATTAAGCACATGGATTCATAAATGTTTAGATGCTGCAATGCCGGAGATCCAGAGTATTATTTACATATTATTTATCCAAAAGAGGTAGTCCGTCACTATTCACCGTTCATAGGATAACAATTTTATAATACTTGATATATAATTATCTTGGTCCAAGAGAGAGACAACCGATTTGGCTTCGGCACCATATATAATTACAGAATGACCGAAAAAAGTTTTAAAAAAGTTTAAAAAACAGATTTGAACGGGATACGTGTTTTTTTTATACCAAGACATAATAACCTAATAAAAAAATAAGTGTTTATTTCTGGACCACTTCCTGCTTTTCATATGATGTCAAAATAAAGATATTCCTCCCAAACAAATGCTGGAATTACAATTATGAATACAACCACATTCTACGTATTATTCTTAATTATGCATGTGCACTTCTAAATAAGTTTGAAATTATATATATATTAAGAAAATTAAGATTATATGCCTGCATTGCCTTGGGATTGTTTTTTTAGGATTTTAATATTAGTTTTTATGTTGTTATTATTTTATTATTATTATTATTGTTATTATTATTATTTATATAAATGTCATTAAACCTTATATATTGGTACCAGAAAGAAACTGCCTCAGGTAGATTTATTAATTAATATTCCTCTCATCCACAGAGCCAAAAATATAATACAATTATAGGCACGAAAAACAGAGTTACACATTTGAGCCATGACGGTTTTGTTCAAAATAACCTGAAAAAATTTTTCAACATTTTTGTCAATAACGGATATCCAAAACATATACTTAAGAGATTAATCTATAACTTCAACACATTTGACGGTCCAACAGAGGAACCGGGCGCGCGGATGTGTTACAGAAAGATACCTTATATTAAAAACCTCACAGAATCTATCATAAATATTTTCAAAGAATTCAAGGTTGAAAGATCCAACTCCGCCACTATACAACTCTAATCTCATATATCGATTGTCGTGTTTGGGTTGTCAAGGCTGTTATATTGGACAGACCTCACAGTGGTTAAAACAACCTTTAACACAGCACAAAAGTGATTGCCGTATTCATAAGAATACTTGTGCAGTGGTTGAGCATTACATAAAAACAGGACATGAATTTGACTACAGCAATCCTAAAAAAAATTTTGCAATGTGTCAACAATTATAAAGCCCGACTGTTTCTTGAAATGTGTCATATTAACAAAAACAAAAATTCAATTAACTACAAGTCTGATACACAGCAAATAAGCAATACATACTGTAACATTGTTAAACAACAGATAATGTAATGTTCGGCCACCGAGTAGCGTATTCGCGTTGCGTTGTTGATCCACGAAGTAGGTTATTTTTTTGCTTTTTTGTCATTATTTGTATCGGTTGTTTTTTGATTGTTTTTTTTTTTCGCTACCCCCGTTAGCGCAACTTTTGCCTACCATTATTAAGAATTGTATACTAAGTGTTTATCCGTTTGTTTCATTATCTTTCTTCGTTCATTTACCTTAACTGTAAAGTATTGTTTTGAGGAACTATGTGGTAGACTCTAATTTTGTAAGTATTTCTCACGATTGTTTTAATTGTCTGTTATATAGTTTGACCTGTTGTTGAGTGTTGAAGAAAAAGGAGCTTTCTATTTTCTTTGTATGTTTAACCACGGACCGCTACCCGATATCCTTTGAATTCAAATATATATATATATATATATATATATATATATATATATATATATATATATATATATATATATATATATATATATATATATATATATATATATATATATATATATATATATATATATATATATATATATATATATATATATATATATATATATATATATATATATATATATATATATATATATATATATATATATATATATATATATATATATATATATATATATATATATATATATATATATATATATATATATATATATATATATATATATATATATATATATGTATATATATATATATTTTTTTTCTGTAAAAATTTAAATAAGGTGAAAATATTTTAAAGCAATATATTTACATTAAAAATGCTTTTTCAATGAGTCTAATCTTCACTTAACCAACTTAAAAAATGGCGTTAATTGGAGTTACAGCGACACCCAAAATACGTCGTCAAAAGAACTGGAAAGAACTGATAAGAATTTTGTTTAGCATAACTTACAATACCTTAGCAAACCTATTTAATCTTTTTTCGATTTATGAAAATCCATAATATAACAATTTAAAAATAAGAAAAGGTATAGAATTAACGGTATCATTTTTAATATAAACATATACTGATTGGTATTTTCTTTACTTAGTTTTTGTATAGTTTTAAGGAATATTGAATAATAATTGACACGTCAAAGATAAATAATCAATCCACTTTTTTGAAATTAATTCACCTAAACGTATCTATCAATTTGAATGGAATAAAGCAACCGTATTATTTTGCTGCCCTTTGTCTCTATATGCAGATTTATGGCCCCGACAAGTAAATTATTTTTCTTGACCTCTAATGAACAATATACAATTTCATATCTAATCTCGTATGTTTTGTTAAAATTTAATTTCCGTTTCGATTTTGTTAGTGTTGTTTACAGTAGTTCAGATATATAGAGGTCGACTGGATATATCACAATTTTTCAATAAAAAACTCGGATGAAAAAGCCTTATTTATATTTTTATTTTTTAATTACGAATCTCCCGCCGAGCGTTGGCGTATGGTTTTAAAAACACCTTATGTAAATAAAACGGTAGGAACAATACGGTTGAACGAACAGGGTTATTGACAGTGACAAAGAGTCCCGTTAAAAAAAAGTGTTATGCGTTTCGGCATCCACCGTCTATAATTAAGAAATTTGGAAAATTTATCTGTCAACAAAATGAAGAAAAAGCCGAAATAATGTCCAGGTGTAATCTGGCAAGGATTAATGACGGGGTGTAAAAGGTACTGCAGCGCACTAATACATGACGCTGTAATTTGCATTTTACGCAAAATGTATTTTACGAAAAGTCGAAATAATAGGGTCGAAGCCTAAACTATATTTTACCTCTTATAGAAATACTGCATAAAATTAGCGTTGGCTGGGTGACTGCTGTGGTAGCAGTCACTATGAAAATTAATTTACTCTTGGATTTCGTTGGATATTCTTCTTCTGTGGTTGAACTTATTGATAGTCACTTTAATTGGGTTATAACTTAAACGTTTGACAACAAAATAATTTTTTTTCTAGCGTAACCATCATTTTATTCTCCGATCCATATGAGTGTCAATTTCACTGAAAAAAATCAATCCAGCAGTGAAATATGAAAACATACAATATTATGACCATATTGTAATTTAATTTCTTCGTAGGTAACTTTGATAATTGAATAGAATTAGAAAAATGACTGACTGGGAAGAAGTCAAACGTCTTGCAGCTGATTTTCAAAAGGTTCAACTGAGTTCAACCACTCAAAGGTATAAAAGCAATTTTTTCTAAAATTTGTTTAATAGCTTAGATATTTCTCAGATTATCGGAACGTAATTGTGTTGAAATTGTATCATGGCTTATTGACAGAAAAATAATAGATCTCATTTTCACAACAGATGGAAAAGAATACCTGACTCCTTCACAACTTATACAGGATATTCAAAATGAATTGTATGTGAATGGAGGTCGTATTAATCTGGTTGAATTATCCAAAATAATTGGAGTGGACCACGGTCATATTAACGCTCATCTTAATGAAGTGCTTAGAACAAACAAAGAGATTCACAATGTATTAGGACAATTAATTGATACAAATTATCTCACGAAAATCTCTGGTGAAATAAATGAAAAATTACAACAGCAGGGTCAGATTAGCATTGGAGAGTTGACTTTGCAATATGATTTACCCTCCGAATTTTTACAACAACTGGTAGAAAAAAATCTTGGCAAAGTTATTGTTGGCAAACAGGATACCAGTGATCCGAGAATATTCTTCACAGAATTGTTTATTGCTCGAATTAAGGCAAAATTGAGAGGTGCATTAGCAAGTTTGACACGACCGACACCTGTAGCTTCCATCTTGAATCACATAGAGTTAAATGAAAAATTGTTTTTTTCATTATTTGATCAGTCTTCAATGTATGGTAGTTTGACTAGCAAATCTATTGGTGCCCAGTATATACCCAATGTTTTTGTTAGATCACAGGTAAGGATAATATCAGGATATTTATTTCCTTTGTAATTAATTACTCTTATGCAGTATTGCAATTATCTTATAATTAATTTACTAATTACTTGAGCCCTTACATTCACAGTTTCAAATTTTTCCATTATTAATATTTTATTTTTTAGAGTGAATGGGTAAATAATTTTTATAAACAAAATGGATATCTCGAATTTGATGCGTTAAACCGCCTGGGGATAGCAGATTATAAATCTTACTTGAAAAGGCAATTTGCTAATGAAGATTTGATATTTCTGAATTCAGTTGTTATTTCCAAAACATTTTTAGACCGAATTGATGCTGATATTGAGGAATGTATATCAAGCAAAAGCTATGTTGATCTGCAGAACAGTTTGCCTTCAGTTTTCAGTTTGGCAGATATAAAATGTATATGTGAAAAAGTTTTAGTTGGAGTAAAAAGTCAACAAATCATAGTAATGGATAATTACATAGTTAGCAGATTATTCATAGACTCCTTAGAAAACAGTTGTCAGGTATTTGTTGAAGAGAAGGCAGAGACTGCAGTAGAGTCAGGTCAATATCAGAAATACTTAATTGATATACAAGGGGATCAACGAAAACATCAGAAATATGAAGATGTTATAGAGAAAAGTGATAAGAGAGAAGAAAGGCGAAAGAAAGCAGTGAGTGGTAAAAGTGGAGGGGGTACTCAAGGAAGAGAAACAAAAACCAAATCAACAAAAAAACATGCTAGAAGTTCACACAAAAATGATGATGAAGAAAGTCATGACTTAGAAGAAAGTAAGAAAATTGAATTCCTATCTAAAAAAGAAATTATGGACATAATTGAACTACCGTTGGTGAAAGAAGGTAAGGTTTTTTTTTTGTTACCTGACATCATGATTAGGAATTGTGATTTAGGTTTGGAGGATTTGGTGGATGAAATAAGTAATTTCTTGCATACTAAAGTGAACCAAATTGCTCTGAACCTGGCAGCCGATATCTTTGCAACAACTGTGGCCGATAAAACAGCTACCAGGAGGCAGACACATAATGAACTGCAAAACAAGCTTAATTCTTTGATTACTGATGTTCGGCTGTTTGAAAAGGGCATTAAATTGCTTCCAAGTGAGATGCAAACAGCCTTGATCAAATATTTATGCAAGACTTTATGTTCAGATATAACAAATGAAATACTAAATTATGTGGCTGCTGAAACTAACTTGAATTCTATAATGGACAACTCTAACATTGATCAGAAAATAAAGTTTGTCAATGAATTGCCAAGCGAATTTAGAACACCATTATTGCCTTTGGTGAAAAGTTTGTCAGGTCAGAGCATTGATGATTTTATGACTGCAGTTGACACCGCACTATCCGCTTGCAGCATGATAATAAAAAAAGTTGACAAAAAGAAAGATCGCAGTATTATGCTTAGTTATAAACAACAACTTTTGGAAAAACTTAATAATTGTGAAGATCTGGCCATGGTGCTTCACTTGGCTACCTTAATTATTTTCACATCAGCTACACAGTGTATGCTACACGCTAGCGGTAAACATGTCCCATCTTTGTTGACTTTTTTGAAGCAGTATGTAAACGAAGAACAAATGGCGGAACTCTTATTGTATCATGGTAGGAACAAAATTTGAAATGTCTTATTTGTTGAATTGATATATATGCATTGTTTCAGACTTTGTCACCTTAATGTTGGGTAACGGATCAGAGGCAGAAAATGCCAAAGAAAAACTTAAAGAAAAAGTAAATATCGTAAAGAAAATTGCAAATGAATATAAGAAATCAATTAACGAAAAACCATAATGTTTCAGATATTGACTTAACAACCTTGTACATTGTAAAGTATTTTATTTTAAACTAATTTTGGAGTTTTATTTATTTTTTTTTATTTAGTTCTTTTTTCCAAATTAGATTTCTTGAAAAAATAAAATTTTATTGTCCTCAAAAATCAAATCAAATCAAATGTTCAAATACCGGAGCTTTCTTCCAAAATTATATTCAGCTATGAAGTAAATAGAGTAGATATTAAAGTCAAGTTATGCCCCAGCAGAAAGATTTTTAGAATAAAAGAGCTCAGGTAATAAATACCAACCTTTAAATTGTCAACGCTGTTGAATGTTTCTTTTTCAACAAGACAAGGAGTTTCAAGAATGCCGAAGAAGCTTATTCAGCTTCCAATTTAAATCTAGAGCAAACAGATTCGCTCAGTGCTTCAAAAATAAAATGGAATAAAGGAACACCAAATAAAAGTTAAGGAAAAATGTAATATGTAATACTAAGGAAGGAAAATACCATTTTTTTTAATGTAAGTTCTAGACAAGACATACCCCCTGGACCAATTATTCCAGTAATGGCTTTATTGCCAATTTCGTGCATTCCTCTGCAATTTAAGTTTTACGTTTCTTTTTTTTGAATTTGCAATTCCTGTGATATAGGTGAATGTTAAGCATTTAATATTAATAATTTCCATATTTTCATTTTAACTAATCAAAAATGGCATTGTTGATATATATAGATATATTTGCAAACTTGTCTTACTAAGCTTAGTGTAAACAAAAAAAAAATTCGCCATAACCCCATAGCACAAAAATGCTTTGAACATGTTTTGCAGACGTCAGATGGATGGAAGGTAAGCATCTCATAAATTATGGCATGTCTTATATAAAATTTTTATTAGGGAATATTAAGTATATACAAAAATTGAATCCTTAAAGTGAACAAGCACAAAAAATTCCATCCCGAAATTTTTGCTCATTTTTCTATGACGGTGGATAATATGGTCTGTGTGGTTGACTTGGTGGAGGACCATTGCTGTAAAATGGCGGCGGAGCATTGGGTACTACAGGTGGAAATGGCGGCGCATGGGGAAACGAAGGTGGCGGAAAAGCAGTGGGAGGAGGAGCAGGAATATGTGGTGGAGGACCAGGCGGAGGTCCTGTTAAGTGGGGCGGGGCAGTTGCAGTATTAACAGGATTGGAAAATGCCACAGAACCATAAGAAGCTATTGGTGGAGGAGCATGGGTAAATGTTTGGTAGGGAAATTGAGGTATATCTGATGGAGGCATGATTTTGGTATTTACTGGCGGTGGTGGCTGCTCGGGTGATGTAGGCGTTTTTTCACTGCCATTTAAGGATCTATTGTTTCCAGATGTAGGAGAGTTAGTTTTGCTTGTAAAAGGTGGAGGGCTGTCAGATGGACATTTTGCAGCTGGTTGGGAATATAAATCCAAAACCTAAAATTATGTATAATATTCAAAATAATCTCAGGTAAATTATGTACCACATACCTGATGACAAATATCCTCCAGCAAATCCATTGTCACATCTTCCACAAACATATCCCACCATCTTAAATGTTTTGTATTTCTGCCAACCCAGTCAACAACTTCAAATTTGCTTAATTTTCCGGCCAGATACATTAATGCTACTGCAATAATTTCTGGTTCCCACTGTAAGGACAGTGTGGTACATAAACTATCATTGACAAATGTCCAGGCCATCTGTACCATTTTTTGCAATTTTGTTTTATCACCTTTCAGGCATTTTGCATATTTCAATAAATAACTATAAGGATGTTCCACTTGTAAATCAAATTTGATTGTTTGCAATAAAATTCTCTCTAACGTCATAACCTGGAAACAGTAAATTGGTGTAAAAATCAGAAACTCTGCAAGTAATATCACAAGCACAATGTATAAAAATCCTTACTTCCTCTTTGGGATCTTCTCCAAATGTTGCATATTTTTGATCTGTTAGTAAATTTCTTGCAATTTTGATGATATCTTTACATTTCTTTGGCGTTTCTTCAACTTTTCCAGCTAAGAAAAGACAGCAACAAGCAGTTACATATCTGGGAAATTGCTTAAATGAATGGAACATATAAAATCTGTGAAAATATACAACTCCTGTTGCCGTCGTATTGTAACCCAAATCCATTTTCATTCCAGTGTCGATTATGAACCGCGCACCTTAAATGATTGTTAGTCTAAGTATTAAAATTTAAAATTACCTACAATTTTGAAAAAAGTACCTTCCTTCCGATATCTCATTTCTGTTTTATAGTCAATACCATCTGCAGCCGATGGGGTATTTCGAAGCTCCCTTTTATCGTAGTACCAGCCCGGCATATTGTCAAAATTAATGGTCTGTTGCAAGAACCAAAATATGTTATCAAACAATTATTCTATCAGCGACAACAAACAGAATGAAATCAACTGCTCTTTTTACTGGAAAGTGTTCTTCTTCAAAGTGAAATCCATGGCCATATACATAGGAAACTTTCGTCCACTGATGATTAGGAGAGCTAGGTTAGATTTCTATCATTGGGTTATAGATAATTATGCATAGTAAATCTTTGCAGTTCTTGTCAGCACTTAACATTTCAATTTTTTCTTGTTTAAATGCACATACTACTTCCGATTGACATTTTAGATATCGAGTGACTACTGAATTTTAGATCTGTATTATGTATTATGTAAGAAGTTTGATAATAATAATAATTTTAGTCACAACTTTATTTTGGCACTTTAGTAAACCAGTGACACAAGAACTTCTTGCATATTTTATATTACTTACGACCTTTCGTTTTTGGGTACATTTTTGCAAAACTAAAATCTACTAATTGCTCCGAAAGCCCTTGCGAAAGTACCGGAAACGTCCGAAGTGGTTACCGAATTTTACGATTTTAGAATAGGAAGTAGATAAATATAAGAAAATGGGAATATGTCCAACATGAAATAGTGAAAAAGTTTTGTTCTGTGGCTTTTTGTATTTTTGGTGATCATAATAAACTGACCAATATAAGCTATTCATCTATGGAATTTGTATTTTGTTTTATCTATGCATTTTGCACTAACAAATTGTTAAATAACTTTCGTTGCAATGTGGCCCGTGGCGAATGAATATCTGTGAAATTTGCGGTTTTTATAGAAAGTGTTTTTTTTGGATTGGTTTTGGTCAGTAGTTACCAAATGAAAGTGTCAGTCAGTTAAATCATTTATTGTTGTAAAGGTGCGAAATGGTGGCGATTAATAATATTGTCTTGATTATTTATTTAGTTTTCCTAAGTTCCGTCCGTGCACAATTGTTACCTGGACTGTATTGTGGTGTAGAAAATTGTTATGATGTGTTGGAAGTGACTCGAGAAGCAACCAAAAATGAAATTGCCAAAAATTATAGGCGGTTAGCTCGTTTATATCATCCAGATTTACATAGAGAGAAGGAAGCTAAACAAGTTGCTGAAGAACAATTTAAAATCTTAGCAAATGCTTATGATATATTGAAGGATGATGAAAGTCGAGCAGACTATGATTATATGCTTGATAATCCTGATCAGTATTATGCGCATTACTACAGATATTATAGAAGAAAGGTTGCTCCTAAAGTAGATGTCAGAATAGTAATAATTGTAACAATTTCAATCATATCAATAATTCAGTATTATTCCGGATGGCAAAGATATGATACCGCCATAAGTTACTTTAGTACTGTACCTAAATATAGAAATAAAGCCCAGGAAATTGCTAGACAAGATGGTATTTTACCTAATAGTAATAATAATAACAAAAAGTTGGGCAAGAAATTAAAATTAACAAAAGAGGAATATGAGCAAGTGATTAAAAAAGTAATTGAAGATAAAATGGACATTAAAGGAGCATATGCCAAACCAAAAATAACAGATTTATTGTGGATACAGTTAATTATTTTACCATATACAGCATTTAGATATGTTTATTGGTACATTTCTTGGATATGGAGACACAATATTATGAAACAACCTTTTAATGAGGAAGAAAAATTGTATGTTATTAGAAAATTTTTAAAAATGGGTCAACATCAGTTTGATAGTCAGGATGATGATAAAATTCAAGAATTTTTAGATAGGAAGTTGTGGATTAAAGATAACTTTAATGTGTGGTTTAAAGAGCAAGAGGAGATTACTAAGAAACAGCTAGCAGAAAGTAACAGATACAAACAATATAGAAGATATATGAAAAATCATGGGGTTGGTCGCATGACTTTTGATGATTCTTAAAGTGAAAGTGTGGGTGTAGATAATAAAAATAATGAACAATCTATCATTGTTTCTGTCATTAATATTTCCTCTAATTTTAATGCATGTATTTTAGTACTGTAAAGCTGAAATTTGTCGATTGCTAGGACATTCACTGTTATTGTGAAGCACAGTTAAAAAATGGTGACAATTTTTTACATTTGTTTACTATAATTTTACCCATATTTATTTATTTAAATCTTTAGTTTGTAATTAAATGTTAAGAAAATGTTCGGCTTTATTTTATTTTTTTATAAATGGCACACTGCAATATTATACAGGGTGTTGCACTTAAAATAACAAAATAAATTTATGACATTTTCAGGCTTATGGAGTTATGCATTAAATATGCTGTTAATTTTAAAACACTAATTTTTTGGGAGTCAAGTTGACCACTGAACATTAGTGCCTTATTGTACCGTAAAATTTAAAATTCCGCGTTTTACAGATATGAGCAGATAATTTTTAGGTTCTCTGCATTCTTTGATTTTCCGGTTTGTGTGAAACGTAAATTTCTTTGTACTGGGGAGCACTTGAGAAGTAGCCTTATAATGCACATTGTTGAAGTTTTCATATTTTCTTGTGTGCTCTTACATTTTCTTATACACAACACATTGTTTTAAAATATTGTTGAATTTATAGCAGATTTCTTTTTCGATTTCACATTTGACGGTACTTTATGAGGATTTAAGTTTCTAATTTTGAAAATGTTGAATTTAGCATTCAAATTATTGCAAAGCGTTGTCAAAAAATTTTCCCGCGAGGGTACAATTTATACTTCAAAAAGTCTAACTTTGTTTAGTGGTTTTAAATATACATTTTAGCACAAAAGAACAATTAAATTTCTAATTTTATCTAAATATTTTTTTGTTAATAAAAGTCATACCTCACTTAACTTTTTATATTTTAAGCTGGCTGTAATTTTGGATTATAATAAGTATAAACCTCTATTCGTATTTGCTTTCAAGGGGTAAGAAAATATTGGATAATTGTTTTGAATTTAATTAATTAATTTCATTAATTGTTTCACGTTAAATCAAAAATAAAAGATTAATTTAAGTGTTTAAATTACCGTTTTGATTTTTAAAATCGGTTATTTCCAAAAATTTTCCAATATTAAAGATAGAGTGATTACTGTTTTAAAATTGAGAGAAATTCACATCATTTAGTTTAATGCTCTTTCATTAAAGAATCAATCAATGGCCCAGAAAAAGAGTGAAAACTGCATCTTAATATCTTCATCGTAAAATGTGAATGGAAGAACTTTTTACAATAGGGGAAAAATTATTACTACGTAGGTGTTGGCGTCTTTCCCGTTTCCACATAAATTACTTTTTCATTAAAATTAAGTTTAGTCACTAATTCAGTCACTAATTAATTGTTGGAGACCAACTAAATTTATATGCCCCAGGGAACATTTTTGAAATTCGGCAATGATTGTACAATTGTATAATTAAAGGCGAAAGTAGCATTTTCATTTAAATAGGTAGATATGACAAACTTTTATAATATAATAAAGACTCAAATAACAATTCCAATTTTATTAAAAACATTTTTTCTGGAGATGCAACAGAAAATTACAAATCATCAAAACATTCTGCATATTACTTTATGAACAGAAAATATGTCCATGTTAGTGCGTTTGGCTGGTGAAATGTTCCAAGAACTTTTGAATCATTTGATATTATTCCTAATGTGGGTTAACGAAGACGAATACCCGAATTCTCAAATTAAAGTTACTAACTATTTTTAGAAGAAAATTTAAAGTGTTAATTAGAAAAAACAAACCATTGTAGCGGACGTAATATATACTAGTTATATTTAGATAAGTACGTGTCTTTCCCTGTCCTCAAGGATCACTTCTAAAATTTGTAAATAGTTGGAACTGCTTTTTATTCTATTACAGATAAGTATGTGTTTATTTTATTTGCATATGTAATTTCTTTATAGATATAGACAATTATTATTATTGATCAGGTGCTCTTTTAATAACGAATTTACTTATTAGGTTTGCTAACAACGATGTAGTGCCCCGTTCAATTTTAGTCTAGTTCTATCTGCGGTCTGAGATGACATCTGTTTTTGTTAGCGGAGGTAATATTTTGTAGTGCTGCCACTATAATATGTTAATGTTTTTAACTTCTTTTTGCATCGAATTCTGAAAGAAAATGAATTAAACGAAATTCGGTACACATATGAGGTTGGAGCTATTCGGAATTTTAAAAAACTTTTAAGCGATATTTGGTTTAAGTTTAGTAAATGAAGAGAATAAATTCATTATTTTGACCCGAAGCTCTTAGTAAATGTACAAAATAAATAAAAAAATATTTAAACAATACAGCGGATGCCAAAAAAAATTGTTCCGACGAAGTACCCGATAGAAATAAAAATTGACGCGATTCATTTTGTATATTTTCATTTGGACCATATCTATCACTAATATTTTGTATGATTATTGGATGATAAAAGAAAAATTAAATTGAGTTTTCTACTATTAAGTTTATCCGGCTCAGCTTTATTATGGAATGTTACATATTATATCTTTTTACACTGAAAACTAAAAGTATAAATAATTTCCTTGAGTATCGGTGGCAGGATATTTCTTCTTTTTCTAATAGTGATCACAGTCTGCTGGGTCTTGTCCTACAGGAGTATTACCAGATCTGAATTGTCCATAACCATTCGCATAATTTTCAAATGCTAAAATAAAAAAGGAATAATTTGAAGGACGTATTTAAAATGACTCCAATATTAAAAATCAGTGGCCATGAACTCGAAATTTGAAGATTTTCGCTTGCCCCTTCTTCCCCCTTTATCCTCGATAAACTTCGAAAATCAGTTTAATTTAAAAAAAACAAATGTGTTCTACCTCTAACTGGTCTGTAAGACCCGCTAGTACCGCTGTGGCTGCTGCTGCTGGCGCTGTAAGAAGCAGACGCGCTATAAGACTGGGTTAAGCCCTGTTGCAGTTGGGAAGCTAAATTTCTCTGTAGTTGTGATTTTAAATTAGCTAATTGGGCATCGTTAAAGCTTCCATGTGACGAGTACGACTGACTAGTTTCGAAATCTTCCAACTGTCTGGTCAGATTTCGATTTAGCTCTTCGTACAGCCTGTTGTAAGAACGTTCGTAGGCCTGCGGATTGTTATAATAATTGCTATCGGACGCCGTAGAGTATTGCTGCATGTATTGTTTATTCTTGACAAGTGCCGCCTGTAACTGTCTGCTAAGGTCTTCTTGGAGTTGTCTTTGAAGTTCGGCCATGTTACTGCTGCTAGAAACTTCGTAGTTGGATCGAGAACCGCTGGAGTAACTACCGTATGTATTTCCACTCGCTCCCGCCTGTATTAATGGTAAAATTGTGGGTGCCGATGGGGTTGTCGAGTGGTATTGAATGTTGTTGTGGTTGTGGGCACTGTAGTCGTAGTTATCACGTGCTCCCGAATGATATGCGTAGCCACTTTCTCGATTTTGCTGGTACGCTTGTGACTGACGAGACTGCCATCTGTAATAATGGCGGATTTATGGTGAGTCTTAGCCAAACCGTACGTATTAACTTAAATGTGGATATGGAAAATCGAATCTTAGTGTTTTCAAATATGGCAATTAATTGAAGTTCATAACGCAATATAGGGTAGAAAATCATAACTTGAGAAGAGCTGTTTTATTGCCCTATGAAACAAAAAAAAATGTTTTAAAAATATATTAAAAAAGAATGTAGAGAAAAAAACTTCTTAGATTTTATAAAAAAATGCACAGAATATTATGCTTTTATTAAGGGAAGGTGATAGTGACGATTTTGGAAACTGAATAAATACCTATATATTAATATACTATTAGTATAAAAGCAAAAATCGAAAATTACTTTTAAATGTTTACTCGTGCCTGCATAATCGTGAAGCTAATTTATTGAAGGGTCTTGCGGTTAATAATGTCATCTAAATCTTACTGCACATAAAAAAATCGTCGAAAACTTTTCAAACGTAGTGCACCTACCTTGTTCTATAAGTTTCAAAATCCCGATTCAACTTTGTTAACAAGTTGTTCTCGATTTGCTTTTTGAGATTATTGAGGTCATTTGCGTCATAATTTGACTGAGTGTTGTACTGACCGTTGGAGCCGACTGTATACATGTAACCATTTCTTTGTATTTGATTGCCGTATTGCCTCCGTAATTCTTCATCCAAATGGTAAGTTATGTTATTTCTGACTTCATTTCTCAGTCTCTCCAAAGCGTAATCAACGTTCTCAGGAGAGTAGGTCGAATGGGTTGAGAAATATTTGTTCTGCGCCTCTTCTAACAATCTGTTAAGCTGAGAATCTAAGTTGTTTTGGACTCTTGAAGCAATAGTTGTAATCGATTCGGGATTGGACACAGGGTATCTCACGTTTGAAGACCTTTCGTACTCGGAGTTGCGCTGTTCATGTGCATTCGAATAGACTACTTGCAGAGGTTGTATGTTTGGGTAGATAGGTCTATATGTCGTCGTCCTTTCATAACTAACGTAATTTTCTTGGTGTCTGTTCTGCGAGTACCTGAAAAATATAGTTAATATAGAAAATTAGTTAAAAGTTGCCAAAATTATTTCTGCAAACCTGTAATTGTAGTCTCGTCTTAATTGATCCAGTAAATTGTTTTCCAAAAGCCTTTGCATATCAACGAGATCCTGCTGCTGGTAATTGGGGACGGCTTGAAGCCTGCCATCAGTTATGGAATATGACTGACCTCCGCGGATGCTCTGTTGTCCATAGCGTTGTGCTAGTGCTTGCTGGAGTCGTTCAGTAACGTTTCTTCGCAGTTCAGTTTCAAGTTGTTCGATATTTTGTGAATAGGCTGCGCTATTTCTTCGTAGATTCGATTGAATTTCTTGCTGAAGCTCGTTCTGAAGTTGAGATGCAAGTGTCCGCAGTGCGGAGCTACCGTAAGACGACGAACTTGATCTTCCATAGGAATCTAAATAATGATAAAGGGTAAAATAATAGTGGGTGATCTTTAAAAACAAATTCAACCGATCACCTTACCGTATACACTGCTAACACCTCCTATGTGATCTGAGGAGGCTAATTGAGCTTGCTGATAATCGTTTGAAAGTAAATTATCAAATCCTTCGTGGGTACCATCGTAATAACTATCAGCTTTCATGCGGCCAAATGAAGACGAATCTCCTGCATTGTCGTAGTATCCTATACGAAAATATTTTGCTCATAATAGTAATAAGAATCAATTTAATATTCTACTTTCCTAAAACCATTCTAGAATTTAAATTATTCACGTTTTTATATCACTTATTAAATGAAACGTAACAATTATAGTTTATTAAAAAAAAAAGAAATAAAATCATAAACATTAAAGAAATAAAAAGTCAATATCGGGTGCTTCCCGCTATTTATAACCGATTGACATTGACGAATCATACTTTGCACCCGACGTTTATGTATACATGTATATATGTGTTTGATCGGTATTAGTCCATATTTCCCTGATAATGTTTTCTATTTTATCAAAGGAGGCAGGTGGAGGTTGATGATCTCTACGCTACCTACATATTTGATCCCATAAATGTTCCACTGGGTTAAGGTCTGAGCTGTTTGGAGCCCAAGTCCAAGGTCTCAATATTCACGTTATTTAGATAACTTTGAACTATTGAACTCCTCTTCTAATACAGAAAACTTATTCGTTTCACATAAATTTTTTTATTATATTCCGGAAATTCCTGCAGAGTGTGACAAGCATTACATGCCGAGAATTTTTTTTTTTATAAAAACATTTCTGAAGATCTAAGCTACAATTACACAAAATATATATTCAAATCAAGTCAGCAGTTTGCGAGAAGAGAGACTTGCGGATCTGTCATTTAATAAGTTTAATTTGTAAATAAAAGTCTTTCAAAAATCTTTTAATACAGATTCTAATGATAAAAGTTGCGAAATTAATTAAGTATGATTTTTCAGAAAGGTCCACTTTTATGGCTCTGAGTAGTGCAATATTCCTCAGCGCTCTATTAAATTAGAGAAAAGTCACATGCCTAAGAATATGCTGTCGAAGAAAATTTATGAATAGTTCTTAGTTTGATTTGAATACGAATTTTCAAATAAATTGAATATTTATATACACCTTATGAACTTTTACTTTCTCAAATGTTTCAACATTTTTGATCTTGATAGAGCAAAATAAATAAATTAGGAGATTATTTCGTTTGACGAATCTTGTAGCTGTTGATTCTCAGACATCAAAAAAGATTTATTTTATTTTTAGTTAATAGTTGTCGAAAAGAAATAGTAAAAAATAGTAGCTACTGATTTAGTTTTTAAAAATATATACTAGTTTTCTTACCCGCGTTGTCTCTCAATTTTGGGTTGACATACTCGGAGTGTTCACTATTAGAACTAACTTTTGGTTTTGTTCGTCCTTCTAAATCGCCATGTTTGGAATAATAGCCCTGATCGTCAGTTTTATGTTGTAATTCATTGTTTTTGTAAGAGGAAGCCGAAGTTTTGTAGTTGTATTCTTGGTGGTAATAACCATTTGGATCGCCATTTACAAATTGTAGTATTAGCACGGTCACTATCAATACAGTTTCCTTCATTATGGTCTGAAAAGTTACAAATTTGTGCTCACTTAAACCAGATTAAAACGCGTAATAGAATACTGTAGTCGATTCTTCGAAACCGTTTAATAAAATTGCAAAATTCTTGTTGTTGTTTTTTACACCATTTGAACCTTTGATCCTTTCCATTTCATTTGTTTACGAGTGTGGTTTTTATAATCAGTCTGCTATTAAATCTCTTAAGTTTGTATAAAATTTTTCGCTTTCTGCGTTTTAAATTGACATTATTAATTATATTGTAATATTTTTTAGTTTTCGAAGTTAATGATTTAATAAAAAAATACATTATGAAATCCCATTTAGTTGGTTATAAAATAGTTGTTTATCTAGTATTTGCAACATTCCAGTCCAGAAATTTGCAAGAGAGGAAGGAGAAGTCGCGATCATGCCGATCTAACAAGCAGCGAAATAAAACTTGCCGCAGCTATAACAATTGCATCGCTATTTAAATTTTGTGTAAGTGTTAAAGAGCAGAAAATTATTGGGTTGGATTTGTGACGGTTTATATTCTACTTAAAGAGTACTTACAGAAAAAGGCTAAACCCAAACCTCTTTACCTTTAAATTTTCGTAACTGATTTTTATGCCACTACACGAGAAACTGATTTCAACTTTACTCATAAAGTATATATGTATACGCGAATTGATACCATTTGAACTTACTTATCATGAATTCTTCGTAATTAGCGTCTTTAATAATTATTTAAATCAGTTTAGTAGGTCGAGCGTTGAATGAAGAGAAGCGCCAGATCGTCAAACATAATGCAAAATAATTGCTATTTATTATTTTTCGTGGAATATTTAATGGCAGAGAACAAATGCAAAATAAACAAGATCAAAACCATGTTTCCAATTACATGTTAAAAATTTGTTTTCTCAGACATACCATTATACAAGGTGACTCGCTATAAAGATTTTTTTTTTTAGACAAATTAATGTATAAAGGTAAATCTTAGCTAAAGCCATCGACCTCTTCCGTTAATGGGATTGATAAAAGTATGCCATTTTTCAAATATTATTGTTTCAATGACAAAAAAAAGAAAACAAAAGTGAAAATTAATTTTGGCGAAGAGGTTTGCATAATTCAAATTTCTCAAAACGAAATACCTATTCTATTTTTATGAGTCAATTTTAAGCATCTGAAACCAATAAGAAAAGTCTTTAGCACTGAAGAAGGATCAATGCTTTTATAACTGTTACTGTTTCTTTTAATTACGTCTTTTCAATTTAACTGCAAAACTGATTTCAGCGTTTGAGAGCTCGTGCTGAACCAATTTTTTTTTTGGATGATGACTTGGGAAAAGTGTTTTATAATAATAATAATAATCACAATGAGTATAGTTTTATTGAGTTAAAATATTCGACTGCCCCTCAGAATGCAGATGAAGCCTCGAAAGAACAGAATGAAACAAAAAGAAACCTTTTGAATGTGGTATGGGGAGTGTAGATTCTTTAAAAAACTTGGACATAACGTAGTTGGATCGGGTATGGAAGCTAGTTTGACACCAATTTATAATTTTAGATACCTAGAATCCCAGAGAAAGATCAACTGGACAATATCGTTGATTTGAAGAGGTCCAACTGCCAGGACGCTGCATTCCTACCTTCTCATTATTGCCACACATCTTTGTTCACTCCCCTGGAAGGAGGGGAAGTACAGTACCTCTTTCATGAGGAGTTTGTATAGTTCCTCGGTATTGATGCTGGTTAGGAGATGCATTCGATTTTCCTCCTCTTTCGAACACAGCCTGCATGTGCTGTCGTCGTCCACATGAGGTGTAAAAGATCTCGTTTTTTGAACCCTTCACTGTCTCAGTTCCTGTAAACTCTACTAATATGGAGAGAACTATCTCTTCAAACTTCAGCGCACTACTATTTCTACGGAAGTTTCTGAATCCATAGCATGTCCAGCCGCATCTCCAGCCAGCCTGTCAGATTTTACAGATTTTCTTTTAAATTTTTAAAAAACTCTTGCAAAAAAAATTAAAATCATAAATTTATTAATTAACTTTTTTATTATCACCTATTTTCACATGCCCTATAATTAGAGAATCTCTTAACTTGTTCGACATGTATCGAGCGCCCTATAATAATTAAAATTTAAATGAATATTTCACTACTTATATCGAGTTTGAAGTTGTTATTATTCACGAAAGAAGAAATCAAAAACGACTCTAAATGTATCTCAACAAGCCCATGCTCATCAAAATAAAGATTTGTAGAAGTACTTAATGAATGATCTGTCATTCTACTAGGGGTTATTCGATAGAATATTCTCAGAGTCCATGTTCGAGTATTGTAATGGCAAAGATGGGGCACTACACCTTATTTTTTTATTTATATTAATGACCATTTTCGTCGGCGAAATAAAATGATTGAACTGGAACATTAAAAGTTTACAAACGTGTTCAATTCTGTACTTTTTCTAGGAGCATTGGTTTTGGATTGGAAAAAATCGGATCGCTCCCAAACCCCTGACTAAAATACCGCACGTTTTAAAGCGACACTTTCTGCGCGTTCCATCTATTTATATAATAAAAAATATAGGTTTATATATTAAGAAAACAAGGTAGTAGCTAGTTGAACGCCAACAATCACGTACAGTTTTGAGAGAGTTAGCAAATACAATCACAGAAGAGTGAGGACAAGACACCGAGATTAAAAGCAAAGAACTCTATAGAACTCCGAAAAAGAATGCTGAAATGTTATGTGTTTCCAGTGTTTTCATATAGAATGGAGGCACGGACTGTCTCAGGACTGCTGTTGAAACGCAGCCTTTAAAATCAAGAGAATATTTTACGAATAACTACAGCTCATAAACGGAAACGGAAAAAGAGCACCCTGCAGAAGAAGATATTTGAGGTTGGAAGATTTAGGGAAATAGTAATACGACCAAAAATATACTGCATCTATTGCTCTGATTTTAAGTATTTTACAGTACCTTAACCGCAGACCTTCGCAGGCCCGTGGTAAAATCCATTCTAACAGACGTTTATTCTAGACGGTCTTGCCTGAGGAACAGGTTTTTTTAAGACTATAGATTATTTTCGCGTTAGATAAAGATACGTCATAAGAATACAGATAAATATTTATTAGAATCTTACAATTAAATATTTTTTGAAGGTTCTTGTTTTTTAACATATGTGGAGACCCTGGAATCAATGTTAGAAGAAGACATTGAAAACAACGCAGAATTTGGAGACGAAGTGGAAATGGTAGTCGAAGCTATTGACAAGTTAGAAGACAATCTACCTCAGCAAACAAAAATGCTAAGCAAATTGCTTTGAATGTTTACAATTTTATAACAAATTCAGAAGGGGAAGTAGGAGCAGTAATAAAAACAAGTAACATGACCAAAGTTCCAAAGTCAATTGTAAGAAAAATTGGTGCAAATGGGATAGTAAAGTAGAAAGTGAGATGCTGGTTCTTCGCGAATTTTTAAAGAGCAACACGCAGATCTAATTAGGCGTATACGCTTATAACCCAAGAAGAACTGCATAAAAAAGTACTGACAGATTTAAACGTTAGTTGGGCCAAAGTGTCGTTGCGTACTTTTTTGAAGAAAATGGATTTTCAGTTCCAAACAGTTAATAAATGTCAACTGCCAAAGGAATCTCAAAGAATTTCGCAATGGAGGGTGGATTATTTAAATGCAATTGAAAATTATTTAGTATTTAGATGAAACGTGGATCAACACTCACGACACAGTTAAAAAAGTATGGTGTGATAACAGTAACAAGTGTGTACTAGACGTTCCGCCTTCACATGGAAAACGCATAATAATTCTTCATTCGGGGTCCAAAAATGGTTGGGTGGAAGATGCCTTGTATTTGTCTGCCAAAAACGCCAAAGAATCAAGTGTGGATTACCATGAAAACATGATCGCGGAAATATTTGAGGACTGCTTTGAAAATAAACTGTTGCCAAAATTATCGGCAAATACTATTATTGTGTTGGATAATGGCTCGTATCATTCAGCCCAAATTAGAAAAATTTCAAATACTTCTTCAAATAAAGAAGAAATTAAACAATTTCTTTACGAAAATGATTTATATTTTGAAGACAGCTATTCGAAAAAACAACTTCTGGAATTATAAAAAAAAAAACATTTTAATAAAGACTAATAAAGAATACAAATCGTTTCGATAGCACAACCAGACGGACATGAAATGTATCATTGTATATTTAACAGGATTGAGATGATTTGGTTTGAGTTGTAAGCGCATATAAGAAGAAATAACACTGCAAAAAAAATTTGGTAAGAGTACCGTAAACGTAATTCGGCACAAGGTAGCTAAAATATCGGTACAAAGCTGGTCTAACTGTGAAAAACGAGTAATAAAAGAAGAAAATATTTATCGAGAACGATTAGTGGCGGAGTTGATGATTGAAGTAGTTGACGACAGTAGCCGATAGTGACGATTGTTTAAATGACTGATACTTTATTATTATTATATTTAATATTTTGTATATTAATAATGGTACTATGTAGAAATGTAATAAAGTACAACGTAATAAATTGTTACTTTGTACTAATTTTTATATGTACATGTTTTAAGAATTACTCGGCAAAAAGATTGATAATATAATTATATCCCACTTGTTAGTGTAGGTAGATAAATTCCTAGGACGGTCCTGGAATGGTTTCGGATAAGGGCCTGCTCTGCAGAGTGTTCTATAAGGGGCTGCGGTTTTGGAGTAATAAACAGTAGGCCACGTTAATCACGGAGTCGGTTGTAAAAGCACTATATTTCTGGTGCAAGTATACAATAAAACATCAGTGGAACTGTTTCGGTCTACTGTTCCCAAAGTGAAGATTGCCATTTTGGTCGTCAACTTCCGAAGATAGGAGATGCTACAAGAAGAAGAAGAAGAAAATGTTTCTACCAAAATATAAGTATTAAAGTGAAGCACGATAAGACATCGCTTCTCAATTAATAGAGAAATAACGAAGTATAAGAATTCGGTTATTTCACAGAATGATTTTATATATGTTAATGAGTTTTTGGTAACTTTATGAAAATTTTAAATATTTACAATGATTAAAGTCGAATGTAAAATAAATAAATACCCATTTATTATTTACCATAAACAATTAAGAAAATAGTCGTGAGCGGGAGTGCGAGTTTATTTCGCTAGCACTCGTAAAGGCTGTGGTCTGTGGCGTGCGCGTATATAAAGTTGCCACCAACGAGCGACTGATGACGTAGCTGCGTTCCCCCCGCGACCGCGTCAGGAATCGATCGTCTAACCGACGACGTCTCGTTTCTGAGAGGGACGCGCACGCCGTCGGGACGCCGGCGCGCGCGCAGCCGTCTGGAGCGGGAACGGTGGCGCCAGCGAGCACCAGCAGCAGCAGCATCTGCGATGTCGTCCGGGACTGAATTGTGTCGCTGAGAATGCATCTTCGTCGACATGTGAGGACTGTAGCCTCAGCCTCATCGTCGTCGTGCGACCATGTCCGCCGCCGAGTCGTACGCTTCCGAGATCACGTAATAGCCGTTACGCCGCGTCGTAATATGCTCCGCGGAGTGGCCGAGTGGTGAGCGTCAATGGCGTCGTCGGTGGCGGGCTCGGCCATCGACCAGGCGTCGGCGTGTGTCGTGGCGACTCACGGCCACGGCTTCCAAAAGAAGACCTTCCACAAACCCACGTACTGCCACCACTGCAGCGACATGCTTTGGGGCCTCATCCAACAGGGCTTCATCTGTGAAGGTGAGCCCGATTCCCTATCTCGCGGCAAATAGGTCATCCCGACATCGCCGCTTGGCTTATGCCCAACCGTGGCAGCTGTTTTCTCGTACTTTTGTTTTTATTATCTAATATTACGCTCGGCTCGAAGGACCCGCTCGTCTCCACAAATATTTATAAATCCTCCGTATTTTTATTGCCTAGTATATGTCGTCTCTTTCCCCTTGCCTCTCTGCTTCGTGCGTGTATCTCGTTTTTGGGAAATATATCCTTTTAATCTATTAATTGCATCTCTTTTAGTTTTAGTGGGTTTGGTAGTATCAAACCACAAAACTTGGTAAATATTTAAGGTCGCGATTTGGATCTATTCTCCGTCACGCCTGTGAAAATTGCTAAACAAATTAAAATACTTGCATACTCCGTGTAAGGCTATACGGACCTAGCTATGAGGAAATATTGAATTAGATGGAGATCAATGGTACCTTTAGTGAAACGTAAACCCGCTCTCTCGCTCGATATAATACGGGGTGGGTGTACTTAAATACTGTTAACATGTGTACAAATGTTTACGATGTTACTGCAAAGAAAATAAGTGCCCAATAGTAACTGCGACAAGCCTTTCATATCAATCACGCTTAATAATAGTTTTCGTCTGCAATGGAAAGTTGAATTCAAATTCGGATGCAATCAATTTGACTTCGCTAACATAAATGTTGTTTATACCTAGATAATATTTCTGATTTTTCAGTTTCATTTCTCCCGTTTATTTGAAATAAAAATCCTTTTTCGGAATCAGTCAGGGAAAGCACAATTTATTGACAATAACAATAAAATCTACTTTTGCATTGAATTAATTAAAATCAAAATCTCGGTATGGGAATAATTAATTTTGTTTTTTTATGGTGACTACGGCCGCGCGCGACATCGTAGGCCTGGAATATGTTGACCCATAGCTGTTCCTTTTTACCCATATTCTGAAAATTTTAATAATTTTTTTACAATATATACAAAATATTGTAGTTTATCGGAATTCAAATTATTTTGGTCAGACATTTTTTTTTTCCATTTTCTAATTGTATTTTCCGCGACAAACCATTTTTATTTTGCAATAATTGTCGTTGTTGTTATTAATACAGTGACGAGTCTATTTCTTCTGCTCGAATTGCATTGAAATAAAAGTAACCTACGACTTCAAGGAACTAGTTTTTGCATGATTAAGCATTTAGTTGCCCCATAAAAATGAATGTAATTCACTAATATATATACGTTCATACACCTGCAATATTATTTTTGATAGCAAATATAACTAGGAAAAACTATCCTGACACAATAACAAGCTTAATAATTTTTAAATCAATGTGCATTTACTGCACAACATATAATTTGTCGATCAGGTATTACGACGACAGTTTTCATTTCATTTCTTCTAACTTAGGACAGATGTGATCAAAAATGTAAAATATTTGCGTTAGTTAACTAAAGATGGTTGCAACTTTTGTCTCACAATTTTCACATCATCTTTCCACATTCAATATTTGTAAAAAATAACATCCAAAAAAACCAGTTGGTACTGGAACCACAAAAATCAGCTCATCGATGCCACATTTTTTTAAAAGCTTTATGTCAGCTTATTGACGCACTTTAAAGGCGCCGGAAAACCAACCAACCTTTCAGGACTTGCAAAAGGACGAAATTCAGATATTTTTGCACGTTGTAATAATTCAAATAATGCAAAGCGTTCCAGAAAGGATGCGCTTTATCATTTATGTCACTTTACATTCTCTTAAGTGTTTCTATGTGTATTATATTTTCTTGTAAAGGTCGCAAAAAAGTAGATTGTTAAATCAAATTTTTCTGTAATATTCCAACTTGGTTTAAAATGTATTTTCGAATGGCTTCGTATTGGTATAACCCACAGCAAATACCATTTTATTTTATTTGAAAACTATCTTGGAAAATATTAGATAAGTACTTAGATCATGGGAGGGCACTCTTCGGGAAGCAATTTTTTTAAACAATTATTAATGAATTAACAATCATAATTTTGTTTCTTCAAAAAATTCCAGCAAATTCCCTTCAGACCAAGAAAATTCTTCACTATTTTCCTTTAATGAATGTTTATTTAACCTTTTGAACCCTACAAATTTTTGTTTATTTTAGCAAAATTAGAAAGTTGTGCATTTTGCAAAGGTTTATGTATTATCCCTAGTCATGTCTATGTCATGTCATAGAACTATTTAAATTTAATTTTTCTAAAATGTGGCGATCCAGTTAAGGCTTGTTATCTGAAGTTACCCGAACACTTAATTGCTATAAATATTGTAAATTTGCAATTACGTTATATATTGCAATATACTGTTTTAATTCCGCTTTCCGTTCCTTGTGCTTTATGAGCTGTTCAAATTTCTCGCTTTAACCAAAAGCATAAGAGTACAGTGCGCTGCTCTCATCTCATTATATTTGTATAATTTATCAACCGTCCAAGTAATGCTGCCTGACAGTTCTTTCTTAGAACCGACGCTAATTACAAGTGGATGTAAGAGGCAAACAACATAAGAGCATATGTACATGTAGCACATGCTTCTGGGAGTTCGAGCTCATCATATTTCACAGCGCCATGGAATATAGGCCTATTGTTATAGGTATTTTTTGATGATTTTATTAAAATGATATTCGCATCGAAGTTTATTAGTAAAGTATAAGTATATATTAGTTATCCTAACCGGAAATCTTCAGTTCTATTAAATTTTACCATTTTACTGAAACTATTACTGACCCCCATTTGTATGTAATTGTTTCTGTTTAAATAAACATCAAATTATTGTATTCAGCTAAGTAAATATTATAATTTTAATTACTATACTTTAATTTTTCTTTCTTATTGAATTCACAAATTTTCAATGTAGCCTATATCAGGTCTTCCTAATTTAAAATTCTTATCCCGAACGCGTTAAATATAATATACATATAAGTTTTCTACTGCCTTAATAAGGTTGAATCGTTTTTGAAATATTTATATTCATTATATTTCATCCCTGAAAATAATTTTCTCTCAATAGACTTACGCTTCTACACGATATATCAAGAACAACGAAACTAAATTTAAATTCGAAAGAAAATCATGTATCAATTTTTGCTTTAATCCTCCAAATGTGCTGGGTTCTAAAAGTAGTTTGGCCTTTCGTGGAGAGTTCTTCGGAGTCAATTAATTGAGAACCTCTTGACCATGACGAGCTCATTATTATCTTTCTAAATAACACAGAGACAATAACTCCACAGATATAATCAATTAGAACTGTCTTCCTTTGAATGAAAAGAAAAACACCAAAATACAAAAATAAAAGTGAGTGTACTTGCGCTACGGTGGGTTGTTTGCAAAGGTGTTGGGTTGGAAACACAAAAAAACTCAAAAATAGTGACGAGTTGAAAATTCATAGGAAGAAATCTACAGAAAGCAAAGTTTATTGGGCCTGTCTAGTTCGCTCCTTCAATTGCGTTATATTGAAATTTTTTATGTATTTGTTAATGTGGGTTTAAATGAAGAGAATACGACTAGCAGAGCAAAGCGACATCCAAACACACCGATGAACTTATTCTCCATTGTTAGTTTGAATTGCACTGCAGAGTGGTCGGTGGGCTACAATTGACAAACATTGACAACATATGCCCTTTCGATGCAAATGTAATTTCCGAAATGATTTTGATACGATAAATATTCACACTTAATTATTTCAATCATCAGATTCTCTCAAGTAATTGGCAACTTGTAGATTCTGTGAGCTGTTTCCAAAAGTACATATCTGTAAAACTATAAAAGGCTCTAAAAACATACATTAAGGTGCTGTAAAATAGTATATTATGCAACAAGTGCGGTAAACGTTTACCGAACGGGTTGCATACTATACTTTTTCTACGGACGTTAGTTTTTGGGTATATTTTCATAAAACAACACGAATACATTCACTGACATGACCGTCAGTATTGCCAAACGTCAAGATTCAAAGCGTGGGAAATATCTCCGAGAATATCCGATTGCTCCCAAATCCGTGCGGCAAAATCCTGGAAATGTCCAAAGTGGCTCGGATTCGTTTGAAAGGAAATTGACGTGGTAAAATGACGCTTCACGCACGCTAGATCGGTGGGTAATTAGGTATTTTACAGACGGGCGTAGAGAAAGCATAATTACATGTATAGTCGGTGTATATATTCCATTATTATACACATAGCAAAAAATCGACACTGTGTTGTATGAGGATATGAAGTTCAGCGTCACTACACCAGGTCAGAATTAAAATTTTGTGTTCCAGATTAGCAATCTATTAACAAGATCGGAGAGTAATTAACGAATTAATTTATAAAATTTCCCTATAGGAATTTAAATAGAAATTTTAAGTAAAAACATTTTTTTATTCACAAATGTTATTGATCTATTGATAACTTTTTCAATGAGTGTTTTTAATATACTGTACTGTGTAACAATTGGTATTAAGTTGAGTTGATTATAAATATTGTTATATCGCTCTGATAATAATCGCTCTGATGATAGCAGATTTTTTTTTTATAAAGTAGCAAGTGTTTATATTTTAGCACACAAAACAACAATTTTACTAATATAATGGAACTGTAATTTTTGTCAAGTTTAGTAATAATATGACACATTAAATAAAGGCAGCCTTTCTGTTGAGATCAAAAGGAGTTAAAACTTGTGAAAATTTAAAAAGTGAAATTAATACCCACTAAATTGAAACGATTATGAATTTTCATGTGTTAAAACAGGTACACATTTCACGAATCACCCTAATCATTTTAATTTTAGTACTTAGCATAGATAAAGTTAAAAGTATTTTTTTTTTAAATATCACCTGATTAAAATTTGCAAAAAATGCAGTATCTGGTTTACTGCCTTGTATAATAAAGAAGATACGATAAAAAAGAACTTCTGCAAAAACAGATAAAATGCGTCTTCATATATCGAATTTCTTATGAGAATATTTTTGATATTTTAATACTTCACTTTACTTGACATTTTCTTAAACTGCTGTAATATTTAGATTTTAGGTTTTAATTGATCACACGAGATTCTGAATTGAGCGGTGTTCATATTATCCTTTTTTTTTAAATTTCAGTTTGCAACTTTGTGGTGCATGATCGCTGCTACAAGACTGTAGTATCTCCATGTTCCAGCATTGCAGCAAATCTTATTAGGGTAAGTTACAGTGTAAATTTGTGCCCTAGAAATTTAAAACCAATTAACTTGCAATCTAATTGCGTTTCGTTGACAGTCTCTATTTCATTCGCAAATAAGAGTTGGGTAATCTCCAAGGTTCAAACCAATACGCAAATGAAATCGGAAACGAGATTATCCATTGTTCATTTTTTTTTAATACTATACGAGTATAACTAACCACATCCCACATCCCGTAAAAGCGATAGCAGGAATAAGTCACATATTTGGTTACAGAATCCGGTAGCTCACTGTTGGTCAGAAGCATTCCATCATAAACGAAAATTTTGCAACGTATGCCGGAAAAGATTGGACGATAGTGATTCTCTTCACTGCGAAAGTATGTATCAAAGAACTGCGAAAACTAAAGTATCAAGACTTTGATACAAATAAATAAAAAACCCTTAAGTTACATTAATGTTCATTAACTATTTATTGTAGCAATACCTTGACGCTTTCAAGTTTTCTGGCGCCTTAATGAAATTTGATAAAATTCTACATTTTGGCGCATTCTAAAATATTTTAGCGATCGGTTTAAAATTACACCCGTAATATAACCTTTTGTATTTTTTTAAGTATGCGAATACTACGTACATGTGGAATGTCAAGATTTTGCCGTGGCCGATTGTAAGGAGAACGCCACCTACGTGCCAGGAAAGAATCTGGAAAATGTTCGCCACCAACACCATTGGCGAGAAGGAAATTTGCCAAGCAATAGTAAATGTGCAGTATGTAAGAAAACTTGCTGGACCACGGAATGCCTTTCGGGATATCGGTGCGAGTGGTGCGGCATGACGGTAATTAAAAATTTCAATTTTTTAAATTGACCCTATAATTTCCTCCATACTAAGTGATGCGGATCTGTCGAAGTTCTGGAAGACACTTTTAAGCTGCCTTCCTCCAGACGTCAGGAGTATAAAGTCGGGTCAATTTTCAATAGTCTTATTCAATTCGATAGTACCAATCAATTTAGTTGGAAGAGGGCAATACAATTCAAAATCGATTGCAAGCGGGGAACAAATCATTACACACTTTTCTGAGTGAATTGCTGAGGTATACCGGGCGTTTCAATTTTTATTTATTCACAGTTTATTTTAAAATTCAAAATATATTGCAACTTTCTGCACTTTTTGAACATCGGGTGTTTCAAATTCGGAAACAAAATTACGATAGATGTGTTCAATGATAATGCATTTAACGTATATTGTTGTTAAACCATTATTAGTTCTAATTTTTGTTATGGACACCTTATTGGATTTTTGCAGCTTTGAATAGCCTTTTATATTACCCTTTTAATAATGGTTTACAAAAAAACAAAAATAACAAAAAAACAGCAATATTAATGCCATAAAACCATTTTGCTTATTTGATTTTATCTCACTTTCTTGTCGCCTTGGGAAATGCCGTACAAATTTTACTAATATTTTTTAAAGCAATTAACTTATTCATTTAGATTTTGTGGGTATCGTATTTTTGTTTTTAATTTAAATGAGAAATAAAAGTGAGTGGATCCCCTAAGATCTAAATCATGTACGGCTATGTGTGTTTTTTTATTTAGTTTGTTAACAGTTAACTTATTCTCAGTTTATTATCTCAGACCGTGTACGCATCTTTTTCTAATATTTAAGTCCCCCTGGATGTCTGGAATTTAGTCTGCCTCTATATACTGTTCTAATATCTTTGTCGTTGTTTGGTTTTATGTTGCCACATTTGAGCCTTCTTCATTGGATTGTTATTAGTTTTTGTATTTGGTACAAATCTGCTTAAAATGTAAGATTTGCATTATATTTTCATCAGTATAGTATTCTTTTTGTTTAGCGTGAATCCAATTTTCGCATCTTTTTGTCATAGTTATTACAAATATTATATTTTCTTTATTTAGAAATATGAAACATTTATTCATTTTTCTATGCTATTTAAAGCATATTTAACCTTTGCTCTTGGGAATATGTCCGGACAGTTGGTGATCATGTAACTTTTCAAATATTTTACTTCTTTTGGACCAAATAACTAACAAGCAATCGATTTTTTAGTGCCATGCAGTGTGCCATGTTAATATTAACAATGAGTGCACATTCGGGCTTTTGGAACCTATTTATTTACCACCGCATGCAGTCAGCATTCCACGCACCGAGGTTCCCATGGAAGCCATTATTGGAGTACAAATTAGACGCAAAGACACCCTCTCTCGTGAGTAGTTATAATTCATTCAAGAATATCAAGGATATGATCAAAAAACTCATTATAGCGCGAAGCACATCGGAAGAATTCAGTAGCGGTGAAGCTGGCAGATATAGAGATCTTGATGATAACGCTCAACCTCACACACCGGGGAAGGAAAAACAAGAAAAACAAAATAAGGACAAGGAAGATAGAGACGATGGTATGTATAAAGGGTGATACAAAAACGAATAATGATTACAGTTTATAAGTTGACTTCAATTTGGTTTGTTTGATTTGATTTTCTTGAAACTTTGTTAAATACAAAGAACACTCAGGTTTTAGCCACAGTCAGTTTTAATCTCCATTTCTGTTAAAAATCCCGAAAATTGCATAGACTAGTCAATTAGAAATTAAGATTTTGTGTTGTACATTTGATTGATTCTGCTTCTGATTGTATATATCACTGGCCATAGCAAAAATTATTAACATAATTTAGTAATGGCTCTCTGCTTTCAGTCAGACAACAATTTATTTGAATTTGAATATTTGAAATTTATTTGATCAGTCCCAAAAATATATTATTTATTTTTTAAATTTAAAAATAACCAATATTATGTTTTCCGTAAATTGCTATAAAAACGTATTATCTTTTGTCCGTTAGTCAATGTAGTTTTCACAATTGTCCTTTTACGAAGGAAAAAGCTATCCCAAATCTCCAACTCCGGCAGGTGTGCCTTGCAAAGTCGAAATCGATCAACTAAATATCGTTTATAAAATTTTATTGAAATTTTGGCAAATTTCATTTCATTTATTTATCGTTGCTTCCGATATGTATTCTATATAATATAAATATATAACATTTGTTTTAATAATTGGAAACGAGATTTAAATCAATTATCCGTTTTTTAAGAATAAACTAAATTTGAAGAATTAGTTGTTGATGCAATGAAAAAATGGCCCAAAGTAACAAGGGTAATCAAATTTTCGTTATTTGCTATTTACTACAATTCTCCTGTATAGTTGCAAATTTGGTTTTTACTGACAGAATGAGCGGCGAAAAATATTGAAAATTTTAATATACAGATTGCTTTTTGAAAATTTCAACTTCAATTTTATTAAAATTATAACTCAAGAAAATAAACGAACTATAATGCTTCTTACATCTTGGTAATAATTTCTTCAGTTCACTTCCAGAAGCGGTCAGATTTTTTGGTTTTTATATTTTCACTTTAATAATATAAAACAACAACAACAACAATAAAATTAAAAGATACTTCCGCTTAAGCACTTAAGCACTACTACATAGTTTCTAGTATAAGAGAATTGTTTTCCGATATGATGTTAGATATATTCTATAGAATTAAGTCTGTACTACAGTCTGTAGTGCACATAATTGACCTAAGCAACTTGGTTTTCATGATTGACATTGCTTTTTATCAAATTTGGTAATAGCATCGTTTCTACCATGTATCGTCTACAGCCATTCTTCAGACCATTTTTCAACTGCCGTGCATCTTCCGTCCTTGACGTATCACTTTGTTACCCATTTTGTTTGTTTCTTTTTGTCCTTATTCGTTTTTTCAATTGAATAGAGACTACAATTCCTGCACTTATGTGCCGGGTCGACATGTTTATGTGTACCAAAAAAAAATGGAGCTGACGAGCCTGTTAGAATAATTTGCAAAAATCAATTTGGGAACACTTAGAGTTAGCAAATACTTGTTGAAAAACGTGGAGCCAATCGATTTTCACTTGTTAAATCATTTCATCAGTCAGTTGATAGGGGTTGTTCGGCGACGCTTATCATGACAACTTTATCACAATCGAGAAAATAAAAATATATTTCCGTACCCTATTGTCATCATCATCGTATTTCTGCCTAAGGAATCTGTCGATCCTTGTCTTTTTACCATTTGCAGAGGTTGTTAAAGTGTACGATGGCAATAACTCGATGCGCAGGCGAATTTTTCGAACTATCATAGTTTCGAAACAAGCGTCGCTCAAGCAGATCCTTACACAGGCCCTCCGGGCTTTTCACATCACAAAGGATCCAAATTACTTCCAGCTAACCGATCTCTATTCGCCGGACGAAGCCATACTGCAGGATTCCAATCCAGTCTTAAGCCTGCATAGGAAAGAGGGCAAGCGACCAGCAGTTTTTCTTAGATTCAGGTATTGTGCTACTGAAATGTATTTGGGGTCAGTCGCGGAAAATTTCATTGTTCCTCAGGGATAGGGATAATGACAAAGGGGAAGTGCGAGTTTATCCCGGTAAATTACAGTCTTCCCAGGCATACTGCACCGTGCCTGTGGACTCAAATACAACGGTCGGGGATCTTATAAAAGAAGCATTAACTAGATTCGGTCTGGAGGATTTTAGATGCGAGGATTACCGTTGCAGCGAAGTTCTGTTGGATAGGGGAGGTAAGCGATCGGCGAACTGAGCTTAGAAGGTGTAATTCCGACGAATCTGATTCAAACAGTTACCGAACGAGTGTTATCGTGGAACGAGAGGCCGTGGGAAATTATGAAACGATTAGGTCGGGAGAGCATTCGTCAGATGGAGCTGATGAGATTTTACCTCCAATTGAAGCAGGATCCTCATGGACCGAATCTCGCGCTTTTCGTTGGGAACTTACCGCCGAATTTGTCAGAGCGGAACTATGAAAATATCTTAACCGATCTTCTCGGAAAAGGTAATATTATTTTGAGATTGACGTTTAACTGTGGGCTTCATTTCATTATCCAATTTTCCTGGGGAATATCAGAGGGTGGTCTAAAAATACATTCTACTTTAACTTCAACATGATTAAATTGGAATATAGTTAAATTTTGTTGGGTTTTACTTTTATCTAGAAAATAGAAAATTTATTCTTTTGTCCAAGCATATATTATTACATTGAACTCTCAATAATCCCTCGATATTTCTTTAAATTCGAGTTCACATGTTCTTATATCAATCGATGTATCAATTTGATCTCTGTAGAACGAGGTTTCCCCGTTATCGGGAGAGTCCTAATTTATAACTTTCGCTCTATTTATAGCTAATCTCTTTCGGGTCCCCCTACCTCTTGGTTAGCAGAAAAATGAAACTTTACATACTGTACTAATTTTGGGGCTGGTGAATTGACCGTGGACCATGGACACTTCTCAAATGGCTAATTAGAAAATGTTTTAAATAACATCCTGCAATTGTAGAGTGTTATCCATAATTGTTTAATAATAATATGTATTTTATGATAAATTATTAGGCGTTTGTGATGCCCAATTTACCTTATCTGAATATGATATTCTGCTATTCGGGGAATCCCAACAATGATATCGACTCCATTTTGGCATCAGAAGGACGAGACGGCGACGAAACGCATCATATAAATAAATATAAATTTTTTGTATAAACAATTTCATATTGAAACAGATTTTTATATTTTTTTTAGAGTCCTAAAACAAAATTACTACGAATTTAGTACGATTTTTTTTTTACTTTGTTCTTTTACGTTTTGTAAAAATGCGCCAGCAAATATTTTCACATTTCACCCAAAATTTTCTTTCGAAATCGAAGTTTTGTGGAGCACTGAAAATATTAAAATGTACGATTTTCAGTTTTTTTTTCTTTTCGCATTAGAATTTAAACTACACCCTTTGATAAAGCGATAAATCTCTTAAACCATTTTTGTGTCAAACTTGTTTGCAATAATTAGGTTAGGTAGTTATAGAAATCAAAAACCACTTTTGTTTTGGAAGATTAGGATTTGGTCAATTAGATTATCTCTTTTATCGAAACATTTGGTAATGAATAAGGGGCTCATGCTCACACTTTGACTAATATAAATTACGGGAAAAGTGAATACGAGAAAAATGCGCGAAGATGAAAAAATACCTCACCTAAGATATCGTTGTTTAGAAAAGTTATTATTGTCAAAAACAGATGCTATGAATATTGAATATTTTTTGATTAGATTTCAAATTATTGGAAAATTTGCCATCAACATGAAGGTAATACTGAATTTCTTTTAACGTTTTTGAGTTTCCAACGGTAGAAGTTAAATTTTAAAGAGTCCCTATAAGCAAATTAGGAATGCTGAAAAAAGATCATCTCAGAAGAATTCGATATAGATGGTTGTGAATTAAAGGAGACGGATATACTCTTTCAGGAAAAATATAACACCAAAGGGCAATATTAGCTACACGTATCTTTCTCGATTTAAACAAAAATTGCTTACTCGATTTGATGCGCCAAGCTTAAGTCTTCCCTCACCCAGGCCGCAAAGATGAGGTTACACTTCAAGTTCGCATTTTTTTCTCGAGGCATATTTAATATTTTGATATCGAATATTATTTGCTAGAAAACAAGTTTTCCAAAATCGGACCAATCTACTACGAATATGGTTCAATGGTAATCACTTATGAAGATGCGGAAAAAGCAGTGAGGGCGTTATACATCTTGAGAGAATCCCGACCCGAAGAAAAACAATCTTTGTTAGGTTCGATATCGATTGAACGATCGAATATTTCCGCACACCAACTCAGAATTGTATTTCAGTTATGCTTCTACCAAATATCGAACCGTCGATGATACCGGCGGGTGTTCAGCCGCTGTTGGTGTTCGTTAACGTGAAATCGGGTGGTTGCCAAGGTCTGGAACTGATCTCCAGTTTTAGGAAACTGCTGAATCCGTATCAAGTGTTTGATTTGGACAACGGCGGACCCTTGCCGGGATTGTACGTGTTTAGGAATGTGCCAAATTACAAAATTTTAGTTTGCGGTGGCGACGGTACCATTGGTTGGGTTTTGCAATGTCTGGACAATGTCGGTCAAGATTCTCAGTGCTCGTCACCCGCTTGCGCTATCGTACCTCTAGGAACAGGTAAATTATGCAACTCCTAATAATATCACGGTTCCAATAATCATTTGTATTTGCAGGGAATGATCTGGCCCGCGTTCTAAGATGGGGACCGGGTTACACCGGCGGTGAAGATCCGTTAAATCTTCTCAGGGACGTAATCGATGCGGAAGAGATCCGATTGGATCGATGGACTGTAGTTTTTCACCCCGAGGACAAACCCGACGATAGCATAAAACAGGTCAACTCCACTGGTAAGAAGAGGCAAAAACTGGCCAAAATGAAAGTGACGAATGAGCAAATAAAAAAAGCAGGTCAATCCTATTTTACCTATATGTTGTTTTGCTGTAACATTTTATTCATTGACTAACGTTTGAGTTTGTTATTGTGCATTAATAATGAGGTCCGAATCGGCTAATTGTGTTAGCAATTAATTTAAAACAAATTTTGCTTGCCTAAACGTCTATTTGCTATATTTACTCAGAGACGGACATTTTCTTAACTCAAGTAAAACAATTTGTTTACGTAAATTTCCACCGTCTTCCGCTAAAAAATATGGGAATATATAAAAATACAAATAAATTCGAAATCCAGTGGAGCGTATAATAATATTTAAGTGGTGTAATGTTAAAAAGCAGCCCTAGATTAAGTAAGCAAAATGATTGTATCGATTCAGCTTGTTAAAGTGAGTTCTCAAAATTGTTATTTGAGTCACAAAGCTCATAGTTTGCTGGGAATATTCTCACATAATATTTATAGGTCGGCAGCTACATCCTATAATTTTTATTAAAAAATCATTTATTATAATTATTATTTTTGAAGTAACGTTATAAATAAATATTTGAAATTTCATTATTGTTGATGTTTCTGGGTAGTTAAATTTGGTATAAAAATTATACTTTCTATATACATAGTTCATATTAATAGTTACTTTTTGAGTGCTTTAATCTTCCAATTCAAAATATAGTGGAAATTTAAGTAATCAAATTATTTTACATCTAATCGAATAAAGTATTAGTAATACGACTATATTAGTTTTTGGGCAGGCGTTTTTGGTGTTCCTTTTTGATTTGAAACAAATGTTAGTGGATAAAATATTTAGCGTAACGACAACATTTTTTCCAAAAATTTGTTTAGCTATTAGAAATGACTATAAAAATTGGGTTTTAAATGTACATATTCAACAACTTTACAGTTTTATAAACAAAAACAATCGTATAAACGGAACTCTAAAAAATTACATCATTAATTAAAAAGGGAACTTTTGCGCAAAAATCATGTAGCAAGAGCTTTTTCATCCAATCCGTCAATCCTTCACCTCTGAAAATCTATTGTTTATAGTACATAGGAAAGAAATTAATTTATTGATTTGCCGCAAATAGTGACACGAGCGGCGTTAGTAAGTACCTACCTGTAACTAGAAAGGCGCTTGATTTAGACTCACTGTAGTGCTTTTTACGGCAAAACAACATTTTTGTAAAAAATCATATTAGTAGCTCACAAGCTAACAAAATTGGCCTTTGATAATACATTCATTATCTATTGTCTTATAAAAAAATAAAAATGCTTAAAGTGTGTTTTTGGCTTGCTACTTAATGTCGAAAAGGAGGGTTGGAGGTATATTTTTGACTTTTATTTTAAAAACAATATATGTACCTTTCCCGTATAGTGTCTCTTTAAAACCATATTCTTGGGAGAAACATATTTTACCGCTGTACTAGGGTTGGTTTTGTTGATCTACATTTTGACCCAAAATCCATTGATTTGATTGATTTGACTTGATTTTGGGTATTCCCGAAGCGTATTTCATTCTTGGAAAAATATTGGGTTGTGTAAGAGTTTACGAAGGTACATTATGGTCATATATCTAATAAAAGAGATGTAGCTATTAGCCTTCAAAATAGTTGAGGTGGTTTTGGTATAGTGATTTTCAAATAGTACTTATGATCAATTACACCAAAAAGTGTAAAAATAACCACCCTCAAAATGTTTGATTTATTTTCAAGAAATACCAAACATTGCATATGCTCGCACGTAATAGTTAATCATTTTAGTAGAGTGCTGGTTGCAAAGAGCTAAACTTGCGTAAAGTTTAAATAATGTCACCAATAGTTCTCGAGAGTGGTATCCAATCAGAAGGATACTCTTTGACAATCTAAATTCAGTTTTACTAAGCACTGTCCGAAAAGAACTCACCATACTTTAGCCTTCTGCTAGTGAAATTATGGAATTGGAGTCTCTAGAGTTATGAAGGGCACTATATAAACATTTCCATTCAATATTTTCAGGAACGATGTCATTGAAACGTTTGCCAGCAATGTATTTCAATGTATTATTAATTCATATCTGCCATATTTTTACAAGGTTTCTCGACATTCCTCGTTAATAGCATAACCAAACGAAAAATTGTCGCTATTCATTTTATTAAAATATCAGCACCAGTAGTAATATTATTATTTCAAAAGAAAATCAAATATAACAAATTCGCTTATATAAGTGTGTGTATTTTTTATTTTTGAAAATTGAATTCAAATTAATGTAGTTTAATTTTTGTGTAATCAATTATTTCCACTTAAGTTTAAAAAATTATAAAGGCTCCTTGCGCTAGTAAATTAATAGGAGGCAGAAAGGCTGCGCCGTCGAATATTTCAAAATATATGCCGGAGATTTATTATTAAATTTTTAAAAACTGCTCAGATTTATTGCGTTAGCCTTTTTATATATCTGGTCATTGCAAGCTCTTGTTCATATAAATCGGGAACAAAAATGCCTGACTTTTTGTCATCATATATCAGAACGATCTGTTCCTGGCTTAAAACACCAACTAAATAAAGCCGTTATTAGACTTTTCGAAATTTATTTTTATTTGTTCTATTGTTTAGTTTTGGTTAATTTTTAATTAGTAACTTTATATTTCTTTTGATATCTCATATATAATTTTAATTGATAAGATTGATAGCTATTAGGATGTTTTTCAAAAATATTTTATTTAAATTCACTTCTAAACGATACCGTATTATTAAAATTAAATAAATGTACATATAATTAAAAAGTCTCGCTATAATTAAATATACCTCAAATCGTGGATATGTAGTCTGTTGGCTGAGAATTCATGCATTTGGTTTAGGATAAGATTGGCCGAAAATAGGTGGACATTTTGTCAATTCCTTGTACTTGCCAAATATTTGGTGATATCTAAGGCCTTTAGTAGAGTTCTGCTAAATCTTAGAATTTAACGCTTTGACAAATACGCGATACCTGACTTGAATCGTCGGTTTGCAGACTATATTTAGATCATAGTAAATCAAACGTAGACGTATTTCTTTGAACGTTTACTATAGTTGTAGCAGGTTCTACGAGCGAAGATAACTCCCAGATCTTCGTGATGAACAACTATTTCGGCATCGGCATCGACGCAGACCTGTGTTTGGATTTTCATAACGCGCGCGAAGAAAATCCGGGTAAATTCATCAGTCGATTGCACAACAAGAGCGTGTACGTGAAAATGGGACTGCGCAAAATCGTCGGTCAGGGAAAAGTGTGTAAAGATCTGCACAAAGAAGTGAGGTTAGAAGTGGACGGCAAACCTGTGGAGTTACCTCAAGTCGAAGGGATAATTATATTAAATATTTTAAGGTGAGTGTTTCTTGAAACTTGTGTCATTTAATGTTGACTGTTGCTTTGAAGTTGGGGATCGGGAGCTAATCCATGGGGACCGGAAAAAGATGACCAGTTTTCCAAACCGAACCATTGGGATGGAATGTTGGAAGTGGTGGGGGTTACTGGGGTTGTTCATTTGGGTCAAATTCAGTCGGGTTTAAGAACAGCGATGAGAATTGCACAGGTATGACGCAACGATCAACAATTGGAAAGGCAAATGGCAAACTGTCCTGTTTTAGGGTGGGCACATAAAAATTCATTTGAGTTCGGATATTCCAGTTCAGGTTGATGGAGAACCGTGGGTGCAAAGTCCGTGTGATGTGGTAGTGCTGAAATCCGCGTTAAAGGTAAATTTTTGTTTTCTGTGTGTGACGAATGCAAAGAATTGAAAAAAATGTTTTCTTGGATCGCATGGCTGTTTGCTTCACTTTTTTGATATAAAGATTTTGATTAGACTTTCCTCCAAAAAGGCGGCTTAATTGTCGCATAGTAAACTTGTAATGTTCAACACGAATTGACAGAATATTGAAAACCTTCTAAACCTTATTTCAATAATGTGTTATAACTTGAACTTTATACTTATTTGAAAAAATCTGGGGCTTGGGGGCTGCAATAAACAAACAAAATTGACATATTTTTGTAATTAAAAACTTTTCTTGGCAGTTTTGCTTTTAATATGTTTACATTATATGACCAAGAAATACTACTAGTAATACCCTTAGAATGGAAGGAAAATATACATTTGACCAAACTATTGCATAAGAATCGTAATTAACCAAAACTACATGAATATATAGTTTTTTTTTGAGATATACATTTGAAAGCAACATTATCAAGGAAAATCTCGTTTTGGACTTCCCCTAGATCTGAACTACATATTTATTTGAAGTTGGAAGCATGTAGGGAAAAAGTTATTGAAATATTTTAGTTATCATGATATGGAATAAACCGTTGAAATACATCAAAAAATAAGGGCAACATTTCCCATTTTAAAATGATTTATTTGCAAAATCACAATCTTACAACTTTTGTAATTTCATCCAGAATTATCTTCTAGAATTTTAACTAGTTCAATGATGTTCCACAATAAGGATTAAGTTTAAGATATTGTTTCATAGCTCTACGAGATTGAAGAATATTCTAACAATCAGAGAAAACCATGACTTTTCCCAACATGTTGATTTTTTGTCAAAATGATTTATTAAGTAGCATTTTTTATTTATTTATTAAAATACTCTCTCTTTAAGGTTGCTTGTAGTTTTTGTGTAGATAAAAGCAATGTTTAGTAGAAATGTACTGTGTAGAAGTTGTTCTGTTTCTCATAAATTTGTAAAATTTTGCTTGTTGTAGGAACTTCTTTTCTGAATTTTCTCCATAAACACTTATTTCAATTATTATATATCTATTCCATTCCATTGCTTCCGTTACGTAGTAGGTAGGGGCGAAACAAAAGTCCTTGTAATCTATACCCAAGGCCTAATTCGCGCTACATGGCATTTTTGAATGTATGAGTGATTTGATTCCCATAAAATGTCGAAATCATCCCACATCGCAGTCAAATAATTTCAATGCACGCGAAAAAAAAATAAATTCATTCTACCCTATTTAAAATGTACATATTTTGGATCAATTTTAAAAAACAGATCATTATATGTATAAGACGGATGTCAATTCGATTGAAAACCCCTTTAATGTTTAATTAAAAACGATTTAATAGTTATTCATTAACAGGAGAATTGGTGTTTGATTTGGTTGGATATTTTGTTAAAGAAGTGTTAAGAATTGTAACATATTACGAATTACAACGTCTATATCGCCTGTCAGTTATTAGTGCCCCCAAGGTGTATTCATTTTTGTTCTGTTGCGGAGCACCAAATAGAAATTCGATTTTTTTGACTTGAGTCACCTCAATTGAAATTAATCTATATCCATAACCGATACGAAGAGCATATGGGTGATTCCGTCCCAACTGTTACATTTTTACTTAAAGTTTTAGATTTTAAAACTTGAGTTCTTATTCATCTATTTTACTGAAAAAAGAAAAGCCTGAAAGGATGTCATAAAATAGAATTGAGTTCTAAAATTATATAAACTCTTTGCATTATTTCATGCATTCCATGTATGTTGAACATTACTCAAATAACGTACTTTCAACATGATTCACTAGACGGTTCATAAATCTCAAGGTAGATGTCGCTCGAGTCATATAAATTCAAATTCAAAAATTCGTTAAATTTTAAAGGTAAAAGTTATTGAACCGGAATTCAATGTTAACTTAAAATATTAACAAAGAATGGGTCATTTTTTTTAGTTTTCATCGTAGAAATAAGAATTTATGAGGCAATTAGTTTAAATATTTATCGCGCCAAAAAGAAAAAACAAATTTATAGATTTTAGAAATGGACATGACACGGTAGCCGATATATTGTAATTTCTCTCTGAATGACCAATTATATTATATAACAAATATGACGAAATATGTTCATGACCATCTAATTAATACAAAAATTTCATTATTAGGTTATACATTAATCACCAGTGAGAACAAACAATACAAGACATAAAAAATCACAGTTAAAACAGAATCACCCATATAAAATACACAAATTAATGCGTTAATTTAGATTTATGATTTCCAATTATCGAATAATCATATGCCTATAATTTCGGAGTTAGTCAACAAGAATTGTGAACTATAAATAACTTAAATTGTTTGTTTGGCGGTATTGATAATCGTTCGTACTTACACGTGACAAGTATTTGCTGTGGTACTGTATGAAAATATAAACAAGAGTCGTTAATGGAATGGAACTAGAGTTTGAAATCAAACTGAGTAACTTACTTGCAATGTCATAATTTTTGTTCTTAATGTTTGCTTGATTTCCTAGGCAACCATGTTGAAGAAAAATAAGTTCAAACGGCGGCCTACGGAACCGAACATATTGTCCACCAACGGGGAAGGGGGGCGTAGTACGGACGATTAACAAAATGAATTGCTATAAAGAAACATCATTCCCTTTAACACTTTCACTCCTTTCTGTCATAATTTCACACTAAAATTATACCTTTCTCTTTATTTTTAGAATGTGATAGGAGTTTGACCCCATAATTTCGCATGTCTTTTTGCCTGAAGTAAGTTATTTTTGCTGTGTGAGTAGGAATATTGTTCTCTCCTTTGGTTAAACAAAGAAACGTGTGATAAAATGTCCCCTCCCTGCCCCCGTAGGCAACCATGTTGAAAAAAATGAAGGGCAAAATGAAAAGAAGAAACACCGAACCCACGATGCTAGTTTCACCAGGTTCACAACTGGCGCCTCTGCCCTCAAACGACGGCGAGTCGCCCACTGATCCAAATAATACAACTTTTTGATTTCTTCGTTTTCACCGCCATCACGTTTTTTTTTCGAACCAAAAGACTGTTACCTATTTTCGTTTCTAGCGTTTAATAATCATAATAATAATAATATTTATTTCTCATCTGAGATATTGTTATTGTATGTCACCGTTTTGTCACTTACTTTTTGCGGTTTTGCATTGAGTTTATACGAGAAGAATGCTGTAAGGTTTGCCAATTTACGAAACGTTGTTAGAGTAAGTGACATTTTGCGTTCTCATTGACTTGTAAATTTTATTGACATAGAAATCTGTAATGATTATGTTAGAGTATGGTATTTTTTACCAACAACAAAAACAATCGCCGTATAGATTTCCTTTCCCTCCTATTTTGGTTTCTCGATCCTTCACGATCCTGTGCGTTTGTATTTTTTATAATAAGATATCAGCACGTTCGCGATCAATATAATCACGGGTTCATTCGTAGCCAACAATCATATTACATAATACTCTTCTAACAAATCGACCGTTGAAAGAAATCGTCGAGCACAACTTCGAAAGGGACTACACGAGTAGCTGTCAGTGATAAAAAGTGAGCAGAAATTTGCAATCTGTCGCGTGTGAAGAGTACCATTTGTAATTGATTTTTTTTTATTTAGTGACTAGGCGATGACCAATATTTTATCGATAAAAGCATGTAAAGGATATTTCGTGCTGTTAATTTGAGGAGAGCAATATGTGGGTTTTGATTTTATCGATAGACGTAGGTTTTTTTTGAACGTACGCGATTCAGTCTGCTCTCCTCGAATTTTGTTTTAAATTTCGTTTAAAATTGACCGCGACGTCCTTCTCCCGAGGTATTCGTTTAAGGATCCGCGGGGGAAGGTTCCGTTCCAAGTCGAAGATCAATAAATTTGAAATTTAGGCTATAACCACATAGACCTGAAACTTGGGACTTCGGACGTATATTGCTCGGCCACCTCCCGCGTTGGCAGCTAGAGGTCGTTTTCCACCATCTTTAGCTGTTAATTAAAGAGCTAACCGACGTACGCCTGATGTCATGAGGCTATACGTGTTAATCTCGTTCGCCAGAAAATGACATTAACATCACGTAAAACCTGCCGCGTTGCGTGGGGCTCAATTCTATACACGCGCTGTCTGGAGCAAACGTGTGTGGAGAGCAATGTCGACAGGTTTGCGAGACGCCATATCTTAGCTATACATTTAATGTGAAGCTATATTTGTTTTAATGTAAAGTATATATACATATTTCAGAGACGCGTATTATTAAAATGTAGATCATTTCCGTCAGATTCGCACTGGCTGTCGTAGCATCGTTCTTTTTGGGCAAAAAAATCGGAGGTTTTGTTGAACGAGGAGAACCGTTATACAATTTCATTTTTCTTAGGGTAGTTCCGCCAGTGCCGGTCGTGACACTTCATGTAAAGTATAATAAATGTTACAATAGTAAGTTAAAACATAGCTAAAAATATAAAAATCGTAAATTATTTTGCAGTTTTATTGCGCCCGATTTTAGAATAAAGTGAGACTCATTATGGAAAATGCCTGTGCATTTTAACAAGTTGGTTATGCCAGTCATAATTTGGTACCCTAAATGTTAGATAAAATAAATTCCTGGATCTGGTTCAGTTGGATATCTCAAAACATGAGAATAAATAGCTTAAATGAATATTGAACGGAGGTGGCTTTTACTTGATGAAAATCCATTTATCAAAATAAATAAGAACTAAAAGTTCAGATTTTCACGAAATTATATATCAAATGATTTGATAAAGACACGGTGTTGTCGAAACAATTGTCATATCATAATATATAATTTCGTGAAAATCTGAACTTTTAGTTCTTATTTATTTTTCTTAAATGAATATCTTAAGAACAACACCGTAACTGTTATGACCACGCACCTTAATGAATTACCAGTGTAAATGCAGTAATACGTAGAAAAATTGGCTTGCATATCCTGCTTAAACAGCCGGAGATAAATCAACATTGAATCAGGAAACAAAATCCCAACCTTCTATACGCTTGTGCAGTGAGAATACTTCTATGGTTAGTAAAAGAGACTTTGGCTTCTTCACTTACTCTCCTGTAGGGAGTGGAATCATATTAATTTATTTAATTAATAGCTGGAGATTTTGTTTTGAAAATTAGTTTATTGATAATTAAATCGAATCGATAAATAGATCAAACATGATTGACCAATATTGACTATTTTGACTATTTGATATCGGATCTTTGATTTTAACTTTTTCTCTTCGCTTAGATATAGAGCTCTGTAAATATTATAAAATTACTTTCAAATCCCGACACAATCAACCTAGTTAAAGTAAATTATGGTTGACGAAAAGGCGGTATAAATAAATACTGTCGACATGAAAATTACTTTTATTTTCATTCAACACAATTTATATGAGTATAGCTGATTGGATGCGGACAAATTGACTATGTAAGCAATTGAATCATGATAGGTCGGTTTATCAATTATTTATATTGGTTATTAATATAAAGAATACATTTAAATATGACATTCAACATTCAAACATTTCCTCAAAAGAATGCGCACAAAACAGTTTTTGGTTGCACTTTGCTTAAAAACATGATTTTTATATTCATTTGTAATGAAAGATGTGGAGGATTTTTCGCTGTTGCTAAGGTCTATCGGATTGACTTTTTGCAACTGGTTCCCCAAAACATAGATCCAAAACTAAAAAACCAAACTGAAAATATTTTCACGATCTACCTCATATGCTCGTTTTAAAAGCATTAAGCTGGCACTTAAAAGAGGTCAAAACTGCAGACAGGTCGGCTATACAAAGTTGCCGGTGAAAGTCCAAATTAACAACAACCCTAGAACACAACACCAGATTTCGCTCGCCAATAGCTTGCATAAAATAGAGAATCCTTATCATTTAAATACGGCATCCTTACATAGTCATTCGATTATATAAGGACTCATCTGCTGAGTAAAGTCTAGTTAACTGTGGCTCAATTTATTATTAAATATTAACATATCCCAACATCTTCAATGTTTTTTTTTAATATTTCTTCTAAAGCAACCATCAACTTCAGATTTTTGTCAGTAAGTCTTCCATCTGCCTTTTTAATACCCGAAAAAATATTAAATAAAAAATTATTTGAAAGGAGGAGAAACTGGAAAAAATTTGCCTTTTTTAATACCTGAAAAAATTTTAAATTAAAAAATCATTGGAAAGGAGGAGAAACTGGCAAAAATTTGGTCATGAGGTGAAATAAATTTTATTCGTCCACGCAAGACGTGTTCTTGAACACATGAAAAACAAATCATATTTAAAAAATATTCAGGGGACCTTCGTTTTACTTCTAAAATGAAATTAGCATCTTGGATAAAAACCTACTTCATCGGAATTCAACTGATCATTTTTCGGTTACCTCCAAAACCAAATCAATCGAAAAGGAACTGACTCGTCAAAGTGCGCAGAACAGGCAAACGAAATGCATCCTTACTCCTTCGCAAGATATCGATCCTGCGCTCAACCGAGCTTCCTGCAATTATAGACGGTTATAACGATATTTTAATAATCACGTGCGTAAAAGTATTGTGATATTAGTTATTACAGCATTATTAGTTAAACATGGATATCGGTGTCTCGGAATTTAACCCAAATCCTCCTGCAAAAGGAATACGGCCCATGGTTGACCCCGATGCTCAGGGGGAGGTCGATCCAAATTTGTAAGAACAATTTCTTAATTATTAATGCCCTTAGCTTTGTACGGCAATTAGCGACGTTTTGACGAATTTTCATATTGGCATTACCGTTTAAACTTTACGCTTATAAGCAATAGAGCCTGTCATTATAATGACATCACATTTATAAAATTTGCATTAACGATTATTGGATTAAAACTTTTTATGAAAGCTATGCATTATGCAACAATCCCACATATCAGTAACTACTGATTTGTCTTTTAAAAATCTATAAGTGCAAAAAAATACTTATCTTTTATATCTACGTAGAAGTCAAGGAAATGTTAATTTAAAAGTTAGAACATGCTGCTATATAGAATTTCATCGAAATTTCGAAATTTTATCGAAAAATTAGGTAGGCAGATATTTTTTCATTGGTGCACCAAAGTTTTGCATTCAGAAAACGTAAAAAACAATAGAAATAACACACATGCTAACCCATTGTCTATTTGGTGGCATCCTTGGATGTAAGCAAAGATTGTATTTTTTTCAAAATATTTTGGAAACCAGTAGATTCTCGAAATAGACATTTTTTTTAGATATCCCGAACCCAAAGAGGCCACACACAAGATACGAGGGAAATCAGACATTTTAGAAATGCTCTTCGGTCCCGTAGATCAAGAACTTCTAGTGGTCAAAAGTTTTTACTTTTTCTTCTATTCCGCTTTTGGCTCCTTATTTCCCCTCATGGGTGTTTATTTTAAGCAGATGGGTATGAATGCCACTCAAAGTGGCTTTCTTATAGGTGAGTGATGTACTTTGTTATGTAAAGTGTCAAAAAATTTAAATAATAATATAGGAATAGATAAAATAAGTTCTCGACAACTTGTATTAGCAAAATTTGGTAATCTTAAGCAAAAGCAAATTAATCATTATTTTAAATCTCAACATCTTGATCTGGTTTTTGCCAACTTTCAAGATCAGTCTAGTGTCGCCTGCAAGTCAAGAAATTCCCAGCCGACCTAATTAAATTCAATTCCTTACGTAGCCTGAACAACAATCTGAGTCAAACATGAACAAGAAAAGGTAATAAAAGCTAAATAAAAAGGCTCAATCACGAATAACATCTACCATGAACTATGCCAACCAAGAAGTCTAACATCGCTTCTGCTTTTGCAGATTTCTTTTAGAGACTCAGGGCAATCCACAGTCCAATATGAAGCTATCGGTATCCATAAGTTTTCTTGGCCTGCAGTGTTCTTAAAAACAAAATCACCTGTGGTGGTTTTTTCAAAATAAGTCTTTGTTTTTTCTCATTTTGCGAGTTCGACGCTATCAGTATGAAGAGCTAAGTAGGTGCCATTTACACTGACTTTAGTAATGCTTTTGAATAAATTAACTATCACAAATTCTCCAGAACACTTATGGCCAGTTTGGATCATCTAACGAACATGTTTCATTATTAAAATCCCAGTCAGTTTGTCGAGTTTGATGGATTCAAATCTGATTCGTTTGTGACTGTATCAGGCGTCCCCGAGGGCTCTAATTGATGGGCAGTTCTTTCAATATATTCATAAACGCACTCAGTTGGATGTTAAATTGCACCAGGCTTGCCTGCGCTGAAGATCTCAACATATTAAGCGGCATTGTCCCTGTCGTTGATTGTGAATACCTTCAAGACACCATTGATTACACTTGGAGTTGTAGGTTTTGCTTATATTTTAAGCATTCTACGTATTATTTAGTTTAGTTCAGTAAGATTTGCTTATTTAACTTGACAAAAATTTATTATTATTATTTCAATTTGTTTTAAAGTTCTAATTTTACAGGTATATGAAGCAACTCCATTTATTTAATATTTTTCTGCACTTTGTAATTTAGTTATCGCTTGTTTATGTTTAAAAACTATTTGTAGGAAGCAATTTAAAAACAGAGATAGTTATCTTTAGTTCACCGCAATGTGTATTACATTTCGGATGCTATCGATATCGCTCTCCGAATGTAAGAACCGTGATAGTCGAAGCCACACGTCAGCAAAAGCTGTTACATATAATACCCCTTGAAGCTCGTACAAATACTTTACTAATTAAAAAAAATCAATTTTGTTCTCTTTCCTAATTGTTTCGTATTGTTATTAGAGGAGCCCAATTTACTTGAACGTTTGCACACCCTGATTAATTGCGGCACGAAATTTTTCTACCCTATTTGCTAACAAAAAAGTTTACCTGCAATCTTTGCTTTTTATAGGGTCCCGTCCTTTCGTGGAATTTCTGGCGGCCCCATTCTGGGGTAGTTTGGCCGACAGGTGGCAAAAGGGAAAGATTCTAATGCTAGCGTCTCTCGCCTCATGGATAATTTTTACGGTTCCCTTAGGTTCTATTCAACCGCCCGCTATATCTTGTATGGAATTTAAAAATAACACTCCGAAATTAACTACCCCAGAAGGCGTGATGAGTAAAAGGTCCATCGATTTCGAAAAACAACCTCAAGCACTAAGTTACGAGTCCCTTACGTAAGTAATTTAATAACAACTTTTAAGCTGCTGATAAGCTTGAAGTGAGTTTTTCAAAAAATGAATTATTATAAGGCACAAAGTAAACTATATGAAGCGGTTTATGGAAAAAAAAAACTATTGTGGATTAAATTAGTTATTATAAGTAACTAGAAATTTGACATCGGGACCGGTTCTTGAACTTTTTTCTGAGGATCCATATGCTCATTACTATGTTTACAAGCTTCTCAATAATATACTACGATTTTTAAAATTGCAACTGGTTGATTTTGCAAAAACTTGAACTTGTCGATCTTGTAGAATTGTGTCTTAAGATTGATTTTATAAATCTTGCTTTGCAGGACTCCTAAATAAACCATTTACATAACAGATCTGGTGGCCCCAGAACAATCTTATAACTGCAGACGAATAAAAGACCTTTATCCTTTATTTAATATTCATTATTAGCACGTATCCCGACCTTCTTCATCGAATTTAGGATTCGGCTGCATAAAAAATCCATGCACAATCTGTTCTCATATACTTTTCGTTTTGGCTGGTAGTATTGACTCTTTTCTTCTCCATCTATTGGAGTCACCGCTCACTTATATTTAGTTTATTGCTCTAAACAAACTCTGTTTATTTAAAAGGTTAATAGCCAAGAGTTTTCTAGAGGTCAAAGTGGTCCATTAAAGAAGCTATATCTGGTTTATTTATGATTAAAACTAAAAGCTCTTATTTCAAATCTGATTTCGCTATTTATTAAATTCTACCTCAAAATCAGAATAATTTTTTGATCCAGATTTGATACAAGTAGTAGCTAAAAAATATTATTTTTTAAATTTTATTCTATACAGCGAAAATGTGCCCTGTGTTTGTTGTGTTTTATTGTATCATCGTTCATGTTATAAAAATATTTTTGAGTCTCTTCTAAGTCTAATTTACAAAAGGGTACATTTAAAGATTATAGCAAAAACTAAACTAGCGAAAATTTTAAGATTTTAAAACAATATACATTCGAGATTTCGGCACTAAGATCAACATCCTTATTTTATATTAAATTCCTGGAAAAATTCATAAAGTTTCGTTAAACCATTAACAGGTTTTAAGTACAGCTATGATGATTATGAATACAGATTTGAAATTATTATAAAACCTGAATTTATATAATTGAAAACTTTGTAGTAGCTTGTCTGTTCCGAATACTTTTAGTTACTTTTGGTGAGTTTAGTGTTAAAATTGTGACCAATAGACAGGTCCTTTTCTACTACTTAACTATTGCGACTACATGCTCACTTAATCGTCATATTAAGGCCTTGAATTCACAATTCTGACGGTTTTGGAACCCAGTTCTGAGTGCTTAACAAAGTAACTTCTTGCGATAACGTATTCGATTTTTTCGAATTTTCACGATACAAGGTGTTTTCTAGACATATATTTATCTTTTTATTTAAAAGCAAGATTACTAACATCACCTCCACATTTTTAAATGGACTTTATTTCAAGAAGATTTGTGTGAACCTGTATTTTTTTGTATGTGTGACCATCTTATGTTTGTAATTGGCACTCTGCTATTAAACTATCATTATTGATGCTAAGGTTTATAAAACAAGGCGTCCAACTTACCCTATATAGAATCTATAATTCATTAATAGTTCATTCTAAATTTAAGTGTTCGTCGACCAGGACCTATCTAAAGTTAATTACAAAAAAATCCCATTTTGGACTAAATTATTTTTATCACTTGTATTAAAACTAACAAAACCAACTCACATAATTATTAATTATGTACATAATAAGGGTAATAGATATTTCTCACTTTAATGCTTCCAATTCTGTTAATATTGATTTTGCTTGTGGTGGTTGCTGTTTTTAATTGATATCTAAAAAATGCCAATTAAGGGAGGCATTCCATCCAGTATAACCAGAAAATCCTACCACTTTTAGCTATAATTAACAGGTCGAATTACTTTCCTCTTCGACTATTAAAATTGCTGATCGGGAAATATTCTAAAATAATGCTAGAGATCAAGTTTCCAAAATGTGGAAGATTATAAACAATTTTTCACTCGCAGTTACGATCGCAGCACCAGATCACTAAAGCCTTACATCAGTGCGGGAAAGTCTCCAGTAAACGTCAATTTTGCCTCGAACTACAAAGAAGATGAACACAAATCGTGGGTCCAACCGATCATTTCTTCAATAGTATACCGTATTCAGGATATTCAAAAGACCTTCTTTTTCCTCCTCCTTCTAGTGATAATTGGTGAATTCTTCGCTGCACCTGCAATCACCCTTGCAGATTCGGCTGTCATTACAATTCTTGGTGAAGATGCGGACACTTACGGGCACCAAAGAATGTTTGGATCTCTCGGATGGGGCTTGGCGATGTTTTTTGTGGGTAAGAATTTGGGATTTACTACTTGGTATACATCACTTAAGTGTAAATTTTAGGCATTGCTTTAGATCACTCTACAGCTTTCCCCAATCATCCCTGTGGTCCAGACAAAAAGGAAAAAAACTACACAATATGTTTCGCCACGTTTTCTGTGCTTATGGGAGCGGCCTTGATTACGGCGACCCAAATCAATTTTAAGTATGAACAAATTGATTACGATCAAACGGAAAACGTTGAAAAGCCCGCACCAGAGTATATCTCGAAGGAAGATCAAATGCAAGCCCAGCTTGCTGAACAATTGAATCTTCCTTCCTTAGCCGACACAAAAGCATCTGATTTGCCACCTGCCCCGAAAGAGCAAAAGGTAATAAGCATTTTCATCTTCCATTTAGATTGAGTAGGGTTCAATAAATTTGCACTCACGCGAACTGGAAGTTTATATTTATAATTTTTATAGATTGCTACTGGTATCCACTGCGTTGTAAGCACTTTCGAATCACCATTTATTTGTTGGCTTACACCGTTTTTGCAAATTCTTATAAACTGAACGACAGATGGAGCGAGACACCCAACAAGTTTAATTTTAACTAACTATTATAATAATAATATGTTTCTACTCCCGTCTGTAAAATGCCTAATTACACACCGACCTAGCGTGCGGGAAGCGTCACTTTACCATGTCAGTTTCGTTTCCCACGGATCCGAATAACTTCGAACATTTCCGGGATTACGCCTTGAATTTTGACGTTTGTCAATTCAGACGGCCATGTCAGGGAATGTATTCGTGTTGTTTTGCGAAAATCTATCCAAAAACTAACGGTAGTAGGAAAAGTATAGTATGCAACACGTTCGGTAAACTTTTTAAGTCACTCGTTTATTAAACACTCGCTCTGCTCGTGTCAAATCGTGAGTTAAATGCCGTTTACCGCACTTGTTGCATAATATACTATTCTTTGCCGATAGTGGATTCTCAGCCTGCGTTGCAATGCGTCATCCTGTGTCAACAGTGTTGTTTTTGTTTTTTTTTTAATTCCTTGTCAATGAGAATTCATGTAAAGTTGTTATTAAATATGACCATTTTATTAAAGAGTGGTAAAAACTGTTTAGATGGAAACTATGCCAAGTCATAACTTCAAAGAAAATTTATGAAAGGGGCATTTATTCAGGTTAGAGGAAAGCCAAAATCTTACTAATAACCTAGTAAAATAACGTTATTTTTATTTTTATTGAATGCCTCTGAATATCAAAATCCAACAATTCAAACTGTTATTGTTTAAAACGATACAACTGACGCATAAACCCAGGGATAGCCTTGTACCACTGTCTGAATATCCAACATTGCCAAAGAAATATTACAGCTAGTACACATTAGATAACTTGTCTTCTGTTCAATATTAAACTATTATTACTGCAAATTCATTATTAGAATAATGTCTTATAGAGGAATTTTGGAAACATCACTTTAAATAGGAAATCGTTTTTTCGTTTTGTTTTAGAATTACTCCAAAGAAAAGTCGAATTCATTTAAATTACCCTTACACTTTTTGAATTAATATAATTAATTTCATTACTTTCTTTTTCTTTTCTGCAAGTAGCTCATTATTTTTTATCTCCGACTTATTATCGTAATTATGAAAGTGATTTTGATGATGTTAATAAATTTTAACTCAACTGTTAACTGATATCTATGTGAGTTTACAATGTGATTTTGATTACGAAATAATAGGACTATTTATGATTTGATTTTGATTTTTGTAAAATTTTACTTTTGTATATTAGAACATTTAAAGCAGCAAGTGACTTATGTTGATGATGATTGACAGATACTTAAAAGTTCATAATACAAAATTTATTGTTTTAGACAAAAATTTTTGCCCAGACTACACGAGAAATCCCTGAATGGGTTACAGTGTTGAAACACTTTCGAAATGTGAAATGCGCGTCATTTTTGTTCGTCGCCTGGTTCATGGGATTTGGAATCGGGTTGATCTTTACGTTTCTATTCTGGCATCTTCAGGACTACGGCGGCTCACCAACACTTTTCGGAGTGGCATCCGTTATCAACCACATTTCTGAAATTTTCGCGTACTTTTTTAGTTTTAGATTAATAAGGCAAATAGGCCACGTCAAAGTTCTGTGCCTGGGCTTAATTGGGAACACCTTAAGGTTTTTGTACATCTCATGGTTGACAAACCCGTGGTGGGTGTTGCCGTTCGAGTTCATGCAGGTCGGTAGCAGAAATTAATTGGGTTCGGATTCAAATGCACGTGTACTTTAGGGAATCACTCATGCCGCAGTATGGGCCGCATGTTGTTCATATATCGCCCATAATACTCCTCCGGAGTTGCGATCTTCGTCACAAGGAGTGCTTCAAGGTATCCATCACGGGCTGGGTAGGGGCTGCGGTGCAGTTATAGGCGGAATTTTCGTTAGCTCGTTTGGTACCACCGCCACGTTCCGTGGATATGGCCTAATATGTCTTCTGATATTTGCTGCATTTGTTTTTATTAATTTCTATCGTGTAGACCAGGGTTTTGTATCTGAACTACCGCTCACCGAAGATCCCAGACAGGTGAGTCGTGAGTAATTTTCAGCAACGCTCGATAAGAAACATATCACCAGGTGGCTGAGGAAACCTCTCACCTGGCCCCTCATGGAGTTCCAAGTAATCCAATACCGAGAGCCCTTTCAAGTACCAAGCTGCACGAGTTATCCCAGCAAGACGGATACGGTTCTACGTATCAAACAGGCCAGGGAGGGACTTTGGACGTGCCCGGTTCAGGCGGATATAATCCTTTTGGAGGAAATAATAGCGGACAAAACTCTTTCGGCAGGAGGGAGTAAGGTATGTGTAGTAGGTACAAAATAATAATATCTATATCTATAAGAAGAAGAGGAAGAATGAAATGACAAAGGAAGAGAGAAAGGCGAGGAAAGTATAAATAGCGGTGTAAAGAATGTTAGTTTAAGACATTATTGAATTGGTAAATATTATCAAACAACACTTTTGGGTTGTTTAATAATATAATAAGCACATTTAAAAGGCTGTGCTAACTTTTTTATAATAGCGCTTTCTTTGCTATTTTCTTAAATATATCGTTAGTAATTCTTGTAGTAACTTTGGAATGGCAATGTGCTAAAGATGTAACCCAATTTGTTGAATTAATGACCTTTAGTTTCTCAACTAAATTAAAGAACACTTTTGGTTATCGACTTTATTTACAGATTTTGCCGATGACCTTCCCGAGAAAGTTGTTACCTATTTACAAAATCACCGGTAGTGGGTCATACTTTGACTACCTACTACTAACGGAACATATCACTTCTAGATTATCATGGTTCTATATTTTATATTTACTAAATGAATTTTATTTTAGTTAACACTTTCATCCACCATAGGCGACTATACATAGAATATTGTAAGTATGTGTAAAAATTTGAGTATGTAAATTTAACTGTAATTTTAAATGTTGGAAACGTTGACTTGGATATTAGGTACTAAACGACTATTATTAGATGAAGCCGATTCATTGAACCAGTGTTTCATTTAATTAAGATAACTATTCGGTATTAAATCACGAGTAATTATTGTTGAGTAAGTGCATCCAAGTATATATAAATTCGTATGGTGCAGGTAGAGTCGAGGAACTGCGACACAGTGTGTACGAGCTTTTTTATTCTAGGAAAAACGTTTAATATATTCTATTAAAACTGTAGATTATTACTAATTAGTTCTTAAGAGAATTTTAAAAGTTCGTGTTGCATATTTTCGGAAGGAGTAATTAGACAATCTAATTTTGTTTTGGTCAAAACTTATTCAGGTTTCCTTAAGTTTAAAAACTAATTCTGTTGTCTTTTAGAATTAACTTATGAATCATATTTTGGCTGTTATTACCTATATGTAGGTATTTACGAGAATAGTTATATTCTTAATAGCACCGTAACACATATAGTAGTATAGTTTTGAATTTTGTTACGCCTCACAGCAAGTTTCCTCTTGGTTAAGCATCTTGGTTGTACGCGTTCTCGTAATACCTTTGTTACATATACTGCCTCCAAAAGCCTAAGTATACTCGTAAACATTTTTTTTCATTGCACTTAACAATCGTTAATTAAAAATATATTTAAAAAATTGCAAGCTTACGAAATATGATAAACGTTTACTTTGTTAAAGTTCTGAAAAATAAGGAGAATTTTATTCTTTATAGCGACCACTTTCGTCCGAAGGCCACGGGGCCTAACAAAAATACATTTAATGTTTTTACTGACATATGTACATGATCAACCATATCTACACAATGTTGTGAAGTAATTTTCGGACCCAAATTTATATCTATTTAACGAATAAATCCTGCATATCGAATCAACCGATGAAACTTCTAATTCTTTGACATTAGATTAATTTCAGTCACCTTGCTGAAGAACTTTTTGAGGAACTTTTAATATAATAAATGAATAACGAAAACAATGTATATATTATTCCAGCCCAAAAATTATCTGCGTGGATAAAATGTAATAGATTTTAACAAATTTGTTTCGATAATTATGTCTCATTTCAAATCTTGTAATTTTATTTTGGAATAAACAAATACAAATGTTCACTGTTGTTTTATTTTTGGAATTTTAATTGTTCGAAAAGGAGAAGAAGACGGATTCGTAAAACGTTGATTTATTTTACAAAATAAATTAAAAACTACTTAACATATTCAGTCTCATTTATGTAACTAATCGATCAAAACAAAGCGCTTACCTATTTACATTGTTCCTGTTGCCTATAAAATCTCCAGTTTCAATCTTAATTTTAAGTATATATATTCGAAAAGTACGGAATTAGACTGGCAGTTTTTCAAATTTAATATGATCTTAAGCTTCATACAGAGTTGAAATTAGGATCGAACAACAAACGGAATAGTGGTCCAAAATTTGTACTTACAAACAAAAAGTTGAAAGTGTGGAAGACATAATATTAACAATATTCTAACAAAAAATTAAAAGGTAGTAAATTAATTTTTTATTTCATATTTCATCACTCATAAAAATTCAATGCATATTGTTGCTGGTTCCACATTTTTCATCTTTACTGAATTACTGATAACAATTGTATGGGAACATCATGAAAGTATGTTTATTGTTCTTCCTAACGTGCAAGTATTCAACGTTCAAAGTTTTTTATACCAATGGATTCACTTATCCTGAGGCACATAGTATGTTAAAAATAGTTTTAATCAAATCACATCAATTCTTAGAAGCAGATGACGAGAAACACAATTTGGTCGTTATTCATTTTCCATTGGAGTGTTGATGCAGATGATCCTAAATTATCTATGTTGCGATGTTTCCGATACCGAGCCCTTTTCTCCACAGACAAAACAGAGTCAAAGTCTAACTATACTTTGTAGAATTTGAATCATTACACGATAGTATAAATAATATAATCATATTTAGGAACCATAAGCTAGTTTTCAAATATTTGCATCATTTGTTCAGATCCAGAAAGTTGTCACATTAAACTTTAAGAAATACCTTAAAAATAAACGTGCGCACGTATTTTTGGAATTCTAATTTCGTATTCCCACAATTCGAGCTAAATTCCAGAAGCGACTGATGCTTATTTCCGCCTATTATCGACGAAGAGAAACGTTTCTTGAAAGAATCCAATCCAAAAAACTAACCAAAATCTTTGTTTTCTTCGTATATATTCGCAAAATAATTCGATCCTAAGCACTTTCCGCAAAGGTGATTCGATTTCTTCTGGTTTCCCAACGATTTACCCAACCCAGAGGGTAACACATAATGGCCGATAACAAAATCATACTTCCCGATAAATAAAATGACGCGTCGTAACTGCCGGTTGCGTACATGAAAGAACCAGCCAGTGGCGCCCCTATTATGGCTGCTATTCCTTGGAAAAGCAAAAGCAATCCGAAGGCGTTGGTTAATTTTTCAAGACCCAATAGGTCGACGACGATGATGGATCTCAACGAAGCGAAGCACGCTGAAAAATATTACGATTAGTGGTGCGCTGAATTTTTCGGAATTTTATTTTGTAGGATTAAAAAAATTCACTACGCTATAACGCCGTATTTGGACTACTATCAATTCCATTTTTTTCTGAATTCATTTTAGCATATTTTTTTATATTCCCAGTTCTTGGCGTTACAAATAATTAATAAAAAAATATATAATTCTACTTAGCTTTGTTTGTCATCATTAGAAATTTTTGTTTCATAAAGATAACATTACAATTCTTCTCAAACGAGATTAGTCTACTACAAAACTGAAGGACGGAACCAGATAGATTTGTGCAAGGGTATTAATGATTTGGCATTTTTAAAAGTCAACTATCGAACATGTAATAAAGTTTTAAGAAACTCCGCTTTTCTTCAAATGTGAAAAGGACTTTCCTTAAAACTCTGATTAATCTAATTTGTCAAGAATCCTTACAAAATAAAAGCTAAGTTAGATAATATTCATATTTTTTGATGTAATGAACGGAAAATTGGAAAAATTATACATCAACGAAACCAGAGCAAGACTAACTAACTATTTTTAATTTGAATTATGGTAACCGAAAGAAGAAACGTCACATGGAAAATCTGAAGAAATCATTATATAGTTGAAAAAAACTGGAGTTAAAATTGTATTTTTGATACATAAATTTCAAATTAGAAAAAACATCTTATAGATGAACAAAAAACAGCTACAAAATAGACAACTTTGCTCCTCTTTAAACAACGTTCTATCTCTTATCAGTAACTGTAAACCCAAAGTGAGAAGTCGAAATGTCAATATGTATGTTTTCTATTTAGTTTTAAGTATTTTAAAATGTGGAAGTAAATATTTACGATAAAAATAAATAATCCAAATAAAGTGCTATAGCTGGTTTTTGTTACTGTTGGGATAATTGCAAAGGTTATGGCTGGGGATATTAAAATCTTTATTTTCCATCCATGACTGTCACGATCTACCTATTCAATGCTTTTTTTATTGCTTAAATGCAAAGCAAAATAGAATATTATGCTTTCATTTCCGAAACTCAAAAAAAGACCTCGAGATATGCGATATGCGCCTACTAAATGTAACCTTTTATAAAATGTAACTGTCAAATAAATAACTGGGTCCCGGACAAAATCTAAGTGACTTACTTAGCACAGTTCGCCAAAAGACAGTATTCTAGAATTGGAAAAATTTTAAGATCCTGTAGATAAGAGGGTAAACTTTTTAATTTTTAATCTTACTTCTGATTTACTAAAATTAAAAATTGCTGTTGGTTTCTGATATAGTTCCGCTATTAATTACAAAGATCTAAAATGAAAAAAACAGCTTTAAGTTTGTCTTAAAATGAAAGTTACTTATAACACGTCACGTACGTATGAGCTAAGCAAACACGTTTGTTGCAAGTTATAAGAATGAATATCTACCGTTTTAAATTTGAATTCATTGTTTATGTATATACATAATGTTGCCAGTAACGAAATTAACCCTTGTTGCAAATGATGTTCGATGGGTCTTAAACGTAATCCCTGAAAATTTGAATTTTGACAGGGTAAGTTTTTTAAAAATATAACACCCTATGTCCGAATCCCATCTAACCCCGCTTATAGGGCGAATATTTGCCACCATGACATTGATCTTTTTAGTTAGCGCTATGCCCAGAACAAAATATCCCATCACCTTACAAATACATAAACTTCCCATATGAAGGGAGCATTTCGAGGGACATTGTATTTCATTTGTTCGATTTATTTTTTTTATCTAATATTTAATGTTGAAAAGTCTACAGTTTCAATACAATTTCTAATTTAAACAATAGTTTAGGCAACCGTTTTCGTTTTTTATAAAATAGACTCATAACACTCCCAATTTCACTTTCAGAAAAAGAATCATAGGTAACACATCTTTAATCAGCAGGAGAATACCGAATAACCGAATAAAGAAGAAGTGATAATGATACCGACTTAAGTTTATTTGCACTGTATATATTTTTCTATTATGTTGGTTTTGGTAAATGAAAATGGGATGGGTAGGATTCTACATCATATCCAATATTCGGTTTACTTTCCGGTGAATTTGATATCGGATATGTACAATGTGGGCGTTTTTGAAACTCGTATTTACTATCCATCAAGGGAATATCAAACAATTATTTGTTATTCTTGCACTATCACATGCTCTGTTATTTAAAATTATCTTTAACGGGCTTTTACCAGACAAATGTCAATAGAAAAAATATCATCTGCAAAAGAAAAAATAAAATCTGAATATACAGAAACAAATCACAAATACTCTCACACACACACACACACACACACACACACACACGCGCGCGCGCGCGCGCGCGCACACACACGCACACGCACGCACACACGCACACGCCCACGCCCACACAATTGTTTGGCATTGCTTCTTAGAACAATTGCAATAGCCAAATATCCTTGCCCATGTTGAATATCAGTCAAAATAAGCAGTAAAACTGAAGGATAGTAAAATAGTTTGGGTATTGTTCCAAGAGAAATCATAGGACAAAATGTGCTGTTGCAGATACTGAATTGAAGATTTTTTTTCTTATACCGTATTATTTAAACCATAATATAAAGGTTGTAAAATAAACAAAACTAACATAATTTTTGACAAATAATTGACCATAAGATTGTGATTTTGAAGAAGGAACCGCACTCCAAAGAACTTTAAAACTATGGATTTTTGATGAAGCTTTTTAAGGCGACAAATTTTGTGACTCAGAGGATTATAAATTATACTTACATATAGATAGACCAAATATGGCTGTATAGAAGAACTGGTATCCTGGCGTTAAAGAAACTCCACTAAATATAGTTGCAACGCCTCCCAGAGTAAGAGCAATATTTGTAACTAGAAGAGCGTTAACCCCCGGAAAGGAGCTCAACAACCCACATAGTACCCTTCCTATAGTGTTAGCAATTCCTATGGACGATACTAAAAAAACGGCCGTTTGCTGATCCATGCTATTATCCCTCGCTCGATCTACTAAATACATAAACGGCACGTAGAATCCCATCATCGTGAAAAATCCACCAACCGCCAAAATTATGAAAGTCGGCGACTTGAACAGACTAAAATCCAGCATCGTCATCAGAACCCTTCCGGTTGCCGCAGGCCACAGTCGACAGCAATGGACTTTCACTTCTTCTTCATACACCTCTACTTTTGTAGGTTTTTTGGTCATGGAAATATTGAATTGGACAGATGACGTTGAAGTGTACTGTGGTAAACGTGCGAGACTGGCACCGAAGAAGATATCTTTCCTATCTAACGGTCTACTGTGGTCGTGATGCGAAAAGGTGTATCTTCTAGGAACAATATTAGAAACTAGTCGATGCGATCCTAACGCCAATTTATCTTCTGCATCGTTGGCCAAAATAAAAGGAACGCTCAGTCTCTTCTCCTTAGTGTGACCGCGCATGTTTTGCTGCGGGACATGGATAGTGTGGTACACGTCGGCTACTTTCGACGCGTTCGAATTGTGGTCGTCGTGAATCGAATTTACCGACAAAGCCCCGTGAAATTTTAAAGCTTCTTCCATTTTCAATTTCGCAGACGCTGGTAATTTCCGGGGGTCCATTATCAACTCTTTGCCTTCCTCGTCGGCTTTGAGGTCTTTCACTTTTTTACCTTGTAGTGGTCTAAATCAAAGAAATCAGTTAATGCTATGATCTCGAAATTACTGCAACCTTATTACTAACCTGAAGAGCGCCCCGTAAAGAAGGCAAGTTAAGACTATCGTCCCTTGTATCAGTAAGGCGCACCTCCAACCAAAAGAAACGATTAAAGCTTCACTTAAAGGCGCAAACATAAATGTTCCGATTCCAGAACCGCAAACCGCTATGCCGGTCGCCAACGCTCTCCAACGTTCAAAGTAGAAGCCCACAATTATTACCGAAGGCACGTAGATCAACCCAAATCCAATACCTGAAAATGTTATAGGAAGATCATAACTGTTAATGATCGCTGTTGCCAACGTCTTTAGCCAACTTTTAAAAAAATGCTTTTACAAAATCGCGCTTATTAGTTCGAAAAATTTAAATAAATACATCTTATTCAGACAAAATTGAGTCCAATAGTATACCTACTAAATTTTTAGAAATACTTATTGACTATATAGGGCCTTGAGTGGCCTCATCAAGTCAGTGAAAAAACTTTCAAAATAGACCGTACTTTGGTAGTGCTCGCCGCTATGCATGATTTATTTTTGATTGCAAATATGATAAAAATCAGTAATCATTTTTGTTTAATTTGATTTCTACTATGTTAAATATGTTTGTGCAATTTTCTTCGGAACAATATGCCATTTCAAGTAATAATAATAATAATTTATATGTGCCCGATAATCTTTAAAAATATTTTACAGAATCTGGAGAATAAGAATATTTAATTTTAATCTGTTGTTGACATCAAGCCATAGGGCAGAACGATGAGATATTATGGATAAGATCAGTCAAGTTTACCAACCAAATATGTTTTTTTTTTCTGGCTCAAAACTAGTCTTCAAGGAACTGACACAAGGAATTTTTATAATAGTAAAAATAATAATTTTACTGCGATAGGTGTATTAATTTGCATAAGATTCAAACTGGTATTTCTAGAATTTGCTTTTATATTATCTATTCGGGAGCATAAAAATGCAATATTTTCTTATACACGACACGTTTTTAACCTTGAACTTGAAAAACTCGTTAAGTGGGTATGTTTTGTATTTAAATTTGTAGATATTCCAAAAATCCACAGACTGTAACCCAAACAATATTAACTGCGTCGTTTCACTTCGATTGATTTTTATTTGCATAATCATATTGCCGATTTGTTGCCGAATGTTATATTATATACTATTTTAAAAAATATATTAAACAACCGCCTGACCTATTAATCAAAAATAAGGTAAAAATAGATGTACGTATATGGATCATTTCATAGACAGGAAGAAATAATGCCCTTGAATCGACTAGTATTTTTAGTAACCTCAAAATCTAAAGAAACGACGGCATAAACGCCATGAAAGTCAAGAAGGTCGTGTGAAATTATTTAATAAAAGAATGTGTCTCCTACATCGCAAGCATTACTTTCCGATATTGCAGGTGTCCTTCAACTATCAGTCTTGAACTTAACATTCCGTTTTATGTATTACTTATAAATTAAGAAGTTTCGAAACAAATTTTTTGCTGGATTGGTAGGCAATGGATCGATTTGATAATTGTACTTTAATGTTTACTTATCCACTACTATTCATTAACAAGAATTTTTCGAAAAATGATCTTTTTTTACATAAGTAGAATTGGGAAATAATACAGACTTTAAACACTACTTGTAAGGAAATATTAAATTAATTTGACAGTGTAAAAGCGAACTTAAAAATAGAATTTTCAGAATTTTAAGTATAAAGCTAAACCGGTAAGTACGTCGTTTTGTACATCAGATTTTTTTAAATAAATAAAAAATTTTATGATAAATTTTTATGATGACATAACATATTTTGCATGAATAAACTGTTATATAAGAGATCTAAAAGTACAGAAAAAATTATGAGGGCCAGCCTAAACCCAAGCCAAAAGTGGATAACATACAAAGTATCAAAAATTCAATTTGTTTTTTGTTGACTGTTGATAATTTTCCAATTATGGATGTATGGCAACAATATTTAGCTAGAGTGCTTTTGTAGAGGCTAAAAAATAAACTTTTCATTTATCTTAAAATTCTTAGACTCCAATGTATTTTACCAAAAAAAGATTGATTTTAATAACCGCTTCTAATATATCTTCATGTAAATAGTTAATCTATTACTTAACCTAAAAACCAAACGCCTTGCCACGAAATTGTTTAAATTATTTATGAAATACTAAAATCAAATTGAATTTTTGAATATCTATATATCTCCGGAATCATTGGATTACATCATCATATCTTAGAGTCAGGAATTTGGGGTAGAATTTTACCCACCTTTTAGAGAAACCCTGTAGGTTCAATAGATACGACAGGGTCAAAAATTGTCTAATTTAAAAAAAAAATGAAATTTACTTTTGAACGTACGAGGAACAGACTTCATATTTGCTTACCTCCTAGGACTCCGTAAGTAATACAGAGGAATTCCACGCTGGTCGCAAAATAAGAGAGCCCAAACGCTGACGCTGATACTAATGATCCCAAAATGGCGACCAATCTGAACCCGTATGAGTTTGCGAGGGCGCTGGCGAAGGGTCCTGCTATTAAGTAAAAGCCCGACATCAAAGAACCTACTAGAGTCACATGAGCTTTCGATATATTCATGTCATCGGCGATGCTCGATAAAAATGTCCCGAAAGAAAAAATTATACCGTCCACAATCAAATTACACATAAACGAACCCAACACTATCACCCAACCCCAGCCCCCATCAGGTGGAACAACCACCTCCAGTTCGTCGTTACTCGATTCCTTTTCTTGAACTTTTTCATAGTTTCCCAGGAATGTTTCGTTTTCATCACCATCGATTTCTACCAATTTTCTGGAATTTTCCTGTTTTGCGACATCGTGGGATTCAGTGACGATGTGTGTGTCTGTTGGCAGATCTATGTGAGACGGAGCCATCTGTAACAACCACGTCTGTTTCAAAATCAAAAACAGACCTAAGTAATCACTTTAGTTCTCACCTCGACACACGAACTGCAATTAATAAGCGATTATGTTAAAATGCTTCTTATCAATATGGTAAAAATGCAAATTTTGATGGCCTCAAACGAGATAAGGGATTATACCAGGGCAAATCGATATATAATTTTAAAAACTTATATATTGTATGTATATAGTATCTGTATATGGTTATAATAAAAAAGATTTTTGTCAAATGAAGCTACGAGAGCGAGAAGAAACTCTTCATCCGAACGCTGAATTTTGACTATCCTATTCATATGAATCAGTACAATTAGGTAAAACTTAAAATGAAAAATGTTCTATAACACCACCTTAAGAAGTATAGTAAAAAAATGAAATTCATTAATTGGTTATACTGAAATAATTTAATTAAAATTAATTAAACACAATCTGCCATCATTTCTTTTGGTTGTACCCCCATCATTACGGGATTAAGAAGAGGAACAGAGCAACATTTGAAGCTTTGAAAAATCCAAGTAGTTCTTGAGATATTTGAGAAAACCGAAAATTGGGTTTTTAGACTTATTTTGTTTAGATTTCATTGGTATAGGAAAAAATAGGAATATCACCATAGCTGACTTGACATAATTGAAAAATTTTCTTTTTCAAATTTTGTTGCATATTTGATAGTAACATCACTACAATACCGGCGATTTAATCAAAAAATCAAGAAAATTTACCTTCGATTTTTTATATGAAATATATTGAGTTGAAAATTTTAAAATCTTATGCTGTCATCGTCTCATCTGTTCCTATGAAGTTTTAATATCTCGTTTATCTTTATTTTTTAATTTTATTTGATAAAAACTAACATCTAACGTTTAAAAAACAAGATTTTCCAGTGAAGTGAAGATCAACTAAGATCACATTATTCTTTTTTTTTTCATATTTGTGAATGCCCATAGGAAAAAATAAAATTGAAGGTGATGACCGAATAACGCCAGAAGAAAATAATACTTTTCTAAACAGCATTTTGTTAAAAGCTGAAATTAGCAACTTTGCCCTAACCGTTATATCTCCTTTATATAAGCGATTGCAAGGATTTGTGTTTTCAAAACGAGCCGTTTGAAAATCACAATAAAACAGTTTTCCGCTTGAGATTTCACGTATTAGAAAGAGAGAAACTTCGACAACATGCAGCTGCCGTATTTTTTTATAATAAAACTATCAACCACAAATAAAGTAAAATAAAACGGAGAAGTTGTTGAAAAGTTTGACCACCAAGTTTAATAGTATATTAAAGGATAACAAAATGTACCATTTTTCAAGGTTAAATTATTCGATTTACATTTTTTTTATTTGCAGGATACTTTGACACTATGACAAATTTATCACACAATAACCTGAACCTAAGTCAGTGCGTAGGGCATCGCCAAAATACAAGGCTCCTTAAAAAATCTTCGAGTTTATACCTTGGGATAATATATCAAGTAATCCTTTTCTAACTAGAAATGCCAGGTAATAAATATGGTTAAACTGCAAATTTATTCATTTCTTTTTCTGGTAGCCAAAACATTAGATGATAATGAAGTATTGGTTAGCTGTCATACTAAATTTTTCATTCAATTTGTCAGTGATAGGTTTTCTTGTCAGTCAAAAAGGTCGAATTGTGGTACAGTTTATTATTTTTTCTACTCCCGTCGGTAAAATACCTAATTACGCACCGATCTAGCGTGCTGGAAGCGTCACGTTACCACGTCAGTTTCGTTTCCCACGAATCCGAGCCAATTCGGACATTTCCGGGATTTTACCGCACGGGTTTGGAAACAATCGGATGTTTTCGGAGATATTTCCCACGCCTTGAATTTTGACGTTTGTCAATTCGGACAGTCATGTCAGTGAATGTATTCGTATTGTTTTGCGAAAATGTACCCAAAAACTAACGGTCGTAGAAAAAGTATAGTATGCAACACGTTCGGTAAACTTTTTGCCGTTTACCGCACTTGTTACATAATATACTATTTACAAGAAGAATTTGCCAGAATTTAGATACAAGAAAATCAGTCATTGACAAACCTTCGAGGAGCACACTATTTAAAAAAAATGCTATGTAAAATATTATTAAAACAGTTACTTTGATAGTCGATTTTAAAATAACTATAATATATAAGGACAACCTCTACACGTTAATGAGAAAATATTTTAAGAAGGACCTTAATAAGTTGAGAATAAATGGAAGTGTTTACAACAATTTATTCAAAAACAAACAAATAAATCTTAGTACGTATTTAACCATATACACTTCTGATATTGGAAATGTATACATCTAAGTAGTATCTATATGAATCTCAACTTCTCAAAAACTTATATCTCTTATATCTAGGCTTAAAGTATAATTAGACATCTCAAGTTAAAATTTTCTCTTAAGGACTGAACATCAAACGGCTGAAACACAACGGCTAAACATAAATGTCTAAACATTTTATTTGTAGGCAAATATTTACAAACATTTGCTAGCATTTACTTGGAGTAAGAAAGCATAATTAGAGGTTTCAAGTCAAAGTCTTCTATCGAAGAGTAAATATCAACTGACTTTATTACATTGATTATATATTATCTCTATGGATTTTCCGCGTTAGTCAACATAAGTCTTCACAAATCTGCCTGTTCATTGTATAACAGTTTATTATTGCTACCAGAGATTTCATGATTGCAGACCAGTTTTTACCTAAACGAGTCAATTTGCTTGCTTTTGGGCAATTATTGGGGGAACGTTGTGAAAAATGGCTTCAAGAGAAAGAAATTCAGTTTTAGTTTCCAAGAGTGGTTGACAATTTGTGTTGCCATGTTACAACAATAATATATTCTAGTACCTACTTTTAGACAAATCTATTCCATCTCTTTTCCATTTTACATGAAATTTGCAAAAAAAATGAAATTGTATTATGCCTAAAATGGAAATATATTTGTAAACATATTAGTTCCTAGTCGTACATAGTTTCAATCATGTCTCTAAGCGAATGCCTAACAGCAATATACGAATCAAAGTATACATTCAATTTTATTTATTAAATATGTGGTCGAGATAAAACATTCCTATCCATGAAATTTAAAACTCTGACGTCAAAACATTAGATGGCAGCCGGTTCAACAAAATAAACCAAGAGTATTGTATGTATAGGGAACAAAAAAAGTGTCGCATCATACGTATATAAAAAATTAGATATACTCGATGATGCATGATATACAGATCTGACGTTGATCTCAAAACAAACTATCTGACGCCAGAGAACTGTAGCTACTGTAAATCGTCATCAAAATAGAATTTGATATTACGGGGGTAATTAAAATGTTTCTTTGGACGGGTCTGTTCTAGACTAATCACTTAAAATAACCTGATTACCATGCGAGTCAGACTCCAGCAATATTGTGTATATCAATGTACTAAAAAGCGTAATAAAGGTAATGCAAAAATGCCCCAATTAAACCAAAGTATTCACATACTTCTGTCGGAATGTTTTTCGCGCCGAACGTTTGAAAATCCGAACGCGGGTGAATAAAAAATTTCAAGGTGTCCGCAATTGTGGAATTGTATTATCGTCCAATTAATTAGTCATGGATCTGATTTAAACGGTTAAAGGTTTCCGCGCCTTGCAAAAGCAGAGCGGTATAATTTTGTAAGCAACCCTGTAAGTTATCTGAAAATGATGCAAACCCTATACAGATTTCATCACTCTGACCATCGCGCAAACATGCTACCGATATCAGACCGTATTTCGTTGCATGGTTATTTTTATTTCAGTTAGGCGTCAAGTTTGTGTTTATTGTTGGAAACAAATTTACTTTACATTTCATTTTTTCTTTCTTGGTTAATCCTTAGAATCTAATTTACATTTTTGCAATATTGAATATCGTGGGTGATTCTTCGAAGTCTGATTTCATATATCAGCACCGCTAATTGGCAGATTAAATATTATTATGATTATGATTAATAATTAATTAAACTGTACTTTTTCTCCTCTTGCTTTGTTTGGACGGGGATTATAAATAATATTTGCTTGCCCACAATGATAAAATAAATATAAAAAAAATATTTTGGTTTGGACATTAATCGAATGATAAACCAAATTTTGTAATACAATCGACCTTAGAGAAAATACGCAATATCAACTTTATCAGGTTAGTCTTGTTTCTCAATATGGTTTCTTATCAAGACCTTGCTATACAAACAGCAGACGAAGAGATAACTGCTTACGCTCATTTCAGATTTTGGTAAGTACAGATTTTCGAATATCAGTCGCACGCACAAAGTATTGAAATAGATCTATATTTTGACGAGAAAACGTGCTGGTTTAATTTCTGATGTGATCCATTCTCTGTCTATTTTTTCCATTTATAGTGCTAATCATTTGCGACTGACAAGAAATTATTACCTCCGATTATTTCACTATCAAACATTTCAATCCGATTTACGAATATTTCAATGTGCGCCAATAGTTGCTAAACATCTATGACAGTGATACAGATTGTTTATAATCACCTATTTATTTGATTTAATCAATGAACAATCACAAACAATATCGTAAACGAATAAAAATATTCATATCAAAAATCATATTTTTAGTTATTTGCAATTTCGAAATGTAGTGTAGTACCAAGGGGAATTGTAATTATTAATTTTTTCAAAAAAGTAGGAATAATTTTTTGTTAATTTTACATATGTAAATATGTATATAAGTATGTATATGTATATAAAAAGACGGCAAATCCCGTCGCATTCCGGATTTAGTAGACTAGCGTTTCTTGTTTTTCGAAGTAAATGCGAGTTAAATATTTAATAAATTTCCATAACATTAACGCTGCCATTAAGACGATTAATTAACCGGATTTTCGGTCAAAAATAGATAACCCAAATAAACTCGCCACCCAGAAATGCACATCTTATCGAACTTACCTTTATGTAAAAGCGGCATTAAAACTTCAGACGCACAGAAATAAAACTAACTCTATTAATAAGTCACGATAATCTACGGTGCAAACGCCGATACTCAAATTCCCGCGCTTTGTATTTAGTGACTGAAGCTTATATCTGTTTCAAAACTTTTCATAGTACCTACTGTTGTGACCGTGGTACTTTTAGAATCGCGTGTCCCCCACTACCCGAGCTTATGACACCCATTCAGTACAAATTATGGATTTTGAAATTTTACGCGCGTTCATGGATAGCGAGCATTGGATAATTTTATTATTTTACGAAGAACTTGAGCTTGGACTCTCGAGCGGTTTATTGAGAATTTCTCATTAAAATTGGGTGGTGTAGTAGCCCAGTGAACAAAGGAGAAAATGATTATTTTAGCGAATTCGATACGATTGCTTCCCAATCGCACCGTCTGAAAAAACTCTTACAGTGCGAATTTCTTATCGTAGCATGTTTTGTCAGGTTTGCATGCATCAAAAATCATCCCATTCGTATTTTACCAAAAGCGCATTAAAATATAAACGTAGCATTACAAAAAAAGACGAAAGATAGAACGTATTGGAAAATTACAAAGAAGATTTGTAGATAAAATGATTTTTCTCGAAAACAAAAGTAAATATTTTCATGTTTGCTTTATCAATAAAATTTGAAATGGTTTAATACATTCAATAGATGCAATATATCAACAGCAATTCAATATTTCTTGCTCTGAGTGCAAAAAACATCTTTGTTCAGCTATTCTGCTAGCCGCTTTTCTAATTCTCATCGATCAACATCAGTGCTTGTAAATTGTCGACACTTTTTGGTACTTAGAAATAGTTAAGTCTTTTTTTAAAGATATTTTCACATAGATTCTGCGTAGAATTGGAATTGTTTTTGTTAGTTAACAACAAAGCAAAAAATTTCTGAAAGCGGTTTATAGTGATTAGGCACACCAAAAGATAGTGCTGTAAAGACGGTTTTCCACCAAATGAACAGTCAATTGTGAGTCTTGTTGGTAAAATAAAGTAAAAGAAGTAAAAACATGTTTTGTTCAACAACCACCACATGTTTAGGAAAAAATATTTTATTTTATTTTTATTTTTTATTCAACACGAATTCGTGTTTTCATTCTGTTTGGTACGTTTAAAGGAAAACCGGCATAAGCTTAAATTGCGGGAATGCTAAAAAGTCTTATTTCGCAGAGACACTGAGCTACAACAACAAAAACGATGCATAAAATGCAGATTTTGCTTTTTTTTTTCATTTTTATCAATTAATTAAATGGCAACAGAGAGTGGGATTTATAACAAAACATAACACCACCTTTCTAGTGTTTTTGCTGCACAAAAGTTTTTATTAACTGCTTTTGTAATGGATATGGGATCAAGTGCACATCAGATTTTAACTTGTTATTAGTGATTATGAAAAAGAGACCCAATAAAAGTTGAATGAATGATACTAGTCTGCATCAGTAGTTAATCAATTTATTTAATAACAATAGGGATTCATAGTTTAACGTGTTACTGGACTAAAATTCTTATTAAATAGTAACTATGTAGATATAATACTTTCAATTTAATCTGATACATACATACAAATTTTAAACCATCAAATTTGATATTTGGACCACATCTTCTATATGGGCACATTTTGTTGTCGATGATTGTTGCTCATTTAATGATTCTTGCAGTTCATTTTGTATATACGATATTAAAAAAAAGAACTTCAACAAACTCCAAATTCGTGTCACATTAACTTTTATTTTTGTTACACTTATTCGTATAATCTCTTTTCTAGTAGACCCGAATATCTTCGACGCATCCATTTTAAAACTATTGATAAATTTAGTTAAGTAGGCGTGACATGTTTAAAATAAAACAGTAATATGTTCTCCTCGTGGATCCGCTTTCAAGAAATGCGGCAACAAAAATGTTTTGATATACCTAGAATCGTTGTAGTGATATAAAAAAAGGGTAGGCAGGAGTCAATAACAAACAGGGCCTCTACATATTGTTGCAGTAAAGTCAGGTTTTTCGACGGTTGAAAACTGCTACCGGAGTGGTTGAGATATGTCAAATATTCTTTATTTTTATGTAGTTAAATCTAGCTTCAGAAGAGGTAAAGAAGTAAATTTATAGGTCCAGTATATGCAGCTACCTCATTTGAGTACAGTCCTGGTATAAACTATTGGTGCTATAGGTACAATAAAACAAAATTCTCAAGCAAAACAGACAGGAAACTGAATAACATTTACTCATTCCGGACAAGTATAAGTAAAATTATTGATATTCGGGTTACTGTGTCACCTTATAATATGAGAAATTGTTGGAAAAAATATAGATAGCGAAATTGATTGCGTTTAAACCGTATTACGTTTATCTATAAAATAATAAATCAATATTTGCAAATTACTCATCAGATAACTTTTAATTACACACTCTTCCTCAAACCACGTATATAAGCCATTTGCGATTAAGACACATTGGAATAATAAGTATTAAAAATAATTAAATTCCCTGACCTCTATGTATTAATATTGGTGAACAAATAGCAAACCTAAAAACGCGGTCTAATTTGTTAGTCAGTCAAACCAAGTAATCAAAAACTCAACCTTTCCTTGTTATGCAATATGCATATGCAAATGTCAAGTTATATACCCAAAACAGAAAAGAATATTAAAATATTTTGCTTTGTTGCCGCAATTGCATCGAAAAAAAAAACACGTCAAAAAAGCAATATTTATTAGATTCAATTCAAGAAAAAACTGTGGGTTATATTTTCGCTCGGAATATTACTTTACCGATCTAGCGTGCGGGAAGCGTCACTTTACCACGTCCTTTTCGCTTCCCACAAATCCGAGCCACTTCGGACCTTTCCGGGATTTTACAGCACGGGTTTGGGAGCAATCGAATGTTTTCGGAGATATTTCCCACGCTTTGAATTTTGACGTTTGTCAATTCCGACGGTCATGTCATTGAATGTATTCTTGTTGTTTTGCGAAAATGTAACCAAAAACTAACGGTCGTAAAAAAAGTATAGTATGCAACACGTTCGGTAATCTTTTTAACTCACTCGTTTATTAAACACTCGCTCCGCTCGTGTCAAATAAACTCGTGAATCAAATGCCGTTTACCGCACTTATTGCATAATATACTATTTGGGTACCTTAGGAAATAAACATCATGGCCACAAACACTGACAATAAAAAGTATATTAATCAACAAGTGCGATAAACGGCATTTGAGTCATTGAGCCCAGCAGAGCGAGTGTTTAATAAATGAGTCACCTAAAAAGTTTACTAAACGTGTCGCATACTGTACTTTTTCTACGACCGTTAGTTTTTCGCTGCATTTTTACAAAGCAGCACGAATACATTCACTGACATGACCGTCAGAATTGGCAAACGTCAAAATTGAAGCAGTCCGGTAAAATCTCCGAAAACATTCGATTGCTGACGTAGTAAAGTGACGCTTCCTGCACGCTAGATCAGTGTGGCCGAAGTGGCTCGGGTCCGTTTCAAACGAAACTAACATGGTAAAATGACACTTTCCGCGTACTAGATCGGTGAATAGGTGTGTATTTTTCAGAAGGGACTATAAGAAAACACATTTCGGCAGTAATTTCGGTATATACCTAAAACTTATGTCGTCAAGATCTTAAAACTGTTTTTTAAATTACATAATTTTTATTTTAGAGGGATTACATGACACTGCATTTTTTCACAAATTTCAACTTTTCTTTTCTTTAAAACCTTAATTTCAATAAACTATTTAATAAACCTTATTAATATTCACAAATCATATAAAAATTAACAAATTTATGAACTTTTTAGTCAAATTGGATCAAAATGTTTTAAATAAGATTTTGCAATTGTAGAGCGTTGTCCATTATTATTTAATAATATGTATTTTATAATAAATTATTATGTATTTGTGATGTCCAAATTACCCAAAACCCTCTTCTTCTCAGAACGACGCGACGTCAACGTAAAACACAATATAAATAAAAATAAATAAATATAAGTTTCAATGTATTTTTAAAATTATTTAGGTCAATTGCCATTCAATTCCACAACGCTGCTTTTAAAGAATGTTTGTATAATAAAATTTCAAACACTTCAGCAAAAATGTAAAAAAAGCGGCTAAAATCTTCTATCTATGCCCAAATAATTAATTTTTAGGGATACATACAGCTACTATTACCAAACCAATAGCCACTAAGAATACTTTTTTGGGACACGAGTGGTGATAAATATATTCAAGTGCTAAATTTAGCTCTTTTATAATCATCAGGAGTTCTAACAACCTCTACAAACTTTCTTGTTTGTTCGACATAAAAACTGATGGGACCAAATTCATTGAATGTTGGCTGACGTAACTTCCGAAATGGTTGCAGTACGCTCTAAGGCTAAAGAAATTCCGATGTGTCTTCGGGTTTTATTAACAAAGTAATTACTCGAGACTGACTGCAATTTTTTACAAGGTTAAGCGGATACCTAAACGGAACGCCGAATAATTAGATATTTTCGCTTTCCTATAGCGACCAATAAGGATTTTTTTGTTTTTCTTCTGGATGACAAAAAACACTCATCAATGATATCAAAAATTAAGTCAATTAACTCACTTAAACGGATAATGGGTTTTTACGAGAAAGTTGATGTTCTTGGTAATCATTGACGTTCTTCAAAGGACAGAAAAAGTAGTTACTGTGTAATTCACATTATTCATTATTTATTTCTAAAATCTTAGTACTAATTAGAGCAGAAGTAAACTGAAAGCATGGAAATTCAGCGTGTAGAACGACAAGACAACATAGCTGACTTGCAACAATTACTGAATTTTGTAAATACAATTATTGCATGGTATGGTCTGGACCTCAATGTCACAAAAACCAAATACATGATAATAAGCAAAACCCTCGTACCCCAAGAAAGAATTGCTTGCTGACAGAAACATGAGATCATTCTATTGAAACTAAATGTCGCATTAATATTAGACCATTTCTAACAAGCAACCACAATCTTCTTGGACGGACCCTTTTACTAACGAAGAAGCACTTAGCAAAATGAACTGCCCACCACAACTATATTTATATATTACATATTATAACCAAGGAAGGACAGGTTCAGGTAGAAGGAGAATTTCTTGGCTGGCAAATCTGTCTAAATAGTATAGTGTTACGTCCACAGATTTGACCCATTTTTAAAAGTGAATCCCAATTAATTATTGGCAGTAATCTTTGCAAACGACCATCAGACTCGTCATTCTCTCTGCAAAAGTGTGGGTTTAATCCTAGACTCAAAATTAAAATTCCATGAGCATATCACCAATAAGCTGACAGTTGGTTACAGTAATTTCAAGTTACGATAAAGCCAGTGACACTGTGTGATAGTTTTGTACTGTTACAATTTAAACATTGTTTGAGAACGTAGATGATCTGATGGTGTTGACAAATATCGTATCCAGAAGATACAAAATTTGTGTCTTAGACTAAGATATAGAGTTAGATGCAGAGATCACATAACACATTACCTTAAAAAAATCTGGTTAGCTTAATATGTTCAACAGGTTTATGCCGCAAATTTTTAAAACAGAATTTGCTTCAAATCTAATGTACATAATTTTAAATTTACGTCGGAAGGGTTACTTGGCGGTTTCTCAACACCGTAAATAGAGTTTTTAAAAATCTTATATTGTAGGATTTATTCTAAACAAACTAAGATTTACCAATTCTCGGTACCTCAATTGCTTTTAAATATTCTATTTCATTCAATTAGTTATTGTTCTTATGCGTCTTATGCTGAGTTTAATAATATGTTTTTTCAAATTAGGGCTTTATCACAATCTCGTAGTCGCGTTGTCACGTCCATTATAATCTGTATTTTTTTAGAAAAAGCCGGCCTGGCGAAAGCAATACGGCGATCTCCTAGGGGGCCCAGAGTTGAAGGGGTTCCGTTGTATAAGAAAATATACATATTTTCATTTAAATAATTTTCTTAAAACCTTTTTTAGATACTTTATAAAAAAAAAATGCTTGTTTTTTAATATTTGCAGGTATTTTTGCTTATAAAACGAAATTAACTAAGAAAAGATCAAATTTAATCTTAATCTTAATCTTATCTTGCAATATAACTATTCTGAAGTATTCTGGTAACATTAAATCAAAAACCATTATGGCTCGACTAATAAAATACCTACGACACATGTAACAGTTACATGTGTGTTTGAAGGATGCAAGATGCAAAGAGTTGTTAAAGCCATTTGTTTGGAATTCCATTGCCTTTATTTTAAATTATATGTCAACATTTCGGTTCTCATGTAAACTAACCAAAATTATCATTAGATGAATTATAGAAATTACAGTCAAATTCGCCAGTCACGATTCACCAAGCAACGAGCAGAACACCATGTCATTATATAGAAAGCCCACACGCTGTACCTTAATGCCCCTCCAAACAGCTCTCAAATGATCCCACGAGAAGCAGCCTAAGAAAACGTTATTGAGACTCAAAAACATCACTACAGATCTGATCCACAAAGGACACTCGAAATACTTGATTGAAAATTCCAGGCTGCTATGGAGAAGTAAAGTATCGCAATAAAAAGTTGATCAAGAAATGAGAATAATACTAAGCAGAAAGACTCCAAAAACTGTATATCTAACGTCCCACAGCAGTGGGGAAGGAAGCGAGGAAAAATAAGAAAGTCCTGGATAGCACAAACGTGCATTGGAAAATCAACACCAAATAGACTACCACTAATCACAAGTAACAAGCACTACCAACAAAAAGGTCACACACCAGCAACCAGCAATCACATGCCGTAGACCTGCAGCCTCAATCCAGCAGGCACAGCCGGTAGTTTTAAGAATTTTATCATTATCGTCTTAATAACATGTCAAGTGAATCGTTGAGATATAGCTTAAAATGACGTCCAAACAAATAGTTTTAAACATATAACTACAAAAAAAAGAAATTAAGCTAGCTAGAGAAAAAAAATAGGTTTTGAAGGCTCAATCAGCACTTGCGTATCAGCGGAGCTGCCCAGGTCGCTTACTATTAGTGACTGCAGTTATTTAGAGAAAGTATTGATGGAATGCATTAAATAATTGAAATCTGGAATTCGGAAAATAGCTTTGTGAATAGCTTAAGCCTAAACCTACATAAAATTCTCCAACTAAATATGTCTTATGTAGAATTCATACACAGGCGGATCATGAGAAATCGCTCCGGCCTCTTGAATGATTGTTTTCATATCGTTCTGTCAAATTGTACAATGCCCTACCCAAACCCTTAAATTATTGACAATATCAATTTAATAATATAGTTAAAGATTATCTCCTTTGGCGCCATAACTACATAGTGGCCCCCTCTACATAGTTACATTACATTGCAAAAATGATCTTTATTTATTTACCTCATTTTGTAGTTCGATAGTGATTGTGTGTCTGTGTTCTATAAAGTTAGCTGTAAGGATAGTTTTAGTAAACTTTGCTTTGTACATTTACCGAATATATTATATTATTAGTATTATTAAATCTTTCAAGTGTATTCTTCTATCAAACAATCAAGACTCCACATTTTTTATGACCCGTATTGGTAGGTGTTTAATACCTGACAAGTGCAAAAATTTCATAATTCGTCAATTTTTGAAATAATGAAGCCATCGACTGATGCAACTGTGTGAGAAATTTCGTTACAGATGAAAAGTATTATAGTCAATTACTTTTCAATGCCGCCGTAGATGAGCAAAAAACAATAGGCGGTTTGAAAGTGATTGAAATAAAAAAGTTTTTATATTACACCTGGTAACGAAATATGCGGAATTCCCCATATCCTTTTTTTAATTTAATTGTATAATTAAGGCGAATATAGAAATGTTAAAAAATTAACCGAAGAACACTGTCGCTAATGATTTTATAAATGAAACTGGGAACAGAGCTATACGGTCACAATGTAGAGAGAGTGATCTTGTAGATAGAATATAGGCCCTAATGAAATTAAATTCGTGTTTAATTCAATTTAACTAGGTGTTAAAATGATTATTAGTTCAACTGTACGAAAAAATGGCGATTTAATATCAATATATATTTAATATTTGGATGACTTCTTCAATAGATAATAACAATTTGTAGTTTATGTACGTGAAAGCAGCAGTCAGAACAGAACAACTTAACGGGGTGCAAGAGAAATAAACATTTTTTTTCCTAGAAACCGATGACGTCATTGTCATGTCATACAGCATGTAAGATCTGAACGTAAAAAACAACCTAGAAAACCAGTATAAAAAAAGTGCGAAGCCTAGAATTTGTGATGTCTAGTCGTATAACGTTGAAAACTAGTATTTACCTCGTATATTATAGAAACGCCCCAATAAAAATTTTATTATAGTCATATTTGAATTCGGCGAGCTGAAACTTCGGCTATAGCTTCACGAAGGTCTCATGCAATGCAATTACACGACTCAAAATAGGCGACTATACAAAAAACATGAAAATTTATGTTTTTTAAATGAAATACCATATACATGGTGAGTTTGTTTATGTTTAGTACTTGGATCTCGGAAACTCAGGCAGATACGAAAAAATTTAAATGGGTAAGAATTAAACATTGATAGTTCTATTCAACAGCATTTTTAGGTTGCCAAAATTTTACAGCTCTCAAAAAACCGACTTGATTTAAAATTCTCCTAACTGTGTAAATATTTATTGAAGCATATAAATGATAAATACAAAAGTTGTAATAAAATATCATTTTTGACATACGAAAAAACTTGGGTTCTTGAATGAAAACCTAATTAAATTTTATTACGATTCTAACATAGCTCCATATAGGGTTATTTTGAAAAATAAAATTTGAGCCTTTTTGATTTTTTTTATAATTCGCGTTTAAACTTAATGTCTAATTGTCTCTGAAAAAATATTATTACATAAAATAACAGATGCAAGTATGGTTACAGTGGTGACAAAGAACAATATAAATTTTCAACTAGTTCCAAATAAATTACTTGGGCAAACATACTAGTGTAGTTTTATTTTATGTATAACTTTTTTTCAAATAGATAAATAATGTTCACCTAAAAAGCAAATGAGAAAAAAAAAACGCTTATAAAAATTTATTATTCAAAATACGCTATATCATTAAAATCAACAGACAAAATTTAATAGGGTTTCCATTAAAAACACTATTTTTTTATGTCAAAAATGACAAGTGTGTACAAAAATACTTTTATATCATTTTATTAAGAACAAAATTTCCTGCAACTTTTGTATTTATCGCATTACGCTAGAGTATTTCTGGGTCCCTGCTCTAAACAAAACTAAAAAATCATACTGTATTATAGTAACTTTTCTGGAAGACAATTAGAAACCTGAAATGATATATGTATCATGTTAATTAGGTATTAGCATTAATAGCATATTGTGAGATCCTCATAATAAAGGGAAATGTTAACTAGAATAAGCCTTGATATTTTTTTTAATTATAAAGGAAAACAAGCAGAAATTTTTTCTACTTGTGACTTGCTCAAGTAATAAAGAGAATTCATTAAAAATGTCAAAATCAATTGCATAGTGTGAAGGATATAGTTAGCTTCCCAAATCAGTTAGATCCAGCTGTTTCTGGTTTAGTCCAATAGTTGACCTTAACTTTAAACTAGATATCAATATAAAGAAATGGCACTGACAATACTAAAGTAAACTGTCCTATAACATGAAATTAACCACAAACTAACTGAAAAGGTCTTAACGAATGTAGTTTCTAAAGTGAGAGGGATAAAATTTTAATTTGGAGTATCCATTATCCATTATTTTTATTTAAATGAAAATATTACATAGCTATTTATGTGGATGGTCCGGAATTTGAGTTAGGCCCCCTTCTACGTCCAAAGGAAGCTACTACATTCACAAATCTTCTGTTGTATTGGATTCTCCTCTTAGCACGACCAGTCTTCTTTTTTTTCTTCTCCTGTTTCTCCACTTTTGGAGTCTGACCTTTCACCTTACCTAGAAGTATTCAGGTAGATATATTAGAAAAAGTAAATGAATAATGAATAGCAAATCACTTACCAGCACGAGCCAGAGATCCATGAACTTTACCACCAAGAAGCCCAACTGTTACCTCAAGGTTAGCATGTTCCTCGAAGGACGACACTGAAATATCATCACTAAGAGGACTGCCAGCACAATATAATGTGACTTCTGATGTCTTTAATCCTTCAAGTGACGCAATGCGTTCCTAAAAAACAAAATAACAAAAATGAAACCAATGAAACACGATAAAAACCAATCTACTGATCTCTACAATTATTAAACTTATCAAGCACCTTACATATTTTCTGGAAAAACATTACCTTTATCTGTCCAACAGTTTCTAACTCGCCACATTCAAGCAAATGGGTGCTCTGACCTCGGAAAAACAACTGCATTTTTACGGATTGTTGTTCTAAAAAATATATAAAAAGAGTTAAATAGTCCGAAAATTAAAAAATTATCCAATATTTAGTTAAAAAATATATATGAAACTTTGACTCACGTTTTGCAATTACGGCAAATGTCAAAAAGAAAACATCAAATCCTTAGAGGAAACGGAAACCCTAGCGAAGGCATACTTCTTCTTCTTCTTTACATTGTACGCACTTATGAGCAAGTTTACTAGATGTCATTTGATTATTGCCATGCCGTGATAAAAGAAAAACCTTTTACACAAATAGACTCAAGTAAGCCCACACTTAATTATTATAACTTAAAGCATACCGAATACAAATGTTTTTAACCGATTAGAGCAGGATTCTATAGGAAGACCACTAGGATCAATCTGCTTTGTGCTTACCATTGACATGGGTTGGTTTACATGAAAGAGGTAATTGTTATATTTGTACGATAGTTAGTAATTGGTCAAATGACCCTAGTATATATGCCCAGCGAAAGTAAAAAAGTGGAAGAAGTGTACATACAATTAAAACAAAATTTTACTATTTGCTTTTTATATGCACAAAGCGCGAATGTAAATTATGAAGCATAAATGCACAAACCTTACTTTCAGGAATAAATGAATAACCAAAACAATTACTCTTTAACATGCTTGTATGTGTTGTATTGTTGGTTGCGTGGCGTTTAACATATCACACAGCGTCACATAAATGAAAAAATGTTATGGCGGCGTATACACACCACAATACTACGGTCATTTACCCTATTAAATTATTATGAAATTAGGTCAACGCAAAGAACAACCTTGTTACACTTACTAAAATTAACTAAAACTACTTACCCACCAATAGGCGTTTTTCCTCCAAAAACAGTTCCGGTTTTATACCAGCTTCTTTATTTGTGTAACAGTCCATATAAAGTAGGTATGCCGATCTCTAATTCTGGCCCAAGCAGTAAACATTTTTATATTAAATAATACTTTTAAATCAAATCTGAAATTTTAAAATTAAAATTTTAAAAACATGTTTATTTTTTTTAAATGACAATTAGAAAGTAAATCAATATTTATATCGTTAAAGGAATTTAAGAACATTTTTATTTATTATTTATTCCTTATTAATTAAAAAAGGCTATTTCACCTTTGTGGTGGTTCAAACAAGCTATTTTTATCAATTTTTTATAAAAATGTTATCCGCGAGTGTCAAGGTGCAACCAATATATTATCAACAACCATTTACGATCCGAAGCGCTGATATCGTTGATACTGGGAATATCCTTCACGCACAAACCTTACTCAGTCTGTATGTATTAACTAGTATACTTACACGAAGTGATGTGATGACCTTTGATTATTTTTCCGACTCTCGGATTCGGATAAACAGTTTTTTAATCAGTAGCATTAACTATATGATTAATACGGTGTTATGGCCAAGGGAGTCTGCATCCAGACCATTTCACTATGGGAGCAAACACGAATACATCTTTCCTGTGTCATGTTTGGCTTATGGGTTGTTTTCAAGAGGTTAGTTAAGTGGCTGTGCAATCCAACTAGCAAGCGCAATTTTACAGTTAGAGATAGTCCACCGAGTTGTCTGATCGATTCATCGTTAGGTCAACACAAATACATAAAAATAAAGGTAAGATTTTCTATTTTTTTTTGGAATGCAGTTCCCAATTGATTACCAATTCAATCCAGTTTAGTGAATATACTTTAGTGGGTGTGATCACGAATTCTGTCAACCATCCAATTTTTTCCGTTGATTTCGAAATAAAATTTTCAAAATACCAGAGGATGGCAAAATTATACAATATTTTTAAAGAAATAATGTTCATTAATGGGAAATACGGTCATAGTAACAAAATGTCAACTTGCGGTATATTATTGATAGGAGAATACGAATACCTACAATTGGCTCTAAAAAAATATTTTAAATCCGATAGAAAATAAACTGTCGCAAAAAAACATTATTGATGGTGACCAAATAAAAAAAATATGAAAAAATTTGTGATCTTAAGATAATTTAAAATTATAGGTTGTTATTTATATAAACGTCCGGCTCGTAAAATATGTGGCTACCTTAACTTCCTTAATATTCTTTACCAATGTGGGTGATTAATCGCTTTATTTTTAATATACAGAGTATTGAAAATATTTTTAAAACGGGTTTTTCTCATCTTTATTGAAGCCACTTCAGACATTTTGTTGATTGTTTGGTTGAGGCCCACAATGCATAGAAAGACAATTTCATACGCAAAACCTCGTAATAGTTTTAGAAAAAAATAAAATTCGTAATGGGAGGATGGGGAAGTGGCCCCTTCATCAAGATCAGAATAAAATCTCTCATCTTTATTTTTGATAAAAATATTTTTTTTTTACCCCGACGGCACTATTAAGCATTGTGGGAAACTAAGGAAAAATAACCAAAATATCTAAAGCAGTTTCGATAAAAATGAAGAAAATCTGTTTTTTCTTGAAATCATTCAACTAATCACGAGCTTACATCATATATCATTTAAATTCATTCCATTTCAAAAGGTCCCATATTAACGATTTTTTTTTTGCCCGTAGTCATCACCCCTAATAACCACACTATGCCTAGCCACCAATTGTTGAAATATTATTTGCTAATATTATAAGTTATAATATCGACTATCTTTTGTTGCAATAAAAGTGATATGGTTGTATTTAGAGTGGTGTGGCAAAACATCCTCTAGCATGGAGCTCTCTAAATATTTAGCCCTCTAAGTATTCAAAATAATATCAAAATAATTTCGCAAGTCATTTTTCCATGACCCAAATTGAATTAGGTACTTGTTCCGACAAAGGTTAAGCTTTAACTGGGTGGTGCTCCCTACTTACTATCTAACATTCATTTATAAAATTGGATATACATAAAGTTTGCCTTTATAAGAGTATTTGGTATTGTATGGCGTTATTGGGAATACAATACAAAAAATGTGAAAAATAAGTGACTGTAAAATACATACCGTTCGTCCGTTTGTCAAAGAAATTTTAATAATTATTGTTTTTATTGTTCCAATTGAGGCCATGTCATACATTTTTATTATGACGTTAATATGACCACGTAATCTTCAAAACAAATTATTTCTAAAAACTATCCAGAGGGGTATTTAGTAATCAAAGCTATGTTCTGTATATCCTGCACTAGCTTTTTGTATCACAGACTTTTTAAAATAGTTGCTCTTTTACGAAAAAAGTACAATGGGCTTTTGATAGCGGATGTATTTCTGTATCAACAAATACATTTTTTACATCTTGTTATACATTTCATCAAAATAATTTTGTTGCCTGATTACGAGCTTTGATTTAACTGGTAGTTACCTTATTTACTAGATATTCGCACGAAATGTGCACAATTTAATGCTCCGGAAATTTGTTTTAGGGCGTCAAATTTCATTACGTGGAATGCGGAAACAAAGATCAACCTTTACTTCTGCTTCTACATGGATTTCCAGACTTCTGGTTGGGTTGGCGGTACCAGATCCCGATACTCTCCGTAAATTTCCGAGTGGTAGCACTGGACCTTAAAGGATTCGGAGACTCGGACAAACCAGTTTGGCGGAACAATTACCGACTGGATACAATTTTAGAGGAACTTAGAGAATTTATTTACTCGTTGGGAGTGAACAATTGTATCGTTATAGGTCATGATCTGGGTGGGCTTCTCGGATGGTACTTAACCCACCATTTACCATCGCTCGTTACAAAGTTTTTTGTGATAGCGTCTCCTCATCCCAACTATTACTGGAAAACGTTCAATAAAACTGGACCTTACGAATGCATTAAATTCGTACATTTGCCGTATTTACCGGAAATAGATATAAAAAATAACGACAAGATTATCGATCAATACTATAGCCACCTGGTCGCTAAAGACATGCAACTGGAGGCGTATAAATACACATTCTGTAGAAAAGAAGACTGGTCCGGTCCAATAAACTATTACAGAAACTTAGCGTTTTCTAAAATCGATGACGAGAGGGAGATAGCGGTGCCTGTAATTGTAATATACGGCAGTAACGATAAAGTGGTGGATTTAAGGGGGGTAGTGAAATCGACGGAATTTTGCACACACTTCCGCATTAAAATTGTCGACGGTTGCGGCCATTTTCCGCACCAGGAAAACCCCGAAGCATTTAATAATATTCTGTTAAAATATTTGTCGGAACCAAAGACTAATAAAAATACGGCCGAACCTCATTCGACGAGGTTACTCAATGGTTTTTTGGGTGCTGTGTCGAATACCGTAAAATATGGCACTTCCGTGATCGGAACCGTACAAAAAAAGACCAACGGGGTAGTAAACAGCATCCCCACCTTCTCTTCGAAGTAATTTATATTTTCCTAGAATAAGCTAGTTACCTATATATTTATTGTTATTTGTGTACGATAAGAATACTCAGTAGCTTTAAAACTTTCTTTTCAGTTTTTTTCAAGTTAATTTTCTCCCGTCGAGTTTTTAAAAATAAATTTTTAAAAGTGCCACGCTATTTGTGCTTTTATTTGTTGCGGAGGTTCGATTTAACATCTGCAGTTTTAGTATGAATGTTACAGTTAACTATGTTGTCAAATATCTGAAATGTAATAGCTTTAAAGCGTTTTTTGGTGAAGTGATAGGCTGGGATATCAAACTTGGCTTACGGAAAATATGATTTACCGATTGATAAACCAAATATGGTGAAAGCTTAGTTTAGGTCTTAAAATTTAGGACACGTTAGATCACTTTCCTGATTAAAAAAAAAAGAAATAAGCGTCAATTCAAGTTTAGCCGATTGCTAAGCTCTTTTGGTAATAGCGACCATACAAAAGTGTAAACAAGACAACAATAAACAAACATGCATTACTTTGACTTCGCATATTTTGATTATTGCATTGTGACATTATAAATCGAACTTGGATAACTTATTATTTAATTAAAATACTAATGCGTCTAAATCTTCACTTTGCCTATTGAATATGAAATTTCTGGTTTCCACCCTTGAGTCATGCTTTGTGCGCCAGTGGTGTCGGTTTTTATTCAATCCCTCGTAGTAAGGCAGCAAAAATTTCCCATTTTTAGTGAAGAATTTGGAAAAGATAGGCAGTTTTCTGAATTTCCTTAAGATATTCTGTGATTTACTAGATCAACAACTCAGGACAGTTTTGCTACTTTTGCTAATATGGAAATTAAATTATTAAATGTTATTTTAAAATTGGGACAAAACAACAACAGATATCGTTTAAAGTGCCTCAATTAATAACTTGTAAAAAGATGATCAACTATTAACTAAAGTAAAATTAACCAGGCCACTACAAAAGGGCATTTATGAAATTTGAAATTTTTTTTTTGCAGTTTTGTTGAGCGTGCCTATTTAAAAATCGTTATAATAGTAATCACTTCATTCTACTCAGTGTGAGTTATAATTTGTCGTTCAAAAAAATTCAGTAAAAAAGAACGCCCTGGTAATGAAAAATTGTTTTTATTTTAACATTGGAACTAAACAATATAGATACAGTCTAAACTGCTTCAAGTAATAATTAAAATAAAAATAAATAATTAAAATAATATTATATATTTAAATAAATACACCGTTTAGGCGAAATTGCTAAATAATATGTAAAAAAATATAGAAATAGTGTTGTTTTTTACTGAATTCGTCTGAATGTCCAATTCAAACTTAGACTTTATAGAGAATAAACTCATCGCCATTCCTCTAAACAATGACACTTCCAAATTCCAAATAAACTCGTTTTTTTTTCAAATTTCTTAAGTCCCTTTATACATGCTTCTGGTTTTGATTATTTTCTTTACAACTTGCAAGACATTATCTGCTATTGTATAGTGTAAATTTTAAAATAAAAGCGAAATATTTTTTTTAAACATGTTCATATTTTCATAGCATGTATCACAAAAATTTTATAAACGTTCCAAGGTGTTGACATAGTGTTTGACGCGACATAATGAATTTTTTTCAAATTCATCGTGAAAAAATGGAATTTCCTGCCGTCGTACATGCACACCCTATATAACGAAACGGGGTTTAAGAATAAAAATCTGACACCACGTACGGATCTAGGGTGGCTTTTCGCACCACTGGCTGAAAATCTAATATCGGCAAAGAAATGTCGCTAACCAAAATTAGACAACTTCTTGGATATCCTGCGGGTCAGTTTGGTTCCTATTTCAATTTAATTTTTTTGTTTCTAACAAAGTGTCTGTCCTACCTTCTCAATGGAAGTGATTCGAATAAAACACAACGAATCTTGCTGCCCTAATATAATTAAAATTATATTACCAAATGCTTAAACATTTAAATACAACTAACAGGTAATAGCTTTGTATTTGTTGTGTAGTGATTTGTCAGTTTTCTGGATAGTACTATCACCTCATAATACTTAGGAAAGAAATAAAAACAAGAAAAAATAATTTACGAATTTTTTATGAAACAAGAAGCATGAGATGCTTGAAATTGGCAGAGCACTTGTTGTACATATGAAAAAGGGGTTTACAACTTTCTTGCTTATATTAGAAAAGAAATTTAATAATAAAAAGGATATTATTGTCGTCTCTGCTTAATGGTACGAACCCTTTTGTAATTTAACCGGTCACCTCTGGTTAGAAATACTAAAACTTAAAAATAAGTGTACACTTAGTAGTTTAAAAAAAATGAAAATTAATAATACTTCTTGCTTTACTTAAAACATCCAAAAAATACTATATATTTCTCGTTTTCATTACAAATTGAATAACATAAGTATGAAAACATTACGTTTAAGCGCTCATAAAAATTGCAGAAGTTAGCCAACGTTCTTACAATTTTCCAACTTTACCGGAAAATCTCCATGCCGCCGGGCATAATCAATGAGATGTCTGCACCTCATTAGCAGAAGCCAGCGAGCGTGTTCCGCTTTATATACATATTTCTGCCCTTAAGTGCAGTTGACATACATATTTATTTGGACAAAACAGAGACGTGTTTTCGTAAGCGTTCGGCGTCGGCGTCGTCGTCGCCAACCCTAGCGTCAGCGCAAAAGTTCGCTGCCGCGACGCTGCCAACCTTTTTATTTATAAAATTCTCTAGAGTCTGTAAATTCCGTTTATGTTTTACCCACCACTAGAAAAACTCAAAGCTATTTCTAGGCATTTTTTAAAATAGTCAAAGGCCTTAGGTATAATAAAATATTATTAATTATTATTTATTTATTTATAAGCTGAGGTCAAGGTTGAAACTCTTCTTGCGAAAAGAAACGTGTAAAAATTGCTGTATGTGCAACGGGACACCCAAAATTCTAAAATTACAAGTTTTTCCAATTTATTTTGTCATTGTATAATAATATTCTCTTAAGATTGCTTTACTTTCTGGGCTGCCATTACTTTATACGTCTTAGTTTATATGTCTGACATTCTCAACTCTAGTTGAGGCTAATATAAATTATGATAACCCAATAATAAGTAATACATGGGTAAGTAAGAATCAAACTATCACTTTAATCCATAGGCTTAACATGAAAATAAAAATACTCAATTGAAATTTGTATAATGAATACTCGGCTTCGGTTTAACATTTAAAATCAATTTTAATAAACACTTATTATTTTTAGTGTATTTGTTTACGGCTTTTGTCTTGATCTAGAGAGCAGGACACCAATACAACCATTAAAATTAAAAACTGTTCCTACGCTTTGTTTGTAGGCAGAAGAAGAGGTTACATTTTAGTTGATATTTAATAGAAATCATTAATGAGCCTTCTCATCTTTTCTCTGTTTGCAAAAGCTTAGTTTTTCGTTCCAACATTAGCTTTAACGTTAAAACCTTTAAATATGAAAACATGTCCGAATTAATTTATCTATTTTCTCATTTTGCAACTAACCAAACTAACCACAGTTGCTTAGATTTAAAAGGTGTAGTTGATCTATCTTTGATCCAATTGTTTTCGCACTATGTCAATATTTAATTCATTCATAGCACTTCGAACCATACATTAGATTAATATTAATGATTTTGATTTCACGTTCATCCTAGTCATTTGCTGTTTTCCAGTAACGGATATAGAACATACAGAATGGAAGCTATTCAAACATTGAACTATTATTTGTAACGTTGGAAGAAGAAAACCCTTCGGAATCAACGGCAACACTGCCTTCGGCGTATTTAGAAACCCGCAGCGGAGGATATTTCGTATAGTGATATGTGAACGTTTCGGGTGATTATGAAGCAGCATAAGCACGAAGCAACCTTTTCGGGGTTGCTTCTGCTCTTACTGCTTTTCCTCCGTTATGTTTACACCGCTGGACATATGGGTAAGCTCGCGCAGAGCGGCGAGATTTTTTCCTTTGTTTAGAACTGGGTTAGCTATTAAACAATGAAGTTTTTAAAATATATTGATTGTTGTTAGGGGAATTCGACATAATCGCATGCACGGCGGCGAAAAGCCGTGTCGCAGAGCAAAATCTGATTTATCTCATGCAGTAGTTCGCATTGGATGATTATGTTTAAGTAAAAAAGAAAAACGATAATTTTAACGTGAATTACTTGAAATCGAATGTAAACAACGAAAAGTCGTGCTGAATGCATTGTAAATATTTTGCGTTGTTGCTAAATCTTCGAGTAATTTCATTTTATTTTCCTTTAATAAGCCTTTTTTTGTTTTTTAGTTCAGAGTAACACTAGACATAGTGAATCATGTAACAACAAATATACTTTTTGCACACATTTTTTCCACGATTATAACAAAATAATTATGGAAATTCTTACTGTTAGATGATATCTATCTATCCATAGGTAACTATTACCTCGTTGTGATAACACTTTAAGTAATCTGAATTACAGTAAAAAATGTTGCTCTTTAATATTAAATAACATAAGGTTTTAATGATATATCTTCTTATAAATATCTTTTATAATTGTCTTCATAAACAATATACTCATATTACTATTGCAAAAAGTATTTTTTGCAATGGTTTATGAAGTAAATCTTTTTACACAGTAAACAGTTCGAAAAGTATTAATTTTTCTATAGTTTCAAATCACTACTTGAAAACAGTTTATTGAAAAATTCGGATTAAATAAAGTTTTAAAAATTATTTAAAAAAATGGATAATTTTCTACACATAGTTTTCATGAATATTAATTTTGGAAAATAATATATTCTTTTTTCTTCAATTTTAGGTAATGAAGATGGAAAGTTCGGAGACAAGTGCAACTCGACAAGTGAATGCGGCTTTGCGGGATCTGTATGTAACCAAGACTCTAAAACTTGTCTATGCAGACCTGAGTTCACTGCAACCAATCATCTCAACAAATGTGGATTCCGTAAGTTATCCACCAACCCCTGTATATTTAATAACGCGAGATTGAAAATCTTTTTTTTTTTACGAAACCGTCACTAAGCTTTAGTGTTAGTTTCTCTGCCACGAAAACCGCCCATAAATGCAAATTTTCGGTGTGCATTCATAAAATTATTTTTATGTCCGCGGGAGCGACCTCAGAGTCGGCGATCTATCTGGATGTCACGACATGAACTTTGCCGTGGCAATTAAAATGACAATCATCGATAAAATACTGAATAATGACAGGTATTAAACACGCTCTTTTTCAATCCGCTGGAGTGCTTTTAAACTTCGTAACCCGCCAATTGCTGAAACTTTGCTTTTTGTTTACTTTTAAGGGGAAAAAAGTACTTTTAATTAATTTCAATAAAATTGATATGTAAAAATTCTCACCTTGTTCATTTTTTGTTATAGTACACTTACTCCCAAAATATAGAGGAAAACATAAGTTAAAGTCGTCGGCAGTTAAAAAGGGTCTATGGTGTCAGAAATTGCAAATTTCAGACATCATACGGACCACAGATTTGACACTCTTCTAAAGAGAGCTAAAACTTTTCTATTTCAAGTTTTTTCATATTATACAGGAGATATTGCTTTCTCTTTTTAAAAAATACAAGTGTCCAAAATTTACCAGGTTTGGGTTCTAAAAAAAAATATTTTCTCGAAAGGCAATTACCCTATCGGAACCATTGTTGACCTATGAAACGTGGAAAATCCGGGGCTTTAACTTTTATTTGAAACATTTTGTCGAAATTGCACAGGGTGTGTCAGTCTCTGAAAATTCAATTTTTTGACGAAAAATTATTAACCCTTACCGAAACACCGTGACGAAAGCTAGAAGTTGGTTGAAAAAGTAGTGTAGGCAATTTCGATAGTTACAATTTTCTTATTTACATTTCTGATCTATCATATAGGGTGCGCTCTACATTGCGTTACGATCTAAGCTGTGTGGTAAAATTTTAATTTCACAATTTATAATCGATAACCATCCATCTGACTGAAATATTGGTATAATTAAGTAAAAATAGTTATATTTTCTGTATTGTGCACATAAAAAAACCATTGCTATAATATTTCTGACCTTAATAGTGGGCCTATTGTATGTCTCTCATAACTATTATTCACTAAAACAGTGGTTGCTATGCAGTTCGCATGATACGAGCTAACAATGCCGAACGAGAAATTTAATGCTAGAAGCTTGGTAATTATACGCGACAGATAAAAGACTTCCCCGCTTCAAGTTGAGCATGTGATTTTCCGTGTCAAAAATAATTACCGGAACTGGAAAGTTAAAATCCCAGATATCTTTACCAAGTAAGATTAGTAAGTCGTTGTCGTCTGAAAATCGGTAAGTAAAATAAAACCTACAATCACACTGAAATTTTTGGCTTCTTTATTTTTTTATTATTTAAAATTTATGTTTAAAAGTTTAAAAAATACTTTTAAAATTACTAAAACATGTTATCTTTCTTTCAAAATTCAATACTTCAAAGAAAGTCCTGCTTGCCATTGCGAAAGATCACTTGCTTTATGACGAACCGAAACACTTGTGGAAAGAAGCCACTTTGCTCACTCTTTCGAGTTGAAATTTAATCAATTTTGTAAAAGATTGATCTCAAAACTGACAAACCTCAAAATACCAGTGGCCAAAATCTACCAAAAATTCACTGCCAACTAGTTATAAATTGCGCACGCTTGATCAGTGCCTAACTAATCATTAAAATATATTATGCAACAAGTGCGGTAAACGGCATTTGACCAATTTATTTGACACGAGCGGAGCGTAGCGGAACGAGTGTTTAATATACGAGTGATTTAAAAAGTTTACCGAACGTGTTGCATACTATACTTTTTCTACGACCGTTTGATTTTGGCTACATTTTCGCAAAACAACACGAACACATTCACTGATATGGCCGTCAGAATTGACAAACGTCAAAATTCAAGGCGTGGGAATTATCTCCGAAAACATCCGATTGCTCTCAAACCCGTGCGGTAAAATCCCGGAAATGTCCGAAGTGGCTCGGTTACGTGGGAAAGTGACGTTTCCCGCACGCTAAATTGCTGTGTAATTAGGCATTTTACTGACGGGAGTAGAAAAAAAATCTAATGTTGTTTTGCATCTCTCGATAAATTTGATTTTTTGAAAATGCCTTTGGGAAGTGAATAGATGTTTCCGACATGCTCGCAAGGGTATGCTGAAACATTAGCATAGAAATGTACTTCATTTAACCGAAATTAACTTATTCGTTAATTAGATGTGCCTTGCCGACATCGTTAACAAGAATAATTTCGATTCGATCGAATTTTCGAAATGGCGGTTTAGGTTTTATTTTTTAACAGTTTATTTTAAAATTTGGAAAATATCTACAAAGATAATGAATGCTTTAACCAGCTGTATGTTATTATACACTAGTAAATTACAGAAATCTTTAAAAGGTGTTAGTGATAACTTACACCGATATAAAATTGATGATATGAACTTTTTTATGAAAAAATTGGTGTCGTTATTTCGTTTCTTTGACAATCAAATTAGAACTTTTTTCACTAATCTCCATTACAATTCTGTTTTTAAATGCTTTAGAATGCCAAAATGGAGGCAATTAAAATACAAGACTCACATTAACGTGACTACACCTTAGCGACTTTCCTTGATTAATAATCAGAGCCACTTAAGATTCAAGCAACTCTCCTAGGTTTTGCCAATAATTAAATCAGAACTACAAGTTTCCGAAAATCGTTTATTATTTGAGATGGTAAATTGCCATAGAATTTTTACAAGTTTAACCATATACACCCTTGTATCAATAAAACCGTAATACTACATCAGTTGCGAAGACACTCGGTCAGAAAAAAGGAAGACAATATTTCACATAATTTAAGGCATTAACAATATTTCATCTATATTTTTATTTTTTGGAACCAACAATAAATAAGAATAATGCGGAGTAACGTCTTTTTTAAATTTGTAAATACTTTTTATTCGATATTCTAAGCTATTTGGATATTATTTCGCTACATTTTTATGAAAAAAAAAATTTTATTAGTGCATTTCCTTTCTTAGAAAATTTAATTACTTAAAATTAATTTTTCAAAAAGTGCGCTTTAGCGACATTGCCAAGAATTTGACATATCACAGGTAAGAATTATCATCTAACACTTTATCGTAATAGATATGTTAAAAACTATCAAACAAATGTCACACTTAAGTAGTAATATTTTTTAACGCAAGTCTCAAGGACGAATAGTTTCAGAACAGTTTCTTTATAACGTTGTACATGTTACAAGTGTTAATAACTGTAAATGGTCAAGTGGTTTTGTTCTAGTTCTAGGAGTTCTACCTTTTCCAAAATTCTTATCGTTATAACAAATCTGGCAGTGTTAGAATAAATACCCATTAGCTTTCAAGTCAAACTACATGATATGGAAAACGATTAAATCGCCGTGAATCTTTAATAAGGTCGAAGGGGTTGCGACATGTTGCGCGACATTATTTTATTATTCACGTCGAAGAAAGCTAAATAAAGGAATTACCTGTAGCGCCGTTGTTAGCACAGGCAAAAAAACTACAGCTTGAGTTTTAATATTCTCAGGGCGAAATCCATCCACAAGTTCCTATGGGTCGTTACGTTCAGATGCGTTATCATGAGCAGGAAATCTCTTTAAAATATTAATAACTTTTTATTGTAAATAACTTTTTTGCTAACCAAACTAACCAAATATCAAAGTCAAACTATTACAAGACATTTAAAAGGTAATGAATATAATATAATATTGCAACACAGTGCTTCCGCAAAAGTTTTTTGTAGCTCAAATTGGAGCAAAAAATTATTAGCCCTTACTTTGGTTTTAGTTTAATTTTTTGTTTCGCTATTTCAAAACTTGCTTACAAATTATAAGTACTAAATCTTGTTTTAAGAACCATAGTGTCTTCGTTATTTTGTTTGAAATCAAATTTCTGATTTATAATGAAACTCTGTAGTGATAGTGAAAAAGTTAACGAACCCAGAGCATCAACAACTATATTTTGCGCATTTTGCTTTTGTCATGATTGCATTTGTTGTAATGGACAAAAAAATAGGAGCATTCTCGGCAAACCACTGGAATAATTAACTTGGAAAAAATCACTGAGTGCAAAAGTGTCAAATGTTTAGATAGATAATTTCTTTTAGAGACCATAGAGACCAGTCCCTCCCTCATTCTTGCAATATTCAACCACAGAGAAGAACATTTAACATGTTTTTCCTATTAGTGATAAGAAAATGAAATTAAATTTAACTATAGGTATTGCAAAATAGCAAAACACATATATTTAAAACAAACATCTTGAATTTGGCGCATAGTCGCACGCTCGAACGGTAAATTAAAAGAAAAATCAATAAATTCACGCAATTTTCATGAAAAGAAATGAGGAAGAACAGAACTCTAAATTACATGCTCAAGCGATATCGCCGAACCTAATACACCACGTATTTAATCCCCTTTATGGACAGGCAGGCAGCCTCGATCTACAGAAATTGTGATGGTGCTTGAAAGGAATCGAATCAGCAACGAATATTAATGAGACAGTTTTTTCGTCTTGTGCTTATTAAATGTTGTATTATGAAGCTAATATTTCTAATTCGAATTCTAATATTTATTCATACTTTTTTACAGTTGCTTTCCTCCATCACAAATACCTACAACTTTACATTTTAAGCACCGTAAGAAATTCACTTCTTGTAATTTTTATAATAAACTTGATTTAAATTAATTTGGCATTTAGTATTACTCAGTGGAATATCCTGGTATACCTTGAATTTTTAGTATTTAATGGTATTCTCCTTTCTTATATATATTTGTATATTGATGAGATTCTATTGTTCCATGTTTGTCCCTTTCTCGTAAATTCAACATTATATACCTAAGTTAATTGGCCAGTTTGAAGAATCTATCGCTCGCATTCAATTTAAATTTTTCCAGACAACGTAGACTCCATCGTTCTAGAGTTTGCTACTTATTGCTTAGTTTAATTAAATACAAAATTAACTTTTGTATCAAAATGAAAAAATAAAGCTGATTTTGTTCTAGTTTCACTACGACTTTCTCCTACCATTTTCAAAACTTTCGTCATTTATTTGCGTACTTATCAGAAAACCACATTTTTCGAGAAGAAATTCGCGAAAGAATGCAGACATTTTATCGTGGCAACAGGTGTATCAAAATAATGTATAATGTAAATGAAACAAATTTTCTTGTTTCTATAAGGATCTATTTCAAACATCTCTTAACCTCTTTAAAAAAATATATTTTCATAATTAAAATTAATTTCTTTCTTTAATTAATTTGGTTAATAGGCTACTTGCATTTTTGCATTCTATTAGTATTCTATTAGTATTCTACCTACACCTACCTAGAATAATGGAAAAGCAATTAAGAGCATTTCTTCATATTCACAGTATTTTCTCCGCGTTTTGGATCTGGTTGTAGTTGTCAATTTTTAAGGCCTATGAGGATAACAAAATTACTGCCTTGGTTTTACTTGATTTTGGCAAAGCCTTTGATATGTCATCCGTCTTAAATAACAGAACACAAAAAGTAAGACTCAACGAATCAACTCTAGGCTTTTTGCCATTAACAAGGAAGTACTAAGTATAGTATTTTAGGTCAATTTCTGTTTGCGATTTTTACATTAGGGTTTTCAACATTCGATCATTACAGTATTGTGATTATCAATTTTTATGTCGATGACAGATTTTCGGCCAAAATTTTGAGAACACCTTACAAACAAGTTAAGCGTTGCATACATTGAAGTAAAATTAGTTTATGGAAGTGGTCACATTGTCTCACAGGATACTAAAACGTTTCTTTGCGATGCTCTGGTAATCACAGTTTAATCATTTTATCATCGTATTCATGCCTTGTCTAGATAATATAGAGAAGCGTTGTATTCTTAATGTTCAAAACTCCTGTTTTACACTGATATTTGGAGTTAGACGTGGAACTCATATTTTACCATATCTGCTTAATCCGGACTGGATGAATATGTTCAATCGATATAAACTTCACGGCCTGTTATTCTATTGTAAAATCATTCAGTATGCGAGACGGCTCTATCTACAAAAATTGGATTTCGGATGGATGTCTCTATTGACGGGGGCCTCCTTATTGTGCCACAGGATCGAAAAAAGCATTTGACAAGATCATTTTCATTAATCATGATCTTTCCTTACTAGACTTTTCACTATCGCTATTTACCCTGAAAAATAAGTTTCAAAATTGTCTTTCGTGTAACCAAAATGCATAATAGCAAGATTTCATTTGGGCAGTAGCAGCATCAGGCTGTACCAGATATCTGACTTTTTTAGCCCTTTGCTACCAAATTTAATTTATTATATAATTTGGTTAATGTCATTGTTAATAATAAATAAAACTACTTATTATTATTATTATAACCATACCAGCCTATCGGTTCGTGTTTTTTTCTTATTCTGAATATTAATAAACAAAGAGAATTCTAGGATCTCCAAGAAAAACGCCCCTAAGTTTACGACCGGTAACCTTTTAAATTTTATATTCCCACTCAACAAGTTTTGGGATATGTATTATGGATGTATGCTTTTATGTAGTAATGTACGGCTCTGTAGGGGCCTCTAGCAAATTTCCCAGTGGTCGCCTGCCCTCTAATTCGCGTTATAAAATATAATGATATTATGCGCTCCAACGTGTTAGCTTTGGTCAAATTACAGCATCGCCGAACATTTGTAAAGCCCCTTTGAATTTTTCAATCAATACGCTATTCAGCATATTTGGAAACAGCAATGATTACTATTTCATTGCAGGAAATTATTTGTGACAAATTAGCGTCATTGACCGCAACAGACTAATTTAATTCAATTGATTAAATTCAATAATGTAGCTGGACGAGTCGGCGAAAAATATACCAGCCTTCAAATTCTGTTATATAGAACACGTACACGTACACGTACTCCCCTGGGAATTATCATTTAATTAAATTTTCTTTTTTGTGCTCTTATTCTCTAAAGAATATTTTATATAGTATTAGATATGTATTATTTAAGTTATTTTTTCTCTAATTGCCTTTAGTTGACATAAAATAGTCTTTTTTTTCTTTCAATACGGTTTCCCGTAAATACGAGAAGCTTTCATAATATGTGCTTCTAAATTTCCATCGCTAGTTAAATCTGCACTCCGATACTTAAGTTGAACCTGTTCTGATTTTCAGATATTGTCATGCATTTAGTCTTGTTGATGTTCACTGTCATGTTTAATCCTCTAGCTTCTTGATTGAACAGGTGATGGTAAAAGGTTAACGAAACGGGATTCTCTCATTCTAATATTTTAGGCAGCTTTTCTATAATGTTAACCATTAGTACATTATATGAGCTGATGGAATCGTCCGATTCCTCAATTTATGTTTAGTTCTTTTGTTGGTGACTGTCCTATTTTTGCATTAGTTCTACAGTGTTGGCTTACATCCGATATTAATTGCACAAAATGGTGGTTCATATTTTTCTCTTTTAATAGTAACGTTACGTATCAGTAAATAACAATCGTCGACAACTTTTACTCGGAGTATTGAGTTTTGCAAATTGTAGCCTTTATTTGTGCACTCTTGTTTATAATAATGAAGGATTTTTCTGTTGAAAGGAATTAAAGTTAATTATGAATCAAAATACATTTGGGCGTTTCTATAAAATAAGTATGACAGTAATATCCAAATAAAGTAAATCCAGTTTATGATATATTAATTTTGGCCACAGTTTTTTTGTTGCTTTTATGTAGTTACCAAATGACGCCAGAGCAAACATTTACAGACTTTGCCACTGATTAAAAATGCTATTAGACCCGGCAATCGCCCCGCAGCTTAATTGAAAGTATCGACTTTCAAATCCGTTCTAAAATATTTGCTCTGGTTTCTCGTTTTAGAGAATTAAAGCATTGTATTGTACGCATCATCGTATTACGGACCACAAATGAAATCAATACAACAAAAATAAAGGCGGATAAATTGAAAATTTAAGAACAAATTAATTGGTAATGGAATCACCAGATTGTCCATGTTTGATAGGCAGCCATGTACACTCTATCAAACATTTTTTTCCTTATCTTTTTAATATAACAATAATTTGTGTCACCACATAAAATATAACTATATATATATATATATATATATATATATATATATATATATATATATATATATATATATATATATATATATATATATATATATATATATATATATATATATATATATATATATATATATATATATATATAATTGAATACAAACTTTTATAAATTACTTGTACACCACTTGTGTACGCTTATAGTACACATTTATAACAAGCAATATTTAAAAAAGAACAAAAAAAATCTTTATCCAGAACAATCTCTGCTTTTCCATAGTAATATTTTGTTTCATATTGGTAATACAAGAAACACACATCTACAGTATCATTCTTAATTAAAAATGATAAAGTATCTGAGAGAATAAATGAACTTTTTAGCTTATATTTAGTTTTGTCAACAAGTAGCACAAAATTGCACTTGCGCCAACTGAATATATCTTCTACCCACCAAAATCATCTGAATTTAGACAGTCTGTATATCTCAGATTCTCATTTGCCGCAAGGTTCTGCAATTGCTGTTACCGATATTGGATGAGCTACATATATAATAATAATACCTTTTGATAATAATAATAATATGCCAAAGAAGATCCGACACGAGGATACGGAATTTGGGGTTCGCCACCACACACGAAACTTGAAGCTGAAAGTGTCAAATATTATTTTAAATAATATAAATAACATTTTAAACAATGTATTATAGAATTTTCGAAGAAGATATTTAATGGGAAAAAGGGGCACGTTTATACAGATACATTAACTTTTTGGACGTATATTTGCGATAATATTCTGAATGCCAAATTAAAAAATAATGAAATTGAGAGACACTAAAAACAAGAATTGTTGATGAATTATTTCTCTGATTCCTACGATTATTAGCTTGTTGAAATATGGTATATTGTTTAGCTAATGAGTTTTCTTCTCTAAATTATCAGAAACTAGCGCAGTAGTTATTTACCACAATAATTTGTTTCAGTTGCTAAAATAAACGAAAGTTGCTTCTTCAACGAACAATGCGAAAATCTCAACCACTTAACGGAGTGTCGTAACAATGTATGTTCCTGTCGCTATCAAAAGGTACCCGTTCTAAAGGACGATGGGGACATCGAATGCACAGGTAATTACAATAAATGAGTAATCCAGAACGAAATCGCAATAAAAGTGGCGTGCAGATGCTAAATGAAATATTTAACGGATTGGCGCAGGCAGACTCCATTGAATTTCGTCGATAGAAAGTGGATTTGCAAACCCCGAAAGGCCTCGGAAACTCGTAATATCCGAACGAAAACCTGAACTTTATTTGTTTGTGCCTTTTTAGTATTCTTTATTTTTCATGTCATAGCGCAATCGTTGGAATGTAAAGTTCCTGATAGTTTTTGTATTTCTGTATTTTGTATTCACATACGCAGAATCACAATACAAGAATATTAAAAAAATGAAATTATTGGGTCATATTGGAGAAAAAAAGATTAATTTCACTCATTCTGTAAAAATGCGAAGACTACGACACTTTTTTCTGTGTACTGTTCTTGAGGGTTGGAAAGCTTAAATTTATGCTAGATTTTAACAAAATTGGAATTATTTTTATGCCCTTTTCATTTTGTGAAAATAATTAGTTGTTTAGTAAATTAAACTCGAATTGAACTACCATAATCTCAACGAAACTGATATTTGGGTAATTTTTACTTAGAAACGTTGTGAGTCAGAAAACAAGTTACTAATGGCACTAATTGTCAGTAACTTTGTAGATTTAGAAACCATGTCGTTTTTCTACTCGAAAATGCGGTTTTGGAGTTGTAATGAAAAGTTAACATTTATCAAAATTTTGATCAACACCGGCAAAAGATCTTCGACACGGTCTTGAACAAAATTTTTTAGCATGTTTCTTATCACAATCGACAAGAAATTAAAGCGCCATTTGTGGCGGTGTGGGTTTATTGATTGTTCCGTTCCGTGTCAAAACTGAACATTGTATGCTTTTTATGGGCTTTACAGTTTGTGCGTGCGATATATTTGTTCTGTTGGGTGCAGTTGCGACACTAAAAATGAGGTTAGCAACTCCCTTGTGGGTTGCCTTTGCATCGTGTGTATCGATGTCCGTAATTGGCAACTTTATCGGCTGGGAATTCACTAGAAACAATCGAAAACAGTTTTTAACCCAATTCCGCGAAAAAATAATCGAATACAGAAAACATTCTTTACAATATTTACAATTTTAATATTAAGTGATTGAGATAAGATTAGGGAATATCAAACCCTGTGGTGAAATACTAAACTAAACTATACTAAATTAGGCAAAATTATAAAACAACCAAGAAAAGAAAATGTCAGTGTCATTCAAGGGTAACAATATTTGTAACCTACCAACTAACAACGAAGTGTAAAATAAAGAAGTAATAAATTCTTACCCACCTTTTTTGTGCGCATCTCGATTTATTTGCTGGCCACATTTTACTGTGGAGTGAAATAATTACCCCTTAGCTGATCATGCATATTTGATTTCTTAATAACTTGGAATAAGCGCCTACCGCACATTTATTAAAATCGATATTAAATATGTTCGGTATTACGACTTATACGTGCTAAAAAGGGCGTTTCCGGTAATCTACATCATTTACTACATCGTAGACCAGTGGTTCCTCGAATACGTTTGTTTTAGATCCCAGCCCGACCGATCTAGATTCGTTCGTCTCTGTCACGGATCCACCTAAATAGAGCACAAGTCAGCCTCCACAGTGACCGGGCTATTTTATTTTTAATTTCAATTTTTCACTTGTTTTGTAGTTAGTTTAGTTTTTAGTTGAATGTTAGTTTACTTTCATCCCTTAATCAAAACCGTTGATCAACAAATTTGGGTAGTGATTTTTTGTTATTTTTTCCGTATTTAATATTTATTAAAATTTTCGGGCGACTTATGGTATGTTTACCAGTTTTTAAGTTTCTCAAAATGGAATAATTTGATTTTTCAGCTTTTCATAAATTTTGCACCGAAATTTCACAAATTTGTTCTAAAAATAATATGCAGAGTGTATCAACATATTGTATTAACTTTGAAAATCAGTGTAATAAGGTTTATTTTTTAAAAATTGCAATTGTTTTCATGCGTAAATACAAATTCTACTACTACGCAGAATTTTCTTTGAGCAAATAGCAAGTAGCAATTAAATGTTACAATAATTCAGTTGAAATAAAATGAACTATTTAAAGAAGTGTGAAATTAATAAAAAAAATTATATGCCAAGATAAAGACATCGAAAATCGCCTCAAATTGTTTTTTACTATTATATATTTAGTCACCTTTGGCTCTTGTCGTTTTAAATTATTTGATCACAAAATACAGGATAGTATCCAGTTAGCTGCTGTCACCTGAAAAACTGCAATTTTATTAGTGTCCATTAGTTAACCAAACTTTATTCTTTCCCATAGGTAAAAATGTTTTGAATAAGATTAAGCATTTAGAAAAATGTTCATTTTCGGTGAGAACGAAATGGGTACTGAAGTTATAATTTTTTTTCAAGAAAAGGATAGCCTCATATATTCTGGGTCATAACAATTTAAATATAAACAGAATAAATTTCGGCAATTTTCCGTGTAATGTAGATTTTTAATTCGTTCCCGTAATACTGGATTATATCGAGATCTAAAACTATAAAATCGTTTGCGACCAGACCAAGTTTCGAGTTTATATTCCCAGCACGATTTCAATTGGCGCTGCGGCGACAATCAGCTTATATGCGACAGTAAATATATTTGAAAGTTTGATAATAAAACCGTTTACTCTAAACGGATAACTCGTCCAAAATCTGTAGGGATCAATGATTTTCTCGCGCTAAAATGATTTAAGAGGCTTCTTGCCTTTCGCGCGATCCACGGTTGTTTTTTATCGTGGAAAGAGCATTTACGTGTACGAAGTAATGCAACTCCATTAAATAAATGCAGAAGGATAAAGTGACTCTAAAATGAAACTTGTGTTTTTTAGATGTTAAGACAACGTACACGCCTGAAAGATATGTGGATCCAGCTATGATTGGAATATTAGTGGCAATGTTCCTGATGTTTATAACTATATGTGTTGTACTTCGCCTATTTAGCAAGTTTGTATCCAATAATATTGTATTAGAAAATTTATTTGATCTACTCCGTTGAAGTTTGTTACTTGAGGGCCTAGTTTTTAAACATTCTAATTCCAGGGCCAGATGGAGAGAAAACAGAACAATCTTTAATACGCCTAACCCGAGGTTAATGAATGCCTCTTTACTGAGAGACAGCAAACTTGCCCATCATGATAGAAGAGGATCTAAAACGTCTAAAGCTAGTGGAGACGCTAGCAGGCCAGCAAGTATGACTTCTCTACAGTTACAGTCTCCCAATAGCCATGGTAATCTTTGTTAGGCTTGCGCTATGTAGAGGTAGCCGTTTCAAAACTATCGTCAAGTAGCTTACACAAAAGTATACTTACACAAAACATCATTTTCCTAGAGCTTCCTTATTTAAAATACTGAATTGCGAATGAATAGCGTTTTTTTCTATAAACACGCATGTGAAATTATTTTAAATTTGGCTAGACTTTGATACTGCAGTAATACCTCCAACAGAAATTTGTTTTCGTTTCAGGGAGAACTGAATCTAGACTTAGTGATAACGTAGACGAAGCACCCGCAAAAACTGAAAGCAATACAAATGTCGCCGTCGAAATTCAAGTTCAAAAAGCTTGAGTAATGAATCTTTTAATCTTTCCGAAGTGGTGTTTGGGACCACACGTACAAAATAAGCCAATCATCACGAATAAACTATACTATAAATATATACAAGAATTTAGGCGCTTAGGCGATAAATCAAAAACCTTTGTTTATCAAAAAGTAGCTTCTTCATCATACATAGGCACAATTTTGAATTTACTTCACATTACCACTTTCCAGAATTAGCGTGTATTTATACAAAAACTGGTGGTAGGCAAAATAGTGGGAAAATTTTGTGATACTACCAATCTGAGCTGTGATTTGATGTTCTTAGCTTATCTGAATAGCGAGCGGTGGCAAAGTAATGGGAAAACTTTTTCACCGTTTCATTTTTAGGACCATTAATTACTCGGCCGATTTGCTCACACTAACTCGTCTTCTACTATTTATACACCTCGTTGGGAGTTATTAATGAAACTACGCTTGCTTTTTGTATATACCTAAATTTATATTTATTGAGGTAGCTTATACTCTTTTTACTATAATGTAGTATTATTCAAAGGTTGTCACTCAATAAATATTAGTAAAGAGTTTGTTTTTCTTCTCCAAAAGCTTATGGGGAGTGAAAATTAATTGTTTGTTTTTTTCCTTCCTCCATAATCTTGCTTGCCTCTCTCCCTTCCTAAACACAACCAGGTATCCTCATTGCCGTTTAGAATAATATGAGGCCTTGCCATGAGCTTAATAAATAGTGTTAATTAGTTCTTTACTAGATAAATTCAAAATTAATAGTTCAAAGGTTCACTTAATAAGTTAATTATTATGGGTATTATTTGTTTCGACTTTATTATATTTATTACTTAGACAATAGTCCAATCACCCCTCCCACCCAAAAACTGTCGTATTTCCAAAAAGAAGTTTTTCAATTTAACTGCCAAAGATTCCGTTTAATAATGATGTTGCTATTTAAAATTGTAAAAAAGAAGCATAATATTCACACAAATAGCACCCCAGAAAAAAAATTAACTGTTTACGAATGGAAACTCTGAAGGCTTTAAAATTTGTCCCATTTCCTCGTTTCACCATTGTTGGGTAGATACGAGTGATGCCATAACAGCCAAAAAATGTTGTGTTTTAGAATTCTGTCTAATTCTATTAAAAAAACACACAAAACAATTTAACTTAAACATACAAAATGAAAATACCAAATTTCAAATGAATATTTTACGCATTGTAGTAAAATTCAACATCCAGGTTAATACAAATATTGGTTCATTTGAAACTAATGTTTTTTGAGTTTCTAAGATTATATCAAATGTTATACTAAATGTGGTAACAATTCCTTACAAATACTTTTTTTCGATTATCGTTTTTTTTTTCAATTTTTGGAATCTCAAGTGTCCCAAAGTTCAGACTCATTTTAAAAATTTCAATGCCTAATTTTCGTTCGTTTTTCTTCTACAAAACGGAATATGTAACGACTCTTGTTTACAGGATGGGAAACATAGACCTACAAGTACTTTTTATAAAATTAAATAAATTCAGTTTAATTTAACCACTAAGTTAAAGTTAATTCATCCATCACTGGTATAATACCTTTGAAGAAAGATCGTAAATGATACGAGTTTTATTGCTCGCGCTGTCCGTCCTTGTACCCATTGTGTATTTTGTATTATCGGATACAACTTTGAAGGATGTAAACTTCTATGCTTATTCTATGCACCAATTTTATTTTTGTTGGCCAATGGTTCCATAAGGCTCAAGCAATACATGAAGGATGAAAGCCTTATGTTACGAGTTTATAAGTGCGATTTAGTTTTTGCGATTTTAAAATATGGACTTTAAACTTTTTAATTTTGTAACTTAAGTAAGTTACTGTATAATTTTAAAAGTAGCATATTGTTAAGCAGTCACATTTCGTTTTTGTTACAAAATTATGACATTTTGAAATATGTAGAAATTTCGGTCCAGTTTCTCTCCAAATGTGATTTTAATTCGCATAGCAGAGCATCTTTAGTCGAAACTATTCTATAGAGTAAATTAATACTTACTTGTAAATAATTTTTTTTTGTATTACAGTATTACATTGTTTAAGTTATTACAAGTGGTCTGTCCAGAACCGAAACAGAACTCCTACTTCAGTGATTTTAATATCCATTAACTTACTGCCCATATAAAGTATTAGTGTGTTTTTTTTATCGAATAATGTCGCCTGGCTTCTCTTCTATTACATGCTAACGACTTAATTACAAAAGTGGTGTGCCCTTTCCAGAGCTTTTGACTCCCTAACTAACCAAAACTACCATATTTTAGAGGATCAAGCGCTTCCTTTGTTTTAAGCATATCTATGCAGGCTCTACAAGCTGAGTAGTGGTGTATCGAATTTAAGAAATGTGGGATGTGGTGTACCTCAGGGTTTTGCCCCCTTTTGTGACTTGGTAAAGGTTGCCTGATTTGCAATAAACACCAATAAACATATTTTTGGACGATCTCGTATTGTTCAATATTTTACTATAGTTCGCTAACGATATACCGTTTTTACGACGTAATTCGGCAGGCCTACGTCGCTTGGCTCAGTAAATAGATTTCCAATTCCACAATGACGTTCCAAATGCTGAAAGCAGACAGATTTCTGTAGAGTTTCATCAGTGAGATTCCTTGATTATTATTAGTCCAGACAGTGAAAAATCCATTCTTACTTTAAAATGTTTAGTATAAATATAAATGAACGAGTAAATTTAGCTATAAAAGAATGTTAGAATATTTATAAAAAAAAGTTATTCTACATCAAAATAATCATTATCGTCACTAGACTCGTCCCCCACATTAATAATTAATTCTGGAACTAGTCGATTTCTGTAAACATTTTCTTCTTCGATGACATGTTCTACACATTTTTTCCGACTAGAAGCAGATACTTTTTCTAGTTGACTTCTATTGCCCCAGAACTAAATTTCGGCGAGGTGTTGTTTCTTCTTAAACTGGTTTTCAGATATCCCCATATCAGTTCTTTGCGCTTAAAATTGCAGTGATATAATAGAAGACGTGCAACTTGAATGACTTCTTTAGTCTATGATGAATTCGATATTTTTTCCGCTTGTGTAGAAAGGGAGCAGGCCTTGTCCATCACAACAACACTGTTTGGTGGAAACTGGGAATCAGTTTTCAGAAACCATCATGTTTTCATGGTAGTCAACCTTTGATTCTTTGACAACTTTTGCAGAAAGCAACATAGCTTTATCTACCCAACCAGCTTCGGGGCCCGCATAGAGTTTGATAATTCATTTGCACCGCGAAACTGGCACATCCCACGAACATTTCCTTGTCACCGTCAGTTCATCCTTTCTTGACGGTATCTTGGTTATCAAACCAGGTCTCATCTAAATATACGATTGGAACCTTTTTAGCACGAATTTCTTGGATTTATCTCAAATGTCTTCTCCTCCACTCCGAAGTTCTTCTTGATTCCATCAACACTTGTCTCTTATTGATGTTTTTTTAATAAAAACTAATTCTACGTACGAACGCACGCAAAGTCTCTTAGCAACAGTCCATGTTCAAAACACTACGCAACTCTTCATGTCAAGTTTTAATTGATAAACAATAAATTGTAATAAAGTTTACATGGTACTTCAATAAAAATGACACACTGAGTCGTGAAAAACAAATAAATAACAGTAAGTGGGTAATTACTAATTACAAACACAAAACGGAATAGAAATAACTCTGATGCTAAGAAAAAACTATGTCATAAAACTGACAGTATACTTCGGTTTCACCAGCCCCCACAAATCAACCGATAGCAAAGTGGGAAAACATGCATTAAAAAATCAATTATCTATATAAGATTTTGTATTGCTTTCCTAGAAAAATATTTTAGTGTCATTACGTTAAACCCTTAAAGTCGAAATCAGTTTAAACTTTCTAATGTGTTTTTAATATAGGAGATCAACGTATCTAATGGGTAAATTCAACTTGACATCGAGCTAAGTTAATTAGATACTATTATAAGAAGATTTATAAAAAGCACACTTTAATTAATGTCACAGTTTAATCAAAGAAAATTTCACTACTCTTAAGAAACAACAGTCCGCACGGCATAGTTCTTGTCGGCTAACATCTTAAATACCGCACTGGCTTGTGGTAGACGTGCTGCAGAGAATGGTCCCTTCCGCTTTACAACAGGCGGTTCTTAAAGTCATTCCGAAGTCGAAACCATAATAACGGTATATCGAATAACTACCTCAGTATTTGTTAATGGCATAAAAAAATATGATAAAGTATCACAAAAAGTTAAGAAACGTTTGGAAATGTCATCGTCCCTTTATACCAAAAATAAGTGCATATTTCTAAAGAAAATAGATACACGTTTGTTTAGTTAGATTAATATATGATCATTGCGATTTCTGCAGTTTTTTTATATTTTATAAGTAATTTTATTATATTATTAAAACATTTTTGCAGGTATAGTAAGCTTAATGTTGGATAGCTGTTTCTTAAGCAATCAGAAAGAGATTTGACTGCTCGGCCTCGTTTGCCGGATGGACAATCGGCTATTTAAAAATATTTAAGCTCGGTGAGATTTAGATCTGCGGTGAATCGGTTATCCATAATTCTACAGGAAACTGGATACTACTAACACTCCAAATGTTTAATAACATAAACGAATAACACGTTATTAACAATAATAATATCAAAAACTACTAAAAATAAATTTATAAATCTTTTCTTTTGAATAAACTAATATAGTTCAAAACAATGACAACAAACTAATATAGTTTCGAATAATTAAATAGATTTTACGTTATCATCTAATAGTTTTCTCCTAGGACGGGCTTCTTTCTGGGGTATTAGATTCCCATTAATCGCCGCGTGATCGATAATTGGTTGGCTGATGGATAATTCAGCTTCCGCTTTGTATTTGTATTCTTTGAGCACACGATCTAACACCGATACCACTTCATCGACATTTTCTTTAGTGAACACCATCGGAGGTTTGAACTTGATGATGTTGCACTCCGGCCCGTCGGCGCTGACCAAAATATGTTCCTCTCGCATTCTAAAAGTCGATCGAATTAGAATTAGAATTTTCCGGGACGTTCGACATCACCCTCGATTTCAATTACCTCTGAAGCACAAAATCAGCACACTCTTTGTTTGCCTCCCTCGTTATCGGGTCCTTAATTAAATCAATACCGACGAATAGACCGACTCCACGAACGTTCCCTATATATTTGTGTTTCTTCGACAGTATGTGGCAGCAGTCTAATAAATATTCGCCCACGATTAAGGCATGTTCTCTCATATTTTGCTTAACTAGCACATCCAGTACGGCATTGGCAATGGCGCAGGATACCGGGTTGCCTCCATACTGTAAATAGACAATAGACAATAAATTTTTTTCTTCTAAAAAAAATACTTGTATGTAGTTACACATACGAGTTTCCAAGTTACATCTCTTGAACAATAAGTGCAAAGAAAAATTATGATGCGCTTTCATCACAAATTAAATTTTCTGGAAACAATAACCTATATAAAAAGGGAAAAGGAAATAGATTGTACCACATAGATAGAAAAAAATGTTCAATTTATTCTGATTAGAACAAACTTAAAATCAAGAGAAGATAGAATAAAAAAAGATAAAATAAAGCCACTTTGTTCTTATAATCATAAAAAGTAAGAGCGATTTAGAAAATACACGAAGAGAAAATGTAATAATCATTCACTAATTAAACTAATGTTAGGAATAAGATCCAAACAATTCACAAAATTATCAACGTTGATAGCTCCGTTTTTTTGATCAGTCCTTGGCCATATTTCAGTTAAAGTGGCTTAAAACTAAATACCTGTGTCAATTTTTGCCAGCAATTATTGTATTAAAGGTTACAAAATAATCTTGAAGGATCGTTTAGTCTTTCGGTATGAAATTCGCAGTGCTCTTCTACGGACGAAAAATATTCTGGATATACTACCCCAACATAATTCTTATAAATTTCAACTCTGTTTTAGCTATCGTGCGATTAAACTTATTCAAATTAAATTTTCTTAGGAACAAAACTAAGGTTCAATTTGTTGATTTACAACAGTCTCTGTCCTAAATAAATTATAATTCTAGCGATAATGAAGTTTTGTTTGTTCATGCAATATTCGAAAAAGAGTTAATGTTGAGTAGCTGAGATTAAGGCAATTTGGTCAAAAACTTTCAAAGTCAAAGTAAAAATATCTCAATAAGGTTCATTATTATTATTATTATTAATATTATTATTATTATTATTATTATTATATTAAATGACTCAAAGAAAATATGCAAAAAATGAAAGATTTCACTGAAACCTACCCAGTACGACACTTCACGGAAGGGCGGTTTTAAGTATCTTTATCAACATTTTTTTCCCGATTAATGTTTCGCAAATAATCAAAAACAATTTCCATTAGCACAAAACATTGCTAGAGTTTGTGCACGGTTTGGTGTAAGAAAATTAAAAAAAAAACGAAGATGAATAGGCTTAAACTTTTGGCCCTATACGAAATCCATATTTTGTTAAATTACGATTTTAGAATTCAGTAGGTGGCAGAAATAGTTCATATTAAGAGAGTTTCGAAAACGAGTTCTAAGCAACAGAGAAACCTCAATAATGTGGGACATGACCCTAAGCTGAGGACCAAAGAAAAATGTACCTATCATTGTACTAACCGTGTTAAAGTATTCGACTCCTGTTTTAAAGAAATTATCAGCTATTTCTCTCGTTGTTACAACACACGCGACTGGATGGCCGTTACCCATTGATTTTCCCATCGTCACAATGTCAGGCTCGACATCGTACTCCTGGAAAGCCCACCAGTGTTTTCCGATTCTCCCAAAACCGACTTGAACTTCGTCGGCGATGCAGACGCCTCCAGCTTTTCGCACGTGTTCGTACACTTTCTTGAAATAATTTTTGGGCGGTATAACTTGACCACCGCAACTCAAAAAACTTTCCGCTATAAAAGCCGCAACCTTTTTGTTTTTGCTCACGACTTTGTTGCATAGGTTGTTCACCTCCTCAGCGTAAATATGGCCTAGTTCTTCTGGGGAGTAATCGGTATCGCGGTATTTTCCGCGATAAGAGTCGGGACACGGAGCCTGAAAATGTTTTATAAATATATTTTCACCCGAATATTATCTACCTTCATATACATTACAAGTCAATAAATCAGAATGACTAAAAATGGAACCAAATTTTTCACATCAAGCAAAACTTAAAAGTATCTTTTCACACTAATAGTTTACAGTATCGATTAAATGTCACAACATATTTTAAAAAACAAATTAAGGAATTTATTCTTAATTTTTTACTAAAATATAACTGGAAAACAAGAAAGGGGTCACAAAATTACTTCAAATGTTAAGAGTATGAGAGGGTTAGCACAGTATCACATAGACTAATCATAATTACAAAATCATAAAATAATCATCATAAATCATAACATAGAGAATAGATTCAAATGTTATCACAAATATTTGAGAAAAAAATATTTTAAATATGTTTTAAATTTAAATTCTATCCGAGATTAGAAAAAAAATCCAAAACTTAATTAACTTTAATTTAATGCATTTAATTTTATGGTAAAATGTAAAGCATTGTTAATAATGTGAAGTCATATTAATAAATCCTAAGAATTAAAATTAAACGTTAAGAATTGAACTGAGGTGGCTTTTACTTGATGAAAATCCATTTATCAAAATAAATAAGAACAAAAAGTTCAGATTTTCACGAAATTATATATTTTTACATGACAATTGTTTCGACAACACCGTGTCTTTATCAAACATTTGATAAAGACACGGTGTTGTCGAAACAATTGTCATGTCAAAATATATAATTTTGTGAAAATCTGAACTTTTAGTTATTATTTATTTTGTTAAACTTTAAGCTTTAAAACTTGTTGCCAACTATGTTAATATTATTTCAAGGAGATTTTTAATTAAATTATGATTCGTAATTTATAAGAACATCTTTAATTTAAAAAATTATACATTTAAAATTTCGCACTCCAAACATCAAAAATTCATAAAATCCCTATGACGTTATTTAGGAGTGACCTCAAACAATTTTCGAATACCGCACTGTTATTGACCTTAAAAGTATAGATCAATTTAACAGATGAGAATTAACTCTAAGAAAATCAAATTTCCCAATAAATTTTGTTTCGTTGCGGTTTCAAAAAGTTTTTGTCAACGATACGATGTGAACCAATTCCGAAATCGAAAGAACTTCCCAATGAAGGTTTGCTCATCAAAACGATATTTAATAAACGATCCAAATTTTCATTTCAGTGCGCCGAATAGATCTTTCGTAAATCTTGTGATTTGGAAATTTAGTAACCAGCCGTCCCAAATATTGAATTATGACGTAAACTGTTGACGCATGGTACTCTCATTCAGTAGAGGATTAATAGTAAACTTACCACATGAACATGGTCTTTTTTCCCATCGACCAGATGACTAAATTTGTAATGGGAAATATCAATCAGGGAATTCAAATGTCCATGGTAAGCGCTAAAATAATATCATCATGGTATCTTTCGCCCAATACGAAGCAAACCATTAATTATTGAGAGATTATTTTAATATCAGTGGAGAAATGTCTTTGCTTATCATATGATTTTTTTAAATTTATTGCGCGCAATATCTTATAGAAAATCGTGCCTAAAGTGGATAGGCGTATTATTAACATAAAATCCTCGTGATTTTAAAGATACAAAACAGGTGATTAAATAAATTACTTGTTTTACTATTGTTTCGCGTAATAGCAAACGCCGCAATGCAAATTAGCCAAGTCTGGCTGATATCTTATCAAAATTGCTTCTAGAAGTTCACTGCGTGCTCTAATTCAATAATTACAAAGCTTGGCCTTTGAATAAATAATATGAGCAATTAACGTATTGAAAAGTTTCTCAAATCTTAAACATGGATCTCGGTGAAGAAAAATAATTTTAATCATAATTTATATCATTTTATATTTTATATTATTAATTCCTTAGCTCCATTATTTACTGTTTAGTGTTGTACATGTGGGTTCTTTATTAGTGTTAGATACCTTGTAACACGAGAAAGGGGAAACACTATATAATTATTAAACGGTATAAGATAGCGACTTGAAATTTGTAAAGTTCAATGTGCTCAATATTGAAAATTAACTTCCGGTTTGAACGGAAACGACGGTAACTTAACTAAATAAGTTTTTTGCTAGGTTTTCGAAAATAAATTCCGGTGGCTTAATTTTCTTCTTGACTCTATACGTTAAGCTTTAATTTCTGTCAAATAATCACTTCGTTTGCAGGAATAATAAAACTAATAAATCTTGGACCGAGACGTTTCTCCTATTAATTAATCATACAAAAACACATAACGACAATTTTTTGTATTAATTAATTTATTATTAATTAATCATAAAAAACACATAATGACAGCGCTTTTGAGTCCTGCAGACGAAAAGTAAACATTTTTCTGTGTCTAAACAAACCAAACCACTTAAGTTAGTTTGTTTTTAATGAAAATGTTTTAGAAAATATCAAAGAACATATTATACATATCCTATCGCATTAACTTTTTGAATTTTCTCAATAATACTTTACCAAAAACAAATCCTCCACTGATCTCAAATTCAAGTATGCCTTCGTCGGGAGACGTCTATTTCGTACAAAGTGAAATCAAGTCTTAGATAACATTGAAGCACCGAGGAAAATAACCGAAACTTCAGAGTACTTACTGTTCCAATGCAATAATGTCCTCGTTCCCCGTATGCGTCTTGGCAAGCCGTATTGCCAAGTCGTTAGCTTCGGATCCTGAGTTTACAAAGAAACAAACGGTAAGATTATTTGTGAGGGTGCTCACGATTTTTTGAGCACACAGCACGATATTGTCATGCAAGAATCGGCTGTTGGTATTCAGTGAGGTCATTTGGTCCACAGCAGCATTGACCACAACGGGATTGCAGTGGCCCACTGAAATAAATAATACGTAGTTATTGCTGTTATCATCATTGTCTTTTCTCACCGTGTGCTACGTTGTTAATGCAATCTAGATAAGAACTTCCCCTTTCGTCGTACATATATTGGTCCTTGGCCTTGATTATTTTTAGTGGATCCTTTCGGAAAAATAATTGAGTCGACGGTCTGTAAATTCGTAACAAAATAATATAAAATAGGTTATATAATCAGCATTCAAAAACTAAATTTTCGTATATTTTAATAAATAAATTACACAATTTATAAATTAACTATCTTCAGATCTTGTTTGACGCGGTCGTTTAATTATATGAACGGAAAGTTTTACCGAAGACTCGTGTTAAAGTTCATTGTAATATTATCACTGTTTTCCAACACAAGCATAAATTTTAATTACCTATTTAAAAAAGGCAATGCATTCATGATACTGCTATCATTTAATGCAATGTTGAATATTTCGGTGAAAAAACGAATATCCTTTTGTTGAATCTGTTTAAAGCTTGATTAGATATATGTATGTACAGAATATTAATAAACAATTGCATTAAATGCTTTTAAAAATAGCCCACGCTACGTTTTACTGCAAATAATAATATTTACAAAATACATTGCTATAGTACTCGTGGCGTTGATATCCCTCTGTTGCTAAGAAGTAGCTGTGTGTAACGTGCAAGCTTTAACGACGAACTACGAACGACTATTAATTTTATTTAAATTGTAACAATAAGTTTAAATACATCTGAATTGAACTGCACAAATTCCAATGGATTTTGCTGATTTTGAAATATTCTTAATACAACGATAAATACTTAAAAGCATTGTTCATCTGTTCGATTTATAGTTTATGTAAAAGGTGGATTTCAATAAACGCTCATTTATGCAACGAGCTCTAAAAATATATAGTTGTATTGCATAGAATCTGGTAAATTTTCTTTGCGTTGGTCCATTAAGAAATTATTTATTAAATTCGATAACTGGACTAACAGTCCCTTGAATATATGAATAATCATTGCAACTGCAATTGCAAAGGACCTGGGACCCTAACGGCATCCTGAAAATTCTAATCTGTGTGAGTCACAGTATACCATCTGTATTTTGTGAATTTGTAAGACAACAAAATTAAAAAAAAATCACTATTTTAAGACAGTTTACTTCTAATTAATGTATTTGGTAGTAAAACATTTACTTCCTAATATTCCAAAGTTAAAATTACGTTTCGACATTTTGTAATATTTTAGTTTTTAATACCATGTCTAAAACTGCTATGCTAGATCGTGGGCATAAAATTGTATTACAAGTAGCAACAACTTTTTTTGTTTTTTGGACATATTTCAAAGAAATTATTTTTACGGCGGATAAGCGAATGTATATAATTCTATTTTTCATCCTGTGGACTATTAATACCCAAACTCAAGGTAAATTTAAATTTATAATTCAAAATTTCCAGTGCCTAAAGTATGATGCTGGTTTTCTGAAAGAAACACACCTACCTACCTACATAGAAATGTTTTTATTTTACTGATTTAAAAAAAAAATAAAAAATCTGTTATATCATTTATTGGATTAGTATTTCATGCTATATCGATATAAACAAATCTAACCAACAAAATAACTAGATAAATAACTGGCTAAATAACATTAATTAAATATAATTTTAATTTAATTGAATATTATATAGTAACTAAAAGCTAATCAGTTTAGCTTCTATCTTCCTTTCTCAATTTTGATGTTAAAACACTTTTTAACCCAAAAATGTAATATAAAATATATGTGCTGAAAAACAGTAACTTCAACTCAAATTAATCAAAATGATTTTTAATATTATTTAGTTAAACTCATATGGCGAAAAATCATTAATCATTAACCAAAACACCTGAAGAACACCCTCGTTCTATCTTAAATCAAATTAACAATACGTACAATATCAAGGCGGAAGAATATGTGTTTGTTTCTCTTACCCAATTAGCTGTTGTCGAAGCGCGAGGGTTTGACGCTTTGGAAGTTGCTCCATTTCAGAGCACAGGAAATGACTACTAGTAGTGCCTTTAGGACTAAAGCGAAAGTGAAGTCAACACAAAAATCTTAATTATTTATATGTTAACTGCGCACGCATTTGGGCAATTTTCTTAATACATTTGTGCTATTAAGATAATGCTTGTGATAACATATCCAATAAAGCAAATCATTCACGTGCCATAAGAGTACGTTTGGGATATTGTTTACGAAACATGATAACGTCCTTACTGGTTATTTGTGGTTTTAGTTTGTGTAATTGCCATTTACAACATTAAACAAGATGTCACAATTACACGAAACAGTTTTGAGACCGCAAATAATTAACCCCAGATTAAAAGTGGTCATCGGTTTGTCAGTGCGTCATATAAAGCACGCCCACACTATTCAACAATCCTACTCTATTCGTGACCCCGATGTCAAAATTATTCTGACAAATATAAATTTAAAGTTTTTCAATTAGAGCGGAATAAAAAGTGAATATAACGAACATAGGGGGACACTATTTCCCATAATAATATTTCACTTTAACTTCCGAAGAATGGCTGTTCCCCTTTGTTCCTTTGGATCAGCTAAGTTATATCTGGATAACTTTAATTATGTGATGCTTAAGTATAAAACTTATTTTGTAATTAAAGTTTGGTACAAACAATAGGTAACAAAATTTTTGAAACGTGTTATGATAGATCAACAAAATTTCTGATAAGTGAGTTCTATTTTTAACAAAATATTTAAAAACTGTTGCTACTAAATCCAACTAAGAGAGATATAATAAGGAGAGATGGTTTTAAACTATGAAACAAATTACGGTGGTAACAGAATCCCTGAAAATATTTTCTTAATAATAAAACATTGATCTGAGGTTATTTCTTGTAGGAATAGTTGTAATTGGGACCAGACAATTGCTTGTGACGGTGCTAATAAAATGAGACGAATAAAGAAAAATCAGAAGCAATCTGTATAATATCTCTTAAGAACTCGGTCGACAATTCCTTGTGATTAAGTGTAATGTATACGAAAAATACAGGATAAGACCCATTGTTCCTTCTAAGACAACGCAAGTCCCCTGTATGTTTATACGAAACTTATTTTTGCAGTAAAACATCTTAGTTTTATTTATACTATATTTTCGATTTATTTTTTTGACCTGTGTATTTATTTAACAAATGTGTGGAAGGAATTCTTTTGTCTAGTAAGCTATTGTCATTTAAATATTACAATAATATGTATTAACAGTAAATACGATTTAATACGATATCACCTAAATCCCGATAACCGAGTAACTAACATTTAAAATTTTCCGCTTAATTATGTGTTATCGCTTTAACGGCAAAGGTCCGTTTAATTATTTCCTTATTTTTTATATAGCAGCTGGGTATCGGGTGTTTGCTTGAAGCGTCAATTTTTATGTCCTCAATTATTATTTCAGATGAAGTTTATTAAACTTTGAACAACTTATCACGTACAAATTGAAAAATATCTATTTTTTGTTGTATCAGAGATACTTGCAGTTAGAAATTTAGGCCAAGGTTGAAATCATATTTCAGAAAATACTATAGAGACACTTTATATGTGGAAATTTTAAATTTAAATAGATAAAAGGATATGTTCAATTTTCCCTCTATTACCTTCAGGAAGCATTAAACCACTCTTACGTATATATAACGTGTTTTATTTTCTTTGAATATGGTAGATAATTTTTGTTTTAAAACTAAAAGACCTTCTAACTCATATTTTACTTAATGAAACAGCGTTTTAGACAGTCATTACATCCCTTAGTTTTTGTCCAAAGTAGAGCTTCATATTTGTAATTTTACCACTTGGTATAAAAATGGTGAGATATTATAGATTATACTCCTTTTTCGTAAAACCGGTAACAACGCATCTATAAATTTTTGTCGCTTTTTTAAATAACCACACTTATAGAATGGTCCTGTGTCGCATTTCGGTGAGTTCGATCCTCCCCCTCTAAATTTTGTATGAAATACTATATTTACAGGCTCTGAAGTAACTACTATTTTTTTTTATAAAAAAGTTTATTCTTTAAACTTTTTTGGATTAATTTTGGCGACTATTAATTAACAAAGGATGTACAAAAATTAAAATTAAAATTGAGAAAACCTCATATTATAAAATCAGATTACGATGGTTGGCACTCCAAAGATTAAATAACGTTTTTATTTTATTATAGCCACTTTAATTAGTAGAAAAAGATCTCACCCTAAATAATAATGACTAACTTTTTATGAGTACTCCTTAACTATTTATTATTATTTATCTTTATCTACTATATTATAACTTTTCACAATTATTTTTTCTTATCGTCTCCTTCTTTTTTTCCGAATAAGGTAATGCGTCAATATAAACTGACCGCGCCCCTATGAATGTTCCTGGTTACAAATGTTTAACTAGTAGTAGATTACAGTCGGTTTTAAAAAATAATATTAACCTAAATTATTAAATTTTGGATGTCCAACAATTTTGCCCTGAAAATGACTGTAAATTTTGCGCCACCTATCAAACTATCCATATTGACGGTTTATCGCTCTCTGAGTGGTAATTTTATAAAATTTATGCACAGTTTAGAAAGTGTAATCAACAATATTTATCGAACAGGTGTACAGATGGTTGTTTTGGATGATTTTAATATTTCTAGCTCTAGATTGGATGATTTTCTATGGCTAATTCGCCAGTTTGTAGCCTACTATTCGGGAACCCACCAGAGTGGAAAATGACTGCGCTAATTGCTTAGATAATATTATTACCAACATAGACAAATATCGGTTTTACACTAAGGTAACTAACGGATCCTTGTTTGTCGGATCATAAGGCCTAGACTATTCATATTGAGTCTAATAATCATAATTTGAAATTTTCGAATAATAAAATAGTGTCGACAGTACTTTAGAAAAAAATTTTGAAAAATTTAATAGGTATCTTCAATCATCAATTACATTAAATTATAATACCATTGGCACCAACGTTAACGATTTGGCATTTTCCTTGGTGAAGAACATCAGGAAAGAGGCGTTACTGTGTTTTCCTTTGATAAGAAAGACATTCAAACCTAAATCTCCAAATATCAAAATGAAATAAGAAATACAAGAAAACGTTCTTATACAAATTATTTACAGTTATCCATAAATAAAAGCAGGTAAATATAACTTTACGAAAGATTTATCCTCTGACCAACTCAAAATATTTTTTACTACTGTGGCGCATAAAATATTAGAATCTTTGGATTGCTAGGCTATCTAAGTTATAACTTGATCAAACCTAAATGGTCATTCAAATTTTCTCTGGTTTCTTCACTTGAGGTCGAGCAGGTCAAATTGTCTTTGAATAATTCAAAAGCTCTAAAGTTTTATTGTTTGAACAGTAGGATTATTAAAGAATGCTGCAATGTAATAGTGACAACAGAAATAGATGTTTCCTCACTGGAATATATCCGGACGTTTTTAAAATATCTAAACCTGTGCCAATCTATAAGAAAGGTGAAATATCTGATCCTAATAATTACCGACCCGTATCAATTATCCCAGTAGTTTCCAAATTTTAGAAAAAGATATGTATTCTCAACTATCCTATTATTCTGAGTCAAATAATTTGATAAATCGAAACCAGTTTGGATTTAGAAAGGGGCACTATTATGTATACTCGCTGGCATAGTTGAGGGCTTTGAGGGAGGTGAGCATAGCAGTTTAACAGTGTGTGACCTCTCCAGATCCTTTGACTCTGTCAGTCAATGAATTTTAATGGAAAAACTGAAATTTTACGGTTTGGGACCCTTTGCGCTAGAGGTATTATCCTCTTATCTCCCTAATAGAAAGCAAGCAGTTTTTTGCAGTAATAAAATGTCAAGTTTACGAAATGTAATGCACGCAGTTGTTTAAAGTTTAATTTTACAAATGACTCTGCATTTAAAACATCGAACACAAATGTATAAATTCTTAAAGAGGAGACATAGTTGTATACTCAAATTTGCTTCGAACTAGGAAGTTTAAATACACTAAAAGCATGAAAAATTCTCTTGACCTAAGTTTATACAATTTAATTCCAAATGAAAATAAAATATATAACCTCATTACCCGATTCTTGATGGTGGCCACTGTTTTGTTGTGTTCGGTATTTTCCTATATATATATATATATATATATATATATATATATATATATATATATATATATATATATATATATATATATATATATATATATATATATATATATATATATATATATATATATATATATATATATATATATATATATATATATATATATATATATATATATATATATATATATATATATATATATATATATATATATATATATATGATGACACTATACTCCGGGATATCATCCGTTCGCTCGTTGAACTCCGACTGGAATCCTGCATCCGACTGGAATCCTGCAAATCCTGCATCCGACTGGAATCCTGCAGACGTTTCGCCAAAATCTCACTTGGCATCTTCAATGCTCGCGCTCCGAAAACACTTCGAACACTGGGAGGTTATCGGCGGTGCGTGCGGTATTTATACTCTGCGCCGGAGATGGTAACGGTGCTGCTTGTGCGTGGGGGGAGGTGGCTCCGCCCCCTGAATTGTCGCGTTGTTAATTTCGCCCGATCGTAGTTGCGATGTCCCCGTTGGCTGCTGCGCATCGCTCTGCTGTTTGATTATCGTTCTCCACGTGTTGGATAAATGCAGAGCGTCGTCTCTCGTATTGAGGTGTCCGGACTTTTCTATTTCGATGGCCTCTCGTATAATCCTAGTCCTAAAATCAGGAATATTAGCTATTTGTTTGCAAGTGCCGAAATCAATTTTATGGCCTGTCTGATGTTGGTGCTGAAACAAAGCAGATGTTGTTTGTTTGTTTCTTATGGCTAAACGATGTTCCTCGAGCCTGGCTGAAATCCTTCTGTTGGTCTGTCCCACATACGTCAGGCTGCACGATCCGCATGCTACACTGTATACTCCTTGGTTTTCCAGAGTAATTTTTTGTTTTGGGTTTCTTAGTATTGCTCCGATGGTATGGTCAGGTTTGTATGCCGTTGATATGTCGTGTTTCCGTAATATTCGGCCGATTTTGTCAGTAACCCCCTTGATGTATGGCAGGACAGCGATCGATCTTCGTTGGGTCTCGTCCTGCACTCTCTGCTGCGGCTGTTGTTGTTTACTGATTGCCTTGCTGATGGTACGCCTTTGGTATCCGTTTTGTCGAAGACAGGTACTAATTTTCTTCAGTTCTTTATCTCTGTTCCTCTCGTTTGTGAGCCTGAAGGACCGAGCAATTAATGTATTTGCCACTGCCTGTATCTGTGATGGGTGGTGATGAGATTTAGCGTTCAGATATCTATTAGTGTGTGTTGGTTTTCTATAGACAGTGTGTTCCAAGTGTCCATCTTCGGTCCTTGTGATGTGCACATCTAAAAAGGGCAGACTGTTATCCTCTTCAAGTTCTATTGTAAATTGAATCCTTGGGTGGATGGAATTCAGATGATCTAGGAATTTCAAAAGCTCCTCCTTGCCAAAAGGCCATACAACAAATACGTCATCAACGTATCTTGTCCATAGTTTTGGCTTCAGATTTGCCTTCTCTATTGCTTTCTTTTCGAAGTAAATCATGAAGAGGTTAGCAATCACAGGTGAGAGAGATGATCCCATTGCTGCTCCATCTATTTGTCGGTAAATTTTCCCGTTGTGCATAAAGTAAGCGTTTTTCAGGCAATGTCTTGACAGATCAATTATGTATGGCGGAAGATCTTCGTTTTCTTCTATAAGCAAGAGTGCCTCTTCTACTGGAATACTCGGGTAGAGGGATTTGACATCGAAACTTGCCATAATGTCGTCCTTGTCCATCCTGAGAGAACCTAAAATCTGAGTGAAATGTTCTGAGTTTTTAACATAGGAATCTGCCTTTTCCACTATAGGCTGAAGTGCACTGGCCAGATGTTTTTCCAGCTTGCATAATGGTGAGTTAAAGGCGCTTACGATTGGACGCAGGGGAACCCCGTCCTTATGGATCTTTGGGAGCCCGTAGAATTTTGGGCAACGACTCGATTTTTCCCTCGGAATAAGTTTCTTCTTTGTATCCTCGTTTATTGATGAATCGAGAATTTTGGACTTAGTTGTTTTTTCCAAATATGTCGTGGGATCTCTGGTGACTAGTTTGTATATTGGGTCGTTCAAAATATCCTCCAATTTTGCATTATAATCCGACGTATTCATGACGACAGTGGCATTTCCTTTGTCTGCTGGCATTATTAGAATGTTTTCGTTTTTGTTTAGATTCCTTAAGGCTTGCATTTCTTCTCTGCTTAAGTTTGGCTGCGGTGGTTTTGACTGTCTATATATATATATATATATATATATATATATATATATATATATATATATATATATATATATATATATATATATATATATATATATACATATGATGACACTATACTCCGGGATATCATCCGTTCGCTCGTTGAACTCCGACTGGAATCCTGCAAATCCTGCAGACGTTTCGCCAAAATCTCACTTGGCATCTTCAATGCTCGCGCTCCGAAAACACTTCGAACACTGGGCACAGTGTTTCGGAGCGCGAGCATTGAAGATGCCAAGTGAGATTTTGGCGAAACGTCTGCAGGATTCCAGTCGGATGCAGGATTTGCAGGATTCCAGTCGGATGCAGGATTTGCAGGATTCCAGTCGGATGCAGGATTCCAGTCGGAGTTCAACGAGCGAACGGATGATATCCCGGAGTATAGTGTCATCACATTTTTCCATCCGTGAATCAATACGTGAGAATATATATATATATATATATATATATATATATATATATATATATATATATATATATATATATATATATATATATATATATATATATATATATATATATATATATATATATATATATATTATAATAAAAATCTATGCTTCTATCTATGTATCTATACCTGTACTCCCCTCAAACTGACATTGTTGGAATGCGTCGAAGCTTCACATACAACTCAGTCGTCTCCAGATTAGAGCCGAAACATTTACATTCTAGGTTGCGCTTGATATTTTCTATAATTAATTATCTTGTTTACCGCCTGAATTTTGTTAAATTAATATCGAAGTATCAACGTTTATATTGTTTGCAAGTTTGCGATATCAATGCCCTATTAATTATCGTTAAGGCAAATATTATTCGCAAACAACTATGATGGTTCCTATTTTTGGAATTAAATTTTGATAAATAGGTAGATGTCATTAATCATTCAGAGTTTGCACTATTAATGGGGACAAGTTCACATACCTATCCTACTACTAAACTTGTACAAACGTCGTCTACACAATAATCGCTTCTTAGTGTGATTTATCACATTAAAACACTGGATGTTAGTTTTAACAAAGTATAGAAATACAAATCATTAATCTGTACAAGCAGTGAAAGTTTTAGCTTAAATGATGTTAAACAAACGGTTTAAATTCGGTATATAATATATATAATATTGTAGGTGCGTTATTGTCCACTGTGCCATACGCCATCCATAAATAATATGTAATTCTTAAATAATTTAGTACCTGACAATAAAATTTGATAGATGAAAAGCAAATATAGTAATTCATGTTTAGTGATAAATACCACTCAGAAGAATTTCAACTTCTGTTAAATGGTGAATTTCGCGTGACTGTTGACCTTAAATTTTGTGTAAACAATTTTTTATCAATAAAATTTATATATAGTAGCAATACCTGTTGAAATTCTATAGCTATCATACAGGGTATTTTCTAATTGAAATGACTGAAGATTGTAAAAATAATATTTATTTTAATATAAATCAGTGGCGTACTATCAATTTCTTCCAAAGTAAACATGTGAAATTCTGTACGCCAGCCACTGGTGTATTGCAAAACAATTGTGGTACATTAAATAATGCCTCTTGATTTGTAGTATACGCGTGCCAAATTTCATTGGTATTACAGATATTAAAAAAATATATTTTATTGGACCCAAAAATCGCCACCTCAATTATTTACAAGATTAGTCAGGCAATAAAAAAGGAAAAATAAGTTCTTAATTTCATTTTATTTCATAGGCTACATTAAGCTGATGACATTTTCTTTGGTGTTAATTTGTTTAATATGGCGGCATTTAAAGTAAACTGTTAATTTGTATGATCTACATGTTTGAATCCTATCTGACGTGTTCTTAGTCCTACGAATTTAAAGTTATGTAGCTCTAAAATAAAATAGAAAACCCAACAATAAAAATCATTTTGTCCAATCCCGGAGTTTTGATTTTTGACTAATCCTTATTTGTATCATATGACATCATTTTGATTTTCGCAAATTAAACACCAACAGAACTCTGCAATAAAACTCGCTGACGTTCGTCCAAGGATCCCCTAATACAGATAATAACACCAAAATATTGGAGCTTCATTGCTCCTTTGTTACAGCAACCAAACAAGTTTTGAGTTTGTTGCGATAACATAACTTACATTTGGCGCGTTTTAACACTTGTATATTTAATAAGTGTGCAGGGTACCTCACGGTTGATAGAACATTAGATATTTTTGATAAATGGCATTTAGGAATTTGCTGAAGCTTTAGGTTCAGCTGAAGCTACCTTTAGCTGATTCCCCAATTAAAACAGAAACATATAGAAAGCTGAAATGTTGGCTGATATTACCTAGTTCCTGCGTAATAGTTGAATTCGATGTACAGCGTGTTTACGAAATGATGATTTTGCCGTCCTACACGAAACTGGTGAAAAGGAAAACCCAACAGTTTGTAAAACAGGTAATTAAAAACATGGTAAGGTGTTGAATTATTTTGACATATTTGTAAAAGTATACATAAAATGTCATGATACAATGACAATTGTATTTACAAACAAATTGACTATTTAAAAAGTGAAAAAAAGGAAATTGAAGTGGATGAAGATTATTAAAATAGGGTTCCGAAGAAATTAACATTCGAAGATGTAGAAAGTTGTGATTCATACACACTTAATCCGTCTGGACACACTCTAAATAGATAGGTAATATGAAAGGTTTCTCATTTGAATAGCCTCCGCCCATTTCAATTATTTTTTCTTCACTTTTTAAATATTCTTTATTAAAAAACTTTTCACAAATACATTTACAAAAAAATTAATATTGTGAAAGCAGTGTTGATTATAAAAATGATTTTATTTCAAAAACCATTTTTTGTGAATTTTGTGGGGGACTGTAAAACCACGATTTTCTAAATACTCTGTACATCGCACAAGTAATTGATATCTCTAAACCGCTTAAGAAAGATGAAACAATATACAGGTTGTCTCATTTAAAATATCAAAGTTATCACTACTTTTCTAGTTGCACAAATTTTTAGGAAATATCTATGTTCCGCTTTCCAAAATCATCGTATATTTGGAAGGTATTCGGATGCCGCAAATTTAAAGAATAAAAACCTTTAAAACACTTTATTTTCAGTAATGGTTATTGACTGAGTTGTTTCCATTCATCGTCCATCTCTTTTTTAAGTTGACTTAGTTTTGTAAGGCATTTGTCCCTCCATATTCTTCTCGCCTGCAGTTTGTCAAGAGGAATCGACTGTTCTAGTTGTTTGGCAATGCTAGGGACGTTCGGTCCTTCGAATTTTGGTACCGGTTTGAAGTCCTTACTGACGGCGTGCATCGTATTGGCGTATCTCTCACAGTAATTCACGAATCCTTCCGCGTTTAAATGCGTAGTTTCCAAAGTTCCCAAAAAGGCGTATCTCATGCCCAATCCGTCCGACATCACTTTGTCGATGTCGTGCACATCAAGAATGCCGTCTTCTACCAAGTTCCAAGTCTCGTTCAAAATCGCATATCTAAAATGAACAGTGTTAAATATATCTACCAGGGATCTCTCAGTGGTAACAACATAGAATTTCTCCGAAACTAATAAGTAGTTTATAAGGATAAGAATTTGCTAAAAATATGTCTATTCGTATGGTTGTATATTAAAACCAATTTCTCTATTACAAAAACAGGCATTCAATATATAGTTGGTAAGATTTGTAAAGGCATAGAGGGCAATAAAATGCCAGACAAAATAAAACAGATTGCTCATCTGGCTTGCACTTACACTTCAACAGATGTTATTCCGCCCCAAATATCTATCTGATCAATGCAAGACAGCCGTCACTAACGATCACGACATTACTTGGGAGTAAGAGAGACAGAATCGGTTGTACCTGAGACTTATTAATTTAACTAGTTCGCGAATATTCAACTAGATGAATCTATATGAAAAAATTAGGACATTTGTTAAATAAACTAGAAGTAAAGAAGAGTAAATATACAAATAAACCATATTTAGCTTTCAATTACGAGGAAACATCTAACCAACCTACCAGCAAATAATGCTTCGTCTACATTAACAACAAATGGGGATGTCGTTATATTAGGTGTGTTCTCTTTTTCCCAGTATCCTTTTATTATATTCTCTCTATGTGTTATACAACTGATCCAATTTCCTTTGGTACCTATCTAGAGAGCTGCCTTCCAAACAGATACTGCAGTTTCATCGTGCCTTGCCTCATTTACAATATTTTTATTAAAACATATTTTGCACTAAGCCCACATCAATTCTATAGTATTAAATATACAATGCTAAGGAGGCAATTTTAAAACTTAATGACCCATTTCAACAATTATTTCGTCTGTAGTATACGGCAAGTTTATTTTATGATTTTTGACAATTTTTAACAACTCACATTTTATACCATTTTCTGCTAATTGCCAATTGATAATTTCTTCTTTTCTTGTCGATTTATTTTATTACACTTTCACTAAGTCTAAAATTTCGTCTTTAGTACACGGCAAGTTTGTTTTGTACTTCTTTTTGACAATTTTTAGACCATTTTCTACCACATTTACTAAGTCTGGAAGAATATCTTGCATTTTCCATAATAATTAAAGACGGCAATTCCAGTTTCGGTAACAGTTTCTCAAAAATGTGACCCTATTTCGTAGTGGAAACTACTGTAAATATCCGGTAATTGGTGCTATCTCTGTCGAGTGAGACAAAAACACACTGGCACATAAATTGGTGGGTTTTGCAATTTTTAGTATACGAGTAAAATCAGGTAAAATACTGAGGCATCTTTCTCTCTTGGTTTTATGACATCGCAAATCATATCGACTATACCCGTGTTAATGCTACAATCACGGTGGGTAAACCTTTTTATTGAACGACTTAAAACAATGGCGATAATTTTTCTTTGAAGAGACAAATTTTGACAAAGCATTTAAAAGTCATATAGCTACTAGCGGCCTGTCTAACGCCGATAATGAAATATAACAAAAAAATGAGAAGGTCTATTCAACATAAGCATGCTAGAGATTTTAAATTTTGTTTTAAACAATGATCTTACGGCATTTAACAACCCACAGGGCCGCTGACAGACCGTCAATAGGTTTGGACGCAGCATTTTTAATAAACCAGTTTCTAAAAATATGCCTAGATCGGCATGTCATACTATAGTCTTTTTTCGACGATTAGTTTTTGGGTACATTTTTGTACAACAGCCAGAATCGCTACCAAACGCGTTACTGAAGTACCGAAAATGTCCAAAGTGGTCTGAAATGATATCTGAGGCTTGATGATAATTGGGCATTTTAGATTAAGGGGTAAAAAAAATATTTCTTTCAAACCGAACTAGATACTTCCCAATAAGCAGGAAAAGGACCCCCCCACCCCACAGTCCCGTGTTATTACAACCCATTGAAGAAACTCAACTCTTGGTCGATTTGCATAAATATAGTTTTTCAAATCTCTTACAATGTTTAGTCTCTCGTAACCACCATTGGTAGAGCTATTGATTTTTCACAAAACCGGTTTATCTCGCTTTCTGATTATCCGATTATCGTGCCAGTAGTCATTTTGAATGTATTTTGATTTACTGCAATTACATCATTGTGAAAAAGTACATGATCGTTTCTTTTAAAAAGTGGAAGCTATCAAGGATATAAGAAAATATAGCTTTAATTTAGGATCTAGCATTTACGATTAGTTATAATTGCTCAGATACGTTACAGTGAGCCCCATAATTAAATGAGTCTGGACACAAACCAACTATACATGATTGGCAATAAGAGTTCGAAAACAACCCGACCTTCAGAATAAGGGCATCATAAGGCAAGTTAGTACCAAATGAGATTGTAAAGTGGTACTGGTCAATTATTAATACCGTGCCTGGAATTTATGTTTTTCATTAAACATTTTTGTTTAATAGGTACCATCCTTGAAGGAATTCTTGCTATACTTTTAATTGTCGTTTTATGAAAACATAGAATGTTTGTAAAAACAAAAACAAACATTCTGTTCGTATAGAAATAATTGTCCATAAACAAGAACTTAGTGATCAATTTCTACTTTTCTGCTCATAATGTACTAGTGCACCTACTGTATTCGATTAAGAGCGAAGCCGGGAATTTCTTTCGTAAACGAAACCGGGGACTGGCCAATTTCCTCCATAATGTGCCTGGTCTTCTTGGGCACTTCTGGATCAGTCCAAGGGGCGGGAACTATTTCCACTAACGGTACGTAATACGGTGGGTTGACGGGATGAGAAACTACTATATTTTGCCTAAAATACATTAAAATTTACAAACTTAAATTTCTTTTGTTCCCACTTGCTTGCCTATTTTTTAAGTTCTCGCTAAAAGTTGAAGGTAAAAAGGTGGAGGTTGAACTGGAATAGATAGTATTCGGTCCAGCGACGTCGTCGATATTTTTCCACACTTTCCGCTTTAGCTCTAAATTCTCTGGGACGCATTCTTGAACTAAAATCGCGTCTTTGACCGCTTCTTGAAGGTCGGTCGTGCCTGAAATGAAACCGACTCGTCGCAAATTTGCTTAGACTGACCACTGCTCACCTTTAATCAATGCAAATTGCTGGGCAGCCTTTAGTTTTCCTCTTAGAAGGCCGCTTTGTTCCAGTGCATTTAGTTGTTTTTCCGTTTCCTTTAACGCTTTTTCGATCTGTGTCGGTAATATGTCATAAATGTAAACCTTATACCCAACGGACGCAAATAGCATTGCCCATGATTGACCAATCAAACCACTGCAAAAATATTTTGGCATCACTACTTACCATTTCAAGAAACAAACATAAATATAGGCTTGACCAGATGATCTTAAACACTATACAAGTAAAACTAATAGAAATTTAAAATAGTTTTTTACTTTAAATATTTAAGCTACTTGCAGTAACCATTTTCAGGCTTGTTTGGGCTTGACTTGAGCTATTAGCCTACAAACGTATAAATTTTTAATTTTATAGTCATGTTTACAGATTTGTTTCTATAATATCTTTATGGTCACGCCTATTTGGATCACAATGTATATTTCAAATATTTTTCTTATATACCTATACCTTGACGAATGATATATGGACGAAATTCCCTATTGATTCAAGAGCTATGGACAGACACGCACTTGTGTAATAATTGCAAATTTATTTAAGCCATACGTAATTATAATTTTATCAAAATACAGAACAGGCCGGTGATGAATTTACGCCTAGGCCGGTGAGGTGGCATAATTTCAGGGGCAAATTTTTCAGAATGTCAAAATTGATAAATTTCAACGACAATTCATTTCAAGAATTGGTTCCGATTTTTTTTTATAAAAATAGAATATAATTAATTTTTTAATTATTTTTTATTAGTGGCCCCAATATTGATATTTTGCTTGACGAATAACATTTTTTAAAAAAATCAAATTGATAATCTTTTTTTGAGAAATTTTAAAGCTCTGTTTACTTTTTGTGCTGTGAGTGAGGGTATGTATGCTTTAATGTAAAAACCTTCAAATTTTTTTTTGGAATTAAATAAAATTGGAGAAAATGGAGAAATTAGGAATTAGTATTTGGTATTCACTTAAAATTCATCCCTTTGTAAAATGTATGCTCATTTTATATCGATTTTTTTGCAAAATAAATATAAATCGTCAAAAACCAAAAATTGGATTATTGTCTAAATAGACTTCCATAAGAGGTAAAAATTTGAAATATTGATAATTAGATTCATTAAAAAAAAATCTTTTTGTCTGATCAGGTAAAGTGTCAATTTTAATTAAGAATATGTTCATGTCAGTTGTAAAAAAATATTTTTGTTTTAAGCCAGAATTAAACGAGACTTCAGCACAAGATACCGCAGAAGTGAAATCCTTTTCTTTGGAATTTGAATGAAGAAACATGAGATTTCAGTACTATGAACGGTCCTCCACAAAATAATCTAACCAATTTTGTAAATTCAAGTAGTGCTTATAGAAATAAAACGAGGTATTTTAATCCAACGTACCCTGAAAAACGGAAAAAATCGACGTCGTGAATGGTTAATCTATTCAGAAAGTAAAGGATCGGTGTTTGGTGCTCTATGTTTACTGATTGGTAGTAGTGGTGAAATAAACGCTTTCTGATTTTCACAAATCTAGCATAAGTCATTTCAAAACTGGAGCTGTCACTCAATGGAAAAAAAGAGGGCTACCATTTAGAGGATATTCAGAATGAATTGGAGATCCCCATAATGGAAATTTTTTAGGTTCAGTCGAGCTTCTTACTAAATTTAATCCGTTTTCATCAGAGCATTTAAAATTATAAGCGCACCTTGGCGGTGGAAATACCTCGTATTTATCTAAAACAATCTATCGAAAAATTATATTATTAATTCAAAATAAAGTATTGCAACATATTTCTAGGGAAGTGCAATATGCTAAATAATTTGGTGTAATTGTGGATTCTACGCCTGATATTGCTCATGTTGATCAACTTACGATAATTATTAGATATGTACGTGACAATGTTCAAATTGTTTAAAGATTGCTAGAATTTATCCCAAATACTGACCATAAGCCTAAAGACATTGAAGATGCTCTGCTAAAAATCTATTGAGAATAATGGTTTGAATATAACGAATTGTAGTAGTCAATCTTATGATAACGCAAGCAATATGTTAGGCTTATATTCAGGTGTGCGGTAACGAATAAAAACAATTAATCCATTAACAGAATATGTTCCCTGTGGTGCCCATTCCTTAAATTTTGTGGCAACTTGTGCGGCTGAATCTGTAACTGAACCAGTTGGCTTTTTTTCCACTCGAAACAATCAATGGATGCTACGCATTTGAAAACGAGTAGCCTGGTATAATTGTCGCACTTTAATTTATTGCTAAAAACAAGGATAAAAAACCCACTACGCGATCTGAAGCTAGGCGGCTGCAGCAAAAATTACAACATCTAGAACCGGCAATTCTAGTCATTGTTTGGAATACCATTTTGGATAGTTTTAGTGCTGCTAGTAACAAGCTTCAAGATTCTCAAACTGATTTGTTATGATAGTCGTCGTAAAAGAACACGGAAAATTCTTTTCTGGAGAATAAAATTTTCGAACCAACGTTTATTATCGAATTTTAGATACTTTAAGTGTGCAATTGGTAATACGCGGAAGTGCTTATTATAAACTTTACGAAAGTTTTAACTTTTTTGAAGATTTGTCTGAAATAGAGACTAATGAATGAATCTTCGAGATGTATATCCGAAGGTAGGCATTGCACTACATATCTTTTTGAGTATTCGCGCAACAAACTGTTCAGTAGAAAGATCTTTTCCCACCTTGAAAATGGTAAAAACGTATTTACGCCCAAGATTGGGCCAAGACAGTCTTAATACTTTTATCCGTACTCTCTATTCCAGCTAAATTCGTTCAAGAAATTGATTACGACGACATAGTTGATGATTTTGCACGGACAAAATCCAGAAAGAAGATACTTATCAATTAATCGATACATAACAGTTAAAAAAAACAATTATCTCATTTGTTAACACTTATTAAAATTTGCTTGTATTGCTTGACAATTATCAATCGAATAAAAATAATATCTAAATAATGATAATGAATCCATAGAATTTCGTCTATTAAAAAGGGCGACACATCAGGCAGGGAAAATTGTTTTTACTAACAGTCGCTTCCTGAATTTTAAAATTGAAAAATTGGTCATAGAGTCTCTTTTTCCGAATTCATAAAATAATGGTTGATTTTTGATTCAAAAAGGCGAGATCATTTTTAGCATTAGATCCTATTATTGAAATGGTTTATAATGGAGAACAAGTAGAAATATCATTTGTATTTTTTTTTCTCATATTCATTTATTATATAGTATTAATACTATTTTGTTAAATTGTAAGAGTTGTGGTGTTTTCCCGTATGAAATAAATTATTTAATTAATTTTATCGTCACAATCTTCAATAAATACTTATTTAATGTAAAACAATCTGAAAACCCCACATTCATATGGTAAACAACAGGTATAAAACCAAATACAATATGCCTCGTTATCATCCATCTTTATTTAGAACATAATTTCTCTACAATTGAATTAGTTCGCTTAATTCACAAGAATTCGAACACAAATTGGTAAAAATGATAAATTTATCTGTGAATTTAAAATTTAAAATTGAAATAATCAAAATTTAAACATGGTGATATACCCCTAATGCTCTTATGATAATAATTTAATTTACATGGTTTATTACAATAACATAATAAAGTTTAGTAACTTTGTCAGTTTTGTATCACTTTGCCCAACAATTTGATTTTATTTTGTAATTAACTATTAAATTTGAGAACCAAATAAAGACGTTATATAAGTATATTTATTTATAATTATCATCCATGATTTTGATTCCAACCATGTATGTGTACCTATGCTTTGGTAAATTATATAGTTATATATGTATATTTATTTATAATTATCATCCATGATTTTGATTCTAACCATGTATGTGTACCTATGCTTCGGTAAATTATATAGTTATACCTTTCTATATATTATATGTTCTAATGCCTATTCCATTCTAATTATAATACAACGACAGGCAAAGCGATTTCAATCGGAAAAAAAGTTTTAAATTCATTTTAATCTACAACTTATTAGTATTATACCATGATAAAAGTCATATTTTCATATCATTATCTAACTTATCACTGATAAAGGATAATTGCTTTTTTGTGTTAAAATTAAACTGCAACATTCAGAAAATTAACCCTTATCTCTTGAAATGAAGACATTAGCTAGCCAAACGTAATAAGAATGTTGTAATAAGTAGGTCTGAACTTCTCAGAGCATCTGGGGGTATTTATTTATTCGTATAGAGTTGCTCGCAGAAACATACGTCAACGGACTCAAATTAAATTACAGAAAAGTTTACGGTTTGGAAACTACAAATATCTAATATCTAATGACGACAAAGTGTAACAGTGACGACTTCATTTTTAAAAATATAAATCAATATTATATTATGCAACAAGTTTGATTAATGCCACTTTAGTCACGAATGCTGGTAGAAAAGATATAGTATGCAAGCTGTGAAAGAACTTCAGTACTTCAGTCACCCGATTATTGAACACTCGCTCCACTCATGCCAAAACAAACTCGCGACTAAAGTGTGGTTTATCAAACTTGTTGCATAATATATTATTTAGAGCCCGCAAACGAGGTATATATTTAAACACAAGAATTTTTTATCTTGCTCAGATCCATCCCTATGCTGTTGATTTTGAATCACTCGTACACTATTAAAAAAAAATGTTCACATATTAGAGGATTGAGGATCCCATATTTATTAGAACATTTACTGTTATTTTTGGAAGAATTACCAGCCGGATTCGTATTTCCAGGGATGCATGTATGCATATAAAAACTAATTTTCTCCCTGATCTATGTACCTTTTGAAACTTATATTGACATTATACCATCACAAAAATAATAAGATAATAAATATGTAGGTACGAAGTAATAATTTGTGCTACAAATAAAAGAAAATATTATTGCCTAGAATGTACACGCACCTGCCAACAATTGCAATTTTTCTTAACGGCAAAGCGCACGACGTCATAGTAGTTTACACTTCTTGCACGAGCGCACCTAAATGGAAACCAGTTCAAGTGGATAGTAAGCACGATGTTGAGTTGAAAGTGATATTGCACAATCGTTGTTTGTTAGAAATTGTCGGGAGATAAATATAAGTGGTTTTGTACAGCTCGTCCAAATAATACGAAATTATTTATTTAACTACAAAACCAATGTTTTAGTCTATTTAGCGGTTAGCTTACAGCAGCCTATTTTTTTTTAAACAGGAAAAATATATAGGAAGAAATACGAAAGAATAAAAAAGTAGGGCTCTTCGAAGTGAATATTTTTTTATATTTTACCTTTTAGAAATTTTTGTCTTTATTTTTCAAATTGTTGTATAGAGGCAATAAAAGAATATATGGATTGTGGCTGCAAATAAGTATATCTCAGATTATCACGAACTCTAAATAACATAGGCGTAATCATGGATTTAAATTGACATCCATTTTTTATTCCAAAATTCCAGAAATTTGTCATCGTAATCATAAATGAATCCTAATTACGGAGAACTGAGAACTACAAGTGATATGATTATACAAGTAATGAAAAGTTAAACAAATAATCCATCATTCTTGTTCTTCTTCTTCCTTTTTTATATACGCTGTATATGACCACTGCTACATAGGTCAAGCCATCCAGCTTACAACAAACAAACGTTTCAACTATTTAATAACGATCACAAACCCCAAAGTCTCCGGTGGGAATCAAATCCATAATCTCCGCCAAGTCGAGTTGGCAGGTCTAACCCCATGCCCACCGACCCATCCTCGCATTTTCGTCTTGTGAGCTCTCAACAACTGCCCAATTTCTGTATGGCTAATATTTTCACTATAACCATTAATCACGATTCTGTGGTCGAGCATTGCACGAGGAGGTTTAACCTCTGTTCGCTCCCGACCGAATCCCTTGTAATCGTCCCCAAAAACTTTGAAATCGGTATCCACAGTGTGGATTTAGTGTTTTTAGAGTTCAGTGAATGTTTTAAAGTTACAATCGTGGTCAGCTCCGTCGTTTTTTCCTGTTCACGCCGGTATGGAGCCCGGATGGACCCGGATGATCCGCGTGGGAAGGGGAGGAGGCCGTTTTTTGTAATCGGTCAAAGAACCTTTTTTTGTTGAAATTCCATTTTGTATATGTAACAAATCCGGAGGATGATGGATTGGTCCAGACCCTTCTCTTAAGAAGGCATTCTTTAGGATATCTGAATAATGTGAAAAATTGTGTAAGCTGGCCGAATGACCTTATGCAGTCTTGGCCATTAGAAGTAAAGAAGAAAGAAAGAAGAACCATTAATCAAACTTGGCCGCATGTTCCTGGAGACCTTGGTCGTAGCAGTTTGGCATAATAATCCTAGTCAATTTGTTCAATATATGTAAACCAAAACTAATCTTGGCATTTGGCCGATTGATCCGACCAAACTTCGCTAATAGAAATGAAGAAGAAAAAAAAACCTTAGAATCGTGTGAATTAATTTGATTTTGGGCAAATTTAATTTTCAAGAATTTTTTGTTGTCAACCGCTGTGAAATGAGTGAGAATAATTTTGATAGCGAAAGTACGGAAAATTTGTATTCTTTAGCCAAAGAAAAAATTGAATTCGGAGAAAGTTTGAAATCTTATGTATCACGCCACAAAGATATCGAAGGTCTCCAAAAGCTTGCTCGTAAAATTAATCAAGAACTGAAGTTTCTTCGCAAAGTAATGATCAAACAGTTAAAATGGTTTAAGTAAATAAAATTCTTTAGGTTTGCAGAGATCGAACATTAAAAAAAGAACATCTACAATGCTCTAATTTAACGCATTTTTCTGCCCTTATTGATACTTTGAGTACAATTAAAAATTGTGAAAGCGTTAATAAGGTATATTGCCTGGAAGATAGAAAAGTAACTGTAGATATTGTCTGTGATAATGGTTTGACGTGGATTAAAGTCATTGCTCGAAATCCAAAATCCTTGAGTCAGATATGCATGGGAAATTCTAGTTATGGCACACGAAGTATTATAGATCAAGCATCTGAGTATGTTCAGTGTGCTAAATTGTATCCTTGTTTGTTCCAAACTCCAAAGGTATCTTGTAATTTTCTTTTAAAGTGATTAATTATGATATATAATTTTAGGTAATTTTTGTATTTGTTAATGGTATTGGTAGCAATCTATCCAATAAGTTAAAAAACTGTGGAGTTACCGTCGTAGGGGCCCGGTCAGAGGATTATGATATTGCAGAAAGTGATTCTGATCTAAGTGATGACGAAAATGTTGAAAAGCCTAGCTGCACAGATCTTTCAACAATCAATGCTACTTGTATAAAAAAAATTAATTTAGATGTATCTGCAATGTTGGCTTACTGTTGCTCCGTTGCAAATGGTAGTGCATATTTATATGACTTTCATGTTCCTGTTTTAAAACAACAAGCTGAATGGGAAAGGCAGCGACCTGTAAAACCAATTTTGGATAACTTTTTTGAAGGTAAAACATCTCTTACTTCCTTTAATATCATTTCTTTTGTTTTATTTCTGGTTTAACTTTTTTTATATATTCTAGGAAAAACCCTATATTGTTGTGAAACTGCAAAAACCAGTTTTAAGAATATTGTTAACACTGTAGGAGGTTCCAATGAAAAAATTAGATCAAAAGAACTTTTAGAAAGAGTAGTTGTTTTGCCAGACAATGCAACATACAAAGAAACCTTGGAGGGTAGTGAAGGCAGTGAAATTTTTAGGAATGTGCAATTTACCCCAGATAAAGTGTTAAAGTTGGGTGGTAAAATTAGACAGAGGTCCCTGACTATATTTTTGTTTGGTGATAGAATCCAGGCAGTGACTGTGACTTCCAATGATGGATTTATTCGAGCAGCAAAGCAGCAGGTATTTCTAAAATATTTTGTTCATAATTTATCCCAAATTTTTTTATTTTCAGAATATTAATTTTGTTGTTTTTGTTCATGAATCCCGAGCATTAACAGAACAAAAGGAACACACAAAAGCTATACCATTTAGTTCATGACTTTGTCCAAATAAATGATATATTTATTTAAATGGTATAGTACTATTATATTAAACAAGAAATAAACTATAACAATTTCCATTGCTGCATTCTTTCATATTTCTCACCATATTATATGATTAACATGTATACACTATCCCTTCCGAGTTTAGCTAAAACCCCTTAAATGAAAACCACTGTTAATTGTGGTCTATTACTGATATAGAAAAAATTTCAAATTGAATAAAAATGTCACAAACGATTATTTGAATTACCCTAGCAAAATTTACTTCAATAAGTATAAGTATAGTTTAATTTATAAATAAATAAATACCACTAGCCATTCAGAGATGTCCTGGAAAGATTCCTTGATTGGTGCTCAAACTTATAATTCAGTATTTAAGTCGTGTTTTCTAAAGCCTATTTTCTTTGTATGTATTTGTGATTCATTCCTTCCTAATACTATGAGTTCTTTTTATGTATTTGAAATATCTAGCTTGATTTTTTTTCAAAAATTGAGAGCACTAATATTTTTAATTAGAAAATCACCTGAGAGCGCAATAGATTTTTATTATGGTTTTGGTAATTTTCTGTGGTATTGTCATTTTTATAATTTTTTCTTTTGAGTCATAGCTAGAGGAAATTACTTCAAAGCTGTTAAAATCCAGCACTTCGTCAATATGGAAAAACAAGGGGGCTCTTTCCCTATCAATTGGAGAAATATTTTATAATAAAAATTAAAATGCAAGTTTTTTTGTTTTTGAATAATCTGCTACCAAAAACAACTGTAAGCCCGCTGCAAACGTCACTTTGAGTCTCAGTTTCCAAGATACATCATTTTCACTAATTCTAGGTATCTACACTATAGAAAGGAAAATAAAAATCTTGCTATGTATCCTGAATCTTTATTGGAGTTTTTTCATATCAACAATTTGTGTTTAAATAACACAATTTTAAATATGCTAGACAAAAGAGAAGAAAATGAAATTATAAAAAAATATGTTATTTCAAGAGTTCAATGAAAATTCCATGAAACTTAAACCTTGCTTAAAAACATAAATCTGTACAACTTTAAATCTCAATAAATACAATTTAGACAATTAAGTATCACTTTTCCATAACTTTATAGTTTTATCATTTTCCAAAGCAGCAGATGCAATTATGTTTTCTGTTGGGTGGCAAGTAGTGCAGAGGACAACATCTAAAGGTTGAGAAAATAAGATGACATTCATGTGCAAAACTGTACAGACAACCTACCTGTATGCCCTTGCAATTTCTGAACTATTTCCTTTGTCTGTAAGTTCCAAATATATACCATATTATCCTCTGAGCCACTTACAATCCACTTGCCACCTGTCACAGAAAAGTTGGCAAAGATGCAATATTTTTCATTTTTGTGACCTGAATAGGTTTTTAAACATTTTCCTTTTGCATAATCCCATAATTTTAGGGTATTGTCCAAAGTGGCTGCCAGGATATACTTTCCATTAGGTGAAAATTTCACAAATGAAACTGGAGGATTGTCATCATCAATCAATGTTTTCAAACACTGCCCTGATGCAGTATCCCAAATGCGACTAAAAAATTAAGGTTTAATGTTATACAATGGATAAAATTTAAAAGTAACAAGCCTAATTTTTTATAGGAATTAATTACCAAAGTCCATCATAACTGCTGCTAACAATCAAAGAACCATCCCGATTAAAGTGTACAGCACTCACAGGGTCAGAATGAGCTGGCAAAGTTTTTAAACATTTTCCAGTTCTTACGTCCCATATCCTTACTGACTCATCAAAAGAACCAGAAACAATCAGATTTGATTGGGGATTAAAGTTGCAACAGAACACATAGTTGCTGTGACCTTTCAGTGTCTTTAAGCATTTTCCTGAAGACAATTCCCAAATTTTTAAAGTTTTGTCATCACTAGCTGACACTAAAAGGTGGAATAAAGTATACCTATGCAACCCTACACGATAAAAAGTAAATTTACCCAAGAGACGACTATCACTTGACCAAGCAACATCGCTAATACCTAGCTTGTGCCCACTTATTGTTTTTTCAAATTTCCCGTCATATGCACCCCAAATTTTTATAAGTTTATCTGCAGCTAAAGGGAAAATATATATTCATAAACATATAATATACAAATTGACTGTTAACTTACATGAACTAGCAAGCCATTCACCATTTGGGCTAAATTTTACTGACGAAACAGCTTTGGTATGTCCAGCCAAAGTAAACTTTAGAGTATAATTTGGCTTCTGAAAATTATTAATTTTTTCAATATAAAACAAGCCATAACTTTAACAATTTCAGATAACAATAAATCAATAAAATATATAGGTATCTGCGCAAGAAAAATGTTGGTACTCACAAGATTGCTACTTGATTTATTTGGCCCGCCAGTTGGTGCTAATGAATTTGTATTTTGATTAGAATTCTGAGGTAAACTTCCAGAACCATGAATTGAAGATACTCCTGCACCAACTGGCATCATTTTTAAGATTACCTAAAACTTTTATGGACGTCTAAACTTTGAGTGAAGCTATACTACCGCCAAAACACAGGCGAACCCTTAAAATTTGACACCACGTGGAATGGTCTTTTTTTCTTCAATCAAAGTAAAAAGATACAAAAGTAACAGATCTGGCTCTAATGGATTCTTCTCGAACTGTTTTATTTAACAAATGAAAAATTCCCGTTTTAATTCAATTTTCCAAAACTTTTCATGATATCCAGAGTATAATAATGCGCATTCAGAGATTAACCTTAGAATAAAACCGTCCTAATTATTACCATGTATAACTAGAATCCATAGACCGTATAATGAGATCCATAGAATCTTTAATTAATTAAGAAATATATATATATATATGGTTTGCCTTGATTTATGTTGTACCCGTCAGCGTTCGCCCAGTCCGATGGTAATGACTGGTATGACGTATTACGAACCACTCAATACTTGATCCATTGTTTAATACTTTCATTGCTCTGCAATAGTAATTTGCCCTCCGAACATTATTTTTAAAATTTGTTAGTGGTATAATTACTATTGCAAATTCAATTATTTTTCTGTTAGTCTGTAAACAGATGTTGAAGTTGGCTCCTTTCAATTATAAAAACCCTTCTTAATAGGAAAAATAGTTTCATTGTTTCCTATAGGACCATAGGTAGATTGACCATTGCTTTATGAGTTTGATATAAAATAATAATAAAATGACAACGAGGGGCTAAACTATTCAATACAAATAATCCAAAAAATTTGTTTCGAATTGATTAGATGACATCACTGCAGCACGTAGTAGCCTCAAACAAGAGGAAATGAATGGCCGATTCGCCTTTGCTTTTTACCGTTCTCGCCTAAATATTAAACAGGAAAATCCCGTTAAATATTGTTTTGTTGGATCAAAATATTGATTAGTTTATTCGTTATTGCAATTGTTAAGAGTATAGTGCCTGTAGTTTCCTGAATTTTTGGCTGTTTTTGGCGGATGTTGATTTGAATTTTTATTGGAAATTGATTCTATTGTAATTATTAACACACCTAGAGGATGATGGATTAATAATACCGCTTCTTCACTAAGGCAACCTTTGTTAAGTTTGGATTATGGTTACCAATACCGGCCGAATGATCTTTAGAAGTCGTGGCCATTAGTAGTAAAAAAAATTAAAGTTGAAAAGAAGAATATAACCATAGCCTCAATGTTTAAAAATGTGTTTCATCGATTTTAGAAGTAGATAATTAATGTGTTGCTTGTTAAAGCAAAGACGGCAAATGTGTATTTGAAATTGATTACAGATATTTATAGCAGTACTTAATACCGTTTGATATCGTTTATTTACAAAAATGAAACCCCACGAATATTGCGATTATGCTATTAAAAGTTTTAATGAAATTACCGCAAAACCCACAAATTATTTAAGGTAACATAAATTTTCATATATGAAAACTACAAATAAATTAATATAAAATAATATGTCTTTCAGTTCTGATGAAGGCTTAATGAATCAATTAACAGAAGATTTAAAAGCATTATATGACTTTTCAGACACTCATGCCAAGTATATTAAATCCAATGCTTTACCTAGAATAATAGTGAAAAATTTGGATCTTGAGCAAATTTGGCAACAACTAGAGTTAAAAAATGCAAAATTGCTCACAAAATCAGTTATTGATGTTCCCATGTTAGTGGCTTCTAAAAATCAATTATCATTCAAAGACATACAACAACAACATTGTGAATATGAAGCAGAAAGCAGTAATGAAGATAGTATTGAAGAAAATATTGGCGACAGTGAATCTGTAACTGAAGAGAGTAGCAGGTAGCTAAGTTTTCAGCAGGGTAACATATTTTATCAATATTTATTTTTAGGGACGAATTTACCAGCGAAGAATTTAACAATGATGATGTTAATGTGTATATTCCACAGGACCACATAAAGAAAGGTTCTATTGTGGATGATGAGTTTTTCAAGCTCAGTGAGATGGAAAATTTTTTAAACATTGAAGAAAATAAAATATCTGTGCAAAATGAAAATGATTCCGAGTCTGATGAAGATGAGGATAGTGTTGATATGTTTAAGCAACAAAATGCTGATAGTGAAGATGAAGTCAATGCCAAAACTGCCAAATTTAAAGATTATTTTGTACAAAAAGATGAAAAAAATACAAAAAAAAGGAAAATCCTTTTGACTGAAAGTGAAGAAGAAGGTGATAGTAATAAAAATGTAAAATCGAATTTGGAGCTTAGACAAGAAAGATTGAACCAAAAAATTGAAGAAATTGAAGAACAAAAAGTTAGTGAAAAGCCATGGCAGTTAAAAGGTGAAATAACAGCAGATAGTAGGCCGCAAAATTCCTTGCTTGAGGAATTTGTGGAGTTTGACATGACTTCAAAACCAGGTAAAATTTTGACTAAACCTTCCTTATTGTTTCAGTTTATTTATTAATTACTTTGCAGCACCTGTTATCACTGAACAAACTTCGCTGCAACTAGAAGATATAATTCGAAAAAGAATAAAAGACAAAGTCTTTGATAGTGTAGAAAGAAAAATTAAACCTATTGAAACACCTTTGGAATTCAAAAAGAAACTCGTGTTGGATCAAGAAAAAAGCAAACAATCTCTGGCGCAAATTTATGAAAAGGAGTATTTAGAGCAACAAGTTGCCCTAGATCCTCATCAATCAGAGAAGGAAGAGGAACCTGAATTGCACAAGGAAGTAAAACAATTAATGAAGATCTTGTTTGGTAAACTTGATGCTTTATCAAATTTTTATTTCACTTCCAAACCCGCTGTACCTGAACTTCATGTTGTTAGTAATTTGCCAGCAATTACTATGGAAGAAGTAGCACCAGTGACTATGAGTAATGCTGCTTTATTAGCACCAGAAGAAATTAGAAAAAAATCACAAGGGGAGTCTCTTGGTAAGTTTTTTTACCTTCACAAGAGTATATTGCCTAATGAAATTATTGTAGGAAAGAGTGAAAGAACTACTACTGATAAAAACAGGGAGCGAAGGAAAAAGAAATTAAAGCAAAAGAAACATGTAAAAGCAAAAACTGACAAGGAAAAATCAAAAAAGCTCACTGGAATTCCAAAAAAGTATGGCATTAAAGGAAAATAAAAATAATTATCTGTATACATATTTATTAAATAAACTTTCTAATATAATAAGGAATAATTATTTTTCAGTACAATGAACCTTTATCCTCAGGATACAAAAAATAAATTTGCACATACCCCTTCTTTGTGTGTACCACCTCAACATGTTTTATTAAGAAATTTGCTGCTATTCCATATGCTACACAAGGTAAACCTAACACAAAATTTCAATCAATAAATTAATAAATATAAGATACTATGGATATTATTACCTAGATTTAATATTTTAATAAAGCGGAAAAATATATCTTCTAAAAATAAATTTTGTTCTATACGTTTCGTACAGTGATATTTAATGAATGGATAACACCCTGTCCTCAATATGTGGTAATTAGACTGACCTACATGCCAGTTAAAATGAGATTTTCCCCACTGATCGTCTTTAATAGTACTATACTAAAACAAATAACCTTTGCGTAATACACATAAATTATGTAATATATATTGATTGAGATATATATACATATATCCAACAAAAAAAATATTTACCTTTACAAAGTACGAAGTCCAAGGTGGCTCATTACATTGTTTTAAATATGAGGTCAAAACTTCTGATGAAGTAGGATAATTTAATTTTTTTTGCAATATTTTTTGAAATACCTTTCTCCAAGCCCTTTTCAATCCTTGCATCAGTATTTTTTTATCACGAATTATACCGCAAATATATAAATTTTTAAACTTATTTTGAAATACGTCACTACGAAAATTGATCTCATAAATTATTCACAAACAACTATTAAAATTTAGACATTCGTAATTTTAAAAATTGGCAACTTGGCAACCTTTACATTTAGGATTCTTACTGCTGATAGATAAAGAAATTGACATACGAGTAATGTATATAGAAAATAATTTGGAATGATATTAAAGGGCGCCGTCTATAAAAAAACTCGATAGATTCTATTTAATCACATGATAGGACCGAGTTCTATGATAGAATAAGATAGGATGGTTTGCTTTTTAGCATATTCAGCTTTGCATGACAAAAATTAAAATTGAAGCTTTGAAAAATACTAGGATTTTAATTTGAGTTTTTATACAATTTAATTCTATATTTTTGTGCAGAATTTTGGACAAAAATCACCAAATTCCTTTCAAATGCGTTTACTTGTATTTTACCACATGGGTGGATTGAATTAAAGTTACTTCTAATGGCCAAAACTACATTAGGCATTCGACCAGCTCACGACAAGTATGAACACAATTTAAAAAATCCTAAAGGATGCCTTCCAAGAGAAGGATCTGGACAAAAAATGATTCTTTGACCGATAGCAAAAAACGGCCTCCCCGCTGCCCCCGAGGACTAACCGGAACCATCCGGCCACCATACCGGCGTAAACAGGAAAAAACAGCGGATCAACAACGATCACAACTTTAAAAAGTTCACGACAAACTAAAAACATTAAATCCACTCGGTGGAAACCGATTTCGGAATTTTTGGGGACAATTACAAGGGATTCTGTCGGTGGCGAACGGAGGTTAAACCGGCATGTGAAATGCTTACGCAGAATATGACATGAGTGGTCTTCTCACTTCTCTTCTTCGATAATATAACGGACATTTTTAAAATAAAAATTACATTACACCTCAAACTGGTTTATGGTGATGTACAGTTAAGAAACTCCTATGAGCGCAGCTCATCAAGGCGGGAGTTCCGTAGCGTTGAATAGCGTACAACAGAAAAAGAAGAAAAGGTAAAGGTTAAGCAAAGATGATAGAAACAAGGTTAAGTTGTAGAGGTTTTCGTGTACTGAATTATTGTATTAGAAGATTTAGTTATGGAAGTTGAAAATTGTGATTTCCAGTACCTAGATAAAGAAAAATTAAAGAATCTAGAGAAAGACGATTCAAATTTCCCCAAGCTATGTGCAACGGCTTTATCAGGTATTCAAATCAAAAGAATAATATCCAGCATCTTTGAAAATATATTTTTTGTTTTTGTTTCAGATATTCAACTCGAAAAACTAACTGTATTGAATTTAGTTGAACTAATAAGTGACCTTTTAACTAATCAATCTTATATTAAGAGAGAATTGGGCTTGTCAATATTAACATATATTTTGCAAAATTTAAATAAAGATTTTTTAACTTCTGACCAGTTGCAAGTGTTATCCTCTTACTTTTCAGAAAAGTTGAGGGATCATCATCAGGTGTGAAATGTAAATTTATGTAATTAAATTAATTAAACGTAATTTTTAATTTCAGCTTATCCCAACAGTCTTGGAAGGCCTCTTCGCTTTGTCACAATTTTCAAAAACTCCTTCAACATCAATAATTCAATTATTGACATCAATTTTTCAACATGTAGTTTGTCAACAGCAACAACAACGGGAAAGATATACAATTTACCAAATTTATGAACTTGTACTAAAAAAATACTCATTAGGTAATTCTTTGTCTTTCTCCATGCTTTTATCTGACTTCTTATAATAATTTTTTTAGATGTAAAGAACTTGGGTCCAGACATTGTTTATGGAATAATTTCATCAATTGATGGCGAAAGAGATCCTAAAAATTTGTTGTATCTTTTCAATTGGCTTCCACTGTTTTTACAAACTGTACAGCTAGGTCATTTATCAGAAGAAATGTTTGAAGTTTTAGCGTGCTATTTTCCTGTAGACTTCAAAGCACCTCCATCTGATACAAATGTAATATATTTCAGCACAGTGCAACAATCTTCGCTAAATAATTATTGCAATATTCTCTACAGAAAATCACCAGGCAGGATTTGGCCAATGCATTATGTTTATGCCTAACTGGAGTTGTGGATTTTGGAGAATATTGTTTACCCCTAGCTTTGGAGAAGTTTGAATCTGCTTTAACAATTGCTAAGGAGGATTCATTAATGTTACTAGTAAGTAAAATAGGCAAAGTTCTATTTTTTTTTTAGTGAATTTGATTGCTCTTAAGTTGATTAAGTTGAACTATTATTAAAAACTAAGATGTGTTTAATTTTAGAAAAAAGGCTGTGACAATTTTCTTACAACTGTGTACAACCAGTATTCAGTTGAAATTTGGTCCCAGTTGCAGAAAGAGATTCTGAGTAGTAGTAATGACGAATTCAGAGAGAAATGCTTGGAGACATTTACAGCAGTTGTTGACAAACTATCTGGGGGGGATGAAAAGGAATACATTAGTTTTTTAAGCAACATTTTTGATTCTTTGAAAGGGAATTTATTTCCAGATTATAAATTATTTCTGCCATCATTATTGATTATTATATCAGTAGGTAAAGCAAATAAAAAATCATCTTTGTATGTGTGCAAGAAAATATTGCCCCTGTTAGAAAACACTTATAGTATCACAACAAATACAAAGGATAAAGTACATTTATTAAGCAATATTATGAAACTAGTTGACTGTTTTCTTATGCATAATAATGATATTAATGAATGTAGGGAAGTTGAAAACTCTATAACAAGTTGTGTGGAAGCTATTATTGGTTTAGATGTTGAGCTTAAAATTCAGGGCTTTAATGGTATAACAATTCTTGTGAAATTGTTACCTAAAAATGTTAGAGAACTTGTAATTGAACATCTTATTCAGACAATAAGTAAAAATGAGATGTTAAAGCTGGCTAAGTGTCAATGTTTAGAACAAATGGCAATTCATTATCCTGAGGAGGTAAAAACTAAGATTTGCCAAAAGGGAGGAATAACAGACACAGCTCAATTAGATTCATACTTGGAAATTTTGTGTACACTTTCTCATTTATCATTCTTTAAAACTTTTGTGGTAGATACTTTATTAAATCACACTTTAAACAAGGTAACTGAAACACCTGTGGGTCTGAATCATATCAATCGCGAAGTAGAAAAATCTGACAGTATGCGCCTTATTTTTCAAGAGAATAATTTTATAGAAGAATTAATTCAATTTGTTAAACATCAAGAACATAAAATACTTTTGGAAAACACTTTCCTAAAAAATATAATGCAAGTTTTGACTAAACTAGTTAGACATTTGCCAAGTGATCAGCAGAAAAAAATAGTGATCCTATTTTCCACAACAAATTTCAAACTTAAGCAACTGTATGTAGCTGTGCTTACTGGTATTAATATTCCTTTGAATCCAGATGTATTAAGGGACACTATTAACATCTCCTCTGTACTAGAAGGTTGTTTTGATGTTGATGTATTCATCAAGGATGCTTGTTTGAAAGTTTTAGCCAGTTTAATAAATAAAATGAATGACGGTAAGCTGAATTTAATTTTAAGTTTTATTTCTATCACCGCTGTGTTTGTAGAAAGTATTTTGTTAGAAAATTTAAATATATTAAAAAGGCTATTTACGTCAAAACAGAGCCCAGAACTTGAAGCAATGTTGTGGACAACAAAAGCTCTTGTGATGAGGAACCATCATCAGGCTTGGATATGGACTGATCAATTACTAGCCTTGCTTGATTCATATGAAGAAATTTGCAATGGTTTCCCTATTATAATGAATGATTGTCCGGAGTTATCAGTTGACAACTTATCAAATGTAATGTATGTGCTACATTTTAAAATTTAAGTGATAAACTTTATAAACTGTTTTGTAGGCCTTTATATCGTCAAAAGTTTTTTATTTATTGCACAAATAAACTTGCTGACGCATATAATCCCACAAAGCATCAATATCTAACTGTGATTGGCTACTTAATAGAGTTTGCCCCAAAAATAGCCATTATAGCACAATTCCAGAAAGTACAATTTACAAGTGATTTAAAGAGAAATTGGTGTTTATTAAGTTTTTTCAGATTTATAAGTTAATCATACTTTCTCTGGAACAGTGTCAAAATCCTAGAATTCTGGAAATCATTTTGGATCAAATTTACGAATTTACAGAAACTAAAGAATCAGTCATCGCTGATCATTTAGAAGACATTCTTTTAAGAGTACTCAATCTTACTACTTATAATTTGAATATGGTAAGTGATCTTTTATCATATGTAGTGGGCTAATTACAAATTAATTTTTTTGTAGAGGGTTCGTATTGCCGCCATAAAATGCTTAAAAACGTTTGTAATATCTTATGAGGTTTATAAGCTGTTGCCTTTGAAAGAAAAAGTAATTAAGCATTTGGGCATTTGCCTAGATGACAGAAAGAGATTAGTGAGGAAAGAAGCTTCTGATACAAGGTCGTTGTGGTTTTTGCTTGATGCTGTTATTTAATACTTAATAGATAAGTAAAAACAAAATTGGCATGAGAAGGAATTTGCTGAATGGGAATAAACACATGTTTTTATTTTGGAATCGTTTACTCAACATTTAATATTTTTCACTCATAAGCAATACTACTAATGCAGTCCACCCAGTAAAAGGTCTACATCCACTACCTTCCCCCGTTTTATCATTGTATTGCTCCCACAAATAGCCAGTCTTGTAGTATTGCCTTATCACATTGTTGATCACATTATTGCGCAATTCTTGATATACTTTATTAGCCTGTTCCCTATAAGGTCCTTCGGTGTTGGAATAATGATAAAGCGCTCGGCAGGCTAAAAAATTTATGTTGATCCAAATCTGACCTCTCCAATATGGTGGGTCATGCTCGGTATTTCTCTTAAGGTACAAGGGAGAGGTCTTCCCCAGCGATCTCAAACCAAATTTAGTCCACAATAACTCGGAATCTCTCATATCTCTAATCGTTTTTTCTAGTTTCGGCGAATCGGGTGCGATTATTTGAAGAATAAGAGGGAAAATATTAACATATCCAAAGGTAGTATCAACTAATCGATATTCAGGCGGCTTTAAAACAGCTCTGACCATTTCCAAGTTTTGATTTGGTTGTCTTGGTATAGATTTTGGCCTTTCCAATTTGACGGCATCGGTGTGCAGGCCATAATCGGCATATCTAAAAGTTATTACTGTATTCAATGACGTTATTTATAAAAGGCCAATAAATGATTCATAAGCGTATTTTATAATCTATATCCTTATAATATAATATTCAAACATTTCTATTCATACACTTAAAATGTGTATTTAGATTGTATTGTGTCTATTAGAGCAATGAAGCAGACCAAAATTCTAAATGAATTTAGTTCATTTAATTTATTTGGTAAGGATTTACTGTGTCCGAAAAAATCTGACAGGTTGAATTTTATAGTCGTCCTAGTAATGAAATCAAGGCTTATAATACAAATAAGAATTTTAAATGGAAATTCTAATGAATTCAGAATCCAACTAAAACTGTCAATTCTGCTTCATATTTAAATGAATTTGATGTTGGCGGCATAGCCATTATAATCTGTGATATATGCTTGGTGTTAAGGTTTTAGTTACATACTTGCTTTTAAATATGACTCACCTTTCTGAGAAATTTGACCAATGTAGACTGTCCATGCGCCGGTTATCTTTTAAGAAATCACTTGTCTGTTGGTATTTCTCAAAATTCTCGCGCCCTAAAAGCTTCGCCAATCGAGCCATAGTGTCTGCAGCTATAGCCATCCAGCAATATAAATCTATATGTCTTTCTAAATCAGTAGGATGTGAAGATCGAGGAAAATCATCCAATCCAGATGCCATAGTTTTTGGATTTAGTTCTCTATTTGTCAATGGATCACGCCCGCGCCATCTATAGCTACCTGGCAGAGGGCCTCGCTGGGTTGAATTAAACCACAAAAACCAGGCCTATAAAAAAGATGTACCCAAGAATGTTTTAATATCTCTTAGATGAAAATACATTACTTGAAGCCTTGGAAATAATCTTTCCAGAAGCGCTAGACGTTCATTGCTAAGGTCCTGCTCATATTTGTCTAAAATTGACTGTAACGTCAAAAAAAATGTTGGAGGGTTTGCATTTGTGTTCCATTGAACCATGTATTCTTGTGGAACTTTAGCTACTGCTTCAGCTCCTGAAGAAGAAGACATAATTAGGTGTATTATGTTAGCAATAAGGTGGATATTTTTTCAACTACTTTTAAAATGAATTGAACTATGGATTACCCAATATAAGTTCCCTTGGAATCCAACCTTCAACATTCAGTAAATCAAACCAATAACTCATTATGTCCAGCTCCAGATCTAAGTCCCACTGTGAAATTAAGAGGCCATGAAATCCTTCATCCCATAGAAATCCCCTAGGGAAGAAACTCCTGCAAGAAATGATATTATCTTGAAAACAACCAACATCTAAAAAAAATATATCCGGTTACCTTGAAGGAACACTTGTAAAGAGTGGGGCTTTCCAATAATTAACAGGTTCCTTTGTGTAAAAGCTTTGGACCAAGGAAGAACCGTAGAAGTAGCCTATACTTCCAACCATATTGCTTAGAGCAGCTTTTGCAAATTTAATTTCTCTCTCATCATAACTAAGATTATAAGAACTGATATGATTTGTTTTATTTTTGTTTATTATTTACCCTTTCTTTTTCAAACCAAATGTATCTTCAAATCGCTGGTTAAACCTACTTTGATGCCACTGAAGGGCATTAGTGTAGGCCTTACCTATTAGAGATTTGTCTCGTTCAATATAACTATGGGACTCAAATGCCACATCCAGTATAAATGGTAATTTTGCTGTTACTTGTATGGCCACAAAATTGGCTTGCTTCTAAAAATATTTCAAAGCCATTTAATTCATTGGTGCAATATTACCAGTTTTCACTTAAAACTCACATTTTCACCACGTATTAAATCTCCACCAAGGATAATTTTTCGTTGGGAGTCCGTGCTCTCCTGGGAAAGCCTTAAGGAAGATGTCACAGTTTCCTTGAGCAAATGCAATCCTGGAGTCACAACGCTCACAAATGATTCATGCTGTATTTCTCCTTGGTGCCTAAAGAGTTTTATGCTGAAATCTCCTAAATTTGTGGTAGATCCCCTTATTCCTGTAATATCAGTGCCTGAATTAGTTGGGGCTATAAAACCACCAGTCTCAGTGTCCAGAGCAGCATACCAAATTAAAGAAATCTCCTCATTTTTATCAACTACTTCCTTGTATTGTGGCTAAAATTTTTAGTAAGCATTGAATTGATGTTTTTGTATTGTATCATGATTCAATAACAAATTAAAACAATACATTTTTATCAAATACATTAATCATATGTACCAAAACATTAGCATGTATCCTAGCAGTCCAGTCTCCTCCATTAGAGCCTCCACTTCTTTTTACAAATGAAGTATTAAGTTGAAACGGTACATCTTCAATTTCTTGAACCCCAAAATGCATTCCATCATGTTGTAACCAACCATATGTTTGCAAGTTATCTCCTTGTTCACACCAATGTCTTCAAAAAAAATAAAGAAATTAAAATATAAACATATCTAAACTTCCTAGCAAGCAAGTTCGACTCAACAACATAGGAGGAATCCCGAAGTTTTGTAAATAGTATTACAATAGCCTGTGGAAGTTTCTTTGAAAAATATCTACACATTGCACATAACCAACATATCAGCCGTATCTTCTAGTATAGAGATAGAAACAATGTAATATTTTTAGATGTCTACACTACCTTATACCATCTCCTCCAGGCTTCAGTCTATTTGGAAAATACCACATTAAACCAGTTACCATTGAGTGAGGATCTCTTGTCTTAAAGCCAAGATAAAGTCCAGGCCTATAGGAACCCCAAAATTGTTCAGGAACATTTAAAGAATTTTTTGCAACCTAAATAACAATTAGGCAGAATGAGTTATCGCCTATAAATATAACTTCCTTTTTCAAAATAAGATTTTCTTTTCTAAAAAGGGAAAACACTTACTTTTTGATCATCAAATGGTGTATTGACTCGTGTCTCAAGATAGCCAATGTATCCAAAACAAATAGCAATACCGGTAACTATAGCTACAATTATTTGCTTCCAATAGGAAAAAATTGTTTTTTTTTGTTTAGTTTTGGTACTAGGTGAGGTACTTCCATTGCTACTGCTACTCCGAGTGCCTCTTTCTGATTTTGCACTCTCTTGAATGATTTTCCTTTGTCTAGCCATTGTAGTTTACTAAAGTCAGCAGAATTTGTTATTTTTTTATTTGTTAACTTATTACAATTTTTTTATTTTTCCCCAGTTTTATTCAAAATTTAAAACCAATCTGTTCAAATATTGTTCACAACATAGATAAACTGGACGGTGTTTAATTATAGTCAACGTCACCCCAAGATAAGAAACGACTGTTGCAATGTTGTCAAATTGTTAAAAAATTTTAAATCGTAAATTTGATTTATCATGAACGCAAAACCAGGATTACCTGGCCAGGAAACACCTGACACCTGCGATATTTCCACAGAATCCTCTTAGTTGTTATAATCCGATTGCGGATTGCCTGTTTGACTATGCTTTGACTTGGGAATTGAGTTGTAGAATATTTTACCCGATTTTTTTTGGTAGCGAAATAAAGTAATTAAAGTTTTCATTCGTTATTTAAAATCAGTATTTTAAAAAAGATAACTAAAATAAATAAAATACAATCAAAAAAGAAATCTTAATTGTTAAGGGTAGAATTTTTATCAATCAAAAATTTAATCCAATTCGATTTGAACACTTCATATAGCTACTAAAGGTATAGCCTAGGCCAATAATCCAGGAACATAACTAAAATATTTTTGAGAAGGTCCATTCAACATGCTCATGCGGGAAGATTTAAAATTTCTTTTCTTAATGACCTTGCGGTTCAACAACCAACATGGCCACTGACGAATCGTGAATAATTTTATATGCGGCATTTTTATGGCAGTATTTTCTTAAAATATGCTTAGATCTCATTAAAGGCTTTAAGAAAACGAGTCAAGTATGTGGAAATCGTAGTTGGGAAAGAAAATAACGCATAATGAAGTTACTGGAGTTACTGGATTAAATGTATCATGTGTGTAAAATCATTACCTCCTCTACGAAAATATCAGTTGCGCCACCGGCGCATCAATTATTACTGTGGTATGTCCAAAATGTTATTTGGTGATCTATATAGTTGACGGATATATAAAAATGATCTCTGGATCAAAGTAACTATTAATTGAACTCTTGCCGAATGACCATGGTGGCCATAACCTTTAAGTTAAGTTAATTTCAAAAGACATACGTTTAAGCCCGCCTATTTTTAAAAATAAAAGCAGGTAGTATATATACCTGTTTTAAAGATGTCAATTAAAAATTTTTTACAAGAATATTGAAATTTGAATTTTTGATTTTATAATTTCCCCGAAAGAACACTTACATTTAATCTAACATTTTATTCTTTGAAATAGTTTATGTAATTCTGTCAAAAATGTTTTTAAAAAATACTTGGATTACAATGCATAGTTTACGAGGATGAAAATGGTAAAGTTTACGCAAAAGAGAGATGGATATTTTTCCGTATAAGCATATTGTAGATTTTGAAAAATTGTGTCGAATATGCTTGAATAACAATGAACAAAGGTTTAAGATTGAAAAAGAAAATATCAAAATTCAAAACAAATCTTCTCCCGTTTTGTATCTCCTTAATTTGTTTTGTGAAGTAAAGGTAAGATACAGCTCAAGATGATCATTTCCACGATGAAGTAACTTCAAATTTGTAATTAAAAATCTGATAAACTGATGAGGCTATTGCTGCATTTCAATCTGTTCTGTTGTAGTGGACGTAGATTATTCTACTGTACTATTAAGCTTCTTGTCTACCTAGTTTATTTCTGAATGCGTTGGAGCTGCGTATATAGTTTTCGATTTTTTTTTTCAACTTTTGCGAGTTCCCATAAAAATGATTTTGATTTCTTGTAAATATCTGCCTGAGGATGCAATTCTAGGATTTTTTTTGTAATTCTATAAGTTTCAATCAAATTGCGTTTATGTCTTCTCTCCCGTAAAGTTATTGGGCTTGGTTATGAATAAATTAGTGCTTTATCTTTCAGTTAGAAAAAAATTACCCAGACGAAATTTGTTTGAGTTGCTTGTCCCAGTTGGAAAATTTATACAAATTTAAACTTCAAATAGAAAAGTCTGAAGAAGTGCTGAAGAAGCATCTTGGATATAGAGAACAAACAGGTGTTACACAGAATGGAGTTTGTTATTCGTCTCAACGACCATCAGTTTGGTGTAATAGTGCCTTTAAACACAAGAATTTCTTTTGGAAGTCAGAAGTTGATTCTGGAGAAAATGAAAATGTCACCAAGTTATGCTTTAACCAACCACCAAACTCAATTGTTGATTTATCTAAACGGAATGAGATTTTAACAGCAAATTTTGCAGACTTGAAGCTTGAGAGGGAGGAGAACAAGGAAGAGTCAGCTGTAGGGGATGTTGTTACCCAAAATATCATGGCAGATGTTGATAATGAAGGAAATTTGACTTCCCATGTAACATTTGATTGTGGCAGTATCACTAGTAAATATATTGAAAAATTAAGTGCAACCAGCAAAATACAAAACGATCAACTGAACTTTGATAATGAAAAGGTTCATGAAGTTCATAATAAAAAAAACACATCAGTTCAAGTTAGTGAGACAACAGTTCTTATTAATGATAATAAGACATTAACTCACAAAGCACCAATAGAACCTGAATTAAATATTTCAGAGACACATCTGGATAGTAATGATTTTAAAATTAGTAATCAAAGTGAAAGTATTGAAGATGTGCAAAATCCAGTACATTGCCCTGTCTGTAACAAAACTTTCAAGTCTAAATATACATTAAATGTTCATCTAAAACGACACAGGCTTGAAGGGCAGTTTGCTTGTACTCTTTGTGGAAAGTGTTTCAGTTCCCAAGGTTGCTTAAACAGACACTTGAAGATTCATACAGGAGAAAAAAAATTTGAATGTCAAGTGTGCCAGAAAAGATTTCTTTCATCACATAATCTCATTGTACATGAACGAGTTCACACAGGAGAGAAACCATATCTGTGCAGTCATTGTGGAAAAGCCTTTAGTAATCGTACTGGGCTGAACTTTCATGTTAGGATTCATACAAATACAAAACCATATCTCTGTAACATTTGTGATAAAGCTTTTGGAGCTCAAAGCCATCTTGTATGGCACACAATGATTCATACTGGTAAGCGGGATTGGTTGAATTTTCTATTCTTTTTCGCTTTGTAATTAGCCTTTTTCCAGGTGAAAAGCCTTTTGTTTGCAAAATTTGCGACAAAGCTTTTATAAAGAAGTGCGACCTTCAAAGGCATTCATTGGTGCACACAGGTGTGAAGCCTTTTCAGTGTTCATTTTGTGAAAAACGTTTTAGTACAAAACTAAACTTGCAATACCATGAGATGATTCATAAAGATGACAGGCCTCACATCTGTCCGACTTGCGATAAGCGTTTTATACGGCGTTATTATCTACAGGAACATATAAGCAAACATCATTTTGTTACTGAAAATATGGAAGCAACAAATAAATAATTTTTTTCCATGTTAATGTTGGGCGCACAAAATTGTGCTGATGGGCGCAGACCACAGAAATTCAAATTATTTAGGAAATCAAAGTATAGGGGGGACTTAAGCACATATATTTCTCAATTTTAAGAGAGGGGGTCTTATTTCTATGGTTATATAAAACAATAAAGCATTTGATTTCTTTTGTGAAATAGCTGTCTTTTCTTTGGATAAGTGAGGAAAAGATCTTACGTGTGCTAGACATGATTTCTACATCAGTGGCGAAACAAATTTCTCAAAAAACAGATTTTTTTACTATATGGCAAATGACACTATTGGAATATGAAACCATTTTGCTCACTTCTTAACTATTGTAGAAAAAATATATTCTATACACGTTGGTTTTAAGGGCGAGACAGGAAAGTAAAACCAAAGTTTACAAATTATAATTCCTAAACTTTGGTAAAAACCTCTTTGAATAGACTCTTACCGATTATATTTGTTTTGCCAGAATTCGCCTTGATAAGTGAAACTTTTAAATTACCGCTAAAGATATTCTGTACTAAACTCGAATTAAAATGTATGAGCTTTTAAAAATGGATGACAGAATGAATTGACATTTAATTTGATTGTCTAGGTCTAATGGTTTATTTATACGTTATACCAATTATATTTTGTCATGGCTGTGTATTTTGTACTGCAATACGATATGGCATTTTTCGTTCTTAATTCTTCTTCATAAGGGCAGTTGGGAAGCGTTGACGCTTTATACCTAGCATAAAGTCAAAGCAAGTAATTTGGACTAACCTCCAAACTTAACAAGCTTGCTTTCGAAAAATCGTCGGTGAGCGGGGCAAGTTCGTCGCAAATAGCGCGAATCAGCTTTTCATTTTAAAAAGAAGCCGCTTCGCGGATTCTTATAGGGACGCAATATTTTTTATCGTGCTCCTGCGCACCACTATCGAGCTTTCGCAAAATCGAAGTAATTTGATTGTGAATACACCCTGTATAAAGTGTCCTTCACATCTCTTCGAACTTCAAATTTACGGTATACTTCGGTAAATATCAAAATTTGTACTGGTAATTGCAATTTAAAATTATATTTTTTCAAATATCTTGCGTCCGCTGTATTATAGACGAAACATTAAACTCTCTCTCAACACAGTTTACGATACCGTTCATATCAAATTATCACATCTAGAAATAGAGGATATAGCTCTGGATCTCCTTAGTTTCCTGGTATCCGAATTTTTCCAATGGAGTAAATGCACGTGGTAATTGTAAAGACGTCATCGCGTCTACATTGAGTGCAAGAAATGGTGGAATGGAATGGAGGAATGGTGCAAACCGTAAATACAAAAATTGTAGCCCTTGATACGACCAATAACACTGTTTGAACGGATTAGCTATTGTTTGTACGAATTTTGATTTACGGTTAATAATTTACTCTCTAAAAGAACAATTTTCAGGGTCTTTTAGATTTTTGTCCATAAGTGTAACACCTTGTATATTACCCAAAAATGCGTGGAACAAAAGTTATAGCGCCGGGTCTCCCACGTATTATGGATGTAAAATTTTTCCGAAAGGATGATTGCTTTGGAGGAAAAGATGTTTTTCTGGATGCCAAAATAACCACAAAAAAAATTCAAAAATAAAAAAAAATACTTCGCGTTATTTTATTGCTCCCAATTTAAAGATTCTAAATGCGGGTCCAGGCTTCTAGTTCTCTCCCAAGTCTAAAGTCGGTAGCTGCAAATTTGGAGTACTTATTATGTTTTTTAATATTGCACGGGATATATCGCAAACCCTTGAACAATACTTAAAAACTGTAAATACAAAAGTTTAAGCTGTCCATATGGGCTATATCATCATGTAAAAGAAACTGACATCTAAAAAATTTTCAATAATAAGGGGACCCATTTTTCAGTTTTTTTCAATTTGCGGCGCACCCAGTATATTTTTTAAAAATTGTCAAGAAAAAAGTTTATGGAGTCGTTTCCTCCGCGTCTTCTGGTTCAAGAATTTTTTCGGTCTTGTAAACCGTTTTTAAAAAATCGTCTTTTTTGTAGACCCTTGCACACGCGATTTTTAATTTTTTAAAAATACTTCCCGATCTCCCAGCCCTCCTACTTTCAATAAGTTCCCTCACGGGGCAAAGCTACATAGATGTGCCAAATATGAAGTCAATTGCTTCAAATTTCGGACACTTATCGTGTTTCATAACAATGTCCAAAAAACAGTCGAAAATCGCGAAGAAAAGATTGATAACCGGTGTTGAATCAGGGCCATTTTTTATAGGCTTATGTGCCTCGTGGAGGATGAAAAAGGAGGCAAATTCCAATTTTTTAGCTCCAACGAAAGTTATTCAGGAAAAATTAAAAGACGAGAACGGAAAACGGACAGACAAAACATTTTTTTTTTCGACGGTGATCATTTCTGTACCAACGGCGATCCCGTAGGACTTACCGTTACCGAGATATAAAATTGTTATACGAGCGCAGATACTTTCGAAAAATTCGATTTCATCGATTTTCGAAAGTAACAAGATTGCTTTCGAAAAATCGTCGGTGGGCGGTGCAAATTCGGAGAGTGTAGCACGGACCAGATTTTAATTTAAAAAAGAAGCCAATTCGAGTATTTTGTCCTTGAGGGACGCATTGTTTTTCTATCGTGCTCCTGCGGACCGCTATGGAACTTTCGCAAAATCGATGTAATTTAATTGTGCATGCACCCTGTATTAAATGTCTTTCATGTTCCGCCGAACTTTAAAATTCCGGCAAACTTGGTTAAATATTAAAATTTGTACAAATAATAGCGTTGTCGAATAATATTTTTTCAAATATCGCGCTGGCCCTGTATAATTGACGAAACCTGAAACTCTCTCTCGACACAGCTTACGATACTGCTCAAATCAAATTATCGCATCTTTAGCAGTTTTTCATTTATCGCCAATAATTTACCCACAAAAACGGAAATTTTTAGGATATTTTAGATTTTTTGCCCTTAAAGGCACACCCTGTATATGATTCAATCATTGTTCGAAGTAGAGGTTAAAGCCCTGGATTTCCTTTTAGATTTTCTGCCAATAATGGACACACAATTCGAACAATGACGATTTTCATTTGAATTTTTTCAAATATCTCGAACAGCGTATGTGATAGACGAAAACCGTAAATACAAAAATTGTAGCTCCCGATGTGGCTTATTACACTGTTTAAACCAATTGGCCATGTTTTTCACGAATTTTGATTTACGGCTAATAATTTAATAGCGCAAAAGGGCGATTTTCATGGTCTTTTAGATTTTTGTCCATAATTGAAAAACTCTGTATACAATCGAAAAAATGTCTGAAATAAAAGTCATAGCCTCGGATCTCCCGCATTTCCTGGTTCTAAAATTTTGAGAGATTTTTGAGAAAATCATGTTTATCTGGAAGCCAAAATATTCAAAGAGAATTTTTAAAATTTTTTTAAAAAACATTTGGTGATACTTGATTACGCTCAAATTCTACTGTTTAGATGTGGGTACGGACTTCTACTTCCTTGGCAAATTTAAAATCGTTAGCTACATATGTCGGTCACTTATGATGTTTTTGAATATAGCACGGAATATCCCGAACACCCTGTACAGTATGTGAAAACATTAAATACAAAAGTTTTAGCTGTCCATACGGGCTATATAGCTACGTAAAAAAAACTGGCAACAGGGAGACCAATTTTCAGTTTTTTGCAAATTACCGACGCACCCTGTACATTTTTAAAAAATCATCAAGAATAAAGGTTTTTTCTCCGGATCTTGCGCGTGGTTCGGTTAAAGAATTTTTACAATCGTATATACCGTCTTGGAGAAATGATTTTTTTCTCGATACCCTGCAAGTGCGTTTTTTAATTAAAAAAAAAAAATACTTCTCATCCCCTTAGCCCCTCCCCCCTCCCCAAATTTCAATAGGCTTAGTTACGGAGCTAAACTATATGTATATATATATATATGTATATATATATATATATATATATATATATATATATATATATATATATATATATATATATATATATATATATATATATATATATATATATATATATATATATATATATATATATATATATATATATATATATACATATGTCAAATTTCAAGTGGATAGCTTCAAATTTCGGACACATCGTGTTTCATAGAAAAGTCCAAAAAACAGACGAAAATCTAAAAAAAAAATGGACACCGTGGTTTCAGCGGACCCATTTTTACTGGTTTGTGTAGCTTGTGCACGGCTTATAAGGAGCCAAATTTGAAAGCCGTGTAGCAAACCGTTCGAAAGATATAGCCAATTAATGCCAGGTCTACAGAAACGGAGAACAGGAAAAGACAAAAAAAAATTTTTTTTTCGACGCTGATCATTTCTGTACCAATGGCGGTCCCCTAGGACCTACCGTTGCCAAGATATAAGTTTCGTTGCCAAGCGCGCATACTTTCGAAAAATTCGATTTTATCGAATGTTCAAAAGTAACTAGATTGATTTGGAAAAATCGTGGCTGTGCGAGTGGTCTCTTCCGTACCATGCGCTACGCAGTCTACAAAATCACTACGCAGTCAACAAAATCACTACGCAGCTTTGTATTTTTTATTTTGTCCTATGGGGACGCATTGTTTTTCTATCGTGCTCCTGTGGACTACTATGGAACTTTCGCAAAATCGATGTAATTATATTGTGCAAGCGTGTAAAGCTTCTTTCACGTAGTAATGAAGTTCAAAGTGATAAATTTTGATAATTAAAAAAAATTGTATTGTGTTGTATTTTTTCAACTATTTCGCGCACCCTGTATGACAGGCGACACCTGAATCTCTCTCGATGCAGTTTACGATACTGTTTAAACCAAATTATTCCATGTGTTAAAGTTTTTCATTTACGGCTAATAATTTCCCCACGAAAACGGCAATATTCAAAGTCTTTCTGATATTTGCCCATAATCGACACACTCTGTATATAAATGTAAAAATGCCGGAAATGGAGGTTATTCCCCTGAATCTCACGCGTTTCCTGGTCCAAGAATTTACCCAATAGAGGAAATAGTTTTCCAGAAAATAATATTTTCCGAAACTAAACAGTAATAGTCAATGACGTCATCGCGTCTGGACCGAGTCCGAAGAATAGTGATTTTCTAGTGGATTTTTTCAAATATCTGGAGAGGCGCGTGTGATAGACGAAAACCGTAAATGCAAAAATTGTCGCTCTTGATGCGGTCTATAATACTGTTTAAACTCTGGAAAACAACAATTTTCAGGGTCATTTATATTTTTGTCGATAATTGAGAAACCCTATAATAAATTTATAGTGAGAGATCTTCCGCGTCTGCTGGTTAGAAAATTTTGCCGAGCGGGTTAATAGGTTTTGAGAAAATATTTTTTTTCAGGAAACCAAAATAACTCAAAAAAATTTTTTTCAAAATATATTTTCCATGTGGGTGTGGACTTGTGATAAATTTGACGTCTATACCTACAAATTTAAGGCACTTACTACATTTCAAATTATAGCACGGAACATCTTAAACATCCTGTACAATAGGTAAACACTATATGCCCGAGCCGAACCTTTGATC